GAACATACCTAAACATAATAAAAACTATATACAGCAAACCAACAGCCAACATCAAACTAAATGGAGAGAAACTCAAAGCAATTCCCTCTAAATGGAGTGAGGCTGTCCACTCTCTCCATACCTCTTCAATATTGTACTTGAAGTTCTAGCCAGAGCAATAAGACAACAACAGGAGATCAAGGGAATACAAATTGGAAAGGAAGAGGTCAAACTTTCACTATTTGCAGATGATATGATAGTTTACATAAGTGACCCAAAAAAACTCTACCAGGGAACTCCTACAGCTGATAAATATGTTCATCAAAGTGGCAGGATACAAGATCAACTCAAGAAATCAGTAGCCCTACTATATATAGATGATAAAAGGGCCGAGAAAGAAATCAGAGAAACATCACCTTTTACAATTGCCACAAACAACATAAAATACCTGGGGGTAACCCTAACCAAGTAAAAGACCTGTATCTCAAGAACTTTGAGTCTTTAAAGAAAGAAATTAAAGAAGACACCAGAAATGGAGAGATCTCCCATGCTCTTGGATAGGAAGGATCAACATAGTAAAAATGGCAATCGTGCCAAAAACAACCTACAGATTCAATGTTATCCCCATTGAAATCCCAGCACAATTCTTCACAGACCTTGAAAGAACAATTCTCAACTTTATATGGAAAAACAAAAGACCACCCTGTTCAACGAGGCAACATCTGGAGGCAGCACCATCCCTGACTTCAAGCTCTATTATAGAATCCTGAAAATAGCTTGGTATTGGCATAAAAATAGACAGGTAGACCAATGGAATTGAATAGAAATCCCTGATATTAACACACACACACACACATATGAACACTTGGCTTTTGACAAAGAAGCTAAAATTATACAATGGAAAAAAGAAGGCATCTTCAACAAATGGTGCTGGCATAACTGGATGCTGGCATGTAGAAGACTGCAGGTAGATCCATGTCTATCACCATGCACAAAATTTAAGTCCAAATGGATTAAAGACCAACATAAATCCAGTCACACTGAACCTGTTAGAAGAGAAAGTGGGAGGTACCCTTGAATGAATTCATACAGGAGACTGCTTCCTGAGCATAACACCAGTAGCACAGACACTGAGATCGACACTTAATGAATAGGACCTGCTGAAGCTGAGAAGCTTCTGCAAGGCAAAGGACACACTCAAAAAGACAAAAAGGCAGCCCACAGACTGGGAAAAGATATTCACTAATCCCACATCTGACAGAGGGCTGATCTACAAAATCTACAAAGAACTCAAGAAGCAAGTCTCCAAAGCACCAAAGGATCCAATTAGAAAAGTGGGCTACAGAACTAAATAGAGAATTCTCAATAGAGGAGACTAAAATGGCGGAGGAACACTTAAGAAAGTGCTAAACATCCCTAGCAATCAGGGAAATGCAAATCAAAACAACTCTGAGATATCATTTTACTCCTGTGAGAATGACTAAAATCAAAAACACCAATGACAGTTTATGCTGGAAAGAATGTGGAGAAAGGGGAACACTCCTCCACTGCTGGTGGGAGTGCCAACTCATACAGCCACTATGGAAATCAATATGGAGATTCCTCAGGAAAATGGGACTCATTCTACCACAAGACCCCGCAATTCCACTGTTAGGCATATACCCAAAAGAGGCAAATTCATACAACAAGGGCATCTGTTCCACTATGTTTATAGCAGCATTATTTGTAATAGCCAGAACCTGGAAGCAACCTAGATGCCCCTCAACTGAAGAGTAGATAGAGAAAATGTGGTACATTTACACAATGGAATACTATTCAGCAGAAAAAACAATGAAATCTTGAAATTTGCAGGCAAATGGATGGCACTAGAAGAAACCACCCTGAGTGAGGTAACCCAGTCACAAAAAGTCAAACATGGTATAACCTCACTCATATATAGATTTTAGACATGAATCAGGGAAGTGCCAGTCTACAATCCCACTGCCACAGAGGCAGGGAAACAAGAAGGACCCTAAGAGAGATATACATGGAACCCTAGAGAAGGTGGAAGGAGGCCAGATCTCCTGAGCAGATTGGGAGCACAGGGTGGAGGAGGGGAAAGGGAGCCAGGAAAAAGAGAGGGAGACAAGAGGAAGGGAGAGGAGGACATGGGGGAGCAGGAAAGTTGAGTTGGGGGAAAAATAGAGGAGAGCTGGATGAGAGATACCATAATAGAGGGAGCCATTCTATGTTTGCGGAGAGATCTGGCACTAGTGAGAATTCCAGAGATGTACAAGGATGACACCAACTGGCAAACTAAGCAGTAGTGGAGAGACTACTTTAAATGTCCCTCCCTAATAATGATTTTGATGCCTATCTTACATACCATCCTAGAACTTCCATCCAGTGACAGATGGAAGCAGAGGCAGACACCCACAGCTAAACACTGAACTGAACTCCTGGAACCCAGTGACAGAGAGGGAGGAGTGATGAGGAAAGGGGTCAAGACTGGGCTGGTGAATCCCACAGAAACAGCTGACCTGAACAAGGGGGAGATCTTGGACCCAAGACTTATGGTTGAGAGGCCAGCTTGGGGCTGACTCAGACCCCCTGAATGTGGGTGTCAGTGAGGTGACTCAGGCAATGTATGGGGTTTTTGGGTAGTAGATTAGTATTTATCCCTGGAACACAAATGGACTTTGGGGACCCAACCCACAATGAGGGATGCTTTCTCAATCTGGACACTTTGGGGAGGGCCTGGGCCCTCCCTGGAACGAAATGACAGACTCTAGATACCACTCATAGAGGCCCTTACCCTCCCTGGGGAATGGAGTGGGGATTGGGTGGGGGGGTTGGGGGAGCTGGGGGAGGGAGTGGGCGTGGAGGGAAGGGAGAGGGAGCTGGGACTAACATGGGAAGCAAGCTTGTTTCTAATTTAAATATATAATAAAAAGTGTAAAAAATAAAAAATAAAAATAAAAAGTTCTGTGTTTTATAAAAAAATATATTGATATTCTACCACCTGTTGATTGTGCCAGGTCTTCCTGCAGTGTTTTAAGAGTGGAGGATTGGGAAAGGCTGACTTACAGCTCTTCAGGTATTAATATTTCCAGAGAATAAGGAAACTCAATCGTACACGTGTGATTTTGTAGATAGTTGTTCTTGCCATTGGTGTAAATGAATAGTCTGTAAAGCCATAACACACACCGAGTTAGGATATACATGACTATGTTCCCATGGGCTTTGGTCAACACATTTGAATGACCTGATCCATATGTGCTTGTTTTACGTGTGTGTCTATTTAAACACATTTTATTTATATATTTGATCTATTAACTTTGAACTCACTACTAACTGTGATATCACACATGCTTGAGCGAAGCTTATCCAACACCATATTTTCCCCCTAAGCACATCATAACATTCTTGCATTTAGGACCACTCTAGAGTACTTTAGTACTATGATTCTGGGCCATTTGAGACAGTGCAATTGCCCCCTCCAAGGCTATAAATGTAAGGAAAAGAGCTCCAACTACGCTACAAGCAGGGGATTGGTCACTATATAAGAACTTAAACAAGAAGCCAGAGCTCTATTTGTCTTGTTTGCTTTTAGCTGGCACTGTGTGTGTGGCAAGCAACTGAAAATTTTCACTGTTTTGTGTCCTGCTTAGTTTTTACTGTCCTACTTGTTTAGAGATATCGCCACCCCCAGTGGACTGGGCCGTCCTAAATCAACCATCAGTCAAAACAATCTCACAGACATTGTCACGGGTCAATCTGATGGAGGAAATTCTTCTTGAGCTTCTGTCTTCCCATTTGACTTTTGGTTGTGTCAAGTTGACAACCACTAAGACAGAGTCTTTATAGATTTTACCACTTGTGCACAACTCCAGGATAGAGTTCTAAGTGAATGAGGGCTTGTTTTTCTCTTGTAAAGTAGATGAAGGGAGATTTAGTAAGGAGGGCTTGCAACAGTAAATCATCATGCTGTTAGTCAAGGGTACCTAGGAAGATCTAAATCCATGATAGGAATCTTTTGTTTTGGTTTTTTTTCAAGACAGGGTTTCTCTGTGGCTTTAGAGACTGTCCTGGAACTTGCTCTGTAGACCAGGCCGGTCTTGAGCCCACAGAGATCCTCCTGCCTCTGCCTCCCGAGTGCTGGGATTAAAGGTGTGCTCCACCACCTGGCTAGATATGATTGACGCACAACATTTTAAAAATAATATTCCCTTTGAAAGTGATGTTACCTTACCTCTAACTCCTAAACCCTCTTATCAAATAACTTCCCAAAGATTCAAAACTCACCATCAAATGTTATTGTGACATATTTAGCATGATCATGTCCTCAGTCATATGAGTATAAAAAATCGAAAGCTGATTATTTCCCCCATCAGTCATCCATCTTATAGACCCCAACATATCTCTGTGTTGTTTCTCTGTCGTTGTCCCTATCAACAAATATGAAGAAGGGACCCATGCGTTTTGAGTGCCTACAGCCATGCCTGGCACATAGTAAATCCTCAATAAACAGCATAGGATAACCGGTAAAATTGCATACGACATGTAAATGAGTATTCTCATATATATGTAATCTTTTTATCTTGGAATTCCTATACCTCTTGGGTCCACTTCATTGTGTGTGCATTGCCTTTTATTAATTTCTTCAGGCTGTTTTGTTTCGCTTAACATAGGGTCTCACTAATGTACCCCAGGCTGGGGTAAAGATTTGTGATACTCTCCTTAGCCTCATGAAATTTACAGGTATAGACACCAGGCTTGGCAATAACATGTTTTTAACAGTAAATCATGTTCACAGGCTGTGGAAATAAAAAAAAAAATAAAAAAGGAAAGTCCCCTCTTTCAAACTCTCGGATTCTCCTATTCACAGTCATAGGTCTCTCCACGCAGGGTTGCAGGAGGTCTAATCTGCAATGAGACTGATCCACCGGGGCCAGCTTGGGCACTTCCGGTACCCACCCAGCCCCGCGTCTGCCCCAGCTCCTGCCCTGGGCAACCACTGCGTGAGCTGCCTCCAGGCCTGCAGCTCCTTAGACCTTGGCTCGCTGAGGCACGAGGCACTTGACCGTTAGCGAGATGGGGTTGGAGCTGTAGGCTCTGACCCTTGGGCCTGGGTGCTTCTGGGGCGTGTGGTGCTGAGGCAAGGAGGAGGAGGAGAGGGAGGAGACGGAAGCCTTGATTCCCACAGCACCCAAGGTAATCGAGCATGTGAACTGGTCCCTGTTGTGCCAGGACCCCTGGGAATGTTCCCACAGGTGTCCTGTCCTCCTCAAAGCAGAAGGTTCCGAGTTGCAACTGATCATCCAGGCGGTAGGGAACCATTCCCAGACCGAGATTTTAAAGTTAGTTTTTTTTTTTTTCCGGTCATAAGATGTTTATACTCTGCGTAGTCTTACCGCTGTTTGATACCATCATGCACCCGCTTGTTTGTTCTAGTTTGCATCTCTGATACTGAGTTACATCTACCAAAAGTAACTTGGGAAAGGAAGGGAGGGGTTCATTTGGCTTACATATCGTAGTCCCCGATGGCGAGACACCGAGGCAGGAGGCTGCAGGAAGGGACTGAAGCAGAGACCATGGAGCAACCCTGGCTTGCCCCTCAAGGCTTGTTTTTCCTTTCTGTTGCAGCCCGATGGCTCTGCTCAATGGTCACCAGCCTCCTGCATGCCCCACACAAGGGTCCCAGGGCAGTCCTATGGGAGGAGCTCCTCCGAGATTTCCTCCTCCCTGGCTGTCAAGTTCACAACTGAAATGAGGCTCAGCGCTACAGTCCTAAGACTCACAGTTGCTTGACTCAGTTCTGTAGTTAATAAATTTAATACACCATTACTTTCTTCATTGCCAAGTTTTCCCCCTTCTGATATATTTTACAAGACAGGTTTTTTGCGATGTCTTTTCTGAGTTTTACTTGTTTGAAAAATGTTACAATATTGCATACATGAAAATTTGGCTCTGTATAAAATTCTTAAGTTGTTGTTCCTTGAAGAAATGTTCTGACATTTAAATGTTGCCATGGAGATGCATGATAAGTTTTATACTTGTGTGATCAAAATCAGGGGAAAATATCATTTTACACTTTGATTAATACCAAGACTAAGCAACATATTTCTTTTGCTTATTAAATATTTAGTGAGTTTGCTGAGAGCATAAATAGGTGTCACTCCAAAGTCAAAGCAGTTGGAGTAGCACACTGCTTTGCTGAAGGAGTTGGCAAATGATAGTCCCCAGGCAGCCTGTGTGTGTGGTAGCCCCCAGGCAGCCTGTGGCCTGCACCTCCATTTGTGTGACACTCTTCAAAGTGACAGTGAATATTTTGCAGCTCATTTGGTGACCAGTGTCACTAATTGTGAATCCTAGTTAAATGAAATGCTATCCCCTTTACATTAGCAGGACTATATTAAGAATATGTAAAACAAAAGAAGAAACTGGGGGTTGGTGGCCATGTTATTAATCCCAGGATGCAGGAGGCAAAGGTAGGTGAATTTCTGTGACTTCAAGACCAGCCAGGACTACATAGTGTGACCTTGTTTAAAAACAAACAAACAAACAAAACAAAAACAAAAAACTGTACTCAATTGTTATAATTTGTTACATTTTTATCAATAAGAAACTCCTTTCTTTTTCTTTTATGAGTACTTGAATAATATACCTAGTTTCATCTTTTTACCCACAAAGCTGAAAAATATTGCCTTTGGTTTGTTTCTGGAAAACTTACCAATCCTTGCTCTGTTACAAATGCAGAATAACTTTGGTTCAGGGAGGATTTTAACCCAGGCCCTGTCTCAATTTGAGGAGTCTCTCCATTTTACCTCAAGCTGTGGCCCTGACATGGACTCCTTAAGTCCTCGACTGCAGACGGTGGCCCTTCTGTGTGAATCTTGGTACTTTTTAGATCTCAACTGAACTTTTTGTGATCCCCCACCATGTTTAGTCACTACATGGACTGTCCTGTATTGGCACTGTGGATCTGTTGATGCTTGATGCTCTGTTGGCATCTCTAGCATTCCTGCCCAGTAAGGGTAGAGAGAAGCCTTTTTCTTGTCTGCCGCTTTGGTTTTTCCTCACCAGTCGCCTGGGCTCTGCCGCACTGTATTAATTATGAAGCTGTTGGCCTTGCTTGTTTCTTACTGGCTAGCTCTGACTTAAGTATTTATCCCATAATTGTTAATCTAAGTATTTCTCTTACCAGAGAAAAGTTTCTGGGCTTCTTATCCCTATGGCAGTTACATCTCGACTCTCTGTGTTTCTCCTACCCAGAGTCCTCCTGGACTCCTAGTCCCACCTATGTTGCTGCCCTATTGACCAACAGTGCTTTATTGACATATACATAGGACTTCCACATCATCTCCTTTTTTCTGTCTAAACAAAAAGAAAGGTCTTAACTTTAACATAGTCAAATTATATATAACAGGACAGCTATCAAGCAAGAACACAGTTGCAATACTTGGTCTATCAACATTCAGTAAGATTTAAAGAAAATATTATCCATCCTATCCTTGTGAGTCCAAAGTTCTATATGTAGCTTATCTTTGATCAGAACTAAGGAAAACTATAACTATAACTATCTGTCTTCAACTCCATCAAAGACCACAGAAGGATAACATATAAACACTAGGACTGACAGAGACATCTTGCTGCCTGGATAGTCACCTGAAGTTCCTCTGTAATGTTGGGGCATCCATCTTCAGCCCATAGGCCACAGTGTGTCTGAATGACTTTTCAGCAAAGCAGGAAATTTCAAACTGTCCATCTGCATTGGCAATTTGTCAGTCATTTTTCTGTGTCCTGTAGAAAGTCTCGTAGACTCTTCCATGAAGCAGGAACCCTGAAGGACTGTTTGAGTTCAGCAGTCACTTTCCTGTGGGTCCTGCATGTCCAGATTATACATCAACAGTCAAGCAGTCTAGGCAAGAGCAGTTTCTTGCCCAAATGGCTAATCTTGCCATGTTGAAAGCAAACTCCATAACGAGTTTCTTCGATGCCCATCTCATACGTAATTGGTGCTGCCAGGAGCAGACATTTCTCATTGTCAAGAAAAACCCTAAACCATTTTAAATGCCATTTTCTGAAGGTCTTTGAAAGGTTTGAAGACTGTCTATCTATCTCAAATATATCTCTGTATATCTAGAAAGCCTAACTAACCTAACTATAAGTTCTGACTATTATAAGTAACTATCTATAGTCTGTATTTAATTATGCATTAAGTTTTAAAAGATCAGTATAAGCACAATACTTAATCAAAAGGAGAAATATGAGCATCACAAAATTGACCTTGAATTTGTATCAATAAATGAAAAACCATACCAATACAAAGTACTCATTTACATACCATAATCCCCTTTTTCCTTTAAAAAGAGATTTGTTGTGATCATTAACCAATTATAAACAACCCCATTCAAATGAAAACAAAGATTTATAAACAATATGGGGATTTGGACGTCACTCATTCCAAACTGCTTCGTGCTGGATGGGGGCGCTGTTCATACCATGGGGATCATGACAAAACTCAGAAACCTGTATAAGTCCTTATTTTAGGGTCTGTAAAGCTCCATAATCTCAGCTGTTTTAGATGTTGAATCACTTGGGCCATTGCTTCCGGGGGTCTTGGTTCATCAAACCACAAAAGCCTAGAAGGAATCCACAGCTTTCCATTTTCTGTAGAAACATAAACAAAAACTCTTTTCCAAAGTAACATATCTTTATACTTAAATTTTGAAGTCAAGGCATTTTCAAAAGATATAAGTTGAATTAATTCAGCAGCATTTATAATCAAGTGTACTTCAGTAGTTGTTCCTTCCTTAGCAATAAAAAAACTGAAAAACACAATAGCGTATAGTATCCAGACTTTCTGTGTATTTTCCATCTTTATGTGGCATATTTATTTATCTATTATTACTTTATTTCTTTTACTTTTATTTCTTTATTTATTTCTCCGAGGCAGAGTTTCTCTTTGGAAATCTGCCTGCCTCTGCCTCTGCAGCAAATCCTACCGGCTTGTGCCACCACATCCGACTTCTCGTTCTTTTTCTCTCTTAATTCTATGTATATTTTTAAACACACTGTAAACCTTTAGAGGTTTTTCTTAATCCAAGTCTGACTTTACTGTAAATCTTTATGTTTTTCTGGCCACGTGTCTTATCTGTTAAAACCGCGGCTGTTTAAACTGCAGTTTTTCCAAGATGGCGGCGTAAGTGTGATTCCAGCTCACTGTCTCAGTCTATGCTGACATCCAGCAAAAGCTGCTGGCTTGGAGATGTGGTCACTGCCACTTCCAGCTGTATGTACACACCTTTCAATCGTTAGCAGAGCCTCTTAAAAGAACCTTGATGGTTTTTTGTTTGTTTGTTTTATGCTGAGTCAGGAAGACTCCCTTAAGCGAGCTGCGGTGTGAGTCTCTGCTTGTCCCTAGCAAAACAGAGCCCACCTGAGAAAAATGCTGCTATAAGAACCCATGCTTTTCTCCGTTCTTTTGTTTCTAAAATTCCTTTAAAGCTTTTGTCGTTCTACGTGGAAATTCATGATCCCACTCCTGATCACCATTGTAAAGAGAGGCTTTTCCTTGACAGCTGCTTTGATTTTTCTCCGCCAGTCGCCTGGCCTCTGCGGCACTGTAGTCCCCAAATAACACACAAGACACTATTAATTATGAAGCTGTTGGCCTTGCTTGTTTCTTACTGGCTAGCTCTGACTTAAGTATTTATCCCATAATTGTTAATCTAAGTATTTCTCTTACCAGAGAAAAGTTCCGGACATCTTATTTCTCTGGCAGGCTATATCGTGACTCCCTGTGTTTCTCCTACCCAGAGTCCTCCTGGACTCCTAGTCCCACCTATATTGCTTCCCTATTGGCCAACAGTGCTTTATTGACATATACACAGGACTTCCCCCATAAAGTGAGGACTACTCCTGCCTTACCTGATTTACCTACAGCACAGTTTGTTAGCTAAGGTCTTTTCTATCTTATAATGGTTTCTAGGCCGAAATTCTTACCGTTAGTTACTTACTTCCATAGTCATCACTTTCTGTGTTAGACTTTCCCATCAAAAAGACAAACCCTGTTTCCTCCCTCCCTGCTCCGTGTGTGTGTGTATGTGTGTGGTATATGTGTATGTGTCTTGTGATGTATGTGTACGTATATGTGTGTATGTGTGTATACATGTGTGCATGTGTTTATGTATGTGTGTGGTATATGTGTATGTATGAGTGTATATGTGTGTGTATGACTGTGTGTGTGTATAAGTGGTGTGGTGTGTATATGTGTGTGTATGGTGTGTGTATGTATGTGTGGTGTGTATGGGTGTGTATGGTATGTGTATGCATGTATATGTGTGTGGGATGTATGTGAGGGGTGTGTGTATGTGTGTATGATTGTATATGTATGTGTGTGTATGTATGTATATATGTGTGTGGTATATGTCTGTGGTGTGTATGTATGTATATGTGTGTGTGGTATGTGTATGTGTGTGTGTGGTGTGTGTGTGTGTGTGTGTGTGGTGTATGTTATACAAACTAAATGCATGTTCCTCCACTGAGCTACTTGCATATTCAGCACAAGATTTCACATTCCATCCTTCTGTTTTCCTGCTATCTGTGGCTGAATGGTAGTATCTGGAAGTGACCTTTTGGTCTTTTGTAAATTCTGAAATTATTTCAGTAGTTTGAGCTACTGTTGTGTTGATTTTCATAAGGTCTTTTTGAAGACCTCCAGAAAGGAAGTTATCCTAAGACTTATAATTGTTTGCACAAATGTGATGAAAACTGAAGTTGGGGTGTAAATGAACCCACCAGCATAGGAAAGGACAAGTGGCCTCAGAGAGGAATCTAGGGGATCTAGAAATTTATCACTAAGGGTAACAAGCTTAGTGCACATCTGGGCACTATACTGTATTCAAGAAATGTTCACACAGTTTGGGATATTATGCTAAGCCTACTGAGAAGTTGCCAACTATATCTACAGTTTTGAATATCAATACAAATCGTTCTCAACTTGTCTTATATTAAAAATGCAACATGATTATGTTTTTCAGAGTCAGTTATTTCATAGTTTCACATAAAAAACTAGATGGAGACATCTGTACCCATTGATCTGACAGTTCAAAAACCACATGTGGACAAGAAAGAACGCAAGCCAAGACAAAGGTAAAAATAAAATATACTAAAATGAGGTTTGTTTGTATTTTTCTAAAGTAAAATTTCAACAGTACAGCTCCCAGGATGCCGTGGGGGCATGTAGCTCAGGTGATAGAGTGCTTGCTTCTCTATCATGCTTGAAACCCTGGCTCAGGCCCCAGCATTAACCTGACATGGGACACATGACCATTAATTCATTCCAATACTCTGGAGGTAGAGGCAGAACGATCAGAACTTCAAGACTATTTTTAGTTGCATATTGGGTTTAAGTAGTCTAGTCTAGGCCGCATTAGATTCACTTCAAAAACAGCCAACCTTAAATGTTAGGTGTGGGGAGGACAGTGGGGGGAAATGAGAACAAGATATAATGACACATGTGCATGAAAATGCCATGATAAAATCCATTAGCTTGTCCTCTAACTTAAAAGTCAATTTTAAAATGTCATGTGAAGATTTATGGAGGGTTCTGGAGTTCAGAAAACTTTGGAGTGACCCAAGTAACACCATCTAGGGTTGATCTTACCCTGAGTTCACCTTGTGCCTGCTCAGGTGTTCTTTCAGCCCTAGCCCACTGCTGAATATTAATTAAATTATTAAAGATAAGCAATGCGTGGCCTTGAGGAAGGTTTCATAACATGAGGGAAATTCTAACAAAGCAAAGAAGTGTGGAAGGAACAGACTACATAAAATTGACATAAAAGTTCAGCAGCAATCTCAAAGCTCTCATAAGACAAGCTGAGAAATAGTCAACTTTTAGAAATTAAAAATACCCAACATTTTTAGAAATGGAAATAACGCTTGGAAATTAAAATATAATATCAAGCTAGGGCATGGAGGTACATACCTTAATCCCAGCACTCAGGAGGCAGAGGCAGAAGGACCTAAATAAATAAAGTAAAAACAAAGTATCAGAAATATAGTAGAGGTAGGAAAAATAGGATTGGAAGGGGAATGCATAGTTAACAAAATAAAATAGTCTCAACAAATCTAAAGTATGTTTCTAATAATAACAAATAAACAAGACAAAAGATATGTACAATCTGAAAGGAAACTAGTTTAAAGTAATTTTGAAAATGTCAAACTGGATACAGCTAAAATGCATGTTGTGGAAACATCCTGAAAAGCATAAGAACATACCAGTAGATGAAAAAGAAAAGGATGGGAGAACATGTAAGACAAAGACATTATTGAAGTATCAAGAGGAAATACTATCTGCCAGTCAAGACATCTCTAAAGTAAAAGCATAAGCAAAGGTGAAAAGCTTGAGTTTATGGTTAAAACATTTATGCTTAGAATATTCACATCAAAGCCAGGCACAGTGGTGTGTGCCTGTCATCCCAGTGCTTGGGAGGCAGAAACAGGAGGATTGCCACCAAATTGAGGCCAGCCCAGTCTGCATAGTGACTCAGTCTCAAAATACCACACACACACACACACACACACACACACACACACACACACACACACACACACCCCAATTATGTTGGCAACAACTGTTCCAAATAGGTCTATTTGAAGCAAAAAATGACAAAATAAAGGAAAAAAATCAACATTTACCATTTAAATAAGTCACTCCCCTTAACTGACAGATCAGGCATCAAAGCTACTGATAATATAGAAGATAGAAACAACCAATTTAGTATCCTGATTTTAAGTAGATGGAGACACAGAAAGGGTTAGTTGTCCCCAACAACTGCAGGATACAAATTCTCTACCACTTTGTGTGAAACAATTACAAAATGAGCATAGAAAGTCATACAACCCTTTTAACAAAGTTTTAAAATTTTAGTAAACATGATACAGTAATTACATTGTATGTCAGGAACAAGTTAACTAGGAAAACCCCCAATTAGAAATTACTCATTAAAAAAACATTCTTCTGAAAATAAAATCCAAAACCATCTTGTGAGGGAAACGGTGGAGGTACTAATTAATGGTCCTCTGACGGTTGTATATTCATAAGGCAGGGTGAGTGGGTGGGATCAGAGCCATACCCTTATACTGTTCTTTCATGAATTAAGGCATGGATTAAAAGACTGTGAAAAGCAAAACTTTAAAACCATTAGGAAAACATGTAAGAGTTTTGTAATCATCTTGGGTAAGGATAGAGTTCCTAAAAATTCAAAACAAACCATAAAGGTCAAGATAAGTCAGTTCTACTGAAGCCAAGAACTTTGTTACAGTATTTTTAAAAATGTGAACGTCCAACTCCGCTGTATAAAGAGACCAAGGATTACTGTTCAAAGTTCAAAAATAATAGACAAAAGGTTCCAGGCAGATGTTCCGATGAAGAGGCAACATTTAAAGACATTTCTAACAAAATGGGGACTCACGGAGTGCTCAGGGGGAAAGGCTATAGAAATACCTGATAACATGCCCATAAGTAAGCTCACAGGAGCTTTCTTCCTTGTGTTACATTTCTGTTTAATATGACAATAGACCCATTTCCACCCAAATGTGAGAAATAGGTTTATAAGGTTTCACTGAACCCCAAATTTCTTCTGTCTTATAAGTTTGTCTACTGCAAAAGTCAGTTGTAGTCACTGATTTTGGATTCTAGCATAAGGTCTTTTCCAACATTTATAATCAATTTGGATGGGCTATTTGTTGTTCTCTTCACGGAATTTCAGGTAACTTTCTCCGGCACTAACCTAATAGGTGGCAGAGAAAATGCAGTCAAGTTTTAAACTTTCAATAATAATGTATAATATTTATTATTTTGCGCTGAAACCTGTTAGACCCATTCAGCATTAATTATTTTTATGTAAATGTTTCAGTTTTGCATTTCAAACAGCTAACAAAACACTGCTTGAGAGGGCAGATGTATTGCAGTTATAGAGCACGAAGCAAATATTAATCTTGTTACAGTGTTAGCCATGTCATCTGTTAACCTATGTTAGTTACAGCTGTGGGGTTTGAGATAGTGTACAGACATTCTTCTTATTGTTGTTATTTTTCTTTGACATCTTAGACGTTTAAGACCTAACGATCAAAGCAGCAAAGATGGTACGCCACCAGAGAGCCAATCGGCTGACGTCACGGCAAAGCGAAGCTCATCCGGGTCCTTGAAATCAGAGGGAGCAGAGGGGATCTACCAAGATTACTACCCAGGCATGGCGTTTATACAGTCTTTCAAAATAGGAGCTTTGATGTCTATAATCCCGTAAGGCATAGCAGGTAGAAATGCCTCCAACTGTATTCTTAAAGGCATCATAATTTAAATACTGATACAGATAATGATAATGATAAAATAACAGGAATGCCCCCAGTACCACCAAGAATGCCTGACATCTCTAACCTCTTTATAATGTGATCATTGTGAATTATAAGACCTTAAAATGCATCAGTATTTTCTTAGGTCTTCACTTATTTCTGGTTGATTTATCATACATACACAGATACACACACACACACACACACACACACACACACACACACACACACGCACGCACTGGCCCATGACCACTAGTGTCGTGATGGTTCTATATGCCTCCCTTTTAAGTCTTCCTTTGTCTTTGTTCAAACTCTACCACATCCAGGGTGTCTCTGTGGAGCCAAAGTTACAAGCTAACTGAGGGACCAAGAAATTGGATTCCAGTGAAATGTTGGAGTGTATGATGTAGCAAAACGCCAGGAACTTCAAAGGAGTAGGATTTTATTTTTATTTTTACAGGGTACAAATTGTTTTGGAAGTGGTGAGTGGTGAGTGATAAGGAAAACAAACCCACTTTCCAATCTGGGCTCTGTGGAGCATGAGACTATAAACAGCGGCCATTTGAGAGTGTGTCCTTAGGGAATAACCACGTTGTACAACTCTGTCTCCTACAACCAGTCCAGGAAAACCAACATTCTCTTGTTGACCATCGCCTGAGCGATGATTTTGCTGTTTTGTGGTTCTCTCCTCCTTAGCTTCTTACTCCAAAGTTCAAAATCTCACCATCTCTCAACATTTGCAAAGGATGAACCTATGAGTTTCTTCTGGCAGACAAGGTGCCTCAAGTGGGACTAAGGGCTGCCATGGGACTTGATGACATGTACTGGTCTCAACTACACTCATTTGTTTTGTTGGCAGTTAAGGCGTTTTGTCACCAACTAGGTTGTAGCTTTGCCCCATAAATATTTCGTTAAATGTGAACAAACAAATAAAATTGCTTCTAAAGAGTCCTATTGTCAGTAATTTCCCCGTCTTCTGTCTGTAGCCCACCAGTTAGGTAGGCCATAGAAGTATGAGCAATGCCCTTTTTATTCGTCTGCATTGGTTGTTAAATATATTCTGTGCTAGTCCCAAGTTAAAGTTAATTAAGAGATTTACGTCTGATGAGTATTCATGCATACTCTAAAGATATGTTATCATCATAAAATGGCCAAGCAGAGGACAGTCACCTTAGCAAGGACTTTAATGGTGGTAACTAATGCCATCCTTACTAGTGTCTTTGGTTCTGACTTTAATAATAGTGGGGTGTGGATGATGGAAAGGATGAGATCATTCTGAGAAATTGTCACTGTCTTTAACCTCTATTCCAAGAGGCCCTCACACCTCCCTGGCAGATGCCCTCTAGGCAAGGGCAGCGACTATAACCCTCCCACCCTCTGCATCCTCATCTCAAAGGTGGAGAAGGGACAGCAGGCATGCAACCAGCAGAGGAAGGCAGCCAGAAGAGTATCACGTGGTCCTGAGAACCCAGGCACACTGGCACAGCATGTACTCTTAGTGCCGCATATGATAGCTTGGTATGTGAAACTACTGTGGCATTTCTAGAACTCATAGTAGATACTCAGTTCATGTTTTTTCTCACAGATTACCTTAAAGAAAGGTTCGGTCAACAATGTGCAGTGACTTCAAAATCAGTTTTCCCCGAGAGAAGGACATCAAAAGAAAAACAGGAACAAATTTCTACTAATATAAAACCGAAGAAAGTCCGGCTTCTATCATACGACAGGACAGGTACGCCACATTCGTGCACCAGCTTGTAGGAAGCAACACACACTTGCAAGCTTTTCCGTGCTTGTGTTGGACACTGACTTTGTGGAAAAGAAAAAGGCTGGTTGAGTCTTCCATGTTTGGTATCTTAAAGAATTGCTAATTTTTCAATTATTTTTGAAACTTACAAAACATTAAAATTAACAAGGTATTCGGTGATTATGTTTTTTTCATCTTTTTTATTTTTCAGTTTAAATTTAGACATGATTATGTTCTTACTGAAGATACTCTCAGATTATAGTTTTAGAACTCCATGCAAGATAAATTATAGCTTTGTTTTGTGCTTCCAGTAAATTTTATACGGGTGTATGTATGTGTGGGGGGAGAAGGGTTTATCACAGGGCCTTGCACATGCTTCACAAGTGCTCTACCACCTAGTTTGTATGTGTTATGTATGTATATGTATATGTATGTGTATGTGTGTGTATATATATATGTATGTGTATGTATATGTATGTATGTATATGTAGATTGTATATGTATGTGTATATATATATGTATGTATATGTAGGTGTATGTATGTGTATGTACATGTATGTATATATGTGTGTGTGTATGTGTGTATGTATATGTGTATATGTATATGTGTGCATGTATGTATGTATGTATATGTATGAGTATGTGCATGTATGTGTATGTGTGTATGTATATGTGTGCATGTGCATGTATGTATATGTATGAGTATGTGCATGTATGTGTATGTGTGTATGTATATGTGTGCATGTGCATGTATGTATATGTATGTGTATGTGTACCTGGTTAGATTTGAGATTTATATCTTTGTCTGATACAAAGATTTAAATGTCCAAATAGTTAAACATGTTTTCCCATGAACATTTTGACACTTTGTTTAAACTTGAAATCACTATTTTAATATCATGAGTTTTATAAAGGAAACTTTCCCGTTTCTTACTGGAACACCAGAGATCGATTTATCATCAGAATCCCTTATTCACACAGGAACATCCAGGTTTCTCGATATCTCAGCGGAAACCCCACATCCGTGCAGTATTCAGCTTCCCTTGAGTGCCGGGGGTCCTAGGACTTGTGCTGATCAGTAGAATGATGGACTGTCTTCTCCTGGGGATGGTGCACTGTGACAAACTTTATCTTGTTAGCAGACTTATTGTAGTCTCTCTTGCTGGGTTTAAGGAGACATTGGACACTTTTCATCTTAGTTCTGATGCTGTTTTATAAAATAGCACAAGTTCCATTTAATTCTTTTTTCCCTCAATATATGTTTTTTTTTATTGTCTTTTTTTTTCCAGTTTAAATTTAGATAAGAAACGAGGTTGCTTCACAAGTCAGTTCCAGGTCCCTCTCCCATTCCCTCCCCTCCTCCCGTGCCCTCCCCCAACCCCCCCCCCGTTATCCCCTCATTCCCCCAGGGAGGGTGAGGCCCTCCATGGGGGTGTCCATAGTCTGTCATTTCATATAGGGCAGGGCCTAGACCCTTCCCCAAGAGTTCAGGGTGCAAGTGCACCTCACATTGTTCTATGGGAGTCCAAAGTCAGTGTGTATACTTGGGATGGGTACTGATCTGCTGCCCAAGGCTCAATAGATTTCCTTGGCCTCCTCACTGACATCAAGATTCAGGGGGTCTTGATCAGTCCCATGCTGGATTCCCAGGCTGATGCCTGGGATTCAAGAGTTAACCTTTGTCTGGTCAGCTGTTTCTGGGGGTTAAACCAGCCCAGTCTTAATCCCTTTGATCATCAGTCCTCCCTCTCTGTTACTGGCTTTCTTGAGTTCAGCTCAGTACTTAACCAAGGGAGTCTGCCTCTTCTTCGATCAGCCACTAAATGAAGTTTCTGTTTCCTAGACTCTCTGGCCATAGGATTGTAGGCTGGCACTCCCCAGATCTATGTCTAAAATCCATATATGAGAGAGTACATGCCATGTTTCTCTTTTTGTGACTGGGTTACCTCACTCAGGATGGTTTCTTCTAGTGTCATCCATTTGCCTGCGAATCTCATGATTCCATTATTTTTTTCTGCTGAATAGTACTCCATTGTGTAGATGTACCACATTTTCTCTATCCACTCTTCGGGTGAGGGACATCTAGGTTGCTTCCAAGTTCTGGCTATTACAAATAAAGCTGCTATGAACATAGTGGAACAGACCTCTTTGTTGTATGAATGGGCATCTTTTGGATATATGCCTAAGAGTAGAGTTGCTGGGTCTTGTGGTAGGTCTATTCCCATTTTCTGAGGAATCTCCATACTGATTTCCAAAGTGGCTGAACCAGTTGGCACTCCCACCAGCAATGGAGGAGTGTCCCCCTTTCACCACATCCTCTCCAGCATAAATTGTCATTGGTGTTTTTGATTTTAGCCATTCTGACAGGAGTGAGATGGTATCTCAGAGTTGTTTTGATTTGCATTTCCCAGATGGCTAAGGATGTTGAGCACTTTCTCAAGTGCCTCTCAGCCATTTTAGACTCCTCTATTGAAAACTCTCTATTTAGTTCTGCAGCCCACTTTTTAATAGGGTCCTTTGGTGTTTTGGAGACTTGCTTCTTGAGTTCTTTGTAAATTTTGGAGATCAACCCTCTGTCAGATGTGGGATTAGTGAATATTTTTTCCCATTCTGTGGGCTGCCTTTTTGTCTTGCTGACTGTGTCCTTTGCCTTACAGAAGCTTCTCAGTTTCAGTAGGTCCCATTTATTAATTGTTGATCTCACTGTCTGTGCTACTGGTGTTATGTTCAGGAAGCTGTCTCCTGTACCAATTCGTTCAAGGGTACCACCCACTTTCTCTTCTAAGAGGTTCAGTGTGGCTGGATTTATGTTGAGGTCTTTGATCCATTTGGACTTAAGTTTTGTGCATGGCGATAAACATGGATCAATCCTCATTCTTCTACATGCCAGTCTCCAATTATGCCAGCACCATTTGTTGAAGATGCTTTCTTTATTCCATTGTATATTTTTAGCTTCTTTGTCAAAGATCAGATGTTCGTACGTGTGTGGGTTAATACCCGGGTTTTCAATTCGATTCCATTGGTCTACCTGTCTATTTTTGTGCCAATACCAAGCTGTTTTCAGGACTATAGCTCAGCAATATATGTTTTTATTTAAATTAGAAACATGAATGCTTCACATGTCAATCCCAGCTCCCTCTCCCACCCCTCCTCCCTTGTCCCTCCACTGGTCCCCTCTAACCCCCCACTCAATCCCCATATCATTCCCCAGGGAGAATAAGGCCCTCCTGGGGGAATCTCCAGAGTCTGTCATTTCATCCAGGGCAGGACCTAGGATGTTCCTGTGTGAATAAGGGGTTCTGATGATAAATTGATCTCTGGTGTTCCAGTAAGAAACGGGAAAGTTTCCTTTATAAAACTCATGATATTAAAATGGTGATTTCAAGTATAAAGAAAGTGTCAAAATGTTCATGGGAAAATGTGTCTAACTATTTGGACATGTAAATCTTTGTATCAGACAAAGATATAAATCTCAAATCTAACCAGGTGTGGTAGCGCAGACCTGTAATTCCAGAGGCTGAGAGAGCATCCCTCCATGTGGAATGGGCTCCCAAAGTTCATTCGTAGGCCATGGTAAACACTGATTTACTACCCAAGGCCCCAGTGATTTCTGAGGCCTCCTCACTGACACTACATTCATGGAGTCTGGATTAGTCCCTGTTGGCCTCTCAGCCATCAGCCATCAAGAGTCCCCCCTTGCCTGGTCAGCTGTCTTTGTTGGTTTCACCAGCATGGTCTTGACCCCTTTGCTCATCACTCCTCCATCTCTGTCACTGGGTTCCAGGAGTTTAGTTCAGTGTTTAGCTGTGGGTATCTGTCTCTGCTTCCATCAGTCACTGGATGAAGGTTCTAGGATGATGGCATATAAGGTTGTCATCAACCTTATCATCAAAGAGGGTCTATTAATGTAGTCTCTCCACTATTGCTTAGTTTGCCAGTTGGTGTTATCCTTGTACATTTCTGGAAATCTCACTAGTGTCAGCTCTCTCCTCAAACCTATAATGACTCGATCTATCCTTCTCTCCTCTATTCTTACCTCGACTCAACCTTCCTGCTCCCCCATGCCTCCTCTTCTCCCCCTCTCTTTTTCCTGGTTCCCTCTCCCCTCCCCTGATGTTCCCAATCTGCTCAGGAGATCTTGCCTCATTCCACTTCTCTGGGGTATCATGGGTCTCTCTTGGGAACCTCCAAGTTTCCCAGACTCACTGGCACTGGGATTGTAGGCTGACACTCCCCTGATCCATATCTAAAATCCATATATGAGTCAGTACATACCATGTTTATCTTTTTGTGACTGGGTTACCTCACTCAGGATAATTTCTTCTAGTGCCATCCATTTGCCTGCAAATTTCAAGATTCCATTGTTTTTTTTTCTGCTGAGTAGTACTCCATTGTGTAAATGTACCACATTTTCTCTATCCACTCTTCAGTTGTGGGGCATCTAGGTTGCTTCCAGGTTCTGGCTATTACATATAATGTTGCTATGAACATAGTGGAACAGACGTCCTTGTTGTGTGATTGGGCATCTTTTGGGTATATGCCTAAGAGTGGAATTGCTGGGTTGTGTGGTAGATTGATTCCCATTTTTCTGAGGAATCTCCATACTGATTTCCAAAGTGGGTGTACAAGTTTGCACTCCCACCAGCAATGGAGGAGTGTTCCCCTCTCTCCACATCCTCTCCAGCATAAACTGTCATTGGTGTTTTTTATTTTAGCCATTCTGACAGGAGTAAAATGATATCTCAGAGTTGTTTTGATTTGCATGTCCCTGATTGTTAGGGATGTTGAGCGCTTTCTTAAGTGTCTCTCAGCCATTTTATACTCCTCAATTGAGAATTCTCTATTTATTTAGTTCAGTCCCCCACTTTTTAATTGGATCCTTTGGTGTTTTGGAGACTTGCTTCTTGAGTTCTTTGTAAATTTTGGAGATCAGCCCTCTGTCAGATGTGGAGAAATTAAAGACTTCCTAGAATTCAATGAGAATGAAGACACAACATACCCAAACTTATGGGACACTTTGAAAGCAGTGCTTAGAGGAGAGTTCATAGCACTAAGTGCCCACATGAAGAAACTGGAGAATAGTCACACTAGAGAATTGACAGCACAACTGGAAGCTCTAGAACAAAAGGAAGCAAACTCACCCCAAAGAAGCAGATGCCAGGAAATAATTAAATTGAGGGCTGAACTCAATAAAGTAGAAACTAGGAAAATGATACAAAGAATCAATGTAACAAAAAGTTGGTATTTTGAGAAAATCAACAAGATAAACCTTTGTCCAAATTTACCAAACAGGAGAGTGTGAACATGCAAATTAACAAAATCAGAAATGAAAAGGGGGACATAGCAACAGACAGTGAGGAAATCCAGAGAATCATCAGGTCATACATTGAAAACATGTACTCCACAAAATTTGAAAATTTAAAGGAAATGAACAATTTTCTGTATAGATATCACCTACCAAAATTAAATCAAGAACAGATAAGCAATTTAAATAGTCCTATAACACCAAAGGAAATAGAAGCAGTCATCAAAAGTTTCCCAACAAAAAAAGCCCAGGGCCAGATGGCTTCAGTGCAGAATTTTACCAGCAATTCAAAGAACATGTTATACCAATTCTCCTCAAAGTGTTCCATGAAATAGAAGCAGAAGGGTCTTTGCCAAACTCTTTTTATGAGGCTTCAATAACCTTGATACCCAAGCCACACAGACACAACCAAGAAAGAGAACTCCAGACCAATATTCCTCATGAACATTGATGCATTTGATTCTTAGCAAAGACATTGTTTTGTCCACATGCTGAGCGGGACCTCTGGTAGGCCTGAGAAACAGAGGAGCGCTTTAGGGTTGCTGGCACGCCGGCCTCGAGTGCTTTCCTAAAGCCGGGTGGTTTGCTCTGCTGTTTAATAAGGGACTTCCGCATCACAGAGTAAGCAGTCACTGAAGAGGAGGAAACACTTTCAAACTGTTCACTGGACAGGGGGTCAATTTGCAAAATATACAAGGGATAAACAGACCTCAGGGGCCATCTGCCAGTTAACAAAGGGGCAGCTGTCTGAGTAGTCACAACAAAAGGCATAAAAGTACAAACAAATGTGTGGAAATTGTTACATATCACTAACGATCAGGGGAGTTTACATAAGAAACAGCAGGAGAGACCACTGCACACCAGTCAGAACAGTGGAATAATCAGAAAACCTGAGAAGGATGCAGAGAAAAGGAAAGTCACACCTTGCTGACGGGAGTGTACGTTTATACAGTAATGGTAAAGCCTAACCCACAGGGAAAAGAAGGGAGCATGAGTTGAAGAGCTTGACATTCTCTGAAGATCCACAGGGGAGTTTGAAGATTCTCTACACAGAGAAGTGTTTAACCAGAGGGACCTGGTAACAACTGCTCTGATTATGGTAATGACAGATCTGATATGTCACATACATGTATTATCACATTTTACACTTTGAGACTTAATTTAAAAACCCGAAAAAAAAGTATAAAATGAAGTTTAAGGGGTAGTCTGCATAACATGGGCAGTAGAAGCAATAACAAAACGCATAGATGGCGTGAAGACGTACAAAATTACCAGCTACCTGCAAAGAGATGTGGTTTGTGAGGAGTTTAGGGAGTGACTGTCCTTAGGAAGGGTGCTCCACCCACATTGCTTTCTCAGATCCTATCTCTTCTGATCTTCTTATGCCTTAATTTAGAAAGGCCCTGAATGGCCCTGATCTAGTATTTCCTGTGGCTTACGATCTGTGGTCAAGTAATTAAACCCTTTGTGACACCTGTCTGTCTGTCCATCTGCCTTTCTTTCTTGGCACTACTCATGGTTTGCAAAATATTTTCTTATCCACAAGTCCACTTCAGTTTTGGAACACATTTCAAGCAAAGTAAAAAATGAATACAAACACTGCATACGTTAGCCCTAAAGATCTATCGGATAGGCCCCTAGCAAGAGTTTCATGTTCATATGTAGTTATTTCCCCCTTCCTTGATGTGTGTTTGTGCTGCATGTATGCACATGCTTATGTGGGTGTGTGCATGTGTGCAGATGGGTGCATGTGCACATGTGTGTGCAAGTTGTGATACATTTCTTAAGTAGACAAATGCTGGGTTTCCTTTTGACCTCCTGTTAGTTTAACCCTATTGTTTCTTCTTTAATTGCATAATATCTATGTTAACTTCTACAACTTACCATTTAATTTTTACTTATGGATGATACCTATACTCTGCACTTATATTGCACTTTAACATTTTTCCCACCAGAACCAGAAGAGACTGATGCCATAAGGCATATTATTAGGCTAAGAGAAAGGCTCCAATGGAAAACCCCGTTATTTCTGCATAGTTTGGACTATAGCCCTAAGACTGTCCTTCAGCATCGCAGCCTAAAGGTGTGATTCTGTCTTACATAATTATCTGAGCTTTTATTAATTCTTTGTAGATATCACATCAAAGTTCATTAATAGCAAATTGCAATAATTGTTGGCAAACATTAAAAAACTCAATTTATTTTACCTACTTAAAGAGTAAAGATAAAGCATAATAGTTTTGTCTCTAACACATCCCTCCACTGTCCCCCATTGCTTCCACTCACCCATTGGATTTACAGGAAAGTGCCCCTTTTGCTTAAATTGGATTCTACTTTTGGGTGTCTGTGTATGTCACTTGGTAATTTTAAAAAAGAAATTAAAGGAATTTATCTAAGAAACTTACCAGAAATTCATATTCTCATCTGCACACTAGACCAACTGAATAAGAGACTGTGAAAGTGGGGCTAGCTGTCTGTTTTCTCAGCAAACTCCTGCTTAACTAAGAACCACTGTTCCAAACCCTGGGGTTATGTTTTTGCCCATTCGAGGGCCATATAACAAATATCTTAGTCTTCATGGGTCATATGAGCTCTGTTGCAAGGAAGCACTCATCCTGTTGCTGTGCACAAGACTGTTGGTACACGGTACACAACAAATGGATATCCCTATACATCAGTAACACTTTATTTATAAAAACAGGCCCAGGCATAGTTTGCCAATCCCTGCCCTAGATGGTTGCTCTAAGGACAAAATGTCTTTGATTATTGTTCATAGTCAGTGTAAGGTGGCTGGAAGCTCATTCATAAATTGGATTCATGTAGTTTGGAATCTCTGTTCACTCATTATTTTGTCTTAGGCAAGTTTCTACCCTCTCTGAGCTTTATAGTTTCTTTGACCTTGAAATTGAGATAATGGGAATTACGTTAGAGAGTTGTGAAGGTTAAATGGAAAAATATTGTGCTACAGGATCAAGTGGATTATAGACATGGTGTTTGAAAGCACAAAGTAAAACTCTAGCTGTGCATGGGTGCTTTGGATCTTTGAGTAAATTGTACTTAATTTGTAACTTGATAATTATATCTACACCAAGCTTCTAATAACCTTAGAAAATAGAATTAAAACAAAAGTGTCGTAATTGGCAAAAATACTACAATAAAGCTCATCGCTCTGCTAGTCACTCGGGTTATCTCATTTCCTCTTATTTTTAGGATTTAAGTCTATTTTTGAAGATTTCTTATAATCAGAGGTTATAATCAGAGTCAAAATTCAAAAAAAAGCAAATGACTACAACCATGGAAACACTCTTCATGAAAGAAAAATGTAAAATCTATAAAACTGAATCCAAAGTTTAAGACCACAGTAACTGAAAACAGTTGAGTGCACTGGGTTCCATAGTTTCGATATATCACCACTTACTAAGTTAGACTTTCAATAAAATTACTGTGAGATTATTAAGTTCAATTTTGTATATTTTTTAAAAGTTTCTATTGATAAAAGTGCACATTTCAAAGCTAAGAGAAGATAGCTTTAAAATGTATACTTTACATTTTCTCAATTTCAGTGGACACTAGCCAATTTCTCAATACTTCCAAGTAAATGAGACAAAACCTTTAGTGCTTACCTACTGCAGAAGCTCCGGGTGTGAATATAAAGTCACACTTGGACTCCATTTCCTACTTTGTTGCTTTATGAGTCTGTGGCCTTCCTCAAGTTAGGAGGTCTAGAAAAATATTAAAATTTCTGCATGTGCTTAAGTATATTTAAAAGCTTCAAGCCTCGGTCTCTTTAAAGTTGTCAGAGGCATCATTGTTCAGATAACACATGTGAAGCACTCACTGCCTGTTGTGTATTGCCTGCCCACCAAAGCTGCAGCCTCTAGCTGCAGAATACTGACCCCATCATGATCAGTGCAAATGGTAAGCTTGCTGTGTCCAGAATGGGATACAGCACACATACTCAGGGTCTATCATCGAGCTCATATCAAGTATGTGGGTAAATCCTTCCAAACGTCTCATCGCAGTATTGTGTCTTAACCCTTTCCTAAGACTGGTTTTATTGAATTTGAATTAGGCATGGTTTGAGGTTAATTTTCCTCACCAACGTCAAAATATCCTGTTTTAACATTGTATCCTCTGGGTCTGTCTAGTCATTTAATTAGCTACTTTAGTCAAAGTGTCTTCTTCTTCTGAGGAACCTTTGGAAGATGATGGTGAATTTATATACTGCCTTCCCCTGGAGAACAACAAAGGTGTCTTCAATGAGTATGACCTTCAAGCAGTCTCAGCCTACAAAGCGAAAAATTGCAAAGTATTTTGGATGGTTACTGCTTCGTTTGTATCGAAGGTAATGTAAAATACATATGCTCAGCTTTATAAGTTACCTCAGAAAATACTACCAGTTCAAGCCAAGTACAATGTACATACTTGCAATCCTAGCAGTGGGGAGACAGAAGCAGGACTGTAACCTTCAGTACACATAATAAGACTCCGCCAAAAAATAAGAAGAGAGGAAAATAAAAGTAACCAATTTAAGATTTATTTTAATGTATCAATTTTTTACTTATTTATAATTAAAATACAATTATGTCATTTCCCCCTTTCTCGCCTCCAACCCTTCCCATGTTCCATCTCTCAACTCCCTGGTGTTTTCCCTTACTTTCTCTCAAATTCATGACCTTACTCTTTATTGTCCTTTAATTCCCCCTCACTCAGTGGTTGTTAGGTGCCTAGCAATGTTTGTCTAGGTGTAAGGCCTAATGAGTATTCCTTGATGGTGGTATCCTTGTTCAGGTCTTGTTTTAGGTAGCTGTGTTTTTGCAGTATCATGGCTGTAAGCATCCCATACTCTCTCAGCAGACTTCCTGGTCCTCTGGCTCTTACAGTCTTTCCAGCCTCCTCCTCCACGATGCCCCTGAGCCTTAGGTTGGATGCGGGAGTTGTGCTGTAGATGTATCTACTGGCATGGGGCACCCCATGATCAGTTGGTCTCTGTGTTTTGACCGGCCATGGCTTTCTGTAATGGCCTCTGTTGGCTGCAAAGCGAGGCACCTTTGGTGTGGCGTGAGAGCTACACTAATCTATGGATATAAGGATAAGTATTTAGAGTGCATTTGGGAACTGTGCTGATCCACTCAGGTGTCTGTAGTAGCTTCTCTTCTATCCGTGACCTCCCTAGCCCTAGACATCTGGCTAGGTTTCCAGGACCGGTATGTTTTCTCTCCTGTTGATGGGCCTTAAGCCTAACTAGAGAGCTGTGCTTATCACTATGATATGAGTGCCACTCCTTCACCTTTAGGGAAATCGTGCCATCTGGTAACTGTGGCCCAGAGACACCACAGCCGGGTGGGACTGCTAATTGCTTGTCTCCTATAGCACCTTCTGGCACCGTGGAAGCTCGTCCTCCGGAGGAGGCTTTCAGGTCAGATCCAGCGCAGACCTTCTGAATCCTGTGTTTTCTTCACTAGGGACAGATCTCCAACCTTTGGGAGGAGACCAAGGACAACCGTGATGGCCCGTGTTGTATTGAGGGTCTCTTGAACTCCCCGGACCAACAGATGCCCTATGTCTCCTGGAGGGAGCACTGTCAGTCCAAGGGGCATAAAACTTATTTAAAGTGTGTGTGTGTATACACAAATGCTTATATGTAATTTATCTAATGTTAGGCACATATGAAACAATATGATTTATCTCTTTGTGGTTTAGAGAAACTCGGTCAATTTAAGAAGTTAATGTTTAAGAAACAGCTTGGAAGAAAATTATTTAATAACAAAATTTTTCTTCTTTTGGTACAGACTTAAGATTAAGGATTCAGTTGGAGGAGTTTTTCACTTCTTAAATCATTTAATAATTTTTTAAAGTAAAAGCTAGAAAACAGACATTTGTTGGTGTTATAGGAATGATAAATAATATTTATTTTGAGTGTGTGTGCACGTGTGTGTGCGTGTACACATGTGTGAGTGTGTGCACATGTGTGTGTGTGCACATGTGTGTAGAGCAGAGGACAAGCTTGGGTGTTCTTCAGGAGCCATCCACCTTGTCTTTTGCAACAGGAGAGACAGGCTCTCCCATTGGTCTGGAGCTCACCAAGTAAGCAGGCTGGCTGGCCAGCAAGCCCCAGGGATGCTCCCCTCCAGCCCCCCAGGGCTGGGATTGAAAGAGCTTGACACCACGTGCAGCTTTTTTATGTGGCCTCTGGGGTTGAATTCAGGTCTTCATGCTCATGTGACAGGCACTTTATCAGTGAAGAAATCTTTCCAGCTCCACAAAGAATACTTTTATTGGCATATTTGTCAGAAACTTCAGAGAAAGGTGTAGAAGAAATCTTCCCATTTAAATACTTAGCACTGTGATACCACAAAATACAATCAACCAGTTTTGATCATTCTTTAATAGCCATCTGTTTTCCTCTGCTCTCCCAATGATCCAACTAAAATCAACCCAGCTGTGTGCTCCAGCAAGACCACAAGCCTAGGACTTCGTGTGTGCGAGGCAGGCATCCTCAGCCATGTCACAAAGATTTATACAAAGTATGAAAATTTCGAGACAGAAAACTTGTCAGGTTGTTTGTAAAAATATCTCTGGATAGAGGGGAAGCTTTCCTATCCATCGTGTAGGAGCACAAGAAAGCAAGCAGGAGAGAATGCCAGGTGTAGCAGCCGAGTACGGAGGGAAGTCAGACCTGGGTATCCGTGCAGTGGATGAGGAACGGGGGGGGGGAGGGGGGTAAAAGGTGAATAGAGCCTCTCCAGTGTCTTGAGAGTAGAAGTCACAGTTTGTGCTTTGTAATTACAGATCACCAAAACAGGCACCAACACGGAGGAGGTGGAGCTGATTCCTACTCTGGACTGGCTTCTAGAAAGACATTTCTTCTGTTTACTTCAGCAGTTTAAGATATTTTCCAACTTCCGGTGAGATGGGCACAAAGGAAACTAATGCTTGGAAGTTTGGTTGCGTTGTAAGCACTGTTGCCCACCCCTCACAGCCCCCTGTGGCATCTGATCCCTCTAGAATGAGGCTGCTCATGGGGTGTTAAGGAGGATGGGGGTTCCACAAGTGTGTTATAGACTAGGGAACTTTAACCATGTAAGGACAATTTTTTTATTTTAGTCTTTTCTGGATAAAGGTTAAAAAAAACTGATGCTCTATTGTCAAACATAATTGAATAGTCTCTGTTGGTTTTACTTTTCCTTCATGCCTTTCGTATTAGTGAATACCTATTGAGCATCCAAGAGGAGTCTAGAATCATTCTAGATGCTCACAAACCAGTTAGCCTGCCCTTTAAATTTTTAAATTCTGATTTAAGGTGTGTGAGAGACAATAAACACGTGGTGATCATGTAGGATGCCCAGGGACTGAAAACGTTATGAAGGAAAACAGTGCAGAGTTAAAGCCCTAGGGCAGGTCACTGGACCGAATTCTTTCTTGAAACGTTCCCTAGCTGTGAGACACTTTACACCCACCTCATTGCAATAGGGTTTATACTGCTGCCTCTTTTATTGTTTTAAATAAATACACACATACATTTCACATCTGTTTAATTGTACACTGTTGCTATTTTACATCCTGGGCAGAGTTTCCCGTCCCTCCCCCATCTCTGCACCCCACCCCACATCCACTCCTCCCCGATTTCTGTTAAGAAGAGGGCAAACCTCCCATGCATATCAACAAAACATGGCCTATCAAGTTGCAGTAAGACTAAGCACCTCCCCTTGTATCAAGGCTGGGCAGGGCAACCCAGTGTGAGGAATAGGGTCCCACAAGGCTGTAAAAGAGTTGGAGACAGTCCCTGTCACCACTGTTAGGAGTCCCACGAGAAGGCCAAACTACACAACTGTCACATACATGCACAGGGTCTATCTAGGTCAGTCCCAGGCAGGCTCCTTGGTTGTCAGTTCAGACTCTGTAAGCTCCTGTGAGGCCAGGTTAATTGATTCTGTGAGTGTTCATGTGGAGTTCTTGACCCCTCTGATACCTACAGCTATGTCACATACAATCCACAGACCCAGAGAGACTAGGTAACAAGGAGGGTTCATGGGGGGATTCCCTGATCTCCCTGGGCAGGGGAAATAGTAGAGATTCTGTGAGTGGTGGTCTGAGGGGCAGGCAGGGATGGGAACATGAGCAATCAAGTTGGGGGGCAGAAGACTGGAGGGGCAGAGTACTGCGAGAGACCACTGGAAAGTGGGGGTGCATTTCGGGGTCATGTAGAAACCTGGCGCAAGGGAATCTCCCAGGAAATCTACAAGGATGACCCCAGCTAAGACTCCTAGCAATAGAGGATACATAGCCTGAACTGGCCGTCTCCAGTGACCAGATTATTACCTAGCCCAATTATCATCAAAGAGACTCCATCCAGCAAGAGATGGAAACAGATGCAGACCCAGAGCCAAACATCAGGCAGATTTTGGGGAATCCTGCAGAAGAGGGGGAAAAAGGATTGTAGGAGCCAGAGGGGTCAAGGACTATACTGTTGGTCTTTTAATGTTTGTACAACACCTGGTTTATTTTTTTTTCTGTTTTCTTTAATATCTACTTTTCCTTGTTGTCTACTGTTACTTGTCAAAGACAAAGAAAATATATAAATTATACATTTGCATAAACATATAAATATGTAATGTGTTAAATGTATCAATCAAACATATTTAAGTATGTGCGTCAAACCTAGCCACCTCTCACACGCAAGGCACATGCTCTTACACAGAGCTCCGTCCCAACCCGAGGTGAATAATACTGTAAATTGTTAGATGCTGCATGATAGCTTTACTAAGGATCTGAGGGGCTTTTAGGCAAGTGTACAAGACTTTGCCACAGACATGTCGCTCACTCATTGAGAAACATTTGCCACTTACCCGTTAATTGGTGTGAACCATGAAAAAATACACGTGTGTCTGCCTCATAGGACTTACGTATGAACGGGCAGAGCCAATGACCGAGTAAAGGGAAGCAAGGTAATGCCGACAGAAGGAGCATACGTCAGGGCTGATCTAAGGGGCCACTCCCTGCTGAGGGATGTCAGGCAAAGTGGCACTGAGCTGGTCCCACGGGGGCATAACAGAGAAGTTGAGGAAACTTGCAGAGGTACAGGCGGGTAGTCATGAATTAACTAACCAGACCCGGTAGGATAATAGGTGGTGTTTATTTGGGGAAAGAACTTAAACAGAAAACAAGCGACTGACTGTTGAGGCTGCATTCCTGCTCCAAGTATGCAGATCCTGCCTCCCAGATGCTCTGTGCAACCCTCAACCCCAAAGGGGACTTCCCAGTCCCTGTCCTTTCCCTTTAACAGGTCTCGTCGAACCTGTAACCACGCCCAAGAGGTGTGGTCACTGCTACAGGTGTGGAGGCGAATATACTGCTACACAGAGGTGTCAGATCTCTTTCACCTATGAAAATTATGGGTGATGAGTAGTCAGCAGGTAGACAGACTTCTCAGGGCTCCCTTATATAGGCTCTTTGGGATTTTTAATTTATGCATGCATCCGTTTTTCATAACTAACTTTTAATTTTAGTTAGCACAATACAAAGTTTTTTATCAATTATTGAAAATTTAATTTAGACTTCTTAATGCTTATTTTGTTTTATATATTCTAATTAAAACATAATTACACCGCTTTGCCTTTTCTCTATGCATCTCCTCCCAGATCCCTTCGCTGCGACTCCTTCCATGTCCTCCTCCTCCTCATACTGAGTCTTTTCTTCCTGGTTCTTATTGCTACGTTGTGCTGTGCAAGTGCACTCTTGCTGCGTCTGTGTATGTGGTTCAGAGCCGACCACTTTGTATCAGAGAGCCAGTTAGGGGCTCATCCTTGGACGGACTAACCCTCCATGTCTCAGCAATCATCAGTTGTCTGGTAGCTTTCATAACTTCCTTTAGTGTGTGCGCATGTGTGTGCATGCGTGCACGCATGCATGTGCGTGTGTGTACATGTGTGTGTATATGTGTATATGTACACATATGCATGTGAATGTATTGTTATGATTTTAAGTAATGTAAAAATAGCAAGTTTCCGCCAGGTGGTGGTGGTGCATCTTTCAATCCCAGCACTCTGGAGGCAGGGGCAGTAGGATCTCTGTTGAGTTTGAGGCCAACCTGGTCTACAGAGTGAGTTCCGGGACAGCCAGGACTGTCATATAGAGAAACCCTGTCTCAGAAAACAAAACAAAAAAGATATTTTAGGGCTGGAGAGATGGCTCAGAGGTTAAGAGCACTGACTGCTCTTCCAGAGGTCCCGAGTTCAAGTCCGGACAACCACGTGGTAGCACACAATCATCTATAATGAGATCTGGTGCCCTCTTCTGGCATGTAGGCAAACATACATGCAGACTGAACACTGTATATATAATAAAATAAATCTTAAAAAAAAAAACAGGATTCCTTAAGGCTTTGTCAAACAACTAATTGTGATTTCCCCCCCCCCCCCTTCCTCGGTACTGATCCCCCTCCCTAGTTGGAACCCCCTCTCCATTTTTCCCACTCTGTTTCATATTACAAACTAATTAATATATAGAATACATTTTATAGTTTTTAATATTTATTTGGATATTGCAGCCAAGTGAGTTCTGAATATATAAGAAAACCAATGGCTTTCACTTATATTTGCTGTTGGCTTTATATTTTGTTGATTGAAGAAAATTTGTGTGATTAACATTTATTTTTTGGTAGTGTAAGACAGAACATAGTCTAAGGAATTTTCTAACATTATTTAGCTCTTAGTAAACTTGTTCTATATAACTGTATGACTTGTAGATATATAAGAAGTATTTTTTTCTTTTCAGGATGAATAAAGCCTTTGTAACTTGGAAACTGAATGTTAAAAGAATTAAAACAGAGAAGAGCAGGTAAAACTTTTTATACAATCATAAGATTCCAAAATTAAATGATTTCAAGGTGTTGCATGAAAGAGATACACTTGAATTTTAATTCATATTGGGAAGTCACATTAGGCTGATATTTTGAATACATTTAATGTCTATTTCTCTTTCCTCCTCTCTGTTACTGCCTTCCTTTTTCTATTGGTTCTATAGGCAGAACATTGAGTCCTGTATAAGCTAGGTAAGTGCTCTGCCGCTGAGCTATCTCCCCAGGTCTGCAGTTTAACCCATCTGTGTTCTGTGGAAGACAGTTAAATGCCTCCTGTATGTTGCAGGATCCTATTCTGTTACCATACCATCCTCTGTGACTACTGTGCTGTGAGTTTCTGCTGAGTTCCTCTGGTCCCTTCGGTTTTTTTTTTTTGTTTTTGTTTTTAGTTTTTGTTTGTTTGTTTGTTTTTGTTTTATTTTCTTCCCCAAACAGGAATGAAGTAGTCATAGATAACAGCTGGTCCTATTTTGTGTGATTTTAAGCAGCTGAACGGATTTTTTCTTTAGTAAAGATTTTATTTTGCTATAATTGTGAATTGAGATGCTCGTGTAAGAAATAATACAGAGAAATCCTCTGTGCCCTTTACCTACAATCCCTCCCCAGACCCCACAGCTCACAATATTGTGGAGCATCCTGACTGCCAGAGTGTTAATGTTAACTGATATGCACAATATTTCTGTCACCGCCTTTATGGCTACCATCACTTCCATGCCCACTGCTCTCCTTACTCTGTGGTAACCGCTGTTCTATGTTCTAGTTCTGTAGTTTTGTCCTTGAAGGAGCTTTCTTACCAGAAACAATAATAAAAGTGAGAGGCAAGTTCACAGACTCTTAACATGACTGTGTGATGGTTCACGGAAGCACACGTGGCTCCTGTGGGTCCAAATATGTATGTATGTATGTATGTATGTATGTATGTATGTATACATATACATATATATATATGCCTTTCCTCTGTCCATCATGCTTCAGTAAAGTATGTTGTGTAGAAAGAATACTGAATGTCATATAGAAAGAATCATATAACATTTAGGAATGACTATTTCACTTAGCAGAGCACTCTAGAGATCCTTGTTGGCTGTACATATATCCATAGTTCTTTGATTAGTGCTTAATGATATTCTCTGACACGGGTGAAGGTAGTAGTTTGCTCAACCATTTCTCCATTGATGTACACTTGCATATTTTCTAGAGTTTCTGACTATCATAGAAAGCCACTGTAAACATTTGGGCATGCTTTAGTTTCCATTTCTCTGGGGCAAATGCCCAAGGTTAAAATTCTGAGTCATATGGTCATTGGATGTTTAAGTGGTTTTATCATTTGTTGGTTTGTTTGACACAGGGACTTACTGTGTATTCCAGGCTGGCCTAGAATTGACCATTGTCCTGCCTTCTGTGCTCTGGGATTGTAGGCATGCACGAACCTGCCAAGCTGTATTTAGTTTGTGAGGTAACTGACAAACTAATTTCCAGAATGGCTGTGTTGTCCTTCCCACCATCAATTCAGTATCTTCACATCCTTGATATTATTTATGCCGTCCCCGGTGCTTATTTCGGACATTCTGATCGGTGTGCAATAACATCTCAGCGTGCTTTGGTGTGTATTTTCTTAATGTTACTACTGAGTTGCATTCCTCTCCAATCTTGACTACCTACTCACGTGCTTATTCGCCATCTGTGTCGCCCCTTAGTGTTGCCATGCAAAGAGCATGGAAGGCAGAAGGGCTCGTCCTCCACAGAAGCAAGCGTTGCTCTGACTGACCCAGGATTTAGGGGGCTGCTTTTCTCCCTCTCTGCCTTGTCGCCTGTTCCCAGTGTCCCCTTCTTTCCAGCATCGTTGGCTGCAGCGTGTCTGACCTTTGCGGTCATGATGCATAGAAAGAGAGGGGCAGAAAAGGGGGAAAGCCCATCTCTACTTTAGGCTACAAACAGTAGTTTGTCAGAATTATTCCCCAAGTTGCCCTTTATTCAGTGAACACTCCCCTTGTCGCTTGGAGAAAATGATTTTGACTTAATACATTTAGTAAATTGATGGTACATGCAATTAATTTTCCATAGCATGGCTTGGAAATCCAACTGGAAATGTCAAAATTCCTCCAACTCTCTGACGTATTACTGGCTTTATGCCTTTGGAAGGAGAGCTAACCCTGTGGACATTTTTGTCTTTCAGGTCGTACTTGTATGGCCACCTTTTTTGTGCTGACGAGTTGACCCAAAGTTGCTTGCTTTATGTGAGAGGACTCTTTGAAGACGCGTTGACCATCAAAAAGAGCAGCAAAGACAACTCCTCAGCCATACATCTTATAGCGGTGGGTAGAGGCGCCCACGCGCACCAGTACAGGTGCAGACAGTGGGAGTCTTGGATAAAAGCAGCAACAATCAGATCTGTGTGCCAGTCACCAGTCACCGTGGTGGCCGATGCGATAAAGGAGGGGCCCAGAGCGCGGCAGTCAGTTGTAGAAGTCAGCCTTCCTCAGAGATTCTGGCTGACAGTGCGAAAGCATTTGTAACCAATCTTTCCTAACACACCGCAGTGAGTGGCTATCCACCCCTTGGTATTTTCCACATCAAGAGTTCATCACAAGGTGGAATTCAGGGGTATTGGTTTAAAAAAACAAACTTTCCTGTTTCAGGGTTTTAGGAGATGGGCCTGGCTTAATCAGTTTGTAGTAGAACTGTAACCGTTAATGGCTTCTTACAGAGTTAAGCAGGGCTCCAGCTGGTTTCTCTTTACTGTCCCAGTATGCAGGGAGACCCTGGAAGGATCAACACCTAACATAATACTTAAATCAGTCTAAGTTTAGAATCAATGATAACAGTAATGAATTGTTAGGTATTTCACTCTGAGGTAGTGAAAATTCAGGAAAATAAATGAATCACTACAAATAAAATGTATTTTGCTTGTTCTATTTTGGATTTTGTTTTGTTTTTTTTCTTTGTTTGTTTGTTTGAGACAGAGTTTCTCTGTGTAACTTTGGAGCCTGTCCTGGAACTTGCTCTGCAGACCAGGCTGGCCTTGAACTCACAGAGATCTGCCTGCCCCTGCCTCCCAATTGCTGGGAATAAAGGCGTGCGCCACCAGTGCCCGGCTGTATTTTGTATCTCTACATTGAGGATATTAGTATTTCTGTCTTACTTTTCTCTTAGTTTTATGAGACAGGATCTCTCTGTGTACATCAAAAGTGTTAACTCCAATTTAACTAGGAGACAATTCAGGGATAAAATCTTAATATAGCTTTTGTGTAGGAGGAAATGCCTATTTTAGGTTGTCTTATAATTAAATGGATAATAAAGCTTTTAGACAAACGATGAGTAGAGGACAGGTGTGGTAGTGCACACCTCCAACCCTAGCCACTTGGGTGTTTTGAGAGGCGTTTTGGATGCTTGGTAAGGAGTTAGATACTATGTCTTGTCTGTTGGGGAGAGTGTGACAGTCAGGCAGATAGTCGGCATTGTCAGCTAATGTCTCAGGTAACTCCAGTGCCAAGCACATTTTTTACTTTTTCTAAAGAGAGCAATGGTAGTGAGACCCTGACTCAAAAAATTTAATTGCACTTAACTATGAGTATTTAAATTTGAAGAACAGTTACACTATAAGCTATGTTCTTGGGTGTGTCGTGAAATGGTGAGCATTTGCCTTACCTCTTGCTCTCTGTAAGCGGCTCTTCATTTTCAAACCTGCACCATTTCCTGCCGTTTACTTAGGTGGACAGTTCCAGAACTTACACTCTGGACAAGTTTTGTGAAGAACAGATACAGCAAGCCACCCAGGCGGTGGCACAGCTAGAGGAGCTCAGGACTAAGGCTATTGCAAAGATAAAAATCACAGCGCTAAAGGTAACTCTGAGTTTATCTGTCCCGTCACTGTGTGCTGAGTGGTTATTCCAAGTTGCATTCCTGAAAAAAGCATTGGAAATGAGCAGTAGAGTCAAAGGTGGTTAATTAACCAACTGGGTTATATTTACTATGCTGCAAAATGCAATAAAACATGCATGTATGTATTTATAGATGTATATCTATGAGTGTATGAATTATAAATATCTCTATGCTATTTCAAGATGCTTCCTAGCTAGCCTGAGCCAACATATAAAGGGACCCTGAATAGTTATAAAGTTCTTAGTGTTCACAAGATAAAGAAAACCCCACTGCTCAGGAGAAACATCTAGATGAAATGAAACATCACTGAGGTTTTTATAAAGAGAATTCACTAATACAGGGAACCGTGTCTGCCAAAGCATTATCACCCCATGTACTGCTGAAGACCCCCTATGTAAGTTCCTGGGGCCATTCACCTGCCCATCCATTCCTTCCTGTCCTCCAAACAGACCTGCGTCTGAGGCTCTAAACATGACTTGCTTCAGAACACACAAGGACTCTCTCTTCTTGTTAGATGTTTAAATATAGTGCAAACATGGGGGAACATATTGATGAAAGTTGATGGTAAAAATTTAGTTTTATGTACTGCCCAGGCAAATTATGATACTATAAACCTCAGACCACCTGCATTAACATGAGGGAAATGCCATGTTTCCCAACTGCTTTATAAATTATAGGTTGCAGAAAAGAAAGATGTTAAAGAATACTTTGAGTCAAAACCATCTGAAATTGACACAACACATTTTAAGCTGCCCCAGTATCGGTGCTTGTTAGAAACAAATTTAAGATTTTTAAAGCTGATCGATTACCTGTTTCAAGAATGCATTCGCCAGCTCATGAACTCTGCGATTAGCCAGCTTTTGGAACTATTCATTGGTTCTGCTAGGATGCCATTTTCAAAGGAAAAGAACAATGAAAGTCTCATGAGGTAAGTGGCATGCTTTGACTAACAAAGGGAAGTTATGTTCTTGTAGTATATTACTAACTATGGAGAAAATATCCAAGAATTAAAGTTGGACTTCAGAAATATTCCATGTAGCAAACAACTTAAACTCATTTCTGTAATTCTTATTATCAATAATACCTTAATATTGTCCATGAATTGAAGAAAAGTTTCTATTTTTGCCCTTTAAATTCTGAGTAGACCTTGTTTCTGTATAAATTACAAAGTGCTCAGTGAAATTTGACTTAGCCTAACAAAATTTAAATAAATTCTGTAGTTTCCTCATGTGAAAATAAAGTGGAAATTTCCACATAAAGTGGAAATGATAATAAGGACTGTGTCATCATGTTGCTAATAAACGCAGAATGAATGCCTGATACATAGTAGCTACCATCATGGGATCTGTATCACTCTGTATTTTAACAATATTGATTTCCATTTCTATAATAACCAATGATGTTAAACATTTTTTCCTGTACTTGTTGGTCATTTGTTTTCCAAGGCCTTGAAGATTTGTGTCTTTTTGTCAAATGTTTTGTAACTTTGGCTTTTGAGTCAGTCTTTGATACATTGCAAATTAACTTTATATGTAGTATGACAGGGGTCTAAGGTAATTTCCATATGATCATTCCATTGTCCCAGCATTAGTTTTTTCTTCACCGAATTTTTTTGGCAGTTGACAATCCAGTCTGCCATAAGTATATAGATTTATTTCTCAACTTCATTTTGCCTCATTTATTTTTATGTCCATCTTTCCATCAGTATTGTACTCTCTTGATGATTTTACTTTGCAGCAGGAAATTGTCAGTCTTCCAACATTGCTCTTCTTTTTTTTCCAATATTGCTTTGGCCATTCTATATGAACTTGCCGATTTCTGAAAAGAATAAAAATGACAACTGAGATTTCTATAGGTATTGTATTGAACCCATTGGGAAGGTGACCACATTGTAGTTCTTATACTGCTAGGAAGATTTTGCTGGGGTGTATAAGCTGTAAGGGAAAAAATAAAGTTAGAAGGAATATGTCTAGAGAGACAGAAGGGATACATCTGGATAGAGGTAAGAAAAGAAATGAAGGAGAGAAGATGACAGAGAGACCCTAAAGCTGTGTATGTGCTTTCCCTTTTTGGCCAGCTCCAAGAGTCAAGTTTTACCCCCTCAGATAGAAGAGCCAAGCTGACTGATTAGTTTGCAGACTCCATGGGTCCCCCTCAATCCCTGAGCTGCTAAAAGCTGGTCCCCTGAGCAACAATATCTTAGGTTTTGCTTGCCTGTTTCTGTGTATGTGTGTGTGTGTGTGTGCTGTTTTCATTTTCACTTAATTTTGTGCCCTCCTATTAATTTCCAGATGACACAATACAGATCTGTTCCCTGTGATGTTTCTCTGGGTTGAGGTTATTCTCCAGTGAGGGAGTATTTGCTGCAGATAGTCGAGATGTTTTAACACTTCCTGGATTCCCCTGTTTCTCATTTCCTTGTTTTCCCAACACAGCAGGAATTGAGTGCAGGCCTGGGCCAGTCTCTGGTACATCCCAGATCCTCTTGGTCTCCACTCATCCTCACACAAACACGTGACGGCAACTTCTGGTCTCCTGCAGGTCCTGCAACTGTTGGACCATTTGGGTCTTACTTGCCTCTGTGTTGGAAGTGGCTCCTCTGTTAGTGCTTTATGAGGGACTTTAGAAACATAATTTGATTTTGAATTTTAAAACAGCCAGTGAGTTTCTGTCTCTTGAGAAGGAAATCAAGATACCTTAAATTACATTTATACTTACTGTTCCTTTTTGTCAGTAGTTTTGGTCTTTCCCCTTTGTCCAGTTTCCTGTTTTTCTCATTTGTCTCTTTAGGTAGGACCAGAAGATTCTGGGTGTACTTGTGTCTTGTCTCCCATCAGATGCCCTCAATCTCCGTGAATTGGAATTTTCAGTTTGTTTGAATTCTCTGAATTTCTGACAAGTCACTTCCTCTAGGGACGCAGAGCATAGTTTATCATGGAACATGTGTGGGGACAAATGAGGCTCTGGGTTCAATTCACAGCCCCTTGGTGATGGATGTTTCTCATAATATACTCTATTTTTCTATCCTCCCCTAGTTCAGACTTAATACCATGAAGTTTTCCGTTCTGTCCTTCTTCCTGCCAAAGTGAGACATCGTTTTTATGAGGTGAAATCTGTATAACATGAAAGATGTCATCTGAAGAGTGCTGTTCAGTGTCATCACATGCTTTCAGAGTTGTACGGCCACCACCATCCACGTCCAGAATCCTTTACAAAAACTCCACATTACCCTCCCCTTTCTAGGCATGACAGCCTTTCTAAGAATTTATTCATTCTAGGGACCCTGCATATCTGGAATCATAAACACTGCTCTTTTATCTGGCATATTTCATGTATAGTAATATCTTCAAGGCCCATCCGTGTTGAAGCATGTATCAGAACTTCATTCCCTTTCGAGGCTAAACAGTGCTGTCATCTGTTGGCAGTACCTTGCACTTCTCCACTGATGTGTTAGGTTTCTCCCCTGTGGACTATGATTAGAATGCAGCTGTGCACACTGGTTTTTAACATCTGCTTGAGCACCTCATTTCTGTTCCTTGCTGTGTATACTTAGAATTTCTGGATCATATATTTCCACATTTAACACTTTAAGAAACATCTCTCCAGTTTCCCACAACACTGTCTGCATCAGTCTAGTCTGTAGCAGGAATGCACCAGGTTCTAATATTTTCACCAACATGGATCCAGTCAAATGAGTATTTATAACACAAGTAATAAAAACCCAGAGCAATGAGGCTAAGCCACCAGAGAGCTCTCAGTCTGAAATTTGGTGAATACAGTCTGAGGTTTGGTGGACGCTCATTCAGTCTGAGCATTGGTAGAGGTGAGAACTCTCTAGTGCCTGGCCACTTTGCTTCTCTGATTTCAGCTTGAACCCCAATATCTGTCTCTGGGCTTTTATTATTCATGTTATAAGTATGAAGTAATCTCTTGAGATTTTGACTTGTTTTCCTAACTATTAGCGATTTTTAAGCACCTTTTCTTATGCTTATCATCTACCTCTTTGGAGAAAGAGTCAGCCAAATTGTTTTCTTTTCCTACTTGTGTGTCTGAGTGTGTTTGGGAGTGGATGTGTGTGTGTGTGGGAGGTACTGCTGTCCATGTGCATGGCACCTACAGGAGGAGGTCAGAGGACAACCTTGGATGTTTGCCTTCCACCTTTCTGTGTGAGACAGGGTCTTTTATTGACCTGGAATCTTACCACGTAGGCCCGGCTAGTTAGCCTGCAAGCGTCCAGGGGTCTATCTGTTTCTCTCTCTTGTCTTGCCGCCACAGCGAGTATATTTGTGCTACAGCCATGCCTGGCTGCTTTGTGAGCTCTGGCGATTCAAACTCAGGTCCTCACACTTGCAAGACGAACACTTCACCAACGGAGCTGTCAGCCCAGCTCTTCCCCACATTAATAACTTCCTCACTTGTTCTCTTTCCTTGCTTGCTAAGTTACATGAATGCTTGATATATTCTCATATTAAACATTACAGTATGTGATTGCAAAAATAAATTTGCCTCCCATTTCTTAATCTAGAGCAAGGAAGATCTTTTCTAGAAAGATATCAAATAATGATGATGAATTCATTAATTTGCAATTACCTTCTCATCCTCCTGTTCAAAACTCGGAACCCAAGACAGACACTGATGTTGATGTGGTAAGATGTACCTTAGGAACATTATTAAAATTTTTGATATAAGATGGATAGCAAGTTTCAGAATTAAAAATTCAATTAATGATTGTTTGCTACATGCACACACATGTATGCCTTCTTCAATTGTAAAAAGCTGTAATAATGCCTATTCCAAAATTTCCATTGACATTAATTCACATTTTATTTACTTGCTTTTTGACATGTAAATATAGTTATAATTTATAATACTATTTAAACTTTATTATCACAAATTAAATGTCCTATTTTGTGCTTGTCTCATGGACATATTTGCTAAATTAGATTTTACATAGAGAGAAAGTGGAGTTGGATTTGAGAAAAACATATGCACCACCGATATTTGAAGTACACCTATGTTTGAGAACTCCCACTTCTAATGAGTCTCCAGAGGATACTGAAGAGAAGGCTCAGAAGTCTGAACAGGGCCTTGAAGAGACTCTATCATGTGATGATGATGAATTTTCTGAAAGCAGAAGAAGTTTTGTGAGAACCTCAAGTGAAGACTTGCTCATGAAATACAATCAGCCGAGCAAGTTTGATACTCTCCTCAGACGTATACTTTCAGGTAAGACAGAAAGAAGCATACTGTCAGCCAGAAATAATAAGCAAAAGAAAAAATGAAGTTTACATTTTATTAGTTTGGATAGCATGATGTTCATACACGCTATGGCCAGCAGTAACAGGGCATGAGTCACCACCTGTGGCACACGTGAGTGGTAGTGCCATTTTCACCTGGAAGCGTGAAGGACCCCTCACCCAGGGGCCTCTGGAACCTCCCTATCAGCATGTACTCACCGGGAATGACTGCCCAAAGCATAGACTCTTAAGCAAGGGTGCCACTCAGTGGCAGAGTGTTTGCCTAGCACGTGTGAGGCCCTGATTCTTCTCCCAGACCTGCAGAAAAGGAAAAGAACACAATCTGGGACTCTATAATTGGCTCTTGGGATGTTTAGAAAATATTAATATATATTAAGTTGCTGTCTAGAATTTTAAGATGTTAATCAATTTTTATTTTCTCTTTCTCTCAATGAATTCTAATAGACACGGGACTCATGCTTGAGTCTGAGCAAGGGTACATCTATAATAAGTAAGTATGAGACGTTTTTATAAGTAGATGTATTTTGTTGGGTACTGTATTCACTTGAATATACTTTCACTTATTGCTTTCTCTCAGATTTTGTGAATTCCCAACAAACCTCTTCATACATCCCAACAGACTGGACTTTTCAATACAAATCCAAAATGTGATAGCAACCATAGAAAAATATATAAGTAAGTACTTGAAAAGGCTTAGTGCCTTCTTTGGAAATCCTTTTTAAATTAATTATTATGTGATGCTCTTAGTTGGTGACATATAAGGCAGTTATAAATAAGATACCGTGAATTCCAGTGTTTACGATCAAGCAATGTTAATTTGGAATTAATGTGTGTGTGTACATATCCATATCTGTGTATACACATGAGAGGGAGAGGGAGGGAAGGAGGGAGGGAGAAAGGGAGGGGGAGGGAGGAAGGGAGGGAGGGAGATATGGGGATTTATTAGAGTGGCTTACAGCCTGTAGTCAGGGCAGTCCAACAATGGCTGTGTTGTTCAGTCCATGAGACTGGATGTCCCAGCAGTCCCAGGGAAGTTCTAGAGAGCTGTTAGTCTTCACTTAATGTTGGGATCCCAAAGAAGTAGGTTCTAACACCAATGAAGGAATGCCTCAGGAACATGCCAGTGAGAGTGAGGGCACGCAGGCAAAAAAGCAAAAGTCTCCTTCTTCCACGTCCTCTTCTGTGGGCTGTCACTAGATTTAAACTGGGTCTTCCCATTTCAAACGATCCGATCAAGCAAATCCCTCACAGGTGTGTCTTGCTGCTTGGCCTTAGTAGATTATAGACTATAGATGTAGTCAAATAGACAACCAAGATTAGCCTGCATGCATATAAAGAGAATGTTTAAAAGATAAGAACTGACCGAGCAACTCAAGGCTTAAGTATTTGAATTTTGTCTCCTAGCATTCACAAAGATCTTGTTCCGTCTTGAATGAATTTTAAATGAGTCTTTTCAGCTATATGTATATAATTTGAGATTACATGGCAATAGCTTCCTTGGCCAAAGAATTTGTTCATTTCTCACGATAAGTTTTAGGAAAAAATTAAACTAGTAGGACCCTTAGCAACTCATTTGTCGTATAACACATCTTTGCTAAGTGCAGGCACCTATAGGTCTGCTCCATTGCCTTCCAGCTTTCAGCACTGCACCCTCGTTTCTGCCCAGGAATCTATCAGCTGGAGTTAACTACTTCTCTATAGAAAACATAGGCATGCATCGTTTTGTACTAATGTCTCCTAAATTTAAGGCAGGGGGATTACTTATGCAGAAGCAGATCCTCTGTCAGTATTTTTATAGATAGAGCCCATTTGCCACTTAGATTTCCTTTCCTTCTTTTATTTTTAGGTCTTTGTTTCTTGGGTTAAAACGTCTGACCACTTCCCTGTCTTTTTTCCTCGATACAAAATGTTTTTGCCATTTGATTTGTTTTTGAAATTTTCATTATAAAATAATTAGAGGCTTCTATGAAAGTCACAATCATAGTAGAGCATTCTTGTACGCTCTTCACGTGTGCTCTCCCTCCCCGTGCTGTGATGCTCCAAACTGCACAACCAGCTGTCCGGTAGTGCTAATGAAATGACAAAACTAGCCGGGCAGTGGTGGCGCACGCCTTTAATCCCAGCACTCGGGAGGCAGAGGCAGGCGGATCTCTGTGAGTTCGAGACGGGCCTGGACCCACAGCCTCCAAAACAATACAGAGAAACCCTGTCTCGTAAAAACCAAAAAAGAAAAGAAAAGAAATGACAAAACTCAGCTGCTTCGCTGAGGTCCATTTTCCATTCCAGGATCCTTACTCCACAGTTGCACATTGCATTTGTCTCTTAAGTCTTCTGATCTGTGATAACTCCTTTTCTCGTCTTTTGTGACCTTAACGATTTTTTAATGCACTAGTTAGTTATCCCATAAAGATACATCAGTTTGGTTTGTCTGCTGTTGTCTCACGAGATGATACATTTGGGGCTGGGATGTTGTAATAGTTGGGCATCCTTTCACTGTCTCAGGTCAGTAGCACGTGAGATGCATCTTGTTGCTAGCAATGCTAATCACGAGTTCCGGGCTAAGGTGGTTATAACCTAATACAAGTGTTGTATTTGTGCTGAAAAATGCACCCATTAATTTTGGCACTCATCAGTGGAAAACCCTGCATCAGTCAACTGTGATTTCCCAAAAGGGGTGTCTGTTCCTCTAATTCCTCACACATGTGTCACTCAGGATTTTTTTTACAAGGAATAGTTGTTCCCTCCTCTTCTGTTCACATATCTGTGCAGCACGAATAATAAAAACCCAGAAACGAATATTGGGGTTCGATTGAAGCTCAGAGAAGCAAAACAGCCAAGTCTCCAGAGAGCTTTTATCTCTACCAAGGCTGGGGAGATCCTGTCCTCAATGTGGCTGGAGACTAATTCCATAAGACTGAATGCCTAAGACTGAATGCCAGCTCTGAGATCCTGCTCCCATCTCATATACTTCTCTAGTGCTGGGATTAAAGTTGTGGGCTACCACCACCCAGCTTAGGTGGCTAACCAGTATGGCTGCTGGGGTTAAAGGTGTATAGCACCACTGCCTAGACTCTATGGCTGTGGTTAGCTTTACATTTTGATCTCCACCAAGATTTATTAAATCAGAAACAATGTATCACCACATATCTGTGCTATAGGTTCAATTGTATTTGAATTCTTAGATTATATTTTCAGTATAGCGGGATTACTTTATATTCTTAGCTGTGGTACATGCAGCTTTCTGGGTTTTCCTAGCCTTTGCCAATGTTGTATGGCCAGCCTTTAAAAAGTTCCCTTCTCCATTTCAATGGGGAGGTAGTAATAGCACATTTTGGTGATTTCTGTTTCACTAGGACTTGATAGATGATTCGTATTTCCCCAGCTATCACCTATATGTTTTGTCAAATGTTTCCTGCCGCTGTGTGTGAGATAGCTTTTAAATGTGCTGGGTCAAACCTGTTACCAGCTGTGAGATTTGCAAGCCCTCCCTCCCCCCTTTGCTTTAGCTTCTCATTTTCCTTAATAGAGCTAAGACACCTGGTTTTATAAATTCCCAGCACATCAATTTATTTCTACCATGCAGTATGCTTTTTTTGTATCTAGAGCTTCCTGACTTCAGGGTCACGCTATTTTCTCCTAGGATTTCATCCATTTGTACTGCATCCATGTTTAGACGTAGGCTTCATCTTGGATTAATTTGTGTAAACTGCAAAGTACGTATCGAGTTTCCTTTCTTTGTTGGGGGTGAAGGAAAGGGTCCACAGACATCTAAACTGCCAACTCCTTCCCAGTAGCAGCCTTGCATTTGTTGTTGTGTTTCTGTATTCACAACAGTATTATACTTTCTACACAAAAGATAATATTCTCAGGTTTTATTTTTGGCATGGCTGCTCCTACCACAACTCGTTATCTGCGACAGTTCCTTCCGTTTATAATGTTAAATGCAAATCTTTGCACATGTCTGTGAGTCTCTCCATCAATACAGAGTAATGTCTGCTCATTAATTAAGTCCCTGTCAGTTTTTGACAGGACTAAATGTTGTGGCTAGTTTTGCAATGTCGTTTCTGAAAGACTTCGAGAAGTGCTAACTCTTCAATGCTGTGTTCCAGCCACGATCACTCCTTTTCACCAAGACCCTCGCCTCTCCACCCTCATTGATTTGGTTTCAGCCCCAGATTTATCTAATGAGAAAGAAAGTGTAATCAAATATAAGAAGCAGGCCCGATGGCCAGATTTCTATATCCTCTTTGAAACAGATGATAACTACCAAAGCAAAGTAAGTTTTGAGATATTATGTCTTGAAAGTGGTTGATAAGGGAACAGAACCCCACTGAAATTATTCTATGAACATGATGTGTGGGAAACTTCAGAGCATCCTAAGTCATGGCAATGGGACCATCATCCCAGTGTGACTCTGTTTGTCTTCCGCTGGTCTCTGAGCTCTGCTTGCCACAGTTTTCCAAACCTCCACCGTGGAAGTGAGCTTTCATCCCTGTGACTCCTTTGTGACACTGGCTTGCCAGCATGTCGGCTCGCCATTCCCCAGCCTTTCCCTCACCACCTAACTGCGTATTTTTGTCCAAATTGACGTAGAATATCATTATCTCAGCTTGTGTCTGGATTCTGTGCTGCCCAAAAAACTATGCCATAAGAACTAAGTGAAGCCGTAAGTGCGTAGAACTGGCTTTCTCTGGTGTTGTTTCAAGAGAAGTCACTTAAAAACCACATGGCAAACAGTGAAATAAATGACTGGTCTCTGCAATACATAGTTCAATTAACACCGTGATTACAAAGTTAAATATCTGTGTAAACTTTACATAAAAGTCAAGTATTAGTCATCTACATTTCTTGGTCTTGTTTCCAACATAGTTTAGTATTTAATTCCAGCTCCAGACAGAATGAATTGTACAAGGACCATGATTTAACAGAAACTTGCCAAACTATGCGTTTCCACTCCTATCATAAAAGTTTTGAGTAACATTTTCATTCCCGGATTGAGTGTGCTGGCTATTGTATTATTTTCATTCCCGGATTGAGTGTGCTGGCTATTGTATTATTTTCACTCACAGATTGTGAGTGTGATGACTATTCTAATATTTTCATTCACAGATTGTGAGTCTGCTGACTACTGTATCATTTTCATTCACAGATTGTGACTCTGCTGACGATTATTGGTAATTCAATGGGCCTGGTTAGCGATTACAGCTGCAGGTTTCTAAAGTACTGTTACATGGTAGAAAAGGCCAAAGCCATGAGTATGAAACTGCCATACATGGGGATCTTAACGTCAGTAGAGTTTAACACTATAATACATAAATTCAGGAGCTACCTAAAACAGATTGTGACTATGGCCATTGAGATGCGCCTTGGAATTTTTTGTGTGAAAACTTTGGATTATCAATTATCCTGTTTACCATATGTTGACAACATTATAGAAATGAGCTACAACCTGCTACGCTTTGCAATTGAGGAAAAAAATACAAGTCTATTGGAAGTAAGTCTTTAAACCTGTCCTTTTCCTTAAGAAGATTTCGGATTAGATTATAACTGTAAGATACACACTCAAAAATACGCAGCAGTATTATCCTCAGAAAACATGAAAGTAGTGTGATTGTGTTTGCTTTGGCCTTCAATCTTTATCTTTGTGTGTGTGCATTCGTGCATGTGAGTGTGACTTTGTCTTTGTGTGTGCGCATTCGTGCATGTGAGTGTGACTTTGTCTTTGTGTGTGTGCATTCATGCATGTGAGTGTGACTTTGTCTTTGTGTGTGTGCATTCGTGCATGTGAGTGTGACTTTCAATCTTTGTGTGTGTGCATTCATGCATGTGAGTGTGACTTGCATGCCGCTGTGGCAGGAATGTGGAGGTCAGAGGACAACGTCATGGTTAGCTTGTCTTCCTCCTTGTTAGACATTGTGTCTCTTTTTTTTGTTTTTCGAGACAGGGTTTCTCTGTGGCTTTGGAGGCTGTCCTGGAACTAACTCTTGTAGACCAGGCTGGTCTCAAACTCACAGAGATCACCTGCCTCTGCCTCCCCAGTGCTGGGATTAAAGGTGTGCACCACCAACACCCAGCGATTGTAGCATAAACCAGGTCCTTGGGCTCCTGGGAATCCTTCTGTCTCCACTTGATCTGGCCCTGGCAGCCCTGGGAGTACAGACATGTGTGCTGCTGTATCTGGTTTTACAATTAATGGAGAGCCAAACTTGAGTCCTCAACTGCATAGCAAGTGCTTTACCCAGCTCAGTCATCTCTCCAGCACCTATGAGAGTTTCCTGTGGCCACATTGAAAGCTGTGACCCATGTCATTTTCTACCCCCATTTCATCTTTTTAACATGCATCAATATCTGGCATTATTTTAGATGTCCGTTTGTTCATCATCCTCTCAGTTAGAACATAAGATCCACTATGCTATAGAGTGCCTGTGGTAAATCTTGGAACGCTGATGAGTGTTCAGTATGTATTAGGGCTATCACTGGGGGTGGTTCTCTTATGGAACAAATTTCTAAGACCATTTGAAGTTTCTGTGGAAAACTGCAAGCATGTAAACACCTGGGAGCACCCCAAATATAAGTTTCTAGAACAAATATGGAGCCTCATATACTAGCCATTGTCTGCACTAACATCCTCAGTAATGCCCTCCACCTGCTTAAAGTCTGGAATTTATGAGAGCAGCTGTCATTTTCCCTTTGTTTCGTCAAACTACCAATACTTCTCAGAGCTAAAGTTAGTGCTAGCCATTGGCTGTACTTCTGCAATATAATGGTGAGAAGACAGCATGATTCTTGCACAGAGTCTTAACATAGCATAAAGTCTCGCCAGAAGTATCTCACGGAGCCTGGGTGGACCGAGGATAATGTTTTAAATGTTAATTACTAGAGAAGTGCCGGCAGTGGAGAAGCTCTGGGTTGGCCTGCAGGATATTTCAGGCAAATGTTAATTTAACCAGATTCGGTTACACATGACCCCCCTCCCACCACCGCAACCACCAAAAGGAAAGAACCGTGGCTTACACAAGTTAGAACTAATGCCTCTGTCAGAGAGTAGCATTGCACGGAGACACAGCCTAAGGTCACCGTGAGACTCCACATGGCCACTGAGAGACTGGCTGCTTTGGGCTCACTCTGCCTTCTGCTAAGCTGCTCCGACATCACATCCCTCTTCTAGGCAGCAGGGCAGAAGAAGGTAGCACACCCACTGTGAGTCTGAGAAGCTGGGCAGCAAAACGCATTCATAGAATTACCTTCCTAAGCGTTTCCCAGTACCATCTCACATCCTAACTTATAATTATTCATTACTTAAAAATACTATTTTATAACTTTTCTGAGAATTTCGGGCAATGCTTTTTGGCCATATTCACCTCCTTCCCCAATTCCTCCCAGCTCTGCCCCCACACCCTACCCACTCAAATTTGTGCTCTCCTTCTGTCTCTTTTTTAAACCCATCAGCTGCTCAGGTATGGAGCCTATTCTGGAGTGTAGTTGAGTTACCAGGGGTCAAACCATTGAAGAAAACCAACCGTCCCTCTCCTGGAACCTTATCAAATGCCAATGTCTCCCTAGCTGGGGGTGGGACTTGGCATCTGTCTCCCCTCCCCATACTGGGATTTGGTCTGGCTTGACCTTTCCCAGGTCTTGTGCAGGCTGTGACAATCGTTGTGCATCCGTAAGTGCGACTTCCCTGCTGTGTCCAGAAAACACGATTTCATTGAGTTCACCAACTCTGCCCTCTCTTCATTAAAATTCCCTGGACTACGGAGGGGAGGACTGCAGAGAGATGTCCCATTTAGGGCTAGGCATTCCACAGTTTTTTACTCTTTGTGCCTTGGCCAGCTGTGGGTTCTCTGTGTTAACTGCCATCTATCGCCAGAAGAAGCTTCTCCGATGAGAGTTGAATCACAATTCTGTAGCTTTATCATACATCTGATCTCAGACTACATTGAGAAGAGTAGAGACAGTAACACCTGATTTGCAGACAGTCTCTCGATACAGTGGGGCCCTGCAGGAGAACCTGGGATATGAATGATCAGAATGATGGCGTTCCACTCATATTCCAGCCTCGCCCTTGTGACCTACATGATACTTATTTATTTCAAGTTGTTCAGAGAGTATTCTGTGTGTCTTATAACATTTATTTTACATGTGAAACATAAGCACTTTCTAGTGGTAGAAGGATTTGGTAGTGTCAATGTTCGAGCATTTAGCAAACACTTAGAATTATGTGTACTTCGTATATTACATCTATAGAAGTCAGAATTCCAAGATACAACCAATATTTTCTAAAATAGTGAAATTATTATATACTTATCATTGGCACGTTAATAATTTCAGATCTTAGAATCATCACTGCACCAAATGGGTTGTGAGCCTGTGGAAGTAGAGGAATTTGTGGATCACTTTAATTTTTTGGACGATATTTCCTCGAATATTCCTCAATTAGAGAAAGATTTCACCACAATTTCTCAGTTGTACTCTGTTGTGAGGCATTACCAGATCGAAATTTCTGAAGAGCAGAATGCCATCTACAGAATCCTTTTCATGAAGCTTAATCATCTAAAAACAGCTCTGAAGATATTTGCCACAAATAAAGAAGCCACCCTAACTAAATTCAGGAACAGTTTGGAAGCATCTATTGTTAGTTTACGAGTGGATGTCAGTAACTTAAAAGATAAAGTAGGTGCTCTTCATGTTATTAAGTTTTCCATCTCAGTCTTATGTAACGAAATTCATGTAAATACTCATTGTCTATGGGATCCCAGCTAAATAGTTTAATCCAAATATATTTGCCCTGTGTGGTGCTTTCAATGAGAATTGTCCACATTTGAACACCCGGTCCCCAGCTGGTGGCACTGTGTGGAGAGGTTAAGAAGGTGTGGCATTGCCTGAAGAAGCATGTCACTGGGGGGTGGGCTTTCAGGGCAAGACCCTCACATACTTCCGGTTTGCCTTCTCTGCCTCCTGCTTGAACTTGAGGGAGTGAGGGCTCAGCTTTCTGCTCTGGCTGCCACGCCTGATCCTCGTAGTCATTGTTTCCCTGCTGCGATGGGTTTTTATTCCAAACTCTTCTGTAAGTTGCCTTGGTCATGGCATTTTATCCCAGCAACAGAAAAGAAACTAAGACACCCTGGGATTCACAAATAGAGTTTTGATGATTCGTGAAGTTGAGTGGGACATAAGATCACAAAACTCTCTTTTGTTTTTCTCTACCCGGAACTTAGCATTTTCTTTATCAATGGATGAATGTATTGAACATGGTAGCAAAATTCTTCAAAAACAGAATAAAAGGGAGCAACAAAAAGCAAACTCTGCGGACATTGTTCTAGGCTTTTGGGTCAGGTGGTAATATTCCAATTCCATTCACTTTATCATGTCAAAAAGCACGTTATTTGCTAAAGATCGTGCCAGTAAGACAAGGTTGTATTTTGGGTGGTCTGGCCTCTTTGAGTATCTTTCCCCTTGGTTTTAGATCAGAAGTCCCGTCCTGACGTGCGCCAGTACTCCAGTTCCAAAAGCCAAGGACATGGTCAAGTCTCTCACAGCAGAAGCTGCAAACTTGACTGAAAAAGTGAAAACATACTCAAGCTACCAGGAGTACTGTGACGATTCCCAGTCACACATGCACTTTCTTAACATGGAGGAGATGACGCAGATTGTGCTGTCGGAGATCTCCGACATTGAGTGCGACCTGATGCTGAGGAAGCTGCTATGGGAGGCACAGGAAGAGTGGGCGATATTTTTCTGGGAATGGAGGAGCTGCAGTCTCCAGAGCATCGATATAGACTTAGTGAAGAGTAATGTCTCCAAGTGGCTGCACGTAATCATTGTTCTGGAAAAAGGTACCGTGCACTCCTCCAAGCTTCCAATCCGCCAAAGGCAAAACGCCATTACAGAGAGACAGTTAAAAGAATTTAAATAGAGGTCATTTGCTAAAGCAAGAAACAGTTTAAAGCCTTGGTTGTGTGTGTGGGGGGTAACCACAAATAATTACGAATAGTTTGGTATCTTTTAAAGGTTGGTTTCATGAGCTGGGCGGTGATGACACTCACCTTTAGTCCCAGCTCTGGAGAGGCAGAGGCAGGCAGATCTCTGAGTTTGAGGCCAACCTGGTCTACAGAGCAGATGCCAGGACAGCCAGGACTGTTACACAGAGAAACCCTGTCTCAAATACACACACACACATGCACATACACACACACACACACACGCACACACACACACACACACGCACGCACGCACGCACACATGCACGTACAGCTTGGCTTCATGGCTAGATGTCCAGATATTTCAAAATCAGTTTTGACTCCCAGGGTTTGTGGGCTTGAGATGTCTTGATGCTAAGATCCTGCCTGCAGAATCGTTTCCTGAGTTCTATATCTGATGCTTATAACATCCTTTGGGCATTGGGAAAAAACACCTCAAGTCATTCTGAGACATTGAGACATTGGCCTGTGATAATCATCACATTTGAAATGTTGCCTACACAGACACTTCTACAACTTAGGGCTTTAGTCCCACTATAGAGCCTGTGCTTTAGAGGACAAAAGCCTGTATTCAATCCCCAGCAGCACAAAAGTAAAGGAACAAGTGTGTACAATATTATACATTAAATGTCACTGTCACAGTGGGACTGTGTGGAGCATGCCTACAATCCCAGCACTTAGGAGGCTGAGGCAGAAGGTCCACAAATTGAAGACCAGCCTGAATTACATGATAAGATCCTGTCCCAGAAAAAAATCTCAGCAAGCAAACAAACAAACAAAAATCTACATGTGGGGTATGTGTGTGTGCCACAATATTTTGCAAAATAAAACACTGCAAGGCATAGCCTCACAGCTTTAAAATAGCACATGTCATAGTCTTAGCATTTTTGTCATGTTTCAAAGAACAATGTATTAAACAACAAGTAGGCAACATATTGTTTTTCTTTTTAAACGTGTTTTATTTTTGTTTTTCAATTTAACTAAATATAATTCTATCATGTCTCTCTTTCATATATTCCCTTTAATCCCTCTCAAATGTATGGCCTCTTTTTCTCTGATTATTATTGTTACCTATATAAATACAAGCTTCAGAGTCCATTTATTGTTGCTTGTATATACATAATTTCAGGAGTGACCACTTGGTATGATCTAACCAATTCAGGGGCTCATCCCCAGAGAAGATTAATTCTTTCTCTCTCAGAATTCCTTAAGTTGCCTATAGGTCTTTGTCTAGCAGGGAGGCCCTGTGAGATCCCCCTTCCATGTTAGCGTGTCTAATGTGTGAGTGTGTATGTATGTATGTATGTATGTATGTATATTATGTATACTTGTGCATGTGTATATTCTTGTCAGTGAAAGAGGTCTGGGAAGCCTTATGCCAGCTGCCATCCAGGCACCACATTTTCCAGGACAACTTAGGTCTGTTCGATTTGGGATTTAGTCATTTATCCGGATAATTATTTTCTTATATTTTAATCCTTAGCTGATGTTATAGCACTTTGGCATCAGTAAAGCTTCATTGTTCTAGAATGCAGATTAACAAGTGATAAAATGGCATTATATTGATTAGCAAATTTTAAGAAAAAAATCTCACCTTCTCTGTTCATTTGGTTAAAAAGACATAAACATATCATTAGTCTAACAATTTGCTGGTATTTACAGGTTTACCTAAAAATGACATGGTAGCACACCTCAAACAGTCAGTGGTGGACTTCAAGCAAGAGCTTCCGATTATCAGAGCATTGGGAAACCCTTGTCTCAAGCCACGACACTGGGAGGCTCTACGGGAGATTACCGGAAAGTCAGTTTCTCTTGATAAAAACCTCTCAGTAGAGAAATTGCTAGCTCTCAAGGTAAATAAAAATAGTTGACAAGAACACATTGAATCATGAGAGGTTAATTACAGGCAAGAAGACCTACAAGGAACATACATTAGAAAACAGGGAAGTGGGCGGAATGTCTGGGACACCGGGGAGTCAGTGACAGGATGTTACATTTAGTGTGCGTGTGTGGGGGGGTAGATGACAATTCTTTAACATGCCATTTCCTATATAGATTACATTTTATAGGTCTATAAATACCAAATGCACTGTGGCTCATTTTACACATAGAGAAAATATATTAAGAACATATTAGGACAGTCTTACCAATAATTAGCAAGAGTTTGATTTCCTACAAAATCTGTTAGCTGGGGCTGTGGATATGGCTTATTTGTAGAGTTCCTAGCACTCAGGAACCCTGGATTCTATTCTTAGGACCATGTAAACCAACCTGGCATATGGTGTGTGCCCGTAATCTCAGCTGTCAGGAGGTAAGGGCAGACTGAGGGTCAGAAGTTCCAGGCCATTCTTGAATCCAAACCCTACCTGAGACCAGTCTGGTCTATGAAAAACCCTTTCTCAAAAAAATAGCAAAGCAAATGAAGAGCTATACTACATAAGTGTCGAGGCTTGATGTTCTAAGGTCACAGGAGATAATCCATTAAAGGCAAGAGCATCCTTTGAAAACTACCCCAGTACCACAGCATTGAAAACACACTTTTTTGCCTATCAAGATTTGACCATAAAGACTCAACAGAACTAGATTCAGGTGGCTCAGGCTTCGTCTTAACACATTGTCTGTGTCTGCATTTTATTTTTAGCCATCTGAAAGTATAGTAGGTGGGAAAGTTTTTCTGTAGCACACAACTTTTAGCTAGTTCTGGGGCTTTTTATTCTATTACCTGAATGATAGACATTAAAAAGCAAGCCTTTAATCCCAGGCAGGTGGATCTCTGTGAGTTCCAGGCCAGTCTGGTCTACAGAGTGAGCCAGGACAGCCTCCAAAACAATACAAAGAAACCCAAAAAAAAAAAAAAAAAAAGCAAGCCTCTTTCATGCTGCTGCTGGTTAAGGTCATAAACACTCACGGTGGACTTGAGCCCTTTGTGTCATCTTTGGAAACACATAACAAATGGTAAAAGTTAGTAATTTCTTGGTTCATAGTACCCGATGTGCTACATTAGCAAACAAAGAGATTAAGTCTCATCCTTTAGACCCGTGGAGATTATGTATAACAGTAGTGGTAGATTCAGTTTTCTAATAAAGGATAAAGACAGTAATCCCAGGTAGAACTGAGAAGTTCTCCGAGTCTCTAGAATGGGAGTGAATCTAAAGATTTTCTACCAGGATCTTACGGAAACCTGCAAGTCCGTGCAGTCGGAGAAGGCTGGAATATCTTACTAATGCATAAAGCACAAAAACTACAGCAAAAACACCCTTAGTCTTTGGTAGATCTAGCAAAGAAAAAGAAGCTATAGAAGTCTGGTTCATCAGGTTGCTTTCTCTCGGGCGATGCTCTAAGAAATGTTGTAGGAAGTAAGGGTCTGTTGCAAAAGTGGCAAGTACATGGGCACTGGTGTGGAGACTGGTGTGGAGGAGATGGCGCTGGCCGCACATACATGAGGAGCACGCGGACTCTGGTCACTCACTGCCTGAGATGAGATTAAGAAGACATTGGAGTCGAGCATGAAGCATGCGCAGTGACTCAACAGAGCTCTGTCGTAAACGCGGGGCCCCGCTGTCTACCTCACCAGTGTCAGACGTGCAGTTCCGCACACCTTTCAAGAAACGGGTTTAACTCTTCCGTTTTAGATGCTTTGGGAATTCTTTGCTCCTCTGGACATTAAGTGATTTCTTCATTTCAGATGCTTCCGTATGAAAAGAAAATAAATGAAATATCGATGGCGGCCACGAATGAAGCCGCTCTTGAGAAAATGCTGTTCAAGATCATAGAGCTCTGGAACACGTCCCCCCTGCACTTGGTCCTGCATCACACAGAGTGCTACTCCATCCTCATCATCTCATCCATTGACGATACCATAGCCCAGCTGGAAGACTCCCAGGCCATCCTCGCCACCATCAGAGGGTCTTCCTATCTGAATCCAATTAAGGTAGATGCTGTGGAGATGCTGTGGGAATGCTTTCATTTTCTGCAGCCTACCAGGTTCACTGTGCTTTCTGCAAACTCATATTTGATTTCAATTATTTGATTTTTCCATATGTTTGTACAGAAGATGGAATATTTAATAATGTGAACACTAAAAATAATTCTTATGCAAGTATTCATTAATTACTCATGAGGAAATATCAAAGTTTAATTTGGATGGGCAAGATAAGTTTATATGTATAAAAGCCCACAAAATATGACTTTTACCAGTTTCTCATAACTCATAAATGGCAGCCCTGCATCTAATAACTTAGCTAAAATGAATTTTCAAGTTTTAAGAAACTTAGTCACATGTGTACTTCTGATAGGCTCTCTTCAATAACAAAACTAAATAATTGGTATATGAATGTGTACCTGTACAGATTAGAGGGAGTCACGGAGCGGTCTGTGCAAATGGAATTCATATTTGTAAACATGCCAACACTTAAGGAAACATGTCGTTTAGGTGGGCCTTAGAGAGAAAACAATGTATGGAAAGGAGAGAATAAATCAAAAAAATATGATTAAAAGAAAAATAACAGAAAAAAAACAAGATTCACAAAAATGAGATACAAATAATTTTAAGATTTTAACTTTGGAAATGAGCAGCAAGAACAGAGTCATTTGAAGGACTTGATTAATCATCCTGTCCCAAAAAACCAAAACCAAACCAGAAGAAAAAATATATATATGTATGTATATATATATGTGTGTACATATAGTCTTGCATGTTACATGAGTTAATTTTATGTATGTGTGCAAGATTTGTTTCTCATATAATGTATGAGAAAATTAGATGAGCAGGACATCTGAAAACTAAAGACTGAATGATGAGATTTATTTTCATTTATGAGACTCTTTATCAGTAGTTCTGTTATGTCAATGACCACTAGTTGCCTCATCTCAGTTTCTATTATGTGATTCTTAGAAATTTCATGTATTTAGATTGTTATATGCGGGTTTTTTTCCCTTCTTGTAGGATCTTGTGAATGAATGGCATCAAAACTTGAACCTCTTCTCTTATACCATTGAGGAATGGATGCACTGTCAAAGAAATTGGCTTTATCTTGAACCAATCTTTAATTCTTTAGAAATACAAAAGTAAGAAAATTAAAAAAAAATATATATATATATATCATGTACAGGTTAAAAATGCACAGGGGGATTTGACTTAACATTCCAGAAATAATATCCTCGATGAGTGAACATCAGTTGTGGTTTGAATTAGAGCCTTGCCGGAGGAAACAGGCAGTTGACTGTGAGCACTGAGGTTTCATCACCTGTGGTACTCCCTGTTTTTCTCCACTTCCCGTGTGCGGACCCCACGTGAGCAGCTGGCCTCCTGCTCCAGCTGCCACGCCTCCCTTCCTGGTGGAACTCCCATAGACTATTACAAGGATCACCCATCTTCCTTTTGAAAGCTTAGGTCCCTGAGTTGCTAAAATAAAGCTATGAAAACCAAACTGCATCGATCGGAGCCTTACAATCCTTGAGCCGTGTTATATGTCTCTTTAGTTCTGGGAGACTAGCGTAGCTCTGATGTTAGTACAAAATGTGCTTCTCCATGGCATTCATACATAAGTGAGAATGTCCCACTCTGCACCAGACAGACTAGCGGGACTTGGCATTTCCTCCTCCATCCACAGCACTCAAATTAATTGACTTCTAGCTTCTTAAAAGTGCTTGCTCTTGAGAGTGCTCAAATGGAGACAAAGGAGGTGTCCAGGCAGAAGCTAACGGGCTGCTGTAGGCATGTGCCAGGGCAGCGTGTCACAGCAGGAGCAAACAGCGGGGCCTTTTCCCTTGTAGCACAATGACTGGGAGCAGAGACCTAAGTTCATCCTAGGAGGGCCCACCTCCTAAATGTTCTACTACTTCACAGTGTCAGGGCCTGGGGACACATTCAAGATGCAGACTGGAGACACAGACAGCTTTCACTTATTTTTACACAGAATTTCTGTGCATCTATTTTCTGTTATACATTAAGTAAAATCTTGATAAATGATTAGTTGTATTTTATCCTGTTTTTCTTGAAATACATACTGCTTATAAAAATAGATACAATGGCTAGTCAAGTAAATTTGTCTTATAAATGCAACAAAATTATCTTATAAATTCAACAGTAGCATAGACTTTAATTGGTGCACTCTCAGAATTATTTACATTTAATTGTATTTTTAAAGAGATCTGGCAGCAGAGACAAAGCTCTTCTCCCAGGTGCTTGTCATGTGGAGAGAAATAATGTCGCGAGTACTGAACAAACTGAACGCTTTGCACATAACCATCACTACAGGAATCATCAACGTTCTGAAAATCTGCAATGGACATCTTGAAAACATAAAGAAAAGTCTGGAGGTAAACTACAGTAGACCCAAAGCACCACGGTACGGTGACGCACCAGGGCAGACTTTCCTCTCTGTGTTCCTGCCAGCAGCTTTTCAAACTGGGTAACTAGTCAAATGAGCCTAGGGAAGCACCAAGCTCCTCCATGCAGCCGCATCTCCTTTAAACTGAGAAGAGCCCCCCCCCGCCCACTACAAGCTTAGTGCATTTGAAGCACCTGAGCTGGCCCAGAGAGAGCCTTTACTTAACACTTAATGAAGGCTAATGACTTCATTAGTCTGACCTTTATTACGGTGGTAAGTGCAGCGGAAGCTGGGGCAGAATGATTGACATTTGTGAGCTGGCCAGCAAAGCAGCCGGAAATCACAAAACAGAGCTGCGAGCACATTGTGCTCATGTTCAATGCTCACCACCTGTAAGACACTTAAGTGGACATTGTCAACTGTGGGTACAATCCCTGGTCCATGATTTTACTTCTCCTGGTTTCCATTATTTGTAGTCAGTTGTGATTTGAAGATATGAAATAGGAAATCCCAGAAATGACTGATGAGTCTCTAGTTATGAACTGGTCTACGTAGTGATGAAATCTTCATCCTGCTCAGGACGTCAATCACGGCTTTATCCAGTGGACCCACCCCCTGCACACTGAACAGCTCACTGCCCCCTCACTTACTAGGTCTGCTGCCACAGTTTCACAGTGCTGTTGCCAAGATCCTAAGCTTCCAGAAGGATCTCTTCTGCACATTAAGAGTGGCTGACTTTGTGTACGGGGGTCTTGGTAGAGCACTGTGGTCCCAGCTAAAGGGCGAGTGGTTACGTATGAAACTGCCCAGAAGCATCATGGGTAAAGACGAGGCGTAACAAGCTGGTGCTTAAGAGGTGTTGAGAAGAGTGGATGGGGTGGGCGGACACAAAGGGACATACAAGGTTGCTAAGCGATGGAACTAAAGCGAAATGGCAGCAGTCAGAACGGGCATCAGAAATGGCCTGTCACATAAAGACTGGCACGTTCCCCAAAGGTTTGGAAGGGGCAGGTGACAGACAGCGTGTGAGGATACTGACAGATGCGTAGAAAACCTGAGTCAATAGACTATCTTTTCAAGAATTCAGAGAAGGGGGTAGATGGGCAGCAGCAGAGAGTTAGCAGGGGGCGAAGAGGATGCCCTCTGTTTTCGTAATGAGAGCAAGTTCATTGGCAGCAGAGGCCCTTCTGCGAGACAGACTGCCGACGAGGGCGCCTTGGGCCATACCTACCCTGTAACAAAAGGTAAAACTGGGAAGATGAAGAGGTAGAGGTTGAGAAACGGGGGGGACTGGGTGCAGTAGAATTCGAGGTCATTTGTGGGATGATGTGCCCTGTGTAGGAGGTAGGGGTGACTTCTCACGCCGGAAACAAGCAGGGCAGAAAGCCGCAAGCGTGGGAGAAGAGGCGAGCTGGCGACACCTGTGCTCAGCCACACGGTGGCGGCGGTGGTGGCAGCGGCGCAGTGTGGCAGGGGAGAGCTCTGCCCTGGCTGTTCCTTTGCTGTTATCGCGCTTCTGTTTTCATTTCCCTCTACTTTAGCTTTGCCTTACTAAGAAGTACTTCAGCTTCCATAGAGCATGAGCTATCGTTTGGCTGGAACTGGTGTGCACACCGCACATTTATTACTGTAGGCCGAAGAAGGTGTGATCCCTAGGGCGGTTGGACACATTTTCTCAGCGGCCTTTTATTTATTTATTTATTTATTTATTTATTTATTTTTGGCTTTGAACAGGATTACCTTGAAATTAAAAGAACGATTTTCCCAAGATTCTACTTTCTCAGCAATGCTGAACTTCTTGATATTCTAGCCGACAGCAGAAATCCCAATTCCGTGCAGGTAACAGCAGTGTTACCCTCTCGCGGTATCATTTCCTCACTCAGGCGGGGGTTTGCTGGGTAACTGACAAGCGCGTTCTGGTTTGCAGCCTCATCTCTCGAAATGTTTTGAAAACGTGAAACATGTGCTGCTCTGGAAACAAGAAGTTGGCCCTCCGTCTGTGAAGATGCTCATCTCCGCTGAAGGAGAAGGTCTTGTGCTGCCCAAGTATGACGAACGCGCTGCAAGCCCGCACTTAGACTCTTAGAGCCACTCTTTCTCCCCAGATGACGTCCTCGTGTGAGCATAGGCTCTCCCCACCTCACCACAGCGGGCTCCGCTCACTTTTACTTTAACGTAAAGTTGGAACAAAGAACGTGCCCAACCCTGGGCACTAATTGACACTGGCTTTTGCCCCACATGAATCTGACTTTTCAGATAGACCCGGAATTTGCTATCTGGGATCTGTGGGCATCATTCTGACCCGGGTTTCCCCGTGGTGAGTTCCCAGGCAAGCACCACAAGCCAAGGCCTTCTGCCTCACTAATTCTATTTGCCAGCCTCAGAGGGTCCTCTAGCCTCCGGCATTTGGTTCCTGAGGAAAAACAATACCATGCCCAAGCTTTCCTACCCAACAAAGTCCCCAGCCCAATTTGGGTATTTGAAAATTCCAAAAATATCTTAAAGTTACGTGCCGGCATGCATATCTGTGTGAGGGTGTTGGGTGCCCTGGAACTGGAGTTACAGACAGTTGTGAGCTCCCATGTAGGTGCTGGGAATTGAACCTGGGTCATCTGAAAGAACAGCCAGTGCTCTTCACTGCTGAGCCATCTCTCCAGCCCCCTTCAAAGTATCTTATAATACAATCTATCTCTCATACATCCTATGTTATGTGAAATCTAATTATATTCCTACTTTTGATATCAGAATTCCCTAAAGAAATGTATTTTACTGCATGGTTTTCCAAGTAAAAATCAATAGAAACTGGAAGGTACATTCTTATAGTTCTTTGCCCCAAAAGTAATGTGTGTGTCAAGAACTTAACTTACAAGTTATTCAAAGAAAGGAAGTGTTAATATCCATAATATTATGGTAATTTTCATAATATTTTTAAACAAATTATAGGAAAATTCGCGTAAGAACTGCTGTAGAACAGTGGATGGTAAATGTAGAAAAGAGCATGTTCGATGTGCTAAAAAAGTAAGTACAGTGTTTAAACCCTGAGATTATACATACTGTGTGTTGTGTGTGTGTTATACGTGTGTGTTGTGTATGTTGTATGTGTGTGTATTCTGTATGTGTGTTCTGTATGTGTGTTTTGTGTATTGTATGTTTGTTGGGAAATACGTATAAGATAGCTACCAGTATAAGTGAAATATTGAGAGAAGCACACAGAGTGGATTTTAATAGAGCATGATGTATGAGTGATGAAAAAACTCATTTTTGAAATGCAAATACTTGTCAGAGTGCATAATCATAGACACCATGAATACTGCTCTGCTCGGGTGTGTGTGTGGTGTGTGTGTGGTGTGTGTGTGTGTGTGTGTGTGTGTGTGTGTGTGTGTGTGTGTTCCTGGGCATCAAACATCAGCCAGGACACAGCTCGAGCCAGCTCCAGCTGCTTTTAGAAGACATCAGGCTCACTACATTGTGTTTCTGTTGTGCTTTTACTCCCTCAAACTGTTGAGTTTAGACCTGGAGCAGTGCTGGAGACTGAACATGGAACCGTGTGCACACTAGGCAAGCATTGCTGAGGGACAGCCTTTGCTTGGTGTCTCAATATTCTCCTTTTGTTTATTAATCTGTTATTGCAATCTACATTCAGGGAAGAAAGTATCCCAGAGTATAAGTTTCTAAAACTAATTTGGTTAGGACAGTTGTATTATGTTTTCAATTTTTTATTTAAAACTTTTTTCATGCAATAAATTTTAATCATATTCTTTCCCCTCCCATCTCTTCCCCACCTCACTCCCACCCAACTGCATGTTCTTCCTCTCTCTGTATGGAAACACTACCTTGAGTTTTCATACTTACTAATCTGTGGAGAATGTGTTGTCTTGCCTCTGTTTCTACCCTGGGTGATACTGACAGGGTAGAAACCAGAAAGATGTAATGTCCCCAGTAAAAACTATTTTTGAACTCAGCCTTTTTAGCTTTTTACCCTTGATAACATTGTAATTCAAAGCTAATATAATTCTTCTCTTAAACCAATATATATTTCTTCCAACCCAGACACTGCCAGGTAAAGGGAACCTTAAAGACTGCACTACTCTTGGGCGCATGTTCAAATTAAAACGTCAGCAGGACTAATGCTTCATCATTAAGTGGCATCCTCAATGAGCATGCATGGATAACATAAATGTATCTTTTTGGTTTATAGATTTCTAATCCAAGGTATTGAGGACTGGAACTCCAAGACTTTTTCTGATTGGGTACTGTCACATCCAGGACAAGTGGTCCTCACTGTGGTGAGTCGATGCCACCTTGAATCATGAAGAAAGGGATTAGTGTGTGGGTGCAATGCTGAGAAAGTAAAAAAAATATGAAAATGAGCTATTATGAAGGTACCGACACACCATGCTCAGCTGGAATGTATTTACAACTAAGATGAATGCATCTATAGGTACATAGATGACATCATAAACAGCAAAATTATTACAGAAAGTTGGTGGTTGATAAATTCATTCTATAATGAATGAACAGGTATTCATTCCAGAATTCCTTCACCTTTTAGAGTTTAAAAATATTCAGTTTATAAAATTAAATATGAGTAACCCATCAATTATTTTCTTAAAAGTGTCACGAATTGCACTGTACACATTTTTTTTATCATCACCATTAAAAGTTTCTCTAAACTTGGCTTAAAACTTTTAAATTTGTTATCTTAAGGACCTGTTGGTGAGAAGAACAGTGCAGGGCTCCCTACTGAGGTCCAGCTGTTGGCAGGTGTGAGTGGAGGCTCTGGGGGGCGAGGGACTCCAGTTCCTGGCCTCCACCAGCTAGTAGAGAGAAGGTCACCAGCACGCCTCAGTTTACGGTCTCTTCCTCCATCTTCAAAGCTGTTGCACTGCATCTCAACTCATCTCCAGTCATCCGTCTGTAGCCACGCCTCCCACTCAGAGACTGGAAGAGGTCTCTAGTTGTAAGGGTGCATGCAGATAACCCAGAGTAGCTCCCCATCTCAAGGTTCTTAGTCACATCTGCCATGTCTCTTGACGTCCTCACTGGTTCTGGGGGTTGGGACATGAACGACTTGATAGAAAGCCATACTCTGCAAGTTTGTTGGTGTTAGTTGTATTGCTTTTCTTGAGCTGTGGTGAGGGCTCAGTGACTCAGCAGTTAAGACACTGGCTGCCCTTGCAGAGGCTTGGTTCCCAGCTGCCATGTGGTAGCTCACAAGCTTCTATAACTGCAGTTCCAGGGGATCAGACACCTCTTCTAACCCCCTATGATGCCTGCACACACACACACACACACACACACACACACACACCTATATATACATACATAAACACATTTGTTAAAAGCGGAAAAGAAAGAAAATTAGAAAAGTGTGATACTAAGAAAACCAAAATAATTTTTTTGAAATGCCCCTCAGCAGAATGTAAGAGATGGAGAAGTCAGAGGAGTCCCAAGGGGGATACCATTTAGGGAACTGATGAAAGACCAGCCCATGGACTGGAGAAGAGTGGGGCGGGGCAGAATAGGGAGTAGCGGAGTAGCCATGGAGTTGAGAGGACGACTTTTGTTTGTTTCTTTGATCTTTCACTAGAAAAACTGAATGGTCATAAGAAAAGAGGGTAGGTCTAGTTCGTAAGTGTTGTTCTTTTCCTTCTGTTAAGATAAAGGTGGAAGGGGGTCCTGAGTGGGGAACCATGGCCGATTCCATGGCAGGCGAGGGTGACCGAGGCGGGAGACAAACAAGCCAGGAAGACAGAGCTTAAGCAAGAAGTTTTATTAGAAAGGGGAGGAAGGGGGAAAGGAAAGAGAAAAGAGATAAAGAGACACAGAGGGAGGACAGAAGAGAAGAGAGAGACAGGAGCAGAAAGAGAGGAGAGCGGAGAGAGAGAAGAGCCGGAAGGAGAGAGGAGAGAGAGACAGAGAGAGAGAGCCCGTCAGTGGGCCAAGGTCTGCTTATAAAGGGGTCCTTTGCACCTGCAGGCACACTACGCTACCATGGAACCCTGGGCTGACCAGGGTGCTGCCTGAGTGCATTCTGCCAGGTCACAGGGGCAGGCCAGCATAATGCCTGAATCCTTACAGTAAGGCTTCGGAGATCCATGTCCTGGTTTGTATGCGAAAATTCTCCCATACTATGTGGTCCCAGCTAGAGGTTCTAGATACCTGCCGAGAGGACGCTGATCACTAGGGGTGAGGGGTGGGAGGCAGACCTCAAAGCTTTATAGCCCTAGTAAGTGCCTTGTTCTTTCTCCGTCTGTATGAGAACAAGCAGCCTCTTGTTCCTGGTCCCTCAGCAGGTCCCACCCCTCCTTTTCCTGACATGATGGGCCGTGCCCTCAAACCAGGAGACAAGATAAACCTTTCCTTATTAAGCTGTTTCTCGTCAGGTATTTTGTCATGACAATGTGGTTTGGTTTTGTTTTCTCTTGTTTTAACAAAAATCTCAATCCTTTGATTTTACCAATAAAGACTCAGGAGGCAGATGCTGGGGTGAAAGCCTGCTAGCTCCAAGAGACAGAGAAAGCTGCCCTTCCCCCTCCGCCATCGCACTAGGAGCCTCCTCTCTCCAGCCGTCTCAGTTGTCCTCCCTCCCTCCACGTCCCTCCCTCCACTGTCTCCATTTATGTATTCGGTGTTCTGTGTGCATGTATCCCTGCAGGCCAGAAGAGGGCGCCCGATCTCATTGCAGATGGTTGGGAGCCACCATGTGTCAACTGGTTGCTTGTTCTGCCTCTAGACCTCTCGTTGGCTTTATTTAACCCTGTTTGCAATATTTAAGCAGAAAAAGCTCTTGGATTAAAGGTGTGTGCTAGGACTGAGCCACACCACAGCTAGAAACAGGTTTTTGCAGTAAATAACACAAGCTCAGGCTCACCGTGTGATCAAATATCCTGCAACAACAATGAGCAATGTCACTAATGCAATCTGAAGCTGTATTACTTGGCAGTCAATAGGGTCAATGTGAGCCTTGGAGGCTGGTTTATCTGGAGAGGGGAAAGCAGAAAGTCTTTGCCATAGTAACCATTAAGTATCTCAGAAGGCACACTTAACTTGCAGTTCTCTTATTTAAAAATAAGCACCTCCCCTTTTTTAACTTCTCCTGACCCACCACAATTTCAAGTCTTCATTAAGGTCACCTAGGACTGTGAAAACACACATTTTTGCTCTCCACTTGTCCAAGTAAACGCCAGGTCTTAAGCTGAGAAGCTTTGTGTAAGCTGTTTGTGTGACTGTGACAGAATTACAGGAGGATCCATACATTTCTGTAGTTTTCCAAATTCAAATAGTCCAATCTTCCTTAAGAGAAGCTCTTCCCAGGGTCCCTGGTGGCCCAAGTGTACTTAGCAACAAGGAGCACACACTCTGCCCTTGGAATCACCCTAGAGTGGGCTTTATCTTCTGTCACTGAGTGTGCTTTGGCCCAGTCCCCCCCATCCGCCTTACCCACTGATTATTTCCCACCCCAGAGGGGTAATTTACAGCTCCCTTGAATTTACAGTTCTCTCTACAGAGAGCTGTCTCTGAATAAGCATAAAAAACCATTTTTGAGGGAATGGGATGAGATAGCTCTGGCCACGAAGAGATTTTTCTATATAGATTTGTCCATGATATAGCACTTAGTAATTCCTCTATAAATAAGTGTGTCACAATTGTAGAAGTGGTGAGACCTTGGAAAATGAAGCTGATAAATGAGGCAGACTAAAATCTAATGCAATAACCAACTTTATTTAGAGCCCCCCAGACAATGTATACTCTGAGGGTTAGGAAATGTCACACGAGTAAAGTTCTCAGGGGTTTAAGCCGTATACAACCACAAGGACATGCCATATATGACGAAAACATGTTTTCCCATAGAGAAAATAGAGTAGTTTAAACATGTAATTGAATAACAGCATTACACGATGAGTAATGGGAAGTAAATTCACTCCTGTCTGCTACACTTGAGAGGAGCACGAAGAAACATTCTAAGAACAATTCCATGTTTTGAAGAAACTGAGGTCACATGACTCTTGTCTTGCTTTGTTGGAGTATTCTCATGAGCACACAGAATTCTCTTCGCACGACTCTGTTCCTAGACCATGCTCTCTCTGACACAAGTGTATAAGTGGAAACATTTTAAAATATGGTCTGCTGTGTCCCCACACCATGGATGTTCCCGCTGAAGGCTGTAATTCAAGAACCATCGTCTCAAGACAGATAACAATGGAAATCTTGTCTGTGTAGTTGTTTTTCCTGCCTACTTCCCAAGCCTCAGTCTCTAGCCACTCACTGATCTTCTGGCTTTGAGTTAGTTTCTAGATAGTCTTCCCCAGGGAAGAGCATAACAATTGATTGTCCCATACCGAGTGGTCAGCCTTGAAAACATACAAGTAACAGCATACAGATAGAGCAGACTGTATTTATATCTTAGGGTTACATATGTGTATAAATATATGTATGTAACAACAACTAATGAAAAAAGAGCATGAATTTAAAATAGAAAAACAAGATTGTATGCTTCTATTAGCATGTATTTCCCTCTCTTTTTTTTCAGAGCCAGATCATGTTTTATAATGATTGTATGAAAAGTTTTATGAGTTCTAATGCAAGAGAAAAGCTAGAAGCAGTCCATGCCTGTGTGCTATGTCGTTTGGAAGACTTGGCTGTGCTGGTCACACTGAACACTAGCAACTTGTGCACGAAAGTCATGCTGGCAGCAATGCTGACCATCTCTGTTCACTGTAGGGACATCGTGACAGACCTGCTGGCCAAGAACATCTCCAATGCAGAGGACTTCGAGTGGACAAGGTAAGTGGCTAAAAACAAAACAAAAGACAACTGCATACAACAGCTTCACACATATGGACCGTTAGCTTCTCTGCTTCAAACTTTGCCCACTGCGGTTTGCACTTGAAGGACTGGTTATTCCTCTAAGCTTTGTGGTCCTACCCCTGCTTCCTTGGTCCCCTCACTTGTCTCTCTGCCTTGTCTTCCTGAGATAATGGCACTCTTCCGTTTGGTGTTTGTGTTTTATCCGTTGTCATTAAGCCTAGGAACAGGTTTCAGCAGGAGTGATGGGCGGTACCCCCGGTGTCTCCTTTCCTGTATGCTACCAGTGTGGAACAGACAAGGTCAAAGAAACAGAAGAATGTTTCTCGTCAATTTTCCAACTCAGCAACTTTTCTTCCTGCTTGGAGTCAGTTAGTGAAGGCATAGAGAAAGTGACGCTACTTCTGCTGAGACAAATCTGAGCACGGGTCCCCCACGTTAAATGAGAAGGCTTTCTGGTTTTACCTACAGTTAGGTGTTCTCTCATCTAAGAGTTTGCAAGGTGGTACCACACAAATAGTTGTACGTTGCTTTTATCTTATTTTTATTTTGGACTCGGTTAATTTCTTTATAACCTGTTCTGCTGTTCCAGAAGGGGTTGAGAGGTATGAATGACAAACAACTACGTCATAGCGTAATGAGAGAAGGGCACTCAGCGGGAAACTGAGCGGCCATGCTAGGCTCCTAGTGATTCGGGATTTACTATCAGCTCCCACTTAGATTCAAAAGCAACACAGCCCTGAAGTGTTTCAGATGTGTACAGATTACTAGTTATTGTAAATGTGTACCTCGTGATTTCTATTATCATGAGTAAATGCTATTTCCCCACAGATTTTAGTGCTTTGATTTGTTTGCTTGCTTCATTTTTTTTCCTTTTGGAGTGCAGGTTTGAACTGTATATATGTGTGTGTGTATGTACACATGTGCTTGTGTGTGTTGTGTGTGTGCACATGTGCATTTGTGCCCATGTGTGCGTTTGTAGGGGTGTATGTGTATACATGTGTGTGCATGCATGTATGTATTTGTCCATGTGTGTAAATGTATGTGTGTGTTGTATGTGTGTGTAGGAATATGTGTCTCCCTGTCCTGACAAGCTATCATATGTGACCTTAGGATTAAGATCTGAACATAGAAATAGAGTCCAGAGGATTGAAGGAAAAGGAATAGGAAAAGACACCAGTGTAACAGATGCTCCCATTTTAAAGTTGCACTACACAATGCAACAAATGCAGAGAGCAAGCAGCAAGCTCACATAGCTTTACACAGCGTGAGCCAAGCAGGGCTCTTTCAGAGGCTTCTAGACTCTAGGGACTGGTAACATGGTGCAGTTTATAACCCTGGTGCTTGAGAGAGAGAGAGAGAGAGAGAGAGAGAGAGAGAGAGAGAGAGAGAGAGAGAGAGAGAGAGAGAGAGAGAGAGAGAGAGAACTGGTTCTCCCTTCCTTAGAGGCATCAGTCACCAGTAGCGTCTCGCTCAGGGGTGGCACTTTATGTCTCCCTCCTCTTCTCAGTGCTGGGATTTTGCCTGGACTTTGGCCAGCACAGCTCTGTGCTGCTGTCACAGTCTCTATGCGTTCGTGTGTACAGAAAGCTCCCAAACCTTGAAGTGAGTGAGAGGTTTGATAAAGATGCCGAATGTAGAGCTGAGTGCGGCAAAGTCTCTCGCTCTCTATATATACATTGTCCAGTTGAGGGTCTCTGTGTCATTGCCATCTACCCAAAGAAGAAACTTCTCTGATGAGGAAATGGAAGAGCAAGTATCTCTGTAGGAAGACGTAGACCCCTTTGGGGAGCATGCGCAAGCGTGGTGTAGCTGGATCTTGTAGTGGATGAATTTTCAGCTGTTTGAGGAGACTTCCCACTGATTTCCACATTGGCCGCACCAGTTTGCACTCCCGCCAGCAGTAAGTGTCCTCCCCACAGCCTCACCAGCATCTGCTGTCACTTGTTGTATTAATCTTGTCCATTCTGACAGGGGGATGATGGAATCTCAAAGTAGTTTTAGCTTGTACTTCCTTGATGGCTAGGGATTTTGAACATTTTAAAAAGCATTTCTCAGCCGTTTGTGTCTCGTCTTTGGAGGACTTGCTGTTTAGTTCCATATCCAAATTTTAAATGAGTTATTTTTTTACATTAATTTTTGTTTTAGTGCTTTGCCTATTCTAGATAGTCAGATTGTCAGATTCCAGATAGTCTACATTGTCAGATGTATAATTGGTAAAGGCTTTTTTTTTCCATTCTGTAGGCTGCTACTTTGCTCAAATAATGGTGTCCTTTGCTATATAGAAACCCTTTAGCTTCATGATGTCTTATTTAGTAACCCTTGGCTTTAATGCCTGTGCTCTCAGCATCCTGTTCAGGAAATCCCTTCCTCTGTGGATGAGTTCAAGTAAGTGACTTACTGTCAATTCTGTCAGATTCGGGGAATCTGGCCTCGATTCATTTGGAAGTGAGTTTTGTAAAGGGCAATAGAAACAAATTTATTTTAATTCTACATGCAGCCATCCAGTTTGATCAGCACCATTTGTTGAAAATGCTATCTTTTCTCTAGTGTGTAACTTTAGCTTCTTTGTCAAAAATCAAGGGTGCGTAGGTGTGTAGACTTGCTCTGTGTCTTCAACTCTGTTCCATTTATCAGTATGTCTGTTTTTACGCCCGTATCATCCTGTTCTTATTGCTTTAGCTCCAAAGTACAACTTGAACTCAGAGATGATGATAGAAGTTTTTCCATTTTTCAGTATTGCTTTAGCTATCCTGGGATTTTGGATTTCCAGATGAAGTTGAAGGTTGTTTTATTGTTGTTTATTGGTTTGTTTGCTTGCTTGCTGTTTCTGTGAAGGATTATGTTGAAATTTTTATGATGATTGCAGTGAATCATGTATTTCTTTTTATGATTTTGTGCATAGAAGACCCTAAAGATGTCATCAGGAAACTTCTACAGCTGCTAAAACATTTTCAGCAACATAGCAGTATATGAAATTAACACACAAAATAAGGGTAATCATAGCTTCAAAAAAAGCCTTTGGAAATACTCCTTCTGTTTCTATTTTTCAGAATAATTTGAGGAGTATTTGAAGACTGCTTTTGGTTTTTACAGTATTCGTCCTGCTGATCCATGAACATGGGAAATCTATCTAACTTCTGACATCTTTTTCAATTGCTTTCTTCAGTATCTTAAAGTTTTTTCTTATCCAAGTCTTTCACTTGCTTGGTTAGAGTTATCCCAAGATATTTTTGAGGCTATTGTGAAAGGTGCTGTATCCTGATTTCTTTCTCAGTCTTCCATTTATATATAGGAAGACTGCTGGGTTTTGTGTGTTAACTTTCTACCCGGCTGCTTTGATGACAGTGTTTATCAGCTGTAGACATTTCCTGGTGTAGTCTCTACAGTCTTTTATGTATACAATCGTATCACCTACAAATAAGGTGGGTTTTTTTCTTTCTTCCTTTCCTATTTGTATCCTCTTGATCTCCTTCAGTTGTCTTATTGTTCTAGCTAAGACTTCAAGCACTATATTGAGTAGGTACGGAGAGTGGACAGCCTTGTCTTGTTTCTGACTTTAGTAGAAATACTTTTGAGTTTTCCTCCCTTTAAGAAGATGAGCTTGATATAAACTGACCTTATTATGTTTAGTGTATCCTTTGAATTCCTAGTGTCTCTAAGACTCTTATCATTAAGGAGTGTTAGATTTTGGCAAAGAATCTTCTGCATCTAATGAGATGAGCATGTGTCTTTTGTGCTTTATCTGTTTTTTGTTTGTTTTTGTTTTGTTCTGAGTTTTTTGTTTTGTTTTGTTTTGTTGACTTTTCAAGACAGCCCTGGCTGTCCTGGAACTCAGATATTTACCTACCTCTACTTCTAGAGTGCTGACAGCAAAGGTGTTCTCCACTATCCTACCCCTGTTTATCTGTCTATTTGGTGGACTCTGTTTATTGATTTATGCATGTTGTACTGTCCTCATATCTCTAAAATCAAGCAAATTTGATCACAGTAGAAAATCTTTTTGATGAGCTCAATATGGTTTGCACATATTTTATTGCATCTATATTTGTAGGCAATTTTTCTGTGTCCTGGCAGTCGCTCCCACTGAAACTTAATATTAATCACTGCTTCTTAGCAATAGTAGTTATGGGTCTGTTTAAATTGTTTTAAAATGATTATGTTTCTATTACAAAAATATTTTTGCCCAAATAATACATGAGTATTGCTTTCAGACATTTGCGATATAAATGGAATGAAAAGCAAAAGTTGTGTTACATATCTCAAGGAAACACCAATTTTGTTTATGGCTATGAGTACCTGGGCTGTTCACCAAGACTGGTCATCACGCCCCTCACAGAACGATGCTGGCTGACTCTCACAACAGCAATGCACTTCAACCTAGGAGGCTGCTGTGCTGGGCCAGCAGGTGTAGGAAAAACTGAGACTGTTAAAGACCTAGCAAAAGTAAGTAGCTACTGTATCCAGAATTTCTGTCATTCATACTTTGATCATATCTTAACTTAATACTGTTCCCGCTGTTAAAGCGCTCATTGTATTTACCAACACATTCATTACGTGGTACACTCCATCAAATAAATTTTGAGTGTAAAATACGTGAAAGGTCTTACTAAGCCAACCATCTTTGCTTTTACCTGGAATATTACTGCATGAGCTGACTGATGGCGGTGTAGGAGGTGAGGGAAGCAACAGTTTTTCACTCTGGTCCATTTTCCACTTGGTTTTGTTGTTGTATAAATAATGACCTAAAAATCTTTAAATTAATCAACTTTCCTACAGCAACTAATCACATGCATACCATATTAGTTCTGTGGATCTCAAAACTTGGCATCTAACTCATTTCTTAAATTGTATTTATTTATTTATTTACATTCCAACCCCAGAGAAATTAACTCATTTTTTAACTATATTTTTTTCTCAAAAGCTTAATAGAAATAGTTTCTTACTCTGGCAGTTTAAAACACCTTTAATTTGTGGCATAACTCAAGAACTATATTAATTTGTTTTCCAGAGCTATGGTAAACATTGTGTGGTCTTCAACTGTTTTGAAGATTTGGATTATAAGGTAAAGCTTAAGTCTATATACTCAAAATTGTAACGTAGTTCATTGATGAATAAAAAAAACTAAGAAAAATACAAAAAATATATTGGTAAGCGTACAAATACTATTAGTTCTTTTTTATTTTTTTTAATTTAGGTTAGAAACAATCTTGTTTCACATGTCAATCCCAGCTCCCTCTCCCTCCCTTCCTCCCCCACCCTCCCCATCAGGGCCCCCAGTCCCCCACCCAATCTCCACTCTGATCCCCAAGGAGGGTGAGGCACTCCATGGTGGAGCTCCAGTAACTGTCATTTCATGCAGAGCAGGATCTAGGCCATCCCCCAAGAGTCCCAGCTGAGAGAACCTCCCATATTGTGGCATGGGCACTCAAAGTCTATTTGTACCCCAAGGATAAATACTACCCAAGGCCCCATAGATTACCTAGGCCTCCTCACTGACACCCACATTCAGGGGGTCTGGGTCAGTCCCATGCTTTCCACACAGCCATCAATCTGGGGTCCAAGAGCTCCCCCTTGTTCAGGTCAACTGTTTCTGTGGGTTAAACCAGCCCACTCTTAACTCCTTTGCCCATCAGTTCTTGCTTTCTAACACTGGATTCCAGGAGTTGAGTTCAGTGTTTGTCTGTGGGTATCTGCCTCTGTTTTCATCAGTCGCTGGATGAAGGTTCTGTTTCCTAGACTCTCTGGCCATGGGATTGTATGCTGGCATTCCCCTGATTCATGTCTAAAATCCATAAATGAGTGAGTACATACCATGTTTCTCTTTTTGTGACTGGGTTACCTCACTCAGTATAGTTTCTTCTAGTGCCATCCATTTGCCTGCATATTCCAAGATTCCATTGTTTTTTTCCACTGAATAGTACTCCATTGTGTAAATATATCACATTTTTTCTATCCATTCTTCAGTTGAGGGGCATCTATGTTGCTTCCAGGTTCTGGCTATTAACAAATAATGCTGCTACGAACGTAGTGGAACAGACATCCTGGTTGTATGAATGTGCATCTTTTGGGTATATGCCTAAGAGTGGAATTGCTGGGTTTGTGGTAGACTGATTCCCATTTTCCTGAGGAATCCCCATACTGATTTCCAAAGTGGCTGTACAAGTCAGCACTCCCACCAGCAGTGCAGGAGTGTTCCCATTTCTCCACATCCTCTCCAGCATAAATTGTCGTTGGAGCTTTTGATTTTAGCCATTCTGACAGGAGTGAGATGGTATCTTAGAGTTGTTTTGATTTGCATTTCCTGGATGGCTAGGGATGTTGAGCAGTTTCTCAAGTGTCTTTCAACCATTTTAGACTCCTCTATTGAGAATTCTCTATTTAGTTCTGTACCCCATTTTTTGATTGGATCCTTTGGTGTTTTGGAGACTTGCTTCTTGAGTTCTTTGTAAATTTTGGAGATCAGCCCACTGTCAGATGTGGGGTTAGTGAATATCTTTTCCCAATCTGTGGGTTGCCTTTTTCTCTTGCTGACTGTGTCCTTTGCCTTACAGAAGCTTCTCAGTTTCAGGAGATCCCATTTATTAATTGTCGATCTCAGTGTCTGTGCTACTGGTGTTATGTTCAGGAAGCAGTCTCCTGTATCAGTTCGTTCAAGGGTGCCTCCCACTTTCTCTTCTAACAGGTTCAGTGTGGCTGGATTTCTGTTGAGGTCTTTGATCTATTTGGACTTAAGTTTTGTGCATGGTGATAGACATGGATCTATCTGCATTCTTCTACATGCCAGCATCCAGTTATGCCAGCACCATTTGTTGAAGATGCTTTCTTTTTTCCATTGTATATTTTTAGCTTATTTGTCGAAAATCAGATGTTCATACATGTATGGGTTAATATCAGGGTGTTCAATTCAATTCCATTGGTCTACCTGTCTATTTTTGTGCCAATACCAAGCTGTTTTCAGGACTACAGCTCTATAATAGAGCTTGAAGTCAGGGATGGCCATGCCTCCAGATGTTGCTTTGTTGAATAAGGTTGTTTTGGCTATCCTGGGTTTTTTTTTTCCATACAAAGTTGATTATTGTTCTTTCAAGGTCTGTGCTGGGATTTTAATGGGGATTGCGTTAAATCTGTATGTTGCTTTCGTTAAGATTGCCATTTTTACTATGTTGATCCTACCTATCCAAGAGCATGGGAGATCTTTCCACCTTCTGGTGTCTTCTCTAATTTCTTTCTTTAAAGACTCAAAGTTCTTGCTATACAGGTCTTTCACTTGTTTGGTTAGCGTTACCCCAAGGTATTTTATGTTGATTGTGGCTATTAGTTCCTTTGCTTCTTTGTTAAGTTTCTGTCTGGTAGTCCTGTCTAGAGGTGAGAGTGGGGTGTTGAAGTCTCCCACTATAAGTGTGTGGGGGCTTTATATGTGATTTGAGTTTTAGTAATGTTTCTTTTATGAATGTGGGTGCCTTTGTATTTGGAGCATAGATGTTCAAAATTGAAACCTCATCTTGGTGGATTTCTCCTGTGATGAGTATGAAGTGCCTTCCTTCATCTCTTTTGCTTGATTTTATTTTGAAATCTAATTTGTTAAATATTAGGAATGCTACCCCTGCTTGGTTCTTGGGTCCATTTGATTGGAAAAATCTTTTCCCAACCCTTAACTCTGAGGTAATATTTGTCTTTGGGGCTGAGGTGTGTTTCTTGTATGCAGCAGAAGGATGGGTTCTGTCTTCTAATCCATTCTGTTAGCCCGTGTCTCTTTATGGGTGAGTTAAGACCATTAATATTGAAGGATATTGATGACCATTAATTGCTCATTCTTGTTTGTTTTGGAATATTTGATGGTGGTGGAATTATATGTGGATTTCCACCTCTTTTCTTTTGGCTATTAGTAAGGTGGGATTATCTATTGCCTATGTTTTTCTGGTTGAAGTTAACTCCCTTGGGTTGGGGTTTTCCCTCCAGAACTTTCTGCAGGGCTGGGTTAGTGGATATGTATTGTTCAAATCTGGTTTTGTCATGGAATATCTTGTTTTCTCCATCTATATTGATTGAAAGTTTTGCTGGGTATAGCAGTTTAGGCTGGCATCTGTGGTCTCTTAGTGTTGGTAGAATATCTATTCAGGACCTTCTGGCTTTCAGAGTTTCCATGGAGAAGTCAGGTGTGATTCTGATAGATTTGCCTTTGTATGTTACTTGGCCTTTTTCCTTTGCTGCTCTTAATATTCTCTCTTTATTCTGTATGTTCATGGTTTTTACTATTATGTGGCAAGGGGATTTCCTTTTGTGATCCACTCTATTTGGTGCTCTGTAAGCTTCTTGTACTTCCATTGGCTCATCTGTTGGGAAAATTTTCTTTTATGATTTTGTTAAATATGTTTTCTGCCCCTTTGAGATGGATTTCTTCACCTTCTTCTATACCTATTATTCTTAGGTTTGGCCTTTTTACAGTGTCCCATATTTCCTGGATATTTTGTTAGGGATTTGTTGGACTTAAGATATTATTTGGTCGATGAATCTATTTCCCCTAGTGTATCTTCAACACCTGAGATTCTGTCTTCCATCTCTTGTATTCTGTTGGTTATGCTTGTATGTGTAGTACCTGACCATTTACCCAGCTTTTCTATTTCCAGCATTCCTTCAGACTGTGTTTTTTTTATTGTCTCTATTTCAGCCTTCAACCCTTGTACTATTTGAATTGTTTCTTGTAATTTTTGCTTTGTCTTTTCCTCTCTTTCTTGCATTTGTTGAAGTTTTTGGTTTGTCTTTTCTTCCATTTCTTGCATTTTTTGTTTTTTTTTGTGACAGGGTTTCTCTGTATTGTTTTGGAGGCTATCCTGGAACTCGCTCTGTAGACCAGGCTGGCCTTGAACTCACAGAGATGCCTGCCTCTGCCTCCCGAGTGCTGGGATTAAAGGTATGTGCCACCAACGCCCAGCTTCACCATTTTTTGCATTTTTGGATTGTTTTTTCCTCCATTTCTTGCAATTCTTGTATTCTTTGGTTTGTTTTTTCTTCCGTGTCTTTAAGGATTTTCTCATATCTTCTTTGAGGGTCTCTATCATTTTTATGAATTTGCTTTTAAGGTCTTTCTCATCTGCTTCTTCCACAATGGACTGTTCAGGTCTTGCGGGTATAGATTTTCTTGTTTCTGGTGGTGTCATATTGGCTTTTCTGTTGGTAGGTGTGTTTTTGTATTGTCTCCTTCCCATCATTTCTTCCTATGGGTGCAGAAGGAGTCTCTTCCTCCCCTGGTGGGTATGTGACCCCTTTCCAGTGGGTGGTAGCAGGTCCAATACCTTGGTGGCTTTCCTCTTTCATGGATGGAGTCCATCCTAATATCGGGACCTTAACAAACTCTGGGTAGGCTGGACCCTCGCCTTGCCTGTCCCATGGGTGGAGACTGGGACTTGGAAACTGGCAGTCTCTGGGCAGGCTGAATCCCGTCGGACTGAGATCCAGATCTACTGTGTGCAGTCTTCAGGTTTCCGGTGTTTCTCACTATTAGTTCTTTTAATGAATACAGAATAGAAGCCTAGAACCTATTTGAAAGTTAAAACCTCCTGTTTTAATTTTTCTTTAAGTGGGCTGAGCTGAATTCCTTAAAGCAATAATTCTTTTTTTTTATGAGGGTGTGATTCTTTTTAGCCAAAATCTTATGTGCACAAAGCACATGAGAGTGCTATGCAAATGTTCACTCTGGGCATGATGGTGCATACTTTAATCTCAGTGCTCAGGAGGCAGAGGCAGGCAGACGTGAGTTCAAGGCCAGTCTGGTCTGCAGAGTGAGTTCCAGGACAGCCAGGGCTACCTGGAGAAACCCTGTCTCAAACTCCCCCCTCCCAAAAAAGTGCCTTACCCTGATCATTTATTTACTAAAAAGGTAATTATTAAACTCAAATAATAATAATAATAATAATCTGAGACATGTCTAATAAAATCTTGAAATATTTTATTAAAATTTCATATTACAAATTGAACTCAAAATTTCACAGCACTACAATTTGGGGACTTTGTATCCTACTGCTGGGGACTGAACCCAGGTCCCTCACAGCGAGCAAGTGCTGTATAACTGAGCCATTTCCCCAACTCTGCAGCTTGTCTTACATGTTGGCTAGAGCCCAAAATATCCCACGGTGAACAAAATATTGACACTTAACACAAAGGTATTTTTCAGCTTCATAAGCTCCAAACCCCCCTGAGGCCCCATGGGCCCTGTTTTCTCTCCCCGTCTCTATACCTGAGACCCCAGGCATCTCTCAACCTGTGTCCAGCCCAAGAAGGCTTTTTGTTTTGTTTGTCACTGGTTCCTCCAGTTGGTAGCATTTGCAAATCAACAGATTTCAGTGCAGCTTTTTGGCTTTCCCAGAAGGCTGGAGGGCCTGGCTAGCACTGGCCTGTGGCAGCTGGCAAAAGGGTGTGCCATCAGCTGCGTGCCTCTGCCGGGCTCGAGCCTGCCTGGAATCTCTCTGGCGCTCAGGGCTTGGCTCACTCATCGGTGGTTCCAGTCAGCTAGGCGTGGGGCCTCTTGCTCCACCCGGATAGAAATTTTGGAGAGGCAAGAAAAGGCTTTCAGGGGGTGGTGTTTGGGCAGCTCTTGTTTCCCTCTGTGTTTGGTGACTGTATGCAGGAGGGAGCAGCAGCCGGTGGCACCCTCCAATGTCACCCTCTTCCCACAGCCCTCTGGCACCAGGGTGCTTTATCCTGTCGGTGTTAAAGCTCCCAGGTAGGCCCAGGGAGCTGAGATTCCTCTGCCCTTAGACGCAGCTTCCATTGCAATTTCCCAGCAGCCCTTGTTGAGACACCAGCCATTGTTATGATCCTCACGTTGGCCTACCATGTCAGGATTCCTTAACCCTTAACACTAACCAGTGTCATAGTCAGGATAAGCCCTTGTCCCTAAAGACTTCTAGTTTTATGAATTCTTCCAGTAACTAAGGCCAGCAGAGCCTGCTTTCTGGATTTTGGGGGCTCCTTAGCCTTCAGTCTCTGCTCCCCACTCTGTCTCTGCTCCACTGCCATTTATTTGTTCTCTTGAGTTGTTCAGCTGCTGCTCATCCCGTTGCTAACCAGCAGGCTAACTGGCCTCTCACACAGCTAGGCGAGCCAAACATGCCACTCCCACTGTCATTGCCTAGCCTCGCCGCCGTTCTGCTGTTCCTGTTACCAGCTCAGCCCACGGTGCTAAAAACAGGCAAGAAAGGACCATTTGTGGGAAGCCTCTGTGCTGGTTAGTTTTTGTCAACCTGACACAGCCAGAGTCAATCAAAAAGGACTCTCAACTGAGAAAAAGCCTCCATCAGATTGGCCTGTAGGCAAGTCTGCAGGATATCACCTTGATTAAGGATAGATGTGGGTGGGCCCAGCTTGCTGTGGGTGGTGCCACTCTGCTGGCTGGTCCTGCATTGAATATAAAAGGTAGCTGAGAGCCGTGGGCAGGGAGCAAGCCAGTAAGCAGAGCTCCGCCTTGGCCTCTTTTCCTGTTCGGATTTCCCTTCATGGTGGACTACAACTGTAAGCCTTAAAAAAAGAAAACCTTTCTTCCCCAAGGTGCTTTTGGTCATAGTCTTTATCACAGCAGCAGAGAGCAAACTAAGACACCTGTCATTGGGCCTGAAGTTCCAGTCTGGAGGAGGGAGCGCAGGGGATTGGCAGTGAGCACGGAAGGCGTACTTAGGCCTTCCCTCTAGCATCAGTCACAGCCTTACCGGTCTGACTTGGACCAGTCACAGACTTGCCTTTCTAGTGTCAGTCAGAGCAGTTCCTCCGCTAGGCTGGGGCGCTTTGGGGGGTGGCAGCTCTCCCGCTCTCCCGCTCGCCTCAGTGGAAATGCTTACAATTAGAGTTCACAAAAGCCTACGGTGGTTTTAAAAAACCTGGCACAAACTTCTGAACTTCTCATGGGCCTGTGCTACCTACCGGGGGCTGGGGCAATCGGCTACGGTTGTATTGTGGTTTTCTCAAAGCACTAGTCCTGTAGACAGCTGGTGTTGGGATTAACTGTGAGTCCTTTTACTCAAGGCACAGCTGGGACAGCAAGGAAGCGTCCTACAGTGTCAAACCGTCCCATTTTCCATCATCTTATCTACGGGAAAATGAACATAAGACTGCTTACAATAAAAGCTTAAGATTTTATCATTGACAGCGATGGGGCTTTTAACGGGTTGCTGCTGTGTTTTAACGACGCTGCTTACGAGCTCCCCAAGCCCTTACCCCTCACCACCTCACCCCACCCTACCCCCTGCCTGCCACCATTGGCCTCACCTGTAACCCAAGCTGAACTATGAGGAGTCTGCCTGCACCAGAGAGGGGCATCACCTGACTCCCATCTGCTGCAAAATAGTCATGCAGACGCCAATAGGCTACCTCTCTGAGACCTCGAGAGTTCTGTGCAGTCGGCCATCATGGTCCTGGGATGCAGGAGTTTGCTGCTTGTGTTTAAGCTTTCAAAAGAAACAGCGGTGAACTAATCAATTGCCTAAGCTACCACTAAACTTTCTATGGAGAGAAAAATATCAAAGATGTTTATTGGGTTTGGGTAAGATGAAAAGAACACATGCCATTTAGTATCCAGAGGGAAATGTTCACCTTTATAGTTTTTGTAATCAATCCTTTAATTTTCTTTTAAAGATAGTGGGGAAATTATTCTTCGGGTTGGTGCAGTCGGGAGCTTGGTGCTGTTTCGATGAATTCAACCGGATAGATTTAGAAGTTCTCTCCGTCATTGCCTCGCAGATCTTCGCCATCAAGGTGGCAAAGGACAGCTACTCTGTGAGGTATTGTTCATGGGTTACACCTTTAGGATGGAAATCTGACACACAGTAACTGTTTAGTTAGTGCTAAGTCCTTACATGACGGCTGAGGTCTTGGGTTGGGGTTGGGTTGGGTTTGTTTAGCATGCAGCAAAATGATGGCACTTGCCTTGAATGTTTCCTCAGGCAAATAATGTGGGAAAATATATATATTTTCAACTTTAATGCCAATTTAAAGTTATACAGCCTCCTTTCACACTTTGCAACAGCCTGGAGCCACCAGCCCTTGAGGCAGATATGCTCTAGGTAGTATTTTCTCTATCTTAGAATCTCTTTCACCTTAGGATATTACGCTAGAAGAAATCAAACAAGAGATACGGATATTTTCCTTAACTCTGCATGGATTTGTTTTATCTTTAATTCTATACTCATTTAGAAAACAAAATTACTGGCTGTACTCCTGAAATCCCATCTCACCATTCTAAACTGTGGTGCTTTTTTTGGAAAACCACAATAAAATGTATATATGATAGGGTTACTGTTGTTTATGAATAATAAACATGTGTTCCCTTGGGATGCACTCAGAAGCTCATGTGACTAGCTTCTGGGACACGGATGGAAGTTCCGTAATGTGTCATCTAACTCATGATGACGGATGTTAACTTTACTCTGATGAATGTCATGCTGCTGGTGTCACCAGAGCTTACAGGTCTATTAATACAGATGGAGGGCACAGTAACCCCATTTTATCACCTTCTTCTGTGCTTTGACCTCTGCAAAGTGTTATGCCCAGGGATTGTCTAGCTGTGTCCCGGTTTCTCTTTCTCATGTTTAAACTGTCCCCTCTGGTAAGAAATCACCCGAGACATTGTCACCATTGTCTCTGCCCGTGGTGCCACTGACAGGACACCGGTGCTTTTGGCAAAGCATCTGCCTCACAGTTATCCAAATATTTTGTTTTCTAATTTTTGAGATCTTACTATTGTTTTGTGGGTGTTCTGCTTACATAGATATCTATGCACCGCAGGCATCGGGTACTCTGACATTGGAGTTACAGATGGTTGGGAGCCACCATGTGGGTGCTGGTAACCAAACCTAGATGTGCAGGACAAAGAGTCAGTGCTGAGCCATCTCCCAGCCTCCAGTCCCAATGATTTGGCAAAAGGGAGGCTGGAAGTGAGCTGTGTTCCAAGTAGGAACTCTGAGTCTGCCCCTGTGTTCCCAGTGAGTCTTCTAGGCCCAGCTCATTTCAGTCTTCCCAGGGTCTCTTCCCTGTGTGGACCAATTCGTCTGATGGTGCCTTCCAACATCCAGGCCACAAGCTTCTCACACATCTTTGGATATAATCAAATATACCTGAAGCCCACCAGAACTCAACATTGGTTCAAAATAAGCCACCGCCTCTTCTCTGTGTTGTTGTTGTTAAGTATGTTTTATTTGGATTCAAGTGTAATAAAGGCTTAAGAAACCCCCATTTGTTATAGTTTTAGTACCCTTTAACCTAAAGGAGTGATTTCTTTTTTTCAAGACAGGGTTTCTTTGTGTAGCTGGCTGTCCTGGAACTCGCTCTATAGACCAGGTTGATCTTGAACTCAGAGATCCACCTGCCTCTGCCTCTGTCTCCCAAGTGCTGGAATTAAATGTATGTGCCACTGCTTTCTGGCTTAGAGAAGTGATTTAATGATGACTACTTTTCTATCTTTTAGGTTCCTACTGGAGGGTAAAACAATACGTATCAATATGTCATGTGCGGTGTTTATTACCATGAATCCTGGGTAAATATCAATGAGTATTCTGTGTATACTAATGAGTATACTGTGTATTCTAATGACAGTATACACAGCCTAAAATCCCTTTCTTTAACCTCATTTGTAGGTGGGCTGTCCAATATTGTGTATCTGTCATTTGTCCTCCAGAATCTTTTTTTTTAACCAACTCTTTAAGAATTTCACACATTGTATTTTGACCATATCCACCCCTCACCCTCACCCCTCCCATACCCACCCCTCATTCTATACGCACACAACTTCCTGTCCTCGTTTTTAAAAAAAGTCAAATCCAGTTAGTGTTACCAATACACTCTTGGGTATGTGACCATCCACTGGAACCTATCAGATCCCTCCCCCAGCAATTGTCAATTGCCAATACATCCTGTAACAGGGATGGGGCTCAAGTGCCCACCTCCCCTGTCCATGATGGGGTTTTGCTTGGTTTGGTCTTAGACAGGCTTTAGGCATGCATGCTGTCACCACCAAAGGGAGGTCATGTGTTCAACCGCTCTGTTGTGTAGACGTTTTCAAACTTGGAACCACATACTTCCTCTCACCCCGCCTAAAAAAAGTAATTCTGTTGACTTTCTATGTGACCCTTATCTGAAAACTAGTTGAAAAAGTGGCTTCTACCTTTTATGTCATGAGTGTCCTGTAAAACACTGCTTCGTTGAAGTCACCACCACCTCTGCGTCTAGCAACCTCTCCACCGACTCTTCCACAGTGGTCCTTAAGCCTCGGAAGCGGGGGCGGGGGGGTGATACTGATGGCCATTGATGGCCGAGGACTCTGCAGTCTGCTATTGTCTTCAGCTTGACCGTTGTGAGTCTGTGCCCATCACCATCTACCTGTAAATGAAGTTTCTCTGCTGAGGGCTGAAATAATGCTACTCTGTAGGTGTTAGGATGAGTCGTTAGGAGTCAGGTTAATAGTGTGCAGAGTAATCGTGATAGCTCTCCAGGGACCGAACCCTGTTCTTAGCACTCACAAAGGTGCCAAGTATGAGTTCCATCTTGTGGAGCTGGCACAGCACCCACAGCCTCCTCTTTCCATGAGTGGATATCACATCTCCGCCCTGTCCATATGGGTGATTACACTGAGCCTCCGACTCAAGGCTAGGTTCATCAAACATCTGAACAAGTGCTGCACCACAGTCAGAAGGGGCTGAGATGAGGTAAGCCATACGATGAGACACAGGACGTATGATAGGCCAGCATGCTCGTGGGATGCTAAGTGAAAACCACCTAATTTTCACACACAGATCACACTGAAAGCCTGTAGAATCATTTGGGGGCAAAGTAAGAGTTTCAAATTTGAAACACTGCAAAGCACAGTTGGGTTTTTACTATTGTCACTGTTTTCTTTTCCTCTTTAGATATAGAGGTCGAGTTGAGCTCCCAGGTAACTTAAAGTCTCTGTTTCGCCCAGTGGCTATGATGATACCCCACCACAAAATTATCACTGAAGTAATTCTGTTTTCATTTGGCTTCAAATCTTCAAAATCACTGTCTGGAAAGCTAGTTAACCTGTACAACTTAGCTGACCAGCAGCTCTCAAAACAGGTGAGGGACTGCCTCTCTCCCAACACTTACAGCCGGGTATATAATGGTGACTCAGACACAGGTCCACCATTGGAATCAGCAGGACCAGGCCAACCATAAACCAGGAATACTGTCTTCAGAGTGGCTGTGCATCCATTGTCCTTGGCATTCATTCAAAGGTCTTCAAACCATATCTGCTCTCTCTGCTCATAGATGTCAGCTTCCAGATCAGCGTCCTCCAGCTCTTCTGTACATCTCAGCAATCTGGAGGACTTGTGAAAACACAAGCACTCAGTCTGATTCTGTATGTTGGTACACAACTCAACACTGCTCCTGCAAGCTCAGTTACTGGCGAGGCTGATTTGAGTCCAACTCCTTCTTGAGAATCGTTCCGGGTTTTAGTTTTTGCTTCTAACCCAAAGTGCTTTGGACAGCTGACCACATTTTCTGCAAAGCTGTCTTTTCCTCTTGTTGTTCCTCTAGTTCCCCTCCCTAGTTCCCAGACAGTTTGACTCAGATGCTGTAACTGTTACCACTTACCACCCTGTCTTCTAAGAAAGAGGCTTCTCCTGAGTTCAGTAGTGCCTGCCTGTAGTCCTCAGTACTGGGGAAGCTGAGACACTGGGAGCACCTGAGCCCAGGAGTTCAAGGCCAGGCTGGATAACATAGGGAGAGGGAGAGGGAGAGGGAAGGAAGGAGGGAGGACCAGGACGTAGGCAAAGGGACTTTCAGGAGCACCAGCTCAGAAGGGAAATAAGAGCATTAGAGGCAGAATTGGGTTTTGGATTCACACAGATCTCCTTTACAGAATAGATAGCTATTCATGTGTATATGTATATGAGTGTTTTAAATGGTTCTACTTTTCCTTGAGAGCTATAGTAACTCAGATATTGAATACTGTATTTCAGGAGCATTATGATTTTGGCATGAAGACATTGAAGACAGTTCTAATAATGGCAGAAAAGAAGAAACAGGAGTGTAAATGGTCAGTTGAAATTTGAATTTAGTGTTAGGTTCAGAGAGTTACATACCACTGGATAAAAAATTCATAGAATTTTAAATAAGGCAAGCAAAAACAGGAAGCTACCAGAGCACCACAATAAGATGAACTGAAAGGCACTTAGTGGTATCAAAAGAACAAAAATGAACCAGATCATGGATTGCGGATCCCTTAGTGCAGCCTGCTCAGACGGTGTGTGTTACTTATGTGCAATAAAAAAGAGAAAGGAAGAGAAACAATGAAAGATAACATCATACCTGCACAAAATAGGCATGCACCTTTTTCCTATTATTCTGAAATCAATGGAGCATTGCTAGTCATACGATATTAGTGTTTGGGGCATTGTAAATGATCTAGAGACAACATAGGAGGATTGTGTAGATGATACACAAATGCAGCATTCTATGGAAGGGACCTGAACATCCACAGACCTCGGTACCGGTGGGTGATACTGAAACAAAACTGCAAGGTGAAAATCAAATGTAAATAACTAAAATAAATAGCACTTGTAATATAAAACACCTTAAGATATCATACAAGTAAAAAAAATCTGGTATTTATGAAAAAAGGGAAACTGAGGAGGCAGCTCAGTGAGTGTATGGGTGCTGGATGGGAGATTTCATTCTGTAAATCTGTCTCCATTGAGAAGTCTTCCAGACACACTGTGGCCTATGGGCTGAAGATGGATGCCCCAACATTACAGAAGAATTTCTGGTGACTGTCCAGGTAGCAAGATGTCTCTGTCAGTTCTAGAGTTTATATATTATCTTTCTGTGGTCTTTGATGGAGTTGAAGACATAGTCATGATTATAGTTTTCCTTAGTTATGGTAAAAGATAAGTTACATATAAGACTTTAGACTCACAAAGATGGGACAGATGATAGTATACTTTCTTTAAATCTTGCTAAATGTTAATGGACTAAATATTGTAATTACAGTTCTTACTTGATAACTGTTTTGTTATATATAAAATTTGACTATGTTAAAGTTAAAACCTCTTTTTATTTAGACAGAAAAGAGATGATGGGAAATGGCATTCTGTAAATATGTCTCTCTTATTGGTTGATGAATAAAACACTGTTGGCCAATAGGGAAGCAGATAGGTGGGACTAGGCAAGAAGGAGGATTCTGGGAAATGTAGGAGGGAGTTGCCATGTGATCCCGGGAGGAGAGGACACATGAGTCTGGCGTTCTCGGTAAGATAAAACTTTGTAGAAGTATATATTAGTAGTTGTGTTAATACTTAAGACAGAGCTAGCCAATAAAAAATCCTAGACATTGTCCAACAACATTGTAACTAATAGAATCTCTGTGTGTTATCTGGGGGCTCTGAAGTGGCAACAGGACCCAGGCGGGAATCCCGCAACAGGTGTCTGTTCTACAAACACGAGGACCCAAGTTCAAATCCCCAGCACCCACATAAAGGCCAGGCATGTTGAACATGTCCATAATCCAAGAATAAACAAAGGGACTTTTTTTATTTGTTTTTAAACAAACTGATTCTTAAAATCACATGGAAAAATAAAAGCAGTCTTAAAATATTGAAAAACAAAAGAAATCGAGACATGCCTTTCTAACGATTAAGCTATGTTGGAAAGCTTCAACAATTGAAAGTGTGGCACTGGTTGTCAATGGGCAGAGCAATGAAATAGTGTAGAAAGTCGAGAAGCAGGACTACCTGCCTGGGACATGCGGTCCATCATAAACCCATTGCCGAGACTAGATCGTGCAAGTGTTTAGTGTGGGACCACCACCTAGCCTCCACCTGCAGAAAGGTCAAGTGGGAACCATGCACCACAGCATTTGCCAAGACAAATCGAAATAACTGAGGGATTTAAATATAAGCAAACCTCAACCATAAAACTGTCAGGAGGAACACATTGTCTTCTATATTCTTGGAGAGGCTCTTCTCCCAGTGCTGGGGACTAAATGGGCCTCTTGTCACTGAGTTACTCATTGCTATGGCAAAATATCTGACCAACACAACTCGAAAAGAAGGGTTGACTCAACAATGCGTCATGGCAGCAGGAGCTCAAAGCCATGGTGGCATCACGTGTGCATTGAGGAAGCTCAGCTCACCTTCTACTTTTAATTTAGTCCAGACCCCCCACAGGATGGTGTCACCCACATTTGGGTGGAGCAGAGTTAACCCAGTCTAGAAATTCCAGATGTAAGTAGAAGTCTGTCTCCCTGGTCATTCTATATCCCATTGTGTTGACAGTCAAAACCGACCATCACAGGCCTCACATGACTTTTAAAACCAAAAGTCAAAATATAGAATCTACAGAGAGTGGAGAGATAGCTCAGTGGTTAAGAGCACCTGCTGCTCTTCCAGAGGACCTGGGTTCAATTCCCAGCACTTAGGTGGCAGTTCACAACTGTCTGTGACAAGTCCTCTTCTGGCCTCTGTGTGTACTGCACACAGGTGATACACAGACATCCATGCAGGCCAAACACCCACACACATTTAAAAAAAATCTAGAATCGCCAAAAGAACATATCTGTAATAACATCCTTTTACCATGTTAAAAAGTATTCAGCAATTCTAAGAAATGAGTACGTTGCTGGGGAGACATAATTTTCCCTGCCTACACTAGCAGTTCCCTCACTTGTATTCCTTCGGGGAGTTTCCAAAGCTTTCAAGGGACGTGGGAGAGTTTAGGGTGAGGAAAGGGCGCTACAGAAATGATTCAGATTTATTGTCTTCCACTGCTACAGTGACAATCTTTCAGAAGCAGATGAATCTCTGATCATTATCGAGGCAATCCAAAAAGCTAGTTTATCCAAGTTCCTTCCTGAAGATGTCCCACCTTTTGAAAAGATCATTGAGGATATCTTTCCTGGAGTAACAGTGTCTAAGATGGAACACCTTGTCTTGGAGGTAACACTGCTGTGGGAGACACTGCCGGGTCCCTCACAGGTGGGATAGGTGTGGTTTAAACACAATGGCTCTTTCTGAAGTGCTGTACTCAGCTCTCATGCATTAAAGGGTCCGGGGATAAAAGCCCTTGCTGACATATTTTTACCAGGGTTGGGGAAGGAGCTTTAAGCATACGTGAGTGATGGAAAGAACACATAGGCAGTGGGGGTGCTGTGTGCTGAGTCCTTAAGTGATGACACTGGGTTTTGCTGTAAAAGCACGGTGATTGCGCCCTGTTATTAGGAGACTTTAACTGTTTTGTTCTCATGTGTTTGCTGCATTTGGGGTGTTTCCACAAGGCTTCTCAAAGTTCCTCCCCTGAGATGTGTGTGATAGCATGAGCAAAACCAGCGTTGACTTGCCATTGCCTCACACACAAAATAACAATCATTGACAAAACCAGCGTTGACTTGCCATTGCCTTACACACAAAATAACAATCAATCATTGACAAAAGCTGGCTTCCTTCATCTGGCAGCCAGGTTGTCTTCCAGCATATTCTGCACTTCCTGCCTTTACCTGCTAATAATCTTCCTGCTCCTTCTGCCTCTGTTGCTTCCTATTCCCAACTGTCCAATGTATGGATTACTTCACCTTAGACCTAACCTGAGAGGTGGTTTTTTTTTCTTAGTTATTTCAGAAAGAACAATATAAGCTGCTTTTAAATGTATCTGTAGCATATGTAATTAACTTGACAACTAATATGCAATTGATTTGATTAATTAGCTTTCAGCGTCATGCTTCTTGAGATTATCCCGTTACATACTTTGCTGGTGTATGCTTCTTTCTTAGACTGCCCAGCAGTCTGCTCTAACACATCAAGGCTTTCCTAGCTAGCCAGCCTCTGCCTCCAAACTCCTGCCATCTCCCTTTGCCTTCTTCTACAGCTTCCATCTTTTTGAGAGTTTTTTTTTTATTTAAGGTTTTCTTTTTGCCAATGGGAGTTTGTAAGACTAGAATTTTCTCCATGCAAATTGTGTGTGTGTGTGTGTGTGTGTGTGTGTGTGTGTGTGTGTGTATGGCTTGGTCCTTTTTTCTGTTAGTGTGAGGACATTCACTGCTCTCTGAACTGCAATGCATCCTACATTCCTGGAGTGAATCTCCACAGGTCACAGTGAAACAGCTTTTGAAGGTGCTCTTGGGTTTCATTTCTGGTATTGTATCCAGGGTTTTACAACCACATTCCTCAGGGGTATTGATCTTTATTACCCCTTTGCTGTGGTGGTGTGTATATCAAAATGTGCTGGTCCCAGACAATGAATTTAAAAGAGTTTGTTCCCTTCATATTTTTAGAAGAGCGTTTGAAAAGATTAAGTCTTTAAATGCTTGTGGAGCCATCTGGTCCTGGGCTTGTCTTTAATGGGAAACGTTTTGCTATTGATTCAGTCTCATCCTTTATTTTTATGGGTTTCCTCAGGCATCTAATTTTTCCTTAGTCAATCTTGGTAATTTGTATATGTTTGGAAGTTTGTTTATTTCTTCTGTTGGTGTTTTTTATTTGTTGGTGTGCAATTGTTCATAATTGTATCTAATGATCCTTTTTATGGTTGCAGTATCTATCATAATGTTTCCTCTTTTTTTGGTCTCTAGCTTTATTTATATACGTTTTCTCATTTCTTTGTCTATCTAAATATTTGCTTTATTTTAAAAAAGGCTTCCATGGTTCAATTGGTAAAGTGCTTGCCTTATAAGTCTGAAGAGCCAGGTTTGAACATTTGCAAGCCACAGAAAAAGCTGGGCATGGTGGCCCCCATTTAAAACCCACCGCTGGGGAAGTGGAAACAGGTGGAGACTCACTGGTCAGTTGGTAGATCCTACTTAGTGAGCTCCAGCCAATGAGAGACCCTGTCTCCAAAGAGGTGGGCAGCATTTTTGAGGAAGTCCCCAATGTTGTGTTCTGCCTGCCACATGAATGTGCACGCGTGAACACATGCCCCCAATGTTGTGTTCCGCCTGCCACGTGAATGTGCACGCGTGAGCACATGCACCATTATCACTCATGTGCCCGTGTATCCACACTGATTTGAAGCTTCTGTTATTCATCATTTGTATATTAAATCTTTATTGTACTTATTTCTGCACTTATTTGATTTTTTTCTTACTGCTAACTTGGAATTTGGGTTACTCTTGTTTTTGTTTGTTAATCCTCAGGATACAATATTAGGTTGTTAATTTGAAATTATATTTGCATGTGTCTGGATTTTTTTTTTTGCCTATGTGTGTGTCTGTGGCACCATGTCATGCCTGGTCCCTGCAGAAGGCAGAAGAGGGCCTAATGATCCTCTGGAACTTGAGTTAACACAGTTTCAGCCACTTCGTGGGTGCTGGGAATTAAACCCAGGTCCTCTACAAGAGCAGTTGTTGTGATTATTCCTATAAACTTCTCTCTACATTCTACGTTTGCTCTAATTTTGGGCATACTGTGTTGCCATTATTATTTGTCTCAGTACATTTTATAATTTCTGGGCTAGTGAAGTGGTTCAGCAGGTGAGGGGCTTGCAGTCAAGTCTGACAACTTGAGTTTGATCCCCAGATCCTACTCCTGAAGGTTGTCTTCACACACACGCACACGCACACACACACACACACACACACACACACACACACGCACATGCGAACATACACACAAACACGCTTGTGCGCGCACACACACATGCGAACACACACACACACTTTCTGATTTTATACCGTTGTGGCCAAAAATGATATTTAATGTGGTTTCATGCTTTTTTTTAATTTGTTGATGCTTGCTTTTGTGGCCGACTATAAGATGTATAGGGAGAGTTTTCCATGTGCTGCTAAGGAGTCTGTGTTAGCAGCTGTTGGATGGAGTGGTCTATGAAGGTCTGCTGCCACCTTTGATCCAGGACACAGTTTAACTCTGGCATGTCTTTGTTAACTTCGTCTGGGTATTCTGCTTATGCTGAAAGTAGAATGTTAAGTGCTCTACTGTTGCTGTGTTGGAGTGTGCCTCTCCCTTGAAGTCCACCAATATTTACTCCTATAGCTTTAGGGACAACAACATTAGGTACAAATACTTTATGCCTATTGTACCACCTTGCTGAACTGACCTTTTATCGTACATTAATGCTTTGTTTGTTTGTTTGTTTTGCTGTTTTTCAAGACAGGGTTTCTCTGTGTAACAGCTCTGGCTGTCCTGGAACTCAATCTGCAAACCAGGATGGCCTCAAACTCACAGAGATCCACCTACCTCTGCCTCCCGAGTGCAGGGATTAAAGGTGTATGCCATCATTGCCTAAAATTACACTTTCTGGTTGCTTTTCTAGCTTTTGATTTAAAGTTTTATCTGATGCAAATCAAGCTATTCCCTTTTTGAGCTCCTCTTTCTTTATCCACTTCTAAAATCTCTCTCTCCTTTCCTTTCTTCCCTTGCCCCCATTTCTTTTGACCTCCCTCCAGGGAACATCATAGCAGTCCTGAAGTACATCACTCCCTCCAGGGAACATCATAGCAGTCCTGAAGCACATCACTCCCTCCAGGGAACATCATAGCAGTCCTGAAGCACATCACTCCCTCCAGGGAACATCATAGCAGTCCTGAAGCACATCACTCCCTCCAGGGAACATAATAGCAGTCCTGAAGTACATCCTTTCTCCCTCTTCCTTCCCTCCCTCCAGTCCCTCCTGTGTCCCACCTCACTCATTCAAAACTGATGGCCCCTTTTTCTTTATTATTGTTACAAATATATGCACTGATGTATAAACACAACATGCCAAGTCCATTTTTGTTGCTTTGTGCATGTGGTTTGGGTATTAATAAATCTGAAAAATGAGGATTCTTCATCCAAGGAGAGGGTTTATGAATTTACTATCAAAGGTCTGTGAACATACAGTTTTCTGTGCAATGCACATTTCTAATGAGAAAAATAATGTTTTTTATTATTTACAAAGACAGAAGTTGGTGAACTAAAAAGATGGAGAAATACTACTGTAAACTACAATGATAAGTAGCTAAGAGGTTCCAAAGGATTGCAATTTAAGGGTTTGGGCTGGGGGTATGGCCCAGTGGTGCCTCATTAGGCTACTTTGTACAAGGGCCTGGTTTTTATCCCCAAGACTGCAGTAAATAGGTAAATGGATGGATGGATGGATGGATGGATGGATGGATGGATGGATGGATGGGATGATAGATAGAGTGGCAAAGAGAGAGAGAGAGAAAGAGATTCAAGTTATAATGTACTTAAGATGTTTATATCCTTTTAGAAAGCAATATCTATTGCAACAGAACAATTAGGCTTTCAACATTGGCCACCTCAGAAAGAAAAGATCATACAGTTGTACCATCAACTTCAGGTAAGTATATAACGGCATGTCAGCAAGTTCTTTCCTGAGTTTCAGTCAGTAAGGTCAAAGGTGAAAACACAGTAAGAACAATAGAGAGGGATCATTGTACTCTTTGAAGTACAATGGCATACTAAGTGTTTTCCTACAGAATGAATTGATTTTTTTCTTTTACTCATTAATATACATTTGTCAGAGCCCTAGAAGTGTAGTCTAAAGTAACTTGTCTCCTGTTGCCGTGCCATCTGTAAACATCCTGTTCTTCCTGGCTTTGGATATATGTTGTTTATTTTCAGACACTAGAATGTGTGTGCCCTGATTCTTTGTGAGAGACTATGTCTCTTTAAATACTTTTTAGCTGTTTGGGTTTTATATTAATTGTCAAATTTTTTCTGTACTCATTTTCCAGTTGGTTATTTATCTTTTTCTTAGGAAATAACATGCTTCTCACTATGTATTTTATATCATAATTCTTTTGTGGTTGTGTACATTATAAGTAAAGTCTCTAAGTCTCAACTTTTTACAAGTGTTACTATGTTCAAGCTGCATTGAAGACAATTTTAGTGCAGTGGGCTCTATTCCATCATGGGTTCAGCATTTTGTGTCTTATTTTTTAAAAACTCTTTTCAGCTATCTTTGTAAAGGCATTTTCTATGAATTTTTCCCAAAATTTTTAAATATTTTCATTTTCTATTTTTAAGTTGTCTGGAGTTATTTTTAAGGTGTCAGCTAGAAATTTTTTTCCTAAAAAGATAGTTTTCCAGTGTCTTTTCCTCACTGGCTTGCTACTTATATGGCAAATCCAGTGTGCTCATCTAGTAAAATTGATGTATCAGTTTATAGGAGCTTCTTTCTCTATCTGTGTCTATACCACACAGTTTTAAATATCACTGTGGTTTGTGAAGTTAACCTGTCCCACGTTCATATTGGCAGAGGAACTAGATTCCTAGGTCAGAGACAAAGAACAGTTTGTTACAACAGTACCAGTAGCCATACTAGCATATTTACACCACTCGCTATGATGCAATTGTCAAAGGAACACAAGGATTGGTAACCACTGTACATGGGTAATGTGTATGAGAACCTTGGGTTTAGTGCACCCAGCCCACTGTACATGGTTGTGTGATGAGAACCTTGGGTTCTTAAAAGAATACTGGCATCAGAACTACCCAACTTTTGTTTCTGATGGAGACTTTTTAAATATACAGTCTGTATACCAAATTTGTGTTTAATGGGGTGTGGCTCAGTGCTAGTGTGCATATTCAGCATGCATAAGACCCTACAGTCAATCCACAACACTCTCACCCCCAAAGTCTGTCTTACATCCTTAAAAACATAAGCTGCCAATGCCTCTTCTCCAACAGCATGTAGGAATATTAATGACCCATGAAGAATGCCCCCCCAAGAGTGCCTACCTCTCATTTATACAGTGTCTTAGCTTCTGGTGAATGTTCCCAAGAGAACAATACTATATTGATCACTAATTAATCTTGCTGATAGGACCTATAATCCAAATACATTTTTGTTTTACTTCATTGTCTTAGCTAGGATTTCTACTTCAGTGAAGGGACAGTATGACCATAGCAACTCTTATAAAGGGAAACATTTAATTGGGTGGCTTACAGTTTCAGAGGTTCAGTCTATTATGATCATGGTAGGACACGGAAGCATACAGGCAGACATGGTGCTGGAGAAGGAGCTGAGAGTACAAAAGGAGCTGTATCTTGAACCTGCAGGAAACAGGAAGTGGTCTGAGACACTGGGGGTGGCTTGATCATATATGAGACCTCAAAGCTCACCCCCAAAGTGACACACTTCCTCCAAAAAGGTCACACCTACTCAACGAAGTGATACCTCCTACTAGTGCCATTCCCTATGAACTTATGGGAGCCAGTTACATTCAAACTGCCACATTCTACTTCCTGGCCCCCATAAGCTTGTAACAATATGCAAACTGAAGTCCCAATACTCTATTACAGTCTCAATAATGATTTGATGTCCAAAGTTAAAAGTCTCTTCTGACATTCATTAAATCTCTTAAATGTAATTCCCTATAAAATCAAAATAAAAAATCAGATCACATGCTTCCAGCATATAATAGCACAGTATATACATTACCATTCCAAAACATAGGGAAGGGGACATAGTGAGGAAATACTGGACCAAAGCAAGACTGAAAACCATCTGGGTAAACTCTATAAACTCTGCATTTCCATGTCTAATGTCAAAACACTCTTCAGATCTCCAACTGTTTTCAACTTTGTTGACTGCAACACATTTCTCTCACTTGGGCTGGTTCCAGTCCGTGTTAAGAGCTTTCCTAGGCAGGTGTCCCATGACTCTGGCATCTTCAACATCTTGGGGTCTTCAATAATTAAAGGTATTCTTTGGTTAGGATATTTCTTCTCCCTTCAGCCTTAGCCGATACAATAAGGCAGAGGGCCACACTGCCATGGATTGAACAGTCATATGAAGGAAGATAGGACGGGTACAAGCAAGACAGGTACTTGTAGAGAAACGTGAATAGTTCCTCATCACACTAATCTGTGAATTTCACTTTAGGCTTGTGTTGGTATGATACTTGTGGGCGCAACAGGTGGAGGAAAAACGACAGTCAGAAAAATTTTAGAGAAAGCCTTAATAATACTTCCTGTTGCATCTACCATATCACTTCAAGAAGGGCAAACTGACTCAAAGGTGAATATCCTTCTAAGTAAAGCATTTTCCATCTGCACAGCTTATACCTTCCCTATTCTTTCTACATTTGTGTTTTAACTACTTGATTTATTGCTAGAAGTTTTGTAGTAAGAAATCATTGTAGTACGTGAGAATTCTGAAATTTAGACAATCAAACTGGTGATAAGGACTGTAAAATAGAAGAGTTGACTTGTATATTTTATATTTAGCTCTTTACTGGATTAATTCAAGCCCCAATTCATTCTTTGAGTATTAATCCAGCCGTCTTCAAATAAAATTAATTATACCTCTTTTCCAAAATTTATGTGGTTTTTCTTTTGTTATTAAATTGATTACCCCTCCAAGACTGTCAACTATAGTTTTATTCTTTATTTTACCTAAAATGTATTTAATGTTTCAATATGATGTTACATTTATCTTTATTCTTTATCATATGGGGTTTTGGTGATTGGAACTAGTTAAGACACTGAAGAGACAGTTCAGCAGCTAAAGGCACTGAATATTCTTCCCAAAGGCCAGGTCTTAACTCCCAACACCCACATGACAGCTCACAACCATCTGTAACTCCTGTTCCAGACAATCTGACACTTCTGGCTTCTACAGGCACAGCCAAGCACACAGTACACAGACATACACACAGACAAAGCACCTATGCAATAAAATTAAATTTAAAAACTAAAATGACCGTTAGTCTCTATTTTGTTTTTTTACTGGTTGACATACACAATGTATTTTGATAAGATATTAGATGTCTGTGAATTCCCATGGCTCCTCTATATGTACAGCTTGTGGTTTTTTTGTTTTATTTTGTTTTTTACTGTCTTATTTCCCAAAGATCCTCACCACTTGCATGCGTGTACCCATAATCTCTTGTCTTGCATTGTGTGAGGCTGTATTTCCCAGTATCATGTCTGCCCCTTTCCCTGCTTAAATCTGTATGAGCTGAAACAGCAGCTCTTCAGGTGGACCCAAGCACCCATGGGTAAGACCCAAGCAGACTAATGGTACACCTTGCTCCCTGGCCTCACTCCACTCCACCCAGCTCCCAACACACCACATCCCAATCAAAGGATGCCTTCTGCAATGGAGTGCAGTAAGACATCGTTTTTTGAAGAAGTTACTTGTGCTATTTAGATTGTTTTAATGGTTTTTATAGTGTGTCTTATTTAAACAAGACAAATCCATTTTTACTCTTTCTTATTAACAACTATCTATATGGAGATGTTTTGTTTGATGTAAATGCTTTCTCCTAAAAACCTGTTGGCAACAACAGTGCAGAAAATTAAGTAATTGTACTATAACTAATTCCTTTTAAAACAATCTGGATTTCTCATCCCCTGCCCCCAGATTGTAGGAAAAAAAGGAAAAGTAGATGTTTGTGTTTTGAATCCAAAATGTATCACTCTTAGTGAATTATATGGACATCTGGACATTAATACCATGGAATGGAATGATGGGCTATTATCAGCAGCAATTCGAAACTATGTGCATACTAGCACTGCAGACTACTCCAAGAGAAACAGTACTCTCGGACTAATTTCAAGAATCACAGATTTTTCTAATGTAAGTTTATTTTGTTGTATTTTGGTTTAGTTTGGTATGTTTGTTTTGGGGGATTGTGTTTTAGGGGTATCTTTTGTGTTTTGTTTTTTGACTTTTCAAGATAGGGTTACTATTTAGTTTTTAAATGGTCATTAAACCATAGAATGAAGTTGAAGTTAATTGTTGAAAGGAATTCAAAGAGAAGCCTAAATAGAGAACAACCTTGTGATTAAGTATCACTAATGTACCTTACAAATTAAAGAAATGAGGATAATTTTATTAAAAAAACAACTAATAAACTATTTGATGCAAAATTTGCTAAACAGTAAATTTAAGTAGCAAAAGATGAAAAGTTGTGTTCTCATAACTAATAAGTGTGAGATAACTGGTAATTTTCAGTAGGTAAGCTATATCAATAAAAGGTGATATTTAAACCAAAGAGATTAGCAAAGATAGAAAATAATAGTCTGCATTTGCTAGCTCATAAAGTAATTTACAAAAAGAATTTAGGACAATTTTGAGAATATAATCAGATCTCAGTACCATGAATTTCACCTCTGCAGATTCACCCAAAAATAGATCCAAATGATTTGGAAATGAAATGTTGTCTGTGTGAAGTGTGTGCAGACTTTTCCTTATTGTCTCCTAAACAATCTAACAACATCACACATAGCCTTTAACCTGTTGCATAATCCAGACATGAAGATGTGTGTATGTTGTGTGTAAATACTGTACCATTTTATGTTAGGTACCTAAGCACTCTTATGTTTTGTGTTTTCTGAACTTCCTAGAAACAGTCTCCCTATAGATAACAAGGAATGATTGAACATGTTGAGATTTCTACATAAATATACCTTTGATTTAAAAACGGATTACTAGTCATTTAAAGAGTTTTATTAAGCTGATGCTATCCTTTCATATTGAAAATATGATGCTTTCTATATTGAAAGTTATGAGTTATTTGTCTACCATATGAACGAACCACTTATATTGTCTCAAACTCATGAAGTACATTTACCAATTGTTCTTAATGGAATCATCTTTTTCAGTTTTATCATAAAGGTTTGCTAAATTTTTACCAAATGCCTTCTTTCGTATCTACTGAGGCACAAATACATTTTTGCAATTTGTTTTTTGAGAGCATGTATGAGTTTGTGTGTATGTATGTATGACATGACGATGAGTTTGATTTGTATGCATTAAGGCATGTTGTATTCTTGGGATATATCCCACTTGATCACAGCTAAATCCTTTATGTATAATATTGCATTTGAGTTGCTGGTATTTTGCCCAAGAATTTTGCATTTGTTTGATGAAGGTCATTAGCCCATTGTTGATAAAGGTCATTAGCCATTGTGTCCTTTTCAGTTTGGTATCATGGAATAAGTCAGAAGAATTCCTTTTTAGCATATGTGAGGAAGAATTAGTATTCATCCTTCTGATCAGTTGTGGAGCTTTCTAGTCCTGAACTTTGTTTGAAGAGGAAAGTTTTTGTTACTGATTCAGTCTCGTTGTTATTTACTGGCCTTCCGGAGTTTTTTATTTCTCCTTAACTCAGTCTTGGTGAGATGTATGTGTCTAGGATTTTGTCCATTTATGTTATGTTTTCAGGTGTGTTGACATTTCATTTTAAATTTAATTAATCCTTACTGTTTCTGTGGTATCTGTTGTAATGCCTCTTTTCATCTCTAATTTCATGTAAATCTTCTCCTTCTCTTAATACAGCTCAAGGTTTGATGATTTTGCTTATGTCTTCAGATGGCCAGTTGTCTTATGTGGGGCAGAACTGTAATTGAGTTCAGGGTTCTGTGCATGGTCAACACAACTTCTCCCACTGAGAGCCATATCTGCACTACTCCCCCTTTTCTGGCTCAGGATCTCTCTAATTATCCTGGCCAGGCAGGCCTCAAGCTTGTAATCATTCTTTCCTAGCATCCTAAGTAGCTGGGATGACAAGCCTATATCACCAAGCTCAATCAGTCTGTTGTTCTTCGAAGTTAAATTGCACTAGGCATGGTGTTTCACACTGTTAATCCCAATGCTTGGGAAGACAAAGATGAATCGTTGTCTATGAATTCAAGGCAACATGATCTACCATATACTTTGTAAGGGTTTTGTTGATACAGATGTTGCATTGTGGTCATAAACATTGTGATCATATTTTGCAATTTGTTGGGACTTGACCTATGATGTGATCTACTCAGGAGGATGTTCTTCATGTCAACAGGAAGCAGGAGTTCCTGTAGCTGTTGGGTAGACTACTTTGTACGACATGTAATAAGGTCCAGTTGGTGAAGTTCATCTGTGGTGTTTCTTTGCTGATTTTTGTAGCTAAATGTTCTGATATTGGTGAAAGTAGAATGCTAAAGTCCCTTGATATTAATGTACTAGAATCATTCAGCTGTTAAATCTACTAATATTAGTTCTGTATACCTGATGCTCTGACACTGGGTTTTCATATGTTTACATTGTTTACAGTCACTTGCTAAACTTATCTCCTCTTTGCTTTGTATTTACCAGGAAGCTTTCAAAAAACATTTCTAAATTATAAAAGCCCATATTAAAATGATAACTACTTAACATTGATGATAAAGATAGAAAAATGCTGGTACAATGTTACATCCTAATTATTCATTATATAATTTAGATTTTCCAAGTCGGTTCCTCCACTACAGCAGATATCGATAACAATACTTTTATGAAAGCAGTAGAAAAGGATGTTAAGACTCCAGAAACTCATGGTAAGTGTTATTATTAAATTCAGCATGTTAACATAGAAAATAAATCTTGAGTCAGCATGAACTGCATTTATGTCTTGACATTTTTGACTAGTAATATTTTTATTCTTGTACAATTTACTTCTTCCTCATGTGTTTGCTTAAAATTCCTAATCTCACAACAACAGCTTTACAGTGTGTGCATCTTATTACAATATATAACCATTAGAGGTTAAGTAGCCTTTCAGTTTATAAATAATTAGGACTGAAATGGTATTGATGGTAGGAATGGTGGTATGAGAAGCAGCAAAAGCAGCCTCCTGTCTCCGAATGGCAATGCAATACCATCTGTGCATTGCTGGCTAAATCACACAATCCCAGCAGATTCATTGCTAATGCACAGAGTGAGTGTAATACAGCCCCTGCTCTGTAGACGCTGCCTCTCTGCTGGAAGAGCCTGGACCTCCTTTTCCTACCCCAGACTGAGTCTCACAACAGCTCATCCACCAGCAGTATATTTGTGGTCCACACTCTAAGGACTTTTCCTGCTGCGTCTGCTTTCCTGGGGATTGGAACGGCATTTTGAGGAAAGTGCAATGACTGATATGGTTGGCTTTTCTTTTGAGGTTTTAAGATAATGGCTAGGCCAGATATTTCAAGCAGAAAGAGCCCGTCTTGTCAGCAGTGACTATCTTGATCTTATATCTGCTCTTTGGTTCATCAAGTACACCTGAATGTCTTCTGGGTGTTTAGCTGCTTTCTATCTGCATAATGACCTCCCTTATCCTGGCTGAGAGGTATTCTAAAATCATTGAGCATGGTAGTAAATATAGCATGCAGTACCATTTTCTGAATGTTTGCATCTTTTCCCCCAAAGTTTGCATATTAAAATCTTATCCCTCGAGCTAATGATTTTGGAAGGTAGGGTCTTGGGGAAGGCAAATGGTCTTGAAGGATGCACCCGTGTGTGGGGGATTGGCGTCTTATACAAGATGCGCTCTGCCCCTACTGATGGAGTTAGTGTCCTTGTAAAAGAGACTCAAGGGAAAGTCTTCCTGTCATGTGACCATACAGCAAGAGGGAGGTTCCCTCTTTGAACCAAGAAGCTGTCTCTTCCCAGATGATCCTCCAAAACCTAGATCTCAGCCCTCAGCCCTGTGACGAACACATGTGAACTGTTTATACACTGCCCAGCCAGGGACGTCGTGTTATAGCAGCCCAGAGAGACTATGATGGAATGGAAAGGGAGGGGTGTTACAGCAGCCCAGGGAGATGATGATGATGTGGGGAGGGGGTGTTACAGCAGCCCAGGGAGATGATGATGATGTGGGGAGGGGGTGTTACAGCAGCCCAGGGAGATGATGATGATGTGGGGAGGGTGTTACAGCAGCCCAGGGAGACCACGATGGCGTGGGAAGGGGTGATACAGCACACCAAGGAGACAAATGATAGTGTGGGAAAGGGAGTAAATGGGTTCTGAGCGTGACAGAGCTTAAGCTATCTACTTGACTCTTGGATTTTCCTTTGATATTGCCTAGCAACAGCATATCTAAAAACTATTCTTGAGTAGAAGATGCAAATTCACAAATGACATTATTTTGAAAAACTATGGAAGCATTTGTCTTTCTTCTATTCAGATTTTAAGGGTTAATTATGCATTTCAAAAATCTAAGGACATCCAGAAAATGCTTAAAGCAATTTCACACATATAGTGTATTTATTGACTTTAATGAGTACTGCAGAGTATATGTAAATAATGCCTATTGTGTAAGGCACGTATCCCATTCATGAAAGTGGAGCATGTCCAACACAAGCACCAGGGTAACCTAAGCACTCCCTCTAGTGTTTCCTGGGACAATGTTTTCATCTTAAAAAATATTTTCTAGAGGCCAGGAGTGGGGTTGGGCCGGGGGTAGCTCAGTAAATAAGGTACTTAGCACACATTCATGGAACTGGAGTGCTGATCCCCAGAATCCAAGCAGAAGCAGGTATGTGTGCTAATCCCAACATTCAGGAGGCAGAGATCGGAGACCCTTAGAACAAAGTGGTTAGCTAGACCAGACAGAATTACCAGTACGAGAGCATGGCTCCGTGAACAAAAGGGATGAATGGCAGAGGAAGACATCTGAAGCACCTGGGGCCCTCTACACACGTGTGCCCATACATGTATACACACCCTCACACATGTATGCCCATGTGTATGCAAATGTGCATGCACACAGGCATACATGTACGTCACATCACACATATATACACACAAAAAGGAAGTTATTTTCTAATAAAAGTAGAAAGATGTCAAGATTGTAGTGAAAGAATCCTGAGATTAGTCTTAGCTACATTGAAAACGTTTCTCTTTGCAGATTTTGATTGGCAGTGGATTGTGTTAGATGGCCCAATTGATACCTTGTGGATAGAAAATCTAAACACTCTGCTCGATGAAAACAGAATGCTGTGCCTGGCTAACTGCGAGAGGATTGCCCTGACTGACAGGATCAGGATGATTTTTGAAGTGGACTCTCTCTTGAACAGTACTCCTTCTATCGTCACCCGCTGTGCTGTGGTGTACATGGTAAGTCTTTTTAGTTAATGTTTTTAAATTAGAAACAAGCTTGCTTCACATGTCAGTCCCAGCTCCCTCTCCCTCCACTCCTACTCCCATCCCAATTCCCCTATCCAGGGAGAGTGAGGTCCTTCATGGGGGATCTCCAAAGTCTGTCATATTGCCCCAGGGCAGGGCCTAGGCCCTCCCCCATGTGTCCAGGCTGAGAGAGCATCCCTCCATGTGGAATGGGCTCCCAAAGGCCATTTGGATGCCAGGGATAATCTGTTGCCTGAGGCCCCCCAAAAATGCCAAGACCTCCTCACTGACACCCACGTTCAGGGGGTCTGGATCAGTCCCATGCTGGCCTCTCAGCTATCGGTCTGGGGTCCATGAGCTGCCCCTTGTTCAGGTCAGCTGTTTCTGTGGGTTTCACCAGCCCAGCCTTGACCCCTTTGCTCATCGCTCTTCTCTCTCTGCAACTGGTTTCCAGTTCAGTTCAGTGTTTAGCTGCGGGTATCTGCTTCTGATTCCATCAGCTACTGGATAGAGGGTCTAGGATGGCATACAAGGTAGGGCACTTAAGGTAGCCTCTCCACTATTGCTTAGTTTGCCAGTTGGTGTCATCCTTGTAGATCTCTGGATATCGTCTTCCTCTCCCCTCCTCTACTCCCTCTCTCTTTCTCCCAGCTCCCTCTCTGTATATAATAGGACTATTGATTTTTTTTAGTCAATCTTGTATCCTTCCACTTTGCTGACAGTGTTTATCAGCTATAGGAGTTCCCATGTAGAGTTTTTCGGGTCACTTATGTAAACTATTATATCATCCACAAATAGTGAAAGCTTGACTTCTTCCTTTCCAATTTGTATCCCTTTGATCTCCTTTTCTTGTCTTATTGCTCTGGCTAGAACTTCAAGTACAATATTGAAGAGATATTGAGAGAGTAGACAGCCTTGTCTTGTTCCTGATTTTAGAGGAATCGCGTTGAGTTTCTCTCTGTTTAGTTTGATGTTAGCTGTTGGTTTACTGTATATTGCTTTTATTATGTTCAGTTATGTTCCTGTTATCCCTGTTCTCTCCAGGACCTTTACCATGAAGGGGTGTTGGATTTTGTCAAAGGCTTTTTCAGCATCATGTGAGATGATCATGTGGTTTTTCTTTTGCAGTTTGCTTATATGGTAAATTACATTGATAGATTTTCTAATGTTGAACCATCCCTGCATACCTGGGATGAAGCCTACTTGATCACGGTGGATGATTTTTCTGATGTGTTCTTGGATCCAATTTGCTAGTATTTTATTGAGTATTTTTGCATCAATGTTCATGAGGGATATTGGTCTGTAGTTCTCTTTCTTAGTTGTGTCTTTGTGTGGCTTGGGTACCAAGGTAATTGTAGCCTCGTAAAAAGAGTTAGGCAATGAACCTCCTGCTTCTATTGTGTGGAACACTTTGAGGAGTATTGGATTTAGCTCTTCTTTGAATTTCTGGTAGAATTCTGCACTGAGGCCATTTGGGCCTGGGCTTTTTGGTTGGGAGACTTTTGATGACTGCTTCTATTTCATTAGGGGTTATAGGTCTGTTTAGATTGCTTATCTGCTCTTGATTTAATTTTGGTAAGTGATAGCTATCCAGAAAATTGTCCATTTCCTTTAAGTTTTCGAAATTTTGTGGAGTACAGGTTTCCTAAGTATGACCTGAGGGTTCTCTGGATTTCCTCAGTGTCCATTGTCATGTCCCCCTCTTCATCCCTGATTTTGTTAATTTGCATGTTATCTCTCTGCCTTTTGGTTAATTTGGATAAAGGTTTGTCTATTTTGTTAATTTTCTCAAAGAACCAACTCTTCCTTACATTGATTCTTTGTATTGTTTTCTTTGTTTCTACTTTATTGATTTCAGCCCTCAATTTGATTATTTCCTGGCTTCTACTCCTCCTGGGTGAATGTGTTTCCTTTTGTTTCTAGAGCTTTCAGTTGTACTATTAATTCTCTAGTGTGACTATTCTCCAGTTTCTTCATATGAACACTTAGTGCTATGAATTTTCCTCTTAGTACTACTTTCAAAGTGTCCCATAAGTTCGGGTATAGTGTGTCTTCATTTCATTGAATTCTAGAAAGTCTTTAATTTCTTTATTTCTTCCTTGAAGAATGGTACAATTTCACATTGCTCAATTTTCATGAGTTTGTAGGGTTTCTGCAATTTGTGTTGTTGTTGAATTCTAACTTTAAAGCATGGTGGTCTGATAAGATACAGAGGGGTTTTCAATTTTTTGTACACGGTCAAGGTTTGCTATGTTGCCAAGTATGTGGCCGATTTTAGAGAAGGTCCCATGTGGTGCTGAGAAGAAGTTATATTCTTTTGTGTTTGGATGGAATGTTCTATAGATGTCTGTTAAACCCAACTGGGTCAACACTTCTGTTAGTTCCTTTGTTTTTTTGTTAAGTTTCTGTGTGGTGGTCCTGTATAGTGGTGAGAGTGGGGTGTTGAAGTCTCCCATTATAACTGTGTGAGGTCTTATGTGTGATTTGAATTTTAATAATGTTTCTTTTATGAACGTGGGTGCCTTTGTATTTGGAGCACAGATGTTCAGAATTGAGACTTTGTCCTGATGGATTTTTCCTGTGAAGAATATGAAATGACCTTCCTCATCTCTTTTGATAGATTTTAGTTTGAGTCTAATTTGTTCAATACTAGGATAACTACACCAGCTTGATTCTTGGGACCATTTGATTGGAAAAATTTTTTCCCAAGTTTTTACTCTAAGGTAATGTCTATCTTTGAAGTTGAGATGTGTTTCTTGTATGCAGCAGAAGGATGGATTCTGTCTTCATATCGATTCTATTAGCCTGTGCCTTTTTATAGGCAAATTAAGACTATTAATACTGGGGGAAATTAAGGACCATTGAATATTAATTCTTGTTTGCTTTTGATTTGTTGGTGGTGATGTTATTGTTTGTGGATTTACCCCCGCTGTTTCTTTTGGCTTTTGTTAAGGCTGAATTATCTATTGCCTATGATTTTGTGAGCATAGTTACCTTCCTTAGGTTGAAGCTTTCTTTCCACTACTTTCTGTAGGGCTGGATTAGTGGGTATGTATTGTTTAAATCTGGTTTTGCTATGAAATATATTGTTTTCTCCATCCATAGTGACTGAAAGCTTTTCTGGGTACAGTAGTCTGGTTTGGCATCCATGGTCTCTTACTGTTGGTAGGATAACTATCCACGACCTTCTGGCTTTCAGAGTTTCCATGGAGAAGTTAGATGTGATTCTGATAGGTTTGCCTTTATATTTTGTTTGGCCTTTTTCCTTTGCTGCTCTTAATTTTCTTTCTTTATTCTGTATGTTTGGGGTTTTATTATTATGTGGCAAGGGGACTTTTTTGTGGTCCACTCTATTTGGTGTTCTGTAGGCTTCTTGTGCCTTCATTGGCATGTCTTTCTTTAGATCAGGAAAGTTTTCTTCTATGATTTTGTTAAATATGTTTTCTGCCCCTTTGAGGTGGTTTTCTTCACCTTCTTCTATCTTAGGATTGGCCTTTTCACAGTGTCCCATATTTCCTGGATATTTTGTGTTAGGGATTTATTGGATTTTTAGATTTTCTTTGGTCAATGAATCTGTTTCTCCTAGTGAATCTTCAACGCTTGAGATTCTCTCTGAGATTCTCTCTTCTAACTCCTGTATTCTATTGGTTATACTTGAATCTGTAGTTCCTGATCACTTATCCAGCTTTTCTATTTCCAACATTCCCTCAAACTGCTTTTTATTGTTTCTATTTCAACTTTCAAACCTTGCACTGTTTGAACTGTTTCTTGCAATTTTTGGTTTGTCTTTTCCTCCATTTCTTGAAATTTTTTGTTTGTTTTTTCTTCCATTTCTTTAAAGGATTTTCTCATTTCCTCTTCATGAAGTTGTTTTTAAAATCATTCTCTTCTGCTTCATCTGTGTTGTGATATTCAGATCTTGCTAGTGTACAGTCCTTAGATTCTGGTGGTGTCATATTGGTTTTTCTGTCTTTGAATTTGTTCTTATGTTGTCGTCTTCCCATCCCTTCTTTCAATGGGTACAGGTGGGGTCTCTTCCTTTCCTGGAGGGTACAGGTCCAAGGTTCTCTTCCAGTGGGTGCAAGCAGGTCCAATACACTGACGGGTCTCATGGTGGGTGCAGACAGGTCTGAGGCACTCCCTCTCCTGGTGGGTGGGAGCTCTGCCCTGGGTGGGGGCAGGAGTATACCTGCTCTCTCAGCAGGCTCCTGGTCGCTCAATCCTACCAGGGCTAGTTGAGCTGGCTTCAGTCCGCAGGCCCAGAGATCCCAGAGAGCCATGGTAAGTTTTTAGAACCTGACCCTGACAAAGGCATGTTGTTGAGGGTAACAGCCCATCCTGCCAGTTGTCTTACTGCTAGTCCCAGCTGAGTGACCCCAGTAGCTCAGAAACTTTTTTCCCCCAAAGTCTCATAATCCAGAAGTAACACTGTCATTAACACTACCCTGGGAAGTTATAACATCATTAGTTCAGACAGGGTAGGCCATTGATATGAATTCTTCTACCAGCAAAGGAAAGATTGCCCTGAAGCCATTTTTATTGCATGACTCTCAGAACTTGGGAAGACATTACCAAGACAGTGATATGGAAGTAGTAAACATAACCCCCAAAAACTCCATACATGAAACTCATTAGCAGTTGTGAGTGGACATCTAATCTACATAATTTGGGGTGTGGACTAGGATGAGGGCTGGGGCTGCCTAGGCTGACTGGTTCCTTCAGCTTGCACACCCCAGAAGACTTCCCATCTCTGATTCTAATTGCTTATTTTCTTTTCAAACCATGGTTAAAACACCAAGATCTTTCCAGAGAATTGTGATGATGTGGAGGATAATGAAGTAAAAGTTTAAAAAAATAAAGAATAGTATATATTTGTGTTTTCATGAGATTTTCTTTTGTCCCTAGGATCCTGTTGATCTGGGATGGGAGCCATACATTAAGTCGTGGCTTTTGAAAACTTCAAAAACTATAAGTCAACGAGGAATGGAGTGTCTTGGATTACTGATTAAAAAAAGCATCACAGAAGGGCTAGAGTTCCTGAAGAGGAACAGAAAGTTCTTGCCATATCCCATACAAGATGTGACAGTCATCATGACTCTTTGCAGGATTCTAGATGCTTTGTTTGAATTCATGCATATAAAGAGAGGAGCTGCAAAAAGTGAGTTTTCCCCAAGTCACTCTCTTCAGTGGCAGCTTGTCACTTCCTAGTAGGTTTTATGAAAGAAAAGCGAAGGCAAGAAGATTGTAGATTGACTGAGTTAACAGCCAACATGTACATAGTACAAGCTAAAAACTCTTTAACAGAGGCATGCATCCACAGGGGTAAACCAATAATGTACATGTTGAGGTTCATTTAAAAAAAAAAGAGTATCAAGAGCCTTAGAATATCTTGCTTACTCAAGAATGTTTTGAGGATGCTTCAAGTTAGGAAGTATCTAAATCTATCCTGTGATCACATTGAGACAAAAAAAAGTAAGTGCTGAGGCAAGAAGAGAGGCCCTTGTTCTTGTTTCTTTTTTTCGGCTGGCCTTTCAGGCTGGCTACTTTGTGTCGACTTTTGGTTCACTATGCCTTTGTCTATACAGTTTGATCAGAGGCTATTGTGGTCATTGCTTTCTGTCTGATAGACTACAGCTTTCGTAGCTCTGCTGAAATTTGACACTTGTAAGAATATAACACACGGTGCTCCTCTGTTTGTGCAGGGTTACATTCAGATAAATCCACCATGACTTAATGTTTTAAGTTGAAGGCACGCTTAACACCCCTTAGCTATTAATAGTTTCATTGTGCTTCCCCCGAAAGGCTCCTCTGATAGGAGTTTAGTTACAAGCTAGCTGAAGAAACTTGGTCACTAGGTACCAGAACTTGGAGAATCTCATCCTGGCTCCTTCCCCTCCCTCTCTCCTTGCTGTTCACAATGAGGTGAACAAACACCTTCCCCAGACATCCCACCTCCATGATGACCTGCTTCACCAAAGCCCAGGATCAGCCAGCTAACTACTGTGGACGGAAATGGCTGAAACTGTAAGCCAAAAGTGAATCTGTCCTCACTGATATCGTTCATGCCAGGCATTTTGTCATGGAGATGGGAAAACTGACTAATAGGAAAATGGTGCCAGGAGTGGGGGTTTAATACCCTGCCCATGTGGTCCTTAAGCCTGTAGAACGGGTTTCCAGAGGGTGAAAATATTTGGAGATATTGGGCTGCAGAAGCCTTAAAATGTAAGTAGAACTTAGTGACTCAGAAGGGAGCTAAGACCAGAATGCTAGCACAGATGTGGACCGGGGAGGCCAGGCCGTGCAGTTTCAAGTTCAAATGAGACCTCAGTTGAGAACTGGACTAGAGGCGCTCCACCCATGCTACACTCAGAGAATCTGTCTATATTTTGTCCATGTTCTGAGACTGGGTGAGGCTGAATTTGATTGTTTATACTGATTAATTTGGCAAGGGAAGTTCTGAGACAGCATAGCATTCCAGCTCTGACATTGTCATTGCTAGCTGCTCATAGCCAGATTATAGTGAGATTCTGGAATAAAAAGTGGAGCAGAAAACTTGGGGAAGGGTGGGTGCGAGTATCTCAAAAGGCTGGTTTATAATCAGGGCTCTAGCCAGGCAGTGGTGGTACACGCCTTTAATCCCAGCACTCGGGAGGCAGAGGCAGGCGGATCTCTGTGAGTTTGAGACCAGGCTGGATGGACAGCCTCCAAAACCCTGTCTCATAAATCCAAAAAAAAAAAAAAAAATCAGGGCTCTAACAGGTCTGGCTTCTGAAGAAATCAGTTCAAAAGAAGAAACCAACCACTTTGCATTTGGATGATAGGAAATGTGCTTTAGTGACATCACAGGAATTAGCTGGATCCTTGCAAATTTTAGGGTCAAAGGTATAAAAGAATAAGCTTATTTTAAGGACTGTCCTTGAGAAGAGAATAACGCCAGGATACCATACCTCTGCAGGCCTGCCTAGGAAGTCATTCTCCTTGGATTTATTTTCACTGTGCTTAACAACCCAGGTTCCCAGAGACTGCTGCAGGGTACCAGGGGAGAGTCCAGTAGCTGTCACGGGGGAATCTCATCACCCTGTCCCCCAGCATTTATATGTTCATTTACAGGAAGATAAACATCAGATGGGATGCTCGCAATAACTTAGCCTTCACATCAATACCGGTTTTAACAGCATTTAGTAGCACTTTCAGTAATGCTCAGCTCCTGCCCAGCACCGGGGAGAGAGGTTGGTCTCCCTAATCTGTTTCTATGGAACCTTTAGTAGCCGTGTTTATAGATTCCAGGCAGAGGGAATACAACCTTCCCCTAGTGATGTCTTCTGGGTCATTTTCTTTGCTTACTTTGAGGGTAGAGTTGAGCTTGGCTATTAGCATCACCTCACCTCGCTCACCAGATGTTTTGATCCTGTCCTGGGGGCGCTTAGTGTCTCTTATCTGGAGACACTGCAGTCCCTTCTCTCAGGGCATCAAAGTTCAGAACTAGGGCTTAAAAATGAGAGTGGCCAAGCTCCAGGGAAATGAAACAAAATAATCCCAAACTCTAAAAGCGAAAGTATCTGGCAAATATTGATCCAAATTGTAAAGCCGTTCATTCTCTTGTCTCCTGCGGAAGATGCTTCTGATAAAAGGTTCATTGCTGGCTTCCTGTACGCCAGAGCTTACAGGAAGACCCCGATAGCCATGAAGATCAAAAGGCACTAGGATAATGTGGTCTGTAGTGGCCTTAACCCCCAGAAACCAGGGGATTCAGCCAAAGAGAAGCAGAAATGATTCTCAGAAAACTGTGATGATATCTGTCACACACACACACACACACACACACACACACACACACACACACACACACACACACACAGTCAGCAATGTACCACAGGCTTGAAAGATGAGAGACCAGGAGTTGAAGGAGTCACTAGTCCCTTCCCACACTTGAGCTAGACACCAAGCCAACAACCTACAAATGGAAGAGGCATCTAGGACACTCTGTAACATCACAGGAAGTTTGTAAACACCGTTACCCCGAGTTTTCTCCACAGGGAACTACAACCATTTACTTCAATAGGTTATACTAAGAAAAGAGAAGTACTCAAATTTATTTTATCCTTTGTTTTGTGATGGAGTTTCGTGTATCCCAGACTAACTTTGAACTTCAAGCCAGGATGAACTCCTGCTTTTTACCTTCTGAATGTGCAGTTACAGGCTTGGGCCACCATATCCACTTTTATTGTTAAAAACACCGCTTTTAGAGAAGGAAGGTAGATAATAAAAAGAGACCACAACTGATGTGTATATACCAAAAGTTAGTTTCCCTCTAAATTCCTTTTACTTCTCATCTAGCTCCTCAATGGCTACTGCACTGAAGAAAACAACACCTACCTACTACAGCAACTCTTCAGTACTTGGTAGTTCCTCAGGAAAGGGCGGGGCATGTGGGCGGGGCATGTGGGCACCTCCTTTCCCTTGATAGACATTGATATCTATAACATACCAGAGTATAACACTAAAGGAGGGTACCAATTGAGTCAACCTTGTTAAAGCTATTTAACGATGCATGCTGAAAATACTGATAAATTTGCCTTAGCATTGTTGTTTTGGGATCTTTTATAGAGTTATACCCGGAGAAATACACAAAGGTTTGTGCGCAAGAAGGTTTATACACAGCAGAACTATTTATAGTCATAAAAACAACCTGAATTCCAACAATGGGAGATTGGCTTAATGAATTATACTGCAACAAACCATGTTTCCAAGGACACACAATGGCATTAAAACAGCCTTAAAATAAAAAGAGCAGGATAAGAATGAAAGTCTTTTCATTTTTATCTGACTTTACAATTTAAAATACATTGTGTACTTTATGTTATTCCATAAGTAATAACAAAGATATTTTGATGGTTATGGAGGAGACTGAAACTATGAGTTAATTTTTTTCTGCATACTTTTCTGTCTTGAAGTATTCTAAAACATATATTTTAATATTCACACAAATATTATAAAGCTAAGCTATAAAGAATGAGTCATGATTTATTCTGTTTTTCTACGTTGAACGGATGACTTGCACAAAATGAGTCAGGAGGAAGGAAGAGAGACGCGCCAGTGGGAAAGACTCCTCCGGTGGCAGTTTACAGCTAGACAATGTTACCAGTTGAGCCTCATTAATTGGCCTATGGAATTTTAGGTCTGTTGTTAATTGTACAAAAATCCTGTTGTTTCTAAGGTGATGATGGAATAGGCAATGACTCAACTAAAGAGGCAAAACCTTTGAGAGTCAAGTTCAAGGATGAAGGAAAAGGGTGAGTTGCATTCATCCAGGTTTGGAGAACCTCCTAGATATGAAACATGCAAGGGCACGCAGGGTCGTTGTCAGTAAACCATGTTTCGTGGTTTCCTAATTCTAAAGTCTACATGATTTTATCCCAACTTAGAGTCCTCTGTAGCAAATAAAAGATAACCACATTTTCATGGTGCTTTAACATAGTAAGGTTGTTATAAAAAATATTCGTCTTGCCTTTACACATTTTAGGACAGAATAAAATTGATGCGAGTTTATTTCACATATCAACCCTTTATAAGCCATGAAATGTCGAGCCATTTATAAGGTTTGAAAGCCTCGCCTCGCTTACATAACTGGAATGACAATGTGACACGCTAGCTGTCTAGATTAGTTAGGTTAATAGTTAGGTGCATGATACATTACAGCTATGGAATTACTCCTTCTATATTTCTTCTGAATGATGACCTGTGCTGAGCCCACAGTCTTGAATCTCTGCAGCCTCCCTGGCCAGCAGAGTGACAAGCTACAGCGGTCAAGAAAGGCAGTTTAGCACAACATGCCTAGGTAGCTGGTGGCGGTTCAAACTCTGGAAGTCTGACCCCCAGCAACTTATTTTAGGTACATTTAAGCACAGTGAGCAATTTGACGAAAACATTTGTGGTAGTAATTAATTCAATCCCACACGTATAATAAGCATTCACAAATCTCTTTGGGGAACAAGGTAAGCTAAATGAAAATTGGGTATGACTGTATCGAAACTTCTGGTAAAGTACACATGGTACCTTCCACACGGATAGGTTCTGTAGATTGAGAAAAAACAAGCCTATGAGAAGGGTCTCAGGGAGAGCCTGTGTGGTCTCTGGCACACAGATAGCACAAAAGTCACCAGGCTAGAATGCATGTCCACTCCTGGAATTCTGCCCTTGAAGGGACAACCCTGTGTGCTATTCCAGGTCCCCCTCATACTTACCTGTGAGCACAAGGACTTCTACCTCCCACATTAACCCACTGCCACTCCTCTTATCTTACACAACTCTCTGCTTTGTTCATTCTTTCATGCCCTGTGAAAAGGCATCATATCCACTTCATTCAGAGTGGCAGATAAATAGCAAACATTTAGTAAACATTTGCTAAATTATACACAGCAAGATGGTTCAGATAGAATTATGTCAACACTCTGTCTGCTGATAGTTGCTGATGAATTTCAGTCTGATATAGCTTAGTTTTTCATACTTTATATATAATTTTATGATACTGTTGAAACAACGCAAGATGTTAGAAATTAGGCCCAACCCTCCTGCTTAACCTGTCATCGTCAATCCTGCCACCACAAAACTCATGGTTCATTAGCATGAGGAGTCTGGATTCACCTCAACTAGAAAACAGTCTCTTCAGAATCAGACTGCCCATCAACAGCCATGTTGAACTAAGTCAACCCTTAACATTGACCAAGAGAAATGCAAAGTGAATACTATTTCCTATATCTTTCATGAATTGTCCTCTCCCCCAACAAGTAAACATCCAACTGTAAGTTGACCTAAAATTAAAAAGGGTTACATATAAGTACTAAATAAATGATGTACATGTGTACATGTACATGTAAAGCATGTATACATATCAAATAAACTATTAAACATGTATCAAAAGTATATCATGGTAAAGGTATATGTACATAGAATTATTTGTTAAATAAAGGTATATGGTAAATTTGTCAACATATTACCAAAAATAAATATGAAACAAAAGTTAATTAAGTAGGACTGTCTTGCACATATGCTACTTTAAAAATAAACACAGTAACTAATTTGTGTAGCTGTTATCTAAGGAAGCATTGTGTAGTAGATCTAAAACTTTACATCAATACTGTATTACAATTTTTAACAAAACTTTGACGTGATGCTGAGATAAATTTTCCAACCACTTATAAAGCTTTTGACATTCACCTTCCCACGCAGCTACTACCGGGATGAAAATGCGTGGTATTTGGAGAAGAACCCTGAAAAGTTAACAGTGATGATTCAGAAGGTCTTTGTGTTTGCTTTTACGTGGGCGTTTGGAGGGATTTTAAAGCGTGAAGACCAACATGAAGAAGACCTGCTATTTCGCTCAAGTTTTGAGCCTGATTCTCTTGCAGAAGTAACCTATAATTTCGACAACCTTGTTCATGAATTATTTGAAGAAGATCCAGAAAAAGGTCAGTTGACTACCAACTATAAACTAAATAATTCATTTTTGCTAAAAGTGTAAAATCTGAATTATACACAAAATAGGAAGATAATGGGGAAGTGTGTTTGGTGGGTAAAGGATGTTAAGGTCTTTGTTGGATAGAAATATCAAACTTTGGATTAATCTCGGCAATATATAAATCAGTATATTTGAAACAAACAGAATACTAAAAATAAATTAATATATATGTGATACAAATACAAAATAAGGCAGAGGAGCAGTAAAGTAAAATAGAAGCAAAAAATTAAAGCAGATTGAAGAACACTGTATTTAAAAATAATAGCAACCTACAGGGGCTTGGGGGATGTAATAGAATTTTTTTGTGCAAGCATTAATACCTGAGTCAGAATCCCCAGCACCTACTCAAAAATCCAGGAGTGGTTGCATGTACCTGCAGCCCCAGCATTGGGGTGTGGAGATGGAAGAATTCTGAGACCAACGATCTTAGCCAAATGGTAGGTTTATGTCTCGGGGGAGCCACAGTGTCTCATGGCAATAAAGTGAACAGTGACAGAAGACAGTTGATAGCCTACACTGGCTTCCACATGTGTGCCCAAGGTGCATGTGTGCACACACATGCATGTACCACATACACAAGGACTCACAAACCAATTGTGAGCTCATATGAATTTAACACCATGGCTCTATCAACAAAATTTTAAGGATTCTGAGAGAAAACTAACAACTCTAAGATCATAGTTGAGTGAGATGTTTTCATTTATGCCTTTAATCCTGGGGCTTAGAAAGTAGGGACAGGTGTCACCCTAGAGTATAGCAATTTTGACTCAAAAGGAAAAACAAATCATTGAAAATTATTTTTAATATATTCCTAAAGAAACTGAAAAAAGAAGACAAGCTATAAAAACTAACACAGTGTATATTAATATATTAACCATGGTTAGACATATACATCTATCCAGTTAACCCTGCTATCTTTGGTGACACTATAGTTAATCTATTTTGCTTTTTTAACTTATATTTTCAAAAGTTTTTTCAATAAATGTACTATTTTTAAATGGGAAAGAAGTATGATTTATAAATATTGTCAACATCCCATATTACATTTGCTTGACCTGAGTCAGTATGTTACTGGAATTAACTAGCATCCAAACACACAGTAACAACAAGAACTTTGGGATAAGATTTCATAGGACATTTGAACACAATTTACTCTTTTCCACATGCAAAAAATGATTAAAAATTAACAAACTTTTGCTTTTGTACAAACCAGTATTTAGAGGGAATGGGCTGCCCGTTTTATATAGCTGCATGAACTTCATTGGATCCTGGCTCACGAATCCTTACCTTTCAGCTAGAGTTCATGTCACTGGTGAGCCACTTTCTTACTGGATTCTTGGATGTGTTGTTTTCAGACTTTGGTGTCATCTTACCATGTGGCGAACGGTCTATATTTGGGTATTTTCTGGACTTACAGCATTGCGAGTTTATGCCTTGGTCAAATTTAGTTCCTAATGCTCAAACAATAATTCAAAGAGGTAAGTATAATTACTTTTGAAAGGTTTTTAGCTTCTCTAAAATTCTGGAGTTGTAATTATAAAAATAGATGTGTTTGCAACACTGAGGTTTGACATGTTCCAATATGTGTCTTTGTAGGAACAGCTTTTATTCATATTTATAAAATGTGCCTTGAAATCTCCTTATAACGTTATAGTAACTGTGTCGTAGGGGCAGGAGAGATGGCTCCGAGATGAAGAGTGCTGGCTGCTCTCCCAGAGGACCCAGGTTCATTTCCCAGCACCCACATGGCAGCTCACAGCCGTCTGTAACTCAAGATCCAGGGGATCTGCTGCCCTCTTCCTGGGCACCAGGCATACACGTGATGCACAGAGGGACATGCAGGCAAAACACCCATGGATATAGACAGACAGACAGATGATAGACAGACAGACAGAGAGACGGACAGACAATTGTAAAATGTGTAGTGTATTTAGACACATTATAAAGCTATAGTGTGCAGGGACTCTCCAGTGACAGTGTCTACTGGTTTAACTAGGTGTGGTCAATAGCCAATAATGGAAAGTAACTCTTTAAAAGTAAGGAAAACACACACATAATATCATGTACTTTTTATTGTCAATTTGGGTCTTTCCCCAGGCTGGTCAGAAGCAATGACTCCTGTCGCACTGGGTAGTCACCAGTAGCTGCAGCTCCCAGCCAGCCCCACAACCTCAGGGTGAATGGCCTATCCTCCCCAGTATACTGTGCTGCTGAACATAGGTCTGTTGGAAATAACTCCATCATAAGTTGAGGAGCACATTATTGGGGGTGCTAGGGAATAGCAGAGGCTGTGGGAATCAGGTTGACAAGGCAACTACCTCCAGAACACTGCAGCAGAGGTGGCCTGCTTGCCAGAAATCCTTGTGAAAACATGGCCTCTGTCAGCACTGCCCACAGCCCTGGCATCTTTAGCCTCCACATCCTTAGCCATGGCTGGCAGGAAAGGCATGGAAAAGAAAGTTCCCAATACCAAAGTCTTCAGCGCCGTCAAATGATCCAGCATCAGAAATAGACCTGGACTTATGAATCAAAATCATACCCATGAGGTTGTATTTATACTGCAATTAGGAAGAATAATCCAGACCTGTAAGAGGGCTCAGTGGATAAAGGGCCCCCAAGTCTGTTGACCTGAGTTTGAGCCCTGGGATTCACATGGTAGAAAAAGAGAACTGCCACTGCCACAGGATCCTCTGAGCTCTACCCACTCAGCCTGTGTCTGACCACGCACTCTAAAGTACTCACTGTGGCGTGTGTCTGACCACACGTACTCTAAAGTATACACTGTGGCCTGTGTCTGACCACGCACATACTAAAGTGTACATTGTGGCCTGTATGTGACCTCATCCACACTGTGGCATGCATATGACCACATACATTCTAAAGTGCAGCATGCATATGACCATATACACTCTAAAACACATGCTTTGGTATGTATATGAGCACATACACACTAAAATACACATTTTTAAAATGTTTTTAAAGAAGAATCCATGGTGGTCTCTGACCAGTGAAGAAGATGGGGAAACTGTAGCGTTCTGTGTGGTTGGAGGAGAAAGGGGTGCTGAAGCAGCCAATGGGACTGGCCTGGAAGGAGTTCTCATAACAGTTTCGCACTGCTCGGCACAGCCGTGGACCTCCTAGTAACGCTGCTGAGAGGGAGGGGTGAAGATGTGCTGTGAAATCCACCTTCCCACCCAAGGCAGCCTGTGCTGGGTCTTCAAATCAAAAGTCAGCTTGAAAGTACTTGAAGAGTCACAAAGTGTAAAACATGACATCAGGGCTAGAGAGATGGTTAAAAATGCCTGATGCTCTTGCAGAGAACCCAGTTTCAGTTTCCAGAACCTACCTGTCACTCCAGTTCCAGGGGATCAAGTTCCATCTTCTAGCTTCCACGCACATAGAGCTGGCATACATGCAGGCAAAACACCTATACACATAAGATAAAAAAAAATATTTAAGTGATACAGTCCATTAAGAAAGAATTGAATAGAGCTTTTAGGATATTTATTGTGTGTGCGTGCATGATGCATGTGTGCACACACGTGCATGGTGGGGGGGGACACAAGCGGTGTGGCAATTGTGTGGAAGTAAGTAAGCACGTCTAGGATTACCCAGCTTGCATAGCGAGAGCCTTTACCACTGAGACATTTCGCTGGCCCAGAATAGATCTCCTGCAAATGAAAAATACGGAGTGAAAACACTAAACCAGGGCCTGGAGAGATGGCTCGGTGGTTAAGGGCACTGACTGCCCTTCCAGAAGACCTGGGTTCAATTCCTAGCACCCATATGGCAGCTCACACCCATCCGTAACCGCAAGATCTGACAGCCTCACACAGACATGCATGCAGCCAAAACACCAATATACGTAAAATAAAAATAAATTATTTAAAAAAAAAGAAAGAAAATGCAAAACCAGGCCTGGAAAGTTGGCTCCGCCATTAAGAGCTCTCGTTGCTCCCGCTGAAGCCCTGGATTTGATTACAGCACCCATGTGGTGCCTCCCGGCCGTCTTACTCCAGCCCTGGGGGATCCAGCATGCTCTTCGGACCTTCCCTGGCACCGGGTATGCTCATGGTACACAGGTACATTTGCAGGAGAAATACTCATACACATAATGAAATACAAATCTTTAAATAAATAAAAACCCAAAATAATCCACTTGGGCAATGCTTTGCCATTTTGAAGCATACATTTAAAGTTAATGTTATTCTGAAGATACAAAACAGGTAGGTTACAAAAGAGAAAGCAAAAAGATACAAAACTTAAAAGGTAATTACTGACTTGCCCAGCGAGTATTGAGTACCAAAAACAATGGGCTGCTATCTCCTTCCAGGTAATCCAAAACCTAAAAACTGTTTTCTGACCTTAGGGACATCGCTGCTGACTGACTTCCAGGGGTCCAGCGAGAACGTGCTACGGATGAAGGAATGTGGGGAGTATGTAAACTACACCGCCACCAGGGACACCATCTGCCTCTCTTTCCTCATGAGCCTTCTCCTGAAGAACTCCTACCCTGTCCTCCTCACAGGTCTCAAAAATAAGGAACAGGGAATTCCTGAGTCAGGAAGAAGTTTACCTATTATTGGGTCTAATCATGTTCAAGCGGGAATTAGTTAACAGGCCCCGAAAATTAAGAGAGACTAATTTTCAGTGTTACTGATAGCCTATGAAAGCCCACTTTAATGAAGGACATTGTAAGCCTATGTACCTGTTTTCATTACATAAAAGACAAATTCTAGAAATGTACACATCAGATGAATATGTGGTTGACTTTCATAGTCCATGGGCCCTGGTCCTTACACGGCCACCTCTGGTAACACCAATTGTCTAATTAAACTTAAACATTTGCAATTTGTAAATATGGCATAAAATTTTCCAATCTTTTACTATTACCAAAGGAAAGACTCAGTACAGTTCCTGTTCATTCTGGATATTTCTCCAATCCATTGGCTAACATTTTCTTGTCTCTGGCCTGTGCTGTGGATCACCCGTGGCAAATAATAGTGTTCCCAGGGACATACACAAAGAGCTTCAGCGGTGTGACACTCAGACAGCACATACTCATTTGCCTCTGATTTGCTGTAAGGAAACTTGAATTTTTCCGTTTTGTGAACTTGGAGTCATGAGTCCTTGCTCTGCCTCAATATGTTTATTTTTAAATGCCACCTTAGATTGTGTTAGAAAAAAAAAAGATAGTAAGGGAACTGGGTGTTGTGATGCAAGCCTGTAATCCCAGTACTCAGGAGGCTAAGGCAGGAGGATTGTTGAGTTCAAGACCCCCCTAGGCTATATAATAAGACCCTCCCTCAAAAAAGCAAGATGATGAGGTGGGCTGGGGAGAAGGCTTGGGGTCAGCAGCACTCGCTGCTCTGGCAGAGGGCTCAGGGCTGTTTCCTGGCACTCACTTCATAGTGCATAAGCACCTGTGACTCCTGCCCCAGGAGCCTACAGCCTCCTGCATGGGCAGAGTCGTGCACATGCTCACGCAGAGGCAGCACTCGTGCACATAAAACATCCTTTGCAAATCGATTTTGTTTCATTTGTTCAGTTTCAGTTAACGTAGTTCTAGCATGCTATAAGCAAGAAACGGTTGTGATGGGCTTAAATGAACATTACGTAAAAATTACAATTATCTCCTAATCTGTCTTTTGTAAGCATATAAGTCAAACAATTTGAAAGAAATTCACATTATATCCCTAATTAACTTCTCTCACATTTAAAACAGAAGAAGAAAAATATTCTTTCTGTGTCAATTAAATGAATATGCTACTAGTTCGTTTTAACCTACAAATGTGTGTAATTTTCTGGCACATGGCTCTAACCTAATATATTTCCCCCTCAGGAGACTCTGGTGTCGGGAAGACTACTATCATCAGTGAGATGCTTGAAAAGCTAGAGGGCCGAGGAACATTTGATATAAAATACGGGTCAATTTTAGGAAAAGTTCTGTTACACAATGAAATTAAAAGATCAAGGTATATCTATTTATATATATTAAACTTTAAATTTGGCTTTTTTGGTAAGACTGTTTCCTTGCCAGGCAGTGATGGCACACGCCTTTAATCCCAGCACTCGGGAGGCAGAGGCAGGCAAATCTATGTAGTTTGAGACCAGCCTGGTCTACAAGAGCTAATTCCAGGACAGGCTCCAAAGCTACAGAGAAACCCTGTCTTAAAAAAAAACTAACAAGCAAAAAATGTTTCCTTGATGAATGTCAACTTTGTTCTTACAAAGCTAATCTTTTATAAGATGACGAGAATTATGAGGCAATAAGAAAAATATTTTCTCAATCTCTCAGATATATATACATACATATATGTATATTTGTGAGAAGTAATGGGCTGTCTAAATGTATATGTGTGTTATAAAATTACATCAGCCGATTAGCACAGCTGCCACCTCACGTGCTTACACTCTGCAGTGAGAGCACTTTAACCCTGCGCTTCCTGCAGTTCTGCGGTCCCTCCATGGCCAGGAGACACACCTTAAAATCAGATTCCCCTTATTTGCATCCTTGGGCAGACACCCCATTTGTTCCCACCCACCCTCAGCCCCTGACACCTTCCCCTCTTTCAGCTTCCATGAGTTGAGCTTTCTTCAGACTCTCACTACAGTGGAGTTTAGTAATTCTTGCCTGGCTCAGTTCACTCTCTGTATGGAAATATCCGGTTGTTTTGATTTATTTTCATTTGTATTCTTTTTATTTTAATTTTTTTAATTAAGTATCTGGGGTGGGGCTTGTGTGGCCGCCGATGCCTGCAGAGGCCGGAAGAGAGCATCACATACCCTGAAGTTTGGGGCCATTATGTGCTGTCTGACCTGAGGGCAAGCATCCAAACTCCAGGCCTCTGCGGTAGCAGCAGTGCTCTTAGTCACTGAGACGCCTCTCCTGACCCTGTAGTCACTTCTGCTACCTTCCTCTTTCTGTTCAGGGTGGCTGTGTCTATTTGGAGTCTTGTGATTTCACAAAAAAAAAAACCAAAAAAAAAAACACCAGCTTGAGTTTTGATAGCGATTACACTGAATTTGTAGATCATTTTGGGCAGTATAAGCACTATAACAATATTGATTTTTCTAAACCATGAATACTGGCTATAGTTCCAGATATTTGTATGACTTTTCAACTTCATTATAGTTTTCAATATATAGACATTTTTAATTATTGAGATGATCGTTATAGCTTTTTGCCCTTTATTCTATTACTATGATGCACCACTTTTTATTGATTTGTATACATTGGACCATCCTTGCATTCCATGAATAGGTCTCACTTGATCACAAAGAATGGTCTCTTTAATATGCTGTCAAGTTTGGGTTTGTTAGCTTTCTGTTGAAGATTTTTGCATCTGTGTTCCTAAATGATACTGTCCTGAAATTCTCTTTGTTTATATCATTTTCTTATCAGGGCAATGCTGTCTTTATGTAATGATTTTGGAAATATTCCTTCTACCTCCATTTTTTGGTAGCATATGAGCAAACATCCACTCTTCTCTAAATAATCAGTAGAAATCAGTGTAAAACCATATCGTGTAAAACCATACAGTGCGGAGCCATACGGTTCTGAGATATCTTTCCTTTAATGGAGGGCTTTTGTCACTGACTTAACCCTTAAAATTGGTTTGCCCTAATTTTCTATTTAGAAGAAAATCTTTACTTTTTTCCGAAGTGTTAACTGCTGAATTCATTCCTTTAAATCAGATATACTTTCATTTATTTTAAATATAACTAAGTTTAGAACCACACACTTTATTTAACAGAAAATGCAACTATAAGTTATTTCCTCCCTCACAAAGTTTTGCATAATATCAGCTTGTGGTAATAGAATAAATCATCTACATATGAAATATATAAAGACTTTTTATAAGGAGCATGTGCCTATCATTCTGAATTTTGTCTGCCTCTTCCTAAAAGAAAAAAATAAACCTCTTTTGCAAATACAATTTTCTAAAATGAAACACATTTCTAAAACTTAAGTCTCACCTTGTTAAAATACTAGAGAAGCCTGCTTTTTCAGCTGATAAGAAAATGGCATGTGGAGAGGTCTTAACACCATAAAAGTGTGAACAGAAAAAGACATGTTTTCTTGTGGGCAGTCTAAGTAAAATCAATGACAAGCTGCTACTTTGATTAGATTTTATTACTGCAACTGGAATGATGAACTAATTTTGGGTCCTTAAACCCTTTGCTCCCAACAGCATAAGGCAGAATATCAGCATCTTGCTTGCTGAAACCTACAAATCAACCCTCGGAGGTTTTGGTAAGTGTGGCCACATGGGATCAAACTTCTCTATGGTGGCCATATGTGAAGCCATTCCTTACAATGAGAAGTCGTAGAGTAACGACTAGAATCGCTTTCATCCCAGCACTCGGGAGGCAGCAGCAGGTGGATCTCTGAATTCGAAACCAACCTGGTCTACAGAGCTAATTCTAGGACAGCCAGGGCTATTACACAGACAAACCCTGTCTCAGGAAAAAAAAAAAAAAAAGTAAAACTGGAATTATTCATTTAAAATACAAACTGTTGAAAGTTATCCGGGACCCACTCAAACTATGGTGGAGGAGACTGTATGCTCCCACGGGTGACTCCTGCCACCCTGGTGGAAGAGCGGGTGGGATCTAGGAGGCACTCTCTGGCTCCGTTCTTTCCTGGTGCCCAGCACAATGCAGGAGAAAGTCGTGATTCTGGAGCTCTCGTGCCAGGACGAACAGCAGAAGCATGAGTCCAGAGACAGTCTGGGGTCTTAAACTAGTGTAGCAGCATCCTACACATCCCCCTGGATGATTCTGACTCTGGGAATGAGTCCTGCATGGTGCTTTCCCATCATTCGGTTCAACGGGTCTAACACAATGAGCACAGCTTTCATACCACTGTGTGTGTTATGGTTTCTGACACGTAGTGTACAATGAAAAATCATGGAACCATTGAAAGCTGCTGTCCTCCCTCGGACAGAGCATTGTCATTAAAAGAACAACAGCAGGATAAAATGGTTTATTTCAAGTTTCCTAACACCCTAAAATAGAGCATACATATCCTAAACTGCCCTAAATTTATTTCTCTTTTTGTATTTGGCATTGTAGAACAGAGTGCAAAGAAAGTAGAGATTAAAACTGATGACACCACAGTTAAAAATGATAAAGGAATTATAGTCTCTACAATAAATTTTACCACCAATATGACAGCGACCAAAACCAAGGAGATGATTCTGCGGAAGTTAGTCAGAAGAACCAAAGACATACTCGGAGCCCCAAAAAACAACAGGGTAACAGCCCCTCTGAGCCCTCTGTTTGTATGAATCAAGTAATGAATTGGTTTGTTTTAGTTTGTAAAAAGGAGAACATGCACTCCTGAGTGTTGTTTTAAAATGCACTTACAATAGGGACTTTGATTTTTTAAACAGTGTAATCCTCTTCCAGTATAATGGGTTGCCCTGTGAGAATTAAGACCAAAAGAATATGCCAAAATCTAGATAAAGCTTGCCTGGAACCTGAGTTAGCTACTGGTGCCTTGGTGCTGTAATTTCTAGCTCACTTTCTTCCACTGCACGGAACTCTAAAAGAAAGAGGGACTTCTAGAACCCAGGGACTCTAGAAGGCATGACGGGAATGACTTGTGGGAATGAGGCAGGCACACGGGGGCAATCGGGTGCTCTTCATGTCACCTCCAGGCTTCTTGGCCTGGAATCAACTGTCAATTTGTTATCTGAGTCCCAATGGGAGCTTACGATCACTGACTCCCATTCAATACCATGAAGTTAATTCAGGGTCAAGAGGTTTACAAGATTCACAGATAAGCCTGTGTGGGGGCCTAGGAGTCCCTGCTGCCATTGCCTGTGTCACCTTTAGCAGGTCTGAAGGCCTTGCTTCAGATTCCCTTGACTTAGACTAAAGATTTAAATAAAACTGCCTACATGAATAAGCTTTAGGAGTTTGAAAGGGTTTCAGCAACCTATAATCACACCATTAGAAAATGAAGGTGAGTGCAGGGGGTGTGGCGCACGCCTTTAATCCCACCCGGCACTCGGGCAGAGGCACTCGGATCTCTGTGAGTTCGAGGCCAGCCTGGTCTACAGAGCGAGTTCCAGACAGCCAAGGCTGTTGCACAGAGAAACCCTGTCTCAAACCACCCTGCCTCCCCACTAAAAGAAAACGCAGGCAAGAAACATGACTGCCAGTCTATATTTCAGGAGGAGAAATACTTTTTTTAAAAAAAAGTTGACAGTTACAAATTAGGAAATTAAAGCAGTCATTTGTTTTTTAATTCACAAAAAATAAACACAGCCAAAAGAGTTAATCGCACAGAGATTATGATCAACACACTTTACTGCATAATACTGTCCTAGGTAAAAAGTAATACAAATTTAAAAACTGGAATATGTTTCTGAATTTTATTCCCAAACCAGATGCGTATGAAATAGAAGAGCTAAATCCTCCAACGGGGCCTTGCCAGTAGTAAGCACATGAAAAGAAAATGCTTAGTGAGCTGGCACATTCAAAAGTACACGCCACAGTCAATGCTTTATCAGCAACAAAAAAGCACTCCTGAGTATCATGTAGTTGTTTTAGGAACCAAGGGTGCATAGTTTCTGCTGGTTTGAATGCTTGCTGTCTTCTAAGACCAGAGCATCAAAATAGATAAGCTCTTCTGCTTTTAACTTTTAAAGAGCAGATTACTAAATGTAATTTTGTTCTTGAACAAATAGCATAACATCTGTAGTTTAAGATTTTTTTAAAGGTTGTACTAATTAATATTTTGAAACATCCTGTCTCCCTTCAGATTGTAGTATTTATAGACGACTTGAATATGCCAGTACCAGATACCTATGGAACACAGCCACCCCTGGAATTCATCAGACAGTTACTAGAAATGGGCGGGGTTTATGATACTGAAAGAAATTCATGGAAGGTACAGTATACACCAAGATTTCCTCCTCACTGGATAATGTTATGGAACACTTACAGCAACACTGAGTGAGGAATTTAGAAAGTCTGGTTACGTAAATATGTTAATGTTGAGACCCTTCTGTGTTTCCTTCTCTGGAAATCAAAAGCCCTTTGTTCTAAAACTCGATCCACCAGTTTCAACTGTCCACTCCTCAGGTCTCTCCTCCATAAGACGGGATGACTGTGTTGCAAAAAGTTGCATGTCCCTGGAGACTAAAGCACACTGGGTAGTGAGTGGCATTGGCTGGGACGCCGGCCAGACTGTCCAAGTCACCACCCACCTAAGCAGAGAGGAAGAGCCCCAGTGCAGCCTCTACAGAGAACTTGAGAGAGGCGGGAAAACAAAGAAGAAAACGAAACGGGTCCCGGAATAACAACCTGGACAAAAGCCCTACAGCTACCAGAAAATAGTCATAGTAGGCCTTTGATGGGATTTCTGAAGCCCCAGCACGGGCATGGGAACGACCAGAAGTGTCAAACGCACCCCATCAGGATAGACTGGGTCCTGTTCTGGCTTTAATGGGTTGCACAGGATCCTAGTCTTTTTTTTTTAATTAATGTTTTACTAACAAGCAAAGAGATGGATCTCATTTTTATATTTTCGTGCATTTATGTCCTTGTAGCTTGCCGTGACTTGTCTCCCTCTCTCATGCCTCTCATGCCTGCCCCTCAGTGGTCCCTTCCCTTCCTCCAAGTAGTTCCACATTGCTGTCATGTCAAATCTGAATTTGTGTGTGCGCGCGCGTGTGAGCGTGTGTGCGTACATATAAGAGACAATGTGTGATATAGTTGTTTCCTCCCTGCCTCCCATTATCCTCTCTTTTTCTCTTCCCTGTTTATATCCGCTTCTCCTCTCATTGGTTGCTTCCTACTTTCGCGTTGTATTTGTTTGTCCGATTTAGATTTACATCTAGAAAACACAATCTTTTCCTATATGTATTTGTCTTTGTAACAGTGCTCTCCAGCTCCACCTACCGCCCTCCAAATGGTTTAACTTTGTACTTTTGTTTGGCTTTTATTTTTAATTACGTGTGTGAGTTCATGCCTGTGTGTGTGTCTGTGTGCAGCTCAGTGCTGCTGCCTGTGGAGGTCAGAAACGGGTGTTGGATCCCCTGGAGCTGGACTGATGGGATGGTGGGAGCTGTGCTGTGTGGGTTCTGGGAGCTGGATTCCAGTTGTGTACCAGAGCAGTATGCAGTCCTAACCATGAAACCATCTCTCCAGCCCCGCTTCCCCCCTCTTTAAACCTGGGTAGAATTCTACTGTGTTGAGAGGTGGATTTTTGTTTTGCTCTTCTATGTGTAGCTGTCCAGTTTTCCAAACACCTTTTGTTAAGAGCTGCCTCTTTCTAGTTGGTGGCTTTGGAGATTGACTTATTCCTGTTTTTCTAAGACATTGAGATGTGTCCTTAAGTTATTCATTTGAGATCCAGTTCTTCTTTTTTATTACTTTCAAGTCGCCATACAAAGTAATGAGTTTCACTATAGCATTTCATGTGTCTGTGTGGTTATACTTTGTTTTAATTTGCTCCCCTCCCACTGCCTCGGCTTGGTTTTTTAATTAAGTACTCACTTGTAGCTATGAGTTGTTACTCTACAGCTTCCTTCATTGTCCTACAGACTACAGTGAACGCTGTGCTTTCATTTTCATCTGATTCTAGGAAGTTCTTTATTTTCACCCTGATCACTCCAATGACTCATTGGTCATTCAAGAGTACATTGTATAATCTCTGGGTGTGTCTCTTGTTTCTGGTTTTATTCCACAATAACCTGATAAGAAATTGTTTCAGTACTTGCTTTATGAATTAAAATGTGTACAATTTTTTGAAGCTGACATGCTGTTAAGAATAATGTGGATTCCACAGCTGTTGTGTAGATTATTCTGTAAATGTCTATTAAATTCATGTAACCTATGGTATAGATTACTCTGAAGTTTCCTTACTAGCTGTTAGTCTTGATGACCTGTTTCAGAAGTGGGCTGTTGAAATCACCCCCTGCTGTTACATCCAAGCCTATTTGGTTTATGAAATTGGAAGTCCCAATATTCAGTGGGCATGTATGTACAATTGTTACGGCTTCTTGGTGGGTCACTCACTTTGTTAAGCTGTCTTGTACTTCCTTGAAGGTTTTCAGTTACAACATACTCCATCAGTTATCATAATAGTTACCCCAGAATGATTCTTGCTTTCATTTGCTTGGTTGATTGAGTTCTGTCCTTTCTCTTGGAGACTTTTTAATGAGTGAGCTATGTTTTTTGAAGGACATTATCCAACTGACTAGTCTGCATTATTTAATTGGGAAGTTAAAACATTTACATTTAGGGTTATCAGTGGGAAATATCTACTACTACACTTTTTGGAGCCCCCAAATGAGTGCAATCAGGCAGTATTTTACTTTCTGTATCTGGGTTATTTCACTTAGCATAATGTCTTCCAGGCTCATTTATGTTGTTACAAATGACAATATTTCCCTCTTTTTTAAGATTTGGTGGCATTTCATTGCATATATACACCAGAGTTTCTTCATCCATTAGTGGGCCCTTAAACTGATTTTGTGTTTTTTTTTCTGTTACTAATAGCACAGTGAATGCAGATATATTTTTATACTGATTTAATCTCTGTTTAATGTGTATATATACTGGAACATGTGGTAATTCTACTCTTACGAGGAACCTGAACCCTGTTTTTCATGATGTCTGTGCTAATTACATTCCCTCTAGTAGTTTTCAAGAATGTCCCTTCTCAGCCTCACCAGTATTTTCCATTTGTTGTCTTTTTTGCTGCTAGCTGTTCTAGCTGAGATGAAGTGGAATCTCCCTATTGTTTTTATCTGAATTTCCCTGATGCTCAGTGGTGACTGGTTCTCCTCTACCCGTCCCCGTCCCCCCATTTGCCTGCTGGTTATTTGTATGTTTCTTCGGTTGAAATGTCCCCCAGTTCTTTGTTGGGTTATTTGTTGTAGGGAGCTATTGGGATATTTGAGTTCCTTGTATACTGTAGACAGAGTCCCCTTGTCAATGTCGGGTCACGCTGTCAACCACTGTGCTGAAACTTCTTGTTTGGGGAAATCCCACATGTCTGTGTTAGGTTTGTCTCTTATGCTTTCAAGTTTCTTTGCCAAGACCAGTAGATATATTCTGCCCCCGCCCCCCCCATGTTTTCTTCTAATACTTTTGCATTTTGAAGTGATTGTCATTTTTTTTAAGAGGGCTATTCCTGATGACATTTAGAAAGCCTGCTGGAAGTGACTTACCTTGAAGTTACATTTTATGACAGGTTACCTGCAAAGGACATGGGTTTCTATTACCATAGTAATTTTTGTAAATAGTATTCTAAATGTTTGCCTAAATTCTTCTTCGTGGGGCGGGGGGGAGGGGGAACGGATATATATTTTACTTCTTACAGACGGCACTCCCTTTTTAAAACCCTTCCCACAGACTATTCAAGATCTTTCTATAGTGGCTGCCTGTGCACCTTCTGCTAGTGGGAACGACATCAGCCCACGCCTCCTCAAACACTTCTCCATCCTGGCGTTACCTCACCCTCCACAGAGCACATTATGTACTATCTTCCAGGTAATGCATCTAGCTTGTCCTCCCTCCTGCCCTGGCACCCTTCCACCCCCCCTCCCTGGGGGAGAGCCAGGTTCTCAAGAATGCTATAGTACTCTGCTACACTGGTTGGGTTTTTTTGTTTTGTTTTGTTGTTGTTTTGTCAACTGGACACAAGCCTTAGACATACCTGGGAATAGAAAATCTTTTCTTCTTGTGTGTGGTGGTTGACATAGGGTTTCTCTATGTAGCCCTGGTCATCCTGGAACTTACTCTGTAGACCAGTCTGGCCTCAAACTCAGAGATCCACCTGCCTCTGCCACCCAGTGCTGGGATTAAAATTGGGGTGTTGCCTTGATTGGTACTGATGTGGGAGGGCCCAGCCCGCTGTGGGCAGGCCCTCATGGGTCTGTAAGAAAGCAGGGTGAGTAGGCCAGGAGGAACAAGCCAATAAGCAGCGCTCCTCTATATAAGTTCTGCCTCCAGGTTCCTGCCTTGAACTCATGCTCAGCCTGTCTTAGGTGATTGACTACAAGCTGTAAGGTGAAATAAACCCTATTTTCCACATCTTAGCTCATTTTCTACTGGGGAAGCAAAAAGAACATATTATAAGGAAAAGTCTGAGAAATTAAAAACACTAACACAGAAATTATTCTCATCTTCATAAATTTTATTTCTCCTATATTTCTGGACTATTATTTATGATTTATCTTTTAATATTGAGATCACAATTTAGTTTTGATGAGAAGTGCTGCAGTATGTGTCTGGTGCAATCCCAGGACTCCACCCTTATGACAGAGTCACTGCGTCTGCCGTGGCCCTCAGGAACTGCACTTTAGCATGATCTTTGCGCTTTCTGACAGGAGGTGGGATCGCCTCCATCAGACTGGGTTGGCATCCACGATTTCTTTCTTCTAAAGCAGTTTTCTTTTAGGTGTGGCCTGTAATCTCCTGCATCAGAATCATAAGGGATCAGAGGGAAATTGGTTTTAATTTACCTTCAAGACTTACAAAGAAAGAAAATGAAAGATTAATTTTGAAGAAATGCACTATGTCCTATGTAATCTCACACATCAGATGTATAAATTTACACTGTATTTCACTTTGAGCCATTTTCCCCACAGGGAATTTGGACTCTCCAAAAGAAACCCATGTGTTTGGCAGTACAGATAAGGTGATGTTCTAACACCTGCCCCCCTGGCAAGCAAGGAGATGCTGTGCACAGAGGTGGACCCCCGCTGTCCCCAAAGAACACACATCACATGCCTTGAGACCACGGGACCAGCACTGAGACCTCCCCAAGCGTCTGTTTCCTACACCCAGGGTGCCTTGACGTTTCTAAGCTTCTTTGCCACCATCGTGTCCTAAAATCTTAATGAGTAGTAATTTTTTAGTGATATTAACCCTCTGTTGCAGTTCACAAGTCTGCTTCTTGGTGAATATTAGCCATAACATGGGTTTCAATGTTGAACTGAATATTGTCTTTTCTCCTTAAAGGCCCACCTGGGAATGTACTTCTCCATCCATAACTTCATAGCTGAGGTCCAGAAATGCAGAGACCAGCTTGTGCTCTGTAGTTTGGCGATATATTATCAAGTCTGTAAGAACATGCTGCCAACACCAACCAAATGCCACTACATATTTAATCCCCGAGACGTGTTCAAGGTTTGTTTTGAAATTAATTCTCTAGCTTATTTTCAACATTTAAATCGAGATATAATTGTACTGCATGAGTCTCTGTCTCCTGGCCTCCCTTCTTGTTGGTACTGTCCACCTGAGATAGTTAAAGACGTAAGAAGTGACCTCACAGCTGCACCACAGGTCCATCGAAGAGGGCTGCTCTGGAGCAGAGGATTCAGTAACAAAACCCACTCAGGCTTTCCGCACACACGCTGGGACCCTGCCAGAAGAAATGACCAGGTCACACTGTAGCTTTGACCTTGTTTGGAGGACTCGTATGGCTGCAAGGGAGTAAACCTATGTAGGTACTTTGTACACTTAAGTGAGTTTTCACCTCTTTTCCAGCAGCGCTAGCTCTGTCAGCAGCCATAATTAAATAATTTTCAAAATTCAATGTTAAGAAAAAAAATAGCCAGGCATAGTAGCTGTGGTAGTTTGAGTGTAACTGGCCCCCAAAAGCTTAAAAGGAGTGACATTATTAGGAGGTGTGGCTATATTGGAAGAGGTGTAGTCTTATTGGAGGAAGTATGTCACTGTGGAGGCGTGCCTTGAGGGCTACCGCCCAATGACTTAGTCTACTTCCTATGGCCTGCAAGATGAGGGACTCTCAGCTACCTCTCCAGCACAGTGTCTGCCTGTATATCACCATGTCCACCATGACGATAATAGACTAAACCTCTGTTCTGTAAGCTGCCACTTCAATTAAATGTTTCATTTATAAGAGTTGCTGTAGTCATGGTGTCTCTTCACAGCAATAGAACCCCTAAGACAGTAGCACACATCTTGAATCCCAGCATTTTGGAAAGCAGAGGCAGGTAGATCTCTTTGGGTTCAAGGCCATCCTGGTCTACTGAGAGAGTTCCAGGACAGCCAAGACTACACAGAGAAAGCTTGTCCCAGAAAAAAAAGAGGAGGAAGAAAGGAAGGAAGGAGGGAGGGAGGAAAGGGAGGAAGGAAGGAAGGAAGGAAGAAAGGAAAGAAAGAAAGAAGGAAAGAAGGAAGGAAGGAAAGTAATTTAGTATGGTATCTTCTCTCACTGTAGAAATTCAGCCCTGATTTGCATAGAAGTTCTTAATCAAAACTTAAAATGTTGAACACATCAACATTAGAAAGTACCTCACAGCTGGATACATAGTGCCTTTAATCCAGGATTCAGGAAGCAGGGGCAGGGAGATCTCTATGTGGAAAACCATAGGCCAGCCAAAGCTACACAGACCCTGTCTCAAAAAAGGCAAGGTCCCTCTCTGTCACCTGTGCTGGCAGAATTTGCCACCAGGCTTTGGTTTCTGGTCATGGTGAGCCTCTCTTAGATGAACCTGAGATATTACCAAACCTCCTCCCACTTGGAGCCATTCTGTGGCAGTTTTCTTTGGCTTTAACTTGCCCATCCCATGAAAACATTCAGATTGTCCCAGAAATTGATGAAAGTTTCTTCTATTTTTATAAAACATGCATCCACACAACTTGAGCTTTTACTTTGCACAATCCCCTGCTACTGTTTATTATGTTCATTTTTGATCTCTCACAGCTTCTGCTGGGGTTGATGCAAGCGGACAAGAGCGTTATCAACTCTAAAGAGATGGCAGCTCAGCTCTTAGTACATGAAGCCAGCCGAGTGTTTCATGATCGGTTAATTGAACCCAGTGAAAAGAACCTTTTCTACCAGCTTCTCTCAAAGGAACTGCAAAACCATCTGCAGGTGTGTTCTGAAACATGTTCCAAGTGGAATTTTGAGCATGCACACACACAAATATTTTAGGAAAGTCTTCAAATATATCTCTAATATTAATGAAAGCAACTTTTGTCCTCTTGAGAATTCCGTCCCATCCTTGAAGATGTCTGAGAACATAGCACGAGAGACGAGGGAGGTGATGGAGCCTTGATTCCTTTGTTTGTGATTCTAGCCCCTCAGAACCCCAACACTGCACCTTCCTCCCCACGGCCAACAGAAATGACCACCGAGCTGCCCAGACTCCTCATCTCTCCCCACCGCTTTGTCCTTTAGCCTCCCTGCTGTCTCTTTTAACTCAGGTCACAGAGGATGTGTAACCACTGACTTGAAACGAGGCCCGAGGCTCAGTGGGCAGGGAGTCGGCTCTCTTCACTGCATCATCCTCAGACAGCCAAGGAGGATGTTAAGGGCACAGGTGAACAATAGTGAAACAGAATTGCAGATTACAAACTGTATACACAGAGTTCTCCTTATATAAATGTGCCCATATACAAATATGTGTCTATATATGAATATTTAAATGTGCACATGTATGCTTCTGAGATAATTACAGAATCACTGAGATTTTAATCTAGACTCACCTTAATATTATCGTTTATGCTGACCCATATCAATTTGATCCCTCAGCCTTTTTAAAAGTCTGTTGAAATATACTGGCATTTAGGACCCCAACATAATGCCTTCTCCATCTCCACACCCACCAGCCCTTCAGCCATCCCCTCCAGTTCTCCCGGGGATACCGGTCTTCTTTGCCTGCCTGGCGCTGCTATTGGGTGGCATCTCTGTGCCCTTCCCTGGTACTTCCCATGGGGACTGGATCTCCAGCCCTTCTGTTCTTATCTATCTTCAACATCCTGAGAGGCAGTGAGATCTGGAGATTTTAAACACAGCTTCTGCCAAGGTTCAAAGCCCAGGTCCTCCCCCTCATGAGCAAATAGACCTTGAGCAAATGGCCCCTCTGTGCCTTGGTTTTCTGACGTCTAAGTAAGGGCAGTGATTTCCCACCTCATAGGTCTGTGGTGAGAATGAGCAACTCTAATGAAAATGAAACATTGAAAATTGTTTCTGATATGCAGTGATCCATCTAAGCTATTATGATACTGAAAAAATACTTTCATGTCTACATTTTAAAGATTTATTTATTAGATGTATATGGGTGTCTTGTTTCCATGTTTTCTGCACACCAGAAGAGGGCATCAGATCCTACAAAATTACACTTACAGACAGTTGTGAGCTCCCATATGGGTGCTGGAAACTGAACCCAGGATCTCAGAAAAGCTGCCACGGCTCTTACCTGCTGAGTCATCTCTCCAGCCCCTACACTTTATATACAGGCAAGAAATTTGGTAAAGATAACCTGAACCTTAAAAGAGAGAGATGACAGCCAGGCGGTGGTGGCGCACGCCTTTAATCCCAGCACTCGGGAGGCAGAGGCAGGCGGATCTCTGTGAGTTCGAGGCCAGGCTGGACTGACAGCCTCCAAAACAATACAGAGAAACCCTGTCTCGTAAAACCGAGAGAGAGAGAGAGAGAGAGAGAGAGAGAGAGAGAGAGAGAGAGAGAGAGAGAGAGAGAGAGAGAGAGAGAGAGAGATGACTCTAAACCCATGTCCTGCTACCCTGGGCACCTCACTCCTCAGCTGTACCCACGGCGCCCTCTCTACCACCAAGATGCCCTTTTCTGGTGTCGGTCTCAGTCCCCATGCCTCTATGTGTGCCACAAGTCTGAGCATGTGCCACTGCATTCCAGTCAGAGGTCAGCGTATTCCCCATAGTCTCTGCCCCTGCAGCTGCAGGCCCCTCTCCACGGCTCACTCCTGGCCATTGTCCAGGGCTCTGGTCAGAAAGACCATGCCCCACTGTGAGTGGAGTCTAAAGGAGGGCCACCACTCAGGACCGGGAAAGGTGGGCATGGAAGGAATGGGGAGATGATAAGACAAGATGGATGGGTCCTTTAGAGCTGCCGGGCATAGCAATACATGTGTGGACGGTAACTGTTTTATTTAGTTTTATTACATTCACAGTGTAATCATGGCTTTGTACCCTATACATATATGAGACTATAATTTGTCAGTTTAGAGTAGGGATCATTTTTTAAATTCCGTGCATACTTTTGACCTTATGGTAGCCTTTTCTGGCCAACACCAGCCTCTTTCTAGACTGTGCTTCCCCTGTGTATGAGACTGCAGGACTTGCCTCTCGCAGACCTGACTTAGCTATCTCTAATCTACCCACCTCATGAGGACAGACTAGGTGATTTATATAAATTTCTGGAACTCAGTTTAGTAAAAGCATTTAACAAATATATCTAGAATGAATGGCTAAAGAATGAATGAAGGGGGAGGGCTGGCCAGGTGACAAACAGTGCCGAGCAGAGGAAGGTTCCTCAGGGTTGCGCAGCTGGTCAAGTGATGGCATCATCACCCAAACCTAGGATGTCTGATGTCATGCAGTCTCTCAGGGATCATGCCATCCCATCCGGGACCACTATTGGCTGAGCGAATTACTTCTGAACATCCACCAGGAATTTCCAGTGCTAGATGGCAAGTGAGATACATGCTAAGGATTACTGGAAATGGTGTGGACACTGCCTGCAGCTACCATCACCAAGGGGCTACAGGGTAGCTTGCAAAGAGCTCTGATAAACCGTGCAAACACCCAGCCCTCCCGTGAACAAGAGTCATTCACTTTGACTGGATTTAGAGAGGAGGAAAACGATGAGACCATTGTCAAATGGGAGAGAGTTAGCAGCCTTGGTATGAAAGAGAGCCAAAATCATGCAAACTAGACCAAGAAAGAAGCTGTACAAAGCCAACCATACAAGGCCACAGGACCAGAGTGGTTACTGACCACTGGCTGAGGAAGAATCCTTTTCCCACATCATCAGTAGAGCTATGGGCCGTCTACCCACAGCCACACAGCTCTCCGCCCAAAGGAGAGTTCGTGGTCAGAACTGTATTCCAAGACTCTTGGATTTCTTTGTAACACTTGCATTTTATTAGAAGCATTAAAAAATATTATTTTAAGGAGGATTCCACAAGCTTCACTTCCCAAAAGAACACACATAATTACATGCACACACACACACACTCATACACAAATTGGTTGAGAGCCTGAGCCCTAGGATCCACTACCAGAATTGTCTATGACAGACAGGATTTCAATGTACAGACAATGAAATCTGAATATCAGTCAAATGCTCACTGAGTTCTTATTTACAATAGATTCATTGGAAGCATGAGAGCCTGATGAATAACCCAACTCTATTTGTGGACTTCATGGATATAAATAAACCTCACAGAAAAAAGATCTACCAGAACATCAGCAGCTATGAAAAACTTCTCAGCATACTTAAGAAATTCCAACAGAAGTTGAGTTCAACATCTCTGGAGGTAAAGACATAACATATGAAAACCTGAAGAGTATTAAACATGGATATGTTTATTTGTGTGTACATGCATAAATATATATATCAAACATGCTAAAGTGTGTGTGCCTGGGGTGGGGGAGGAGGTATATGCCCTCCAGTTTCAAAGCAGACCATTAGAAACCCAGCTGTTTGTAATACTCTCTAGACTTTGTCACAGTGACATCTAATTGCAAAGATGGGGTGTAGCTGAGGCTAAGGGGAATTGAACGGCAGAGATAAGGGAGTTAAGAGATGCGAAAGAATATGGCAACAGGGTCCAGAGTGACAGACACACCACGGCTGTGGCTCTTTCCATCTTTTCCATTGCCGTCATGAGCAGAGACATGCTGAAACAGAAATGCCAACCAAACCACAGATGCCATGTATAATTTCCTAAGTCTCTCCCTCCAGCCACTACCAATACAGAGCCACAGAAAAGCAACCTAGATACTATTTTTATGCTCTTCATCCTGTGCCTTCAGCCCCACAACTTTCCAGGTCAGCTCACCAGACTATTAGCAAAGGAGTGAGTTGATTGTGAAAATGTGTCATCTCTAAATGTTGACACAGACTCTTAACTGGGTCTAGGTCACCACCATGCTACTAGACAGAGTCACTCACATTCCTGCTTCCTAGTATGTAAAACCATAACAAACATTTGATGCACTTTTCTAAACCTGTAATTCATTTATTTGCTACATTTCTTCTGCTAGATGTCTCATTCAACTGTATTCTTCAAGGAAGCTATAGAACACATTACAAGAGCTGCCAGAATCCTCCGACAGCCAGGGAGTCACATGCTACTGGTATGAATTTCAGTTTTTCAACTGTTTTTTTTTATGTTTGCAAACTAAAAATTCAGACTCTCCAGTAAAATCTACATATAGAAGCTGTATTCAGATAAATTACAAAAGACCCCAATAACTGCGTCATAGAACAGGATCTCATTGTTTGCAGAAGAAATTCACTGGCACAGGGACATGCTATTTGTTTGGGAAAGGCCCTTGGTGTGGCTAAAACAGATGTGCTTGGCACCGCACATAATGTATCCTAGTACTAATCTATCCTAGTACTAATCTAACATCTACACAGGTGGATCCTGGGTTCAAAAATAGTACGCCAAGTTTGATATTTATTTGAAAATAGAAGCCATTGCACAAAGATGTGTTCCTTATGAGAGTAAGTGACAACTAAATTAACAGAAAGTTCCAAATACTTGGAACAGACAGAAGGATTTAGAAAGCAAAATAAAATCCACAATATTGGACCAGCAAGATAGCTCAGTGGGTAAAAGTGCTTGCTGCTAAGTGTGAGTTTGATCCCAAGACCCACATGGGTAGAGGGAGAACCTACTGCTACAAGCTGTCTTCTGACCTCTATACTCAGGCTGTGTCATGTATGTACACACACTCACTTACACGCCCACACACACACACACTAAATAAATAATGTGATAGAACCATTTAATCCATGATATTTTGCCAGTTGTATAAACATATTATTTAATTTGTTATTTATGACTACCATTTATATTTTGTCTCTTAACTTTTTTCCTCCAAAAAAAAAGATTCTATCTTGCATGTAACACAGCTAGATTTTGACTCAAAGAATCTTTTTAAGTAGACATTTGAACAAAATTAACTGAAAGGCATTTTTAGAATGAAAAAGTAGAATCAAGAAGCACAATACAAAATAAATCAAATAAATCCCCCCTCCTGCCACCAGCTATTTTCTTACTAACTTTCCCATCTATAAATAGCATCGTATGAATCTTCCCATTTCCTCTGTCTGGGACTCCAGCCTGGGGGATGGTGTTGCCTACTAGGGTCACACTTCTCAATTCAGCTAGCCTAGAACTCCCTCACAGACAGGCCCCAAAGTTTGTCTCCAAGGTCACTATAGATCCTGTCAAATTAGAAAATAGCATGGGAAAATGAAAGCAATTACACTACATGTCTAAAGTAATACTTACAGGAAAATCTATAGGAAATCTATTAGGTCTAAATGCTTATACTTAAAAAGAAGAAAACTTAAAGTCAATAGCCTAGATTTCTGCCTTGGGAAACTACCCCAATACACAGCTATTAAGCCGAAAAAGGACATGGTGAATGGTAAAGGTATATTACTAAGAGAAATAAAATAATCAGGAAAGTGGTATGCTTACGTGATTCCAATTATATAGGAATATCAGTGGTTGCCAAGAGTTTGCTCAAGAGGGAAGCTCCAACAGTCTTCTTAATGTGATGAAATTCTGTTCAATAATGAAATCATGAATGTATTATACTATGACTTAGTTTGGGCTTCTATTGCTGTGAAGAGACACCATGACCCCAGCAGCTCTTGTAAAGAAAACATTTCATTGGGGGTGGCAGCTTACCGTTTCAGAGGTCCAGTCCATTGTCGTCACGGCAGAGAACAAGGAAGCGTGCAGGCAAATGTGGTGCTGGAGCTGAGAGTGTTACATCTTGACTCAGGCAACAGGAAGTTGACTGACTGTCACACTGAGGGGAGCTGGAGAAAAGAGCCTCAAAGCCCGCCCCCACAGTGACACACTTCCTCCAACAAGATCACACCTCCTAATAGTGCCACTCCCTCTGGGGACCATTTTCTTTCAAACCACCAAGCTATATATTTGTAAAAACTATGGAGCTTCACAGCTAAACTGAACCTTAGTGTTTACACTTTTGTTATTTTTGAGACAGGGTCTGACATATCCCAGGCCAGCCTTGAACACCCTGTGTAGCCTAGGTGGACGTTGAACTTATGATCCTCCTTTCTCCACCTCTCAAGTGGCGGGATTACAGGAGCATGTCACCTCACCCTATTTTATGTGGTGTGGGGTTTGGTCCAGTGCAGAGGGACTCTACACACAGAGCTGCATCCTGAGCCTAGTGTTCACAAATATGTGTGAGGTGATTTCATCATCACCAAAGAACAGTCACTATTGCCTAAAATAACTACCTACCTATTTTCCCATGAGTGAAGCATCAGATATTGATAATGATACTATAGGTTTACAAGTCAATTTGTGCTATTTCTCCAGGGTATCAGTACAGTAAAATTTCACATATTTAAGAGTGTATGAAGATATTAGAATGTAAGCTATTGTCTTTTTTTTTTGAGGGGGGGTTCGAGACAGGGTTTCTCTGTATTGTTTTGGAGGCTGTCCTGGAACTCACTCTGCAGACCAGGCTGGCCCCGAACTCACAGAGATCCACCTGCCTCTGTCTCCCGAGTGCTGGGGTTAAAGGCATGTGCCACCAATGCCCGGCTGTATGCTATTGTCTTATAGTCTGAAATATGCTTACTGTTAATATTTCTAGCATAAATAAGTAGAAAAGTACTTATTGATCAGTTCCCAGAAAATACATAGGAACCACTCACTTTGTTTTTGTGGGTGTTTAATTGCTTGTGTGTGTGTGCTAGGAACAGAACTCAGAGCCTTGTCCTTGTTAAATGAGTAGTACTCCCCTGCGCGACATCCCTAACTCCAAGACATTATGAATCCAATGTTGGATTTGTCGGTTTGTTTTCCAAAGATTGGAACTGATGCATGTGGAAAAGAAACCTATGCAACCTTAGCCTGTTACATGGCAGAACACAAACTATACAGAGTGCCTGTAACCCACAGTTATGCAGTCTCAGAATTCAAAGACATGTTTAAAAATGTGTTTATTCAAACCGGCTTGGAAGAGACCCCCATTGTTGTCATGGTTGCCAACTTACAAGAACAACAGGTGAGTGCTTGATGTCTTTTTGATTTGCTAAAGGTTGGTGTTTGTGCCCCCAAGAAGGTTCACGCTTATGTGTGGGAGTCTTCTACTAGGGAAACATTTCAGCCCTCTGTGATGTGATCTCTGTGCTCATTCAGTCACAGCTCACGGGCTGTGTTTGTAATCATGCCATAGCTCTAAGTAAACACCCAGCAGAAGTATTTCCTGTCTTTGTTGTTTACATTTTAATTAGCAGATTGGAAGTGATTACTCCCTGTAGCAAAGTCAGCCACCTGTATTAGAGCTGGTTCTGGTCTCTGCCCCCAGATGTGTACAGATGTGTGTGTAACTTAGTGTGCTATAGCAGCTTGGAGCACTTCCCTTTCTCTCCTTCATCTGTCACTATTGGGGTTTTCCTTGTAGGTTTGTTTCTTACAAGCAAACAAAACTTCCCCACTATTTTGAACAAGTTGTGTCCTTTTACTGTCAAAGCATAATTAGGAATGTCACCGAAAGTCGTATTTACTCCTTATGACAAAATTCAAGGGAATGTTGTACATGACTTGTGTTTTGACAAAAATATACTTTAAATTATTTAAAACCCTATCCTGCTTCTTCTCCTGATTCTGAGTCTCTGGCTACCAAAATTTTTCGACTGGATGCCATATTTGAGAACAAATTAGGCTCCATGTCATATCTGTCATATTTTATAAGAATCTAAATTTTCTGCTTTTTTCTGTGTATTCATCCTTTCCCCAAATCAAAACACCCTGATCCACTGATCTGAGTGAAGCTTATCAAACAGCCCTTCTTTCTGGTTTCGAGAGATGCTATTCCTGCCATGCTTGGAGCCCACCGTTCTAGCCCATCAATGGTTTTATAGAAAGCCGTCTTTGGCCAAAAGCTGAGATGAACATAGTGATGTTTATATTAAAATAGTGCCTCCACCAGGCTATTTCTAGCTTTTCTTCTGGTCAGATACAGATGAGGCTGCGTTAAGGCTCCTATGACCTGCTGGACACAGGTCCCTGCCGGGCTCACTGCTGTGTACCCTTGGTACCCTGTGCATCCACTGGGTACCAAGCGTGTGTCTCCTCGACATATTTGAATTGATGGGTGGGTAGATGAGGCTTGTCTGGATGAGACTGAACTAAGATGTCAGCTTTCGTGGTAAGTAGCCTCAGTTGCCCTTAAGTGTCAGTGCTTTCTCAGTTTGTTTAGAGAAGAATGTATGATTTATCTATCCCTAATTGATCTGTGTTTCACGTAAGACATCATTTATAGAAGATCTGAACTACATTATCAATGGAGGAAAGGTTTCTAACATGTTTGAAAACGAGGAGCTGGATTCCATTGTTATGAGGATTAGAGCTTTTACTGAGCATTCTAATGTCATGGACGACAGGAAATACTTACTCACGTTATTCCAGAAGGTACTGTTTTGCATCTCGACTTTATCAAATTGCCATGGTAAACTTAAAGTAGAGCATGCTTATAATTCTGTACATGATTTTCAAGTTGGATTCAATTTCTTTAGTTCATCAAATGAGTTCTAAAAAGCTAAAACAATATCCAACACTCCTACACAGAGACACAGCATGCCCTGGGTGTCCCAAAGACTGACAAATCTGAGGTTAAAAGACTGATTTGTTTTTCTAAAATAAAATGAAAGAAAAAACAACTGCATCTTCAGATTATTTTTTTCATTGAGATTCCTTCCTCGCAGTTAATAAGGGCTCCATTTCAGTTACATTGGTGTCAAGTCAGGAAAAGGAAGAATCCTTTCGTCCCTTTGAACACCCATAGGCTTGGGCAGGAAAGAAAATATGCATGTAAAAAAGAAAGAAGTTGGCTACAAAGGGCAAGAAGGGAGGCAGCAGTGGGGTCTCAGACACTCCCGTTGGATGGCACACACAGATCTGGCAGTGCCCCGGGCTTCTGTCTGTCTGCCTGGATGTTCTGCTGATTAAATACGCGGCTTGCCTAAGGAATCATCCCTGGAGGATTTGAACTCTACTACTGATTGGGAAAGATACCTAACATCAGAAACTGAGGAACCAGATTCTTCATTATGTCATAAGGAGGATTAGATCTTAGTTGTCTTGTAGCCATGACTATTGGGCATTGAGTAGCCAAGAGTGTAGTGAATGATACCTATAATTACTCAACCCAGAGCAAAATGTGTACTGAGGAAGGGCCTCGAGTTCACTTATTTTGGGGGTGCATGCTTTTGGGAAAGGGAATTACATTTCCTCAACAGATGCTCTGTTTGTACTACAAGAACATCATTGTTTTAAATCCCAGAGATGGAATCACCATTGATAGAGAACAAACATGACAAGAGGCTGCTTGGATGTCCTTACAGTCTTTAGTCTCACCGTACTTATTTGGAAAATAAGTTACCAGAGATGTCAATAATTTAGACCTGTTGGACTCTGCGCTAATAGAAACCTGCCACTGGTGGGACCTCCAGTTCTGTGGGCTTGTTGTAAAGTGCCCCGTGGAGATAGAAGGAAAAGACCTGGGTCCTGTGGCCAGTCCTTGCCAAGTAACCAACAGCAGCAGCTGAGTTGGGTCTTAGGATCAAAGTCAAGAGTGGCCTTGTATTCATATTCTCATCCCAGGACATTTGATTACACATGTCCCAAAGGGACTTGCCCCGTGTGCACAGTGGTGTGCTGCTGAATGAAGTTCTGAAAGAAATTGATATTTATCTTAATCATGAAAAAAGAAACGGGCGGTTAGTCTAAGGCCTGGGCATTATCTACTACCGCCTTACCATAACCCACTAACTCTGAAGACCCTGTTCCTGCTACAGTCTGTTCTTGCTCTCTCTCAGGTCTGACTAATCTGACCCCTGTCTTACTTTGAGTTTCTATGCACTCTAAAAGCGCACACCCCAGGGAAGAGTTAGTAGTAGACTCATCACTGTCTAAGCGCCGCCCTCTCCTCCTGCTTCGTGAGAGTTGGCACTGGATCCACCATCTGAAGCTAACAGGGCACAGGGGCTCTGTGGGTAGCTAGTTTGCCTGCAAGAGCCCTGTTGATGGCAGATGCATGCACGCGCACGCACGCACACACACACACACACACACACACACACACACACACACACAATCAGCTAGTCTCTAAAAGTCTATTTATTTAGGAGACAAGTTTTAAACCGGGTTTTCAATATAGTAGCATTTCCAAAGTGTGGGATTACATTTTAACAATGTGTGTATTTCTGTCAATTTCAGAGGGTATCTAAGAATCTGCATGTTTTTATGATCATGAGTCCTACGGGATCCAACTTCCGCCAGAAATGTAGGGTCTACCCCTCTATGATTACCTCCTGCACCATCGACTGGTTCCATAAGTGGCCCGACGAGGCTCTCCTTATTGTGGCCAACTCCTACCTGGGGGAAAAGCTGAAAGTAGAGAACAAGGAGGTAAGAGCCTGAAGCCAGCGAAGGGCATGGCTCGCAGTCAGCACAGGATCGCATCTCTGAGAGGCATCTCTGCGCTAAGCTGTGTGATGCTCAGTTGTATATCCTGACCCCCCATGAGCTCCACATCTGTTGTGCCTGCTATCCACCTATTTCAAGGCTACCTAGGTTCTACACCACCTAGGGAAGCCTCTGTTACCATCCTTCCATGAGGATTCTGCAACCGTTGGAGTATTTCCCAGAGTGGCATGCCATTGCTAATGTTCCAAGAGCCCTGGGCTGCCTAGTCTTATGTCAGCCTGACACAAGCTAGAGTCATCTGAAAGTGGGTGAGAACACCTCAATTAAGAAACTGTCTCCATTAGATCAGGCTGTAGGGCATTTTATTAATTAGTGATTGGTGGGGGAGGGCCCAGCCCATTGTGGGTGATGCTGTCCCTGGGCTGGTGGTCCTGGGTTCTGTAAGAAAACAGGCTGAACGAGCCAGGGGAAGCAAGCCAGTAAGAATCCCCTCTCCATGGCCTCTGCATCAGCTCCCGCCTTCAGGTTCCTGTCCTGCTTGAGTCCCTGTGCTGACGTCCATCAGTGATAGAGTATGCTGTGGAAGAGTAATTAGACACTTTCCTCCCTAACCTGCTCAGTCATGGTGGTTCATCACAACTAAGACAAGCCCTGACTATCGGTGCAGAAAGTAGAGCCCAGGCTGCAGGAGTAAATCCGTCGTGCCATTAGTCACTCATTGTTGTCATTCCTGATCTTTAAAACCCACATGATCATGGTGCTGCCCAGGACCTGCCTCTGTCATTCTGCATGTCATAAACACTACAGTACTCCAAGTTACTGCCCATTCTTCTCAGTTTATATTCTCTTGAGATTTTTTTAAAATTGTTTTTCTTCAGGATTTAATAAGACAGTTTGCCCCAACGTGTGTGGAAATCCACAAAAGTATGAAAGATTTGAGCACAAAGTACTTGGAAGATACTGGAAGACACTACTACATCACTCCCAGTAGCTACTTGAAGTTTCTGGAGACGTTTACACACATTCTAAGAATGAGACAGGAGGAGATGCAGATGAAAAGGTGAGGTTTCCAGTAAGACAGATGAAAAGGTGAGGTTTCCAGTAAGACAGAAATGTATGTTTTTACATACCCACTTCTATTTATAAAAAATACACACAAATACAAATACAAAACGATGAATCTGAACATTCCTTTCTCATGGTGGGTCATAAGGAGACTGTCCCACCGCCCCTGCATGTGTCCAGAGACTGCCCCATCACAGCAGAGCCGACAGATCTGCCGATGAGAAGTCAGTTCTTGTTAGATTCAGTTTGTCTCCTACACAGTGGAAAGAAGTGTAGACAGTGCCTACATACAAGGCTGATGGTAGTGCCATTCCTCGTGACTTTGGAGATGATACCAACAGAAATAGCCCAGTGACCGCAGCACAGATGGCTAAGAACACGTGTCACATGGCCACAAATCACTGTATGGGTGGCTGCCGTGGCAGAGAATATGGGAAAGGCACAAGGCAGGAAGCCTCAGACATAATTAGATCTCTGTTGTTGTGACTGTCTTTTACATGCTCTTTGGCAATTTCTTTTTTTTTTCTCTCAATATATGTTTTTATTTAAATTAGAAACATGAATGCTTCACAGGTCAGTCCCAGCTCCCTCTCCCACCCCTCCTCCCTTGTCCCTCCCCCAGCCCCCACCCAATCTCCACATCATTCCCCAGGGAGGGTGAGGCTCTCCTTGGGGGGAATCTCCAAAGTATGTCATTTCATCCAGGGCAGGACCTAGACCCTTCCCCAGGTATCCAGGCTGAGAGAGCATCCCTCTATTTGGAATGGGCTCCCAAAGCTCATTCATAAACCATGGTAAACATTGATCTGCTACCCAAGGCCCCAGGGATTTCTGTGGCCTCCTTCCTGGCACTACATTCATGGAGTCTGGATGTTGGCCTCTCAGTCATCAGTCTGGGTTTCAAGAGCTCCCCCCTTATCCGGTCAGCTGTCTTTGTGGGTTTCATCATCATGGTCTTGACCCCTTTGCTCATCACTCCTCCATCTCTGTCACTAGGTTCCAGGAGTTCAGTTCAGTGTTTAGCTGTGGGTATCTGTCTCTGCTTCCATCAGTCACTGGATGAAGGTTCTAGGATGGCATATAGGGCAATCATCAACCCTATCATCAAGGAGGGGCTATTAGTGTAGTCTCTCCACTACTGCTTAGTTTGCCAGTTGGTGTTATCCTTGTAGATCTCTGGAGATCTCACTAGTGTCAGCTCACTCCTCAAGCCTATAATGACTCCATCTATTATGGTATCTCTCATCCTTCTCTCCTCTATTCTTACCTCAACTCAACCTTCCTGCTCCCCCATGCCTTCTTCTCCCCTCCTCTTATCCCCCTCTCTTTTTCTTGGTTCCCTCTCCCCTCCCCTGATGTTCCCAATCTGCTCAAGAGATCTTGCCTCATTCCACTTCTCTGGGGTACCATGCATCTCTCTTGGGGACCTCCTTGTTTCCCACACTCACTGGCACTAGGATTGTAGACTGACACTCCCCTGATCTATATCCAAACTCCATGTATGAGTGAGTACATACCATGTTTGTCTTTTTTTATTTCTTCTTTGATCCAGGAGTGGTGCAATAGTGTATTATTCAATTTCCCTGAGTTTTCAGGTTTTCTGGGGTTTGTGTTATTGTTGAATTCTAACTTTAAGGCATGATGGTCTGATAAGATACACGGAGTTATTCCAATTTTTTGTACCTGTTGAGGTTTGCTACATTGCCAAATATGTGGTAAATTTTTGAGAAGGTTCCGTGTGGTGCTGAGAAGAAGGTATATTCTTTTGTGTTTGGATGGAATGTTCTATAGATGTCTGTTAAACCCAATGGGTCGTAACTTCTATTAGGCCCTTCATATCTTTGTTAAGTTTCTGTCTTGTGGTCCTGTCTAGTGGTGAGAGTGGGGTGTTGAAGTCTCCCACTACAAGTGTGTGAGATTTTATATGTGCTTTGAGTTTTAGTAATGTTTCTTTTAGGAACATGGATGGCTTTGTATTCGGGGCATAGATGTTCAGAATTGAGACTTCATCTTGGTTGATCTGTCCTGTGATGAGTATGAAGTGACCTCCTTCATCTCTTTTGATTGATTTTAGTTTAAAGTCTAATTTGTTATATATTAGGATTGCTACCCCCACTTGTTTCTTGGATCCATTTGATTGGAAAATATTTTCCCAACCCTTTACTCTGAAATAACGTCTGTCTTTGAAGCTGGGGTGTGTTTCTTGTATGCAGCAGGATGGATTCTGTCTTTGAATCCATTCTGTTAACCTGTGTCTTTTGTGGGCGAGTTAAGACCATTAATATTGAGGGAAATTAATGACGATTGATAGCTCATTCTTGTTTGTTTTGGAATGGTTGTTGGTGGTGGAATTGTATGTGGATTTCCACCACTTTTTCTTTTGCCTGTTGGTAAAGTGGGATTATCTATTGCCTATTTTTTTCTGGTAGTAGTTAACTTCCTTGGGTTGGAGTTTTCCTTCCAGAATTTTCTGTAGGACTAGGTTAGTGGATATATATTGTTTAAATCTGGTTTTGTCATGAAATAGCTTGCTTTAGACTATTAACACAGGGTGGGATATATGCCAGCTGACTTTCAAATCCTGAATTGGTCTTGAATCCCTTAAATATAAACCCAGCCTGATCATGGTGTGTAGTTCTTCAAAGGCTTTTGATTTTAGTTGCTACTATTCAGTTGTGTATTTTTCCTTCTTTATACAGGTGAGCACCCCAAATCTGGCATCTAACACTTGGAATGTTAACACAGGGAGCTCGAGAAGCTTGAGGCTGTTGAGACTTCAGATGGAGGTTGCTCAGCCAGAGCGGTCTAAACTTCAGAGCACCCCGGCATCTGGAACACTTCCAGTCTTAAGCATTCCTGGTCAGCCTGTGCTTTGCTTTCTCTCCAGGAATCGCTTCTACACGGGGCTGTCCAAGATTCTGGAAGCAACTGCATTAGTCACAGACATGCAGGAAGAACTTCTGTTTATCGGTCCTCAGATAGAACAAAAAACAAAGGTACTTTTAGTCCGAAAGGGTTTTGTGGCCGGGTCCGGTGCTTGAGAGCGGAGGGTCTGCCACCTAACAGAGAGGAGTTGAAGCTTTAGCAACTTTGAAGAATTTGCATCTTAACAAGTGTGATCCAGTGTCTTAATTAAGTTTAATGTGGCTAAAATCAGCTTGGGGGAGAAAGGGTTTATTCAGCCGATGCTTCCTTCCACGTTATAGTCAGTGAGGGGCGTCAGCACAGGAACTCAGGAAGGCAGGAGCAGATGCAGGGGCCGTGGAGGAGTGCTGCTTGCAGGCTTGCTCCTCATGACTTGCTCAGCCCTTATACAACCAATGGGTGGTACTGCTCACACAGAGCTGGACCCTCCCACATCAATCATCCATCAGCCAGTAAAATGCCCTATAGACTTGCCTCCAGGTCAGTCCTATGGAAGCATTTCTCCATTAAAATTTGTTCTTCCCAGGCCGGGCGTTGGTGGCGCACGCCTTTAATCCCAGCACTTGGGAGGCAGAGGCAGGCGGATCTCTGTGAGTTCAAGGCCAGCCTGGTCTACAAGGACAGCCTCCAAAGCCACAGAGAAACCCTGTCTCGAAAAACAAAAAACAAAAAAAAATTTGTTCTTCCCGGATGACTCAGTGACTATCAAACTGACATACAAACTTAACAGCACTATAACTAACTATAGAAAATTACCCTACAAGAGCCCCTAGATAATTAGCTAACGCTATCAGAAATCTGCTATGATAATTTGCAGGCTGTCAATTATTTTACAAGCCATTGTTTATGTTTTTTGTTTAGGGGTATGTGGGGGGTGTGAGTGTTGCTAGAGATTAAATCTAAGGCCTGACACCATGCAAACTCTCTACCTGCCCCCACTCTTGCTATATATATAAATTCCCTTTCTGGGACTCCAATTACACTTTTGTGAGACCCTTTTTATAAAGTCATGTTTATGCATGTATACATGTGATACAGGGCCTGTGGAAGTCAGAAGAGGGCATCAGCTCCCCTGGAATTGGAGTTACAGATGGTTGTGAGCTGCCTTGTGGGAGCTGGGGATTGAACCTGGGTCCTCTGGAAGAGAAGCCAGTGCTCTTAACCCCTGAACCACCTCTCCAGCCCCTTGTCATCTTGATGTATACAGAATCGTCTTTGTGGTAGCCATCCTAATTACTCTGCTTCATAGATCTCAGGCTAACTTCTATAAGCTATATAGCTATTAAAATACCTTAATGCCTGCTCTGAAGAAACCGTGTCACAGTTCATCCTAAGGAGAGTTGTCTGATTCGTTAGGAAAAAGAAGCCCTGATGGAAAAGCTGCGGAAAGACTCACAAATAGTTGAAAAAGTCCAGGTGCTTGTGAAACAGGACGAGGAAATTGTGGCAGAAGAAGTAAGGATTGTGGAAGACTACGCTCAGGTGAGCCGAGGGTGGGGGACCCCAGCGGCGTGGGGCCCCGAACCCCTCTATGAAGGCAGGGACCGGAAGCTGGACAGCTTTGGTGTTCCCCGGGGCAGATGCATACTGAGTCACAGCAGTGAAGGCGAAGGGTGCCTGGCCCAGGAAGCTCTGCAAGCCGCACCGGAGCTCACGTGAGCCCCCAGGCGCAGCATCCGCAGGGAGCCAAGCAGCTCTGTGGTTCACTTGGGAAACCCCGTGTGTGTGCGTTCCCTTCTGTCTCTCTCTGTCACAATTCCAGCAGGAGCCAGCGTGGTTCAACAGATTACGTTTGCTCAGCTCTAATCTGATCACAACAGAGCAACCACATACACTGAAATAAATGGATTGGTTTGCCAGTTACACCACGAGCTGTAGGCACTGGCTAATCTCCCAAAGCACAAGTCAGTCCGAGGACAAGGCTTATTATGAACCACAGTGCTGTCAACATAGATCTCAAGTTGTTCTTTGTGTAACTTCAAAATGTTTCCTTGGGACACAGTCTCACTATGTAAGCTCAACCGGCATAGAACTCGCTCTGAAGACCAGGCTGGCCTTGAACTCACAGAGATCCACCTGCCTCTGCCTCTTCAGTGCTGGCTCAGCTGGCATAACTGGCTAGCTCATCATTGTTTTTGTTGTAGCTGTTTTTGTGAGGTGGTCTCATTATGTAGCCCTAGCTAGCCTGGAACTTGCTCTGTAGACCAGGATGGCCTCAAACCCACAGACTCTGCCTTCCCTGTGCTAGGGCTATAGGTGTGGGCCACCGTGTCCTGTTCTTGGTCATCATCACCAGTCCCCTTGGAACAGAGCCACTCCTCAAAGGGTATCCTCTGAAAGACAAGGCCAAAGCCACCCAGTGTTTCTGATTCCTGTGTATACCTTCTCATCAGGGTTTGGATAACACATTACATTTCATTTATAAAATGTTGCCCATGGACTGATCAAGACCCCCCCTGAATGTGGGTGTCAGTGAGGAGGCCTAGGCAATCTATTGGGTCTTGGGTAGTAGATCAGTATTTATCCCTGGAATACAAATGGACTTTGGGTGCCCATCCAACAATGAGAGATGCACTCTCACCCTGGACTCCTGGGGGAGGGTCTAGGCCCTGCCCTGGATGAAATGACAGACCATAGACACCTCCATGGAGTTTCTCACCCTCCATGGGGAAATGAGGGGATATTGGGGGGGTTGGTAGGAGGGCGCGGGAGGAGGGGAGGGAAAGGGAGAGGGACCTGGGATTGACATGTGAAGCAACCTTGTTTCTAATTTAAATTTAAATTTAAAAATTAAAATTAAAAATAAAGTTGCCCAAGACAGAAACATGCCCATTAGTGTGCACATGTCTAATTCAGACTATAAAAATGCCAAACCACATTTCTCATCAACATTCCAACAACTTTAAATATGAAACTATATTTGTTCATATATAATGAGGATTGTGTCTTCATTGCAGAAAACTACCAGTGAGCTAAAAAGTGTCCTGCCTGCTTTAGAGAAGGCAATTGTGTCTCTAAATGCCCTGGATAAAAGTGATATTTCTGAATTAAGGTGAGTAATTGATTCTTTTGAGATAAAAAAGAAAACTCTGAATAGAACCAAAAAAATGTGTGGTAAAGTCTGCATTCCAATTTTATATTAACTAATTTGTATCCATTATGTGTGATATTTATCATATGTTACTGGTTTTAAGGCATGCCAGCATTTTATGGACCCTTAAGAGTGGAAAATTACCACCCAGCTAACACCAAGAGCCATTTGTTACAAACTAAATTGCCATCTCTGATATGTAAAACTTTACGTCCTAGACCAGGTAAAGTAAAGCATTGTCTGAACTGCAGTTGGAACACTTGATGCTCCAGCCCTCGTTGCAGGGTGACTGGAACCTGCCAAGACTACAAAAGACTGCAGTGCCGACACATACCTCAAGGGGGCACAATGGGGCACTTCCCCCTAGTGTGTCTTTTGCAAACCGTGCCTGGTGTGTGAAGAAAGGGACTGAAGAGAAAAATCCCAGAAAGCCCTGGAAGAAATGAAATATGATGGAGTACAAAGGCTCGAACCTTTTGATCCTGATCTTAATCTTTGAGTGGGATTGTGCCACCACGCCCAGCCTGGGTGGGATATTTTTAACTTGAGGGTTCCAAGTCAACAATGGAAATCTTTAAATATCCTACCTCCAAACGTGGCAAGTATTCCATTGACCTTAGGAAGTAGTGTTTTAAGGGGCTAGAGATAGGGCTCAGTGGTTAAGAGCACTGGCTGCTCTTCCAGAGGACCCAGGTTGGATTCCCAGCACCCACATGGAGGCTCATAACTGTAGAGAACTCCAGGTCCAGGGGATCTGACACTATCTTTCGGCTCCCATGGGCACCAGGCACTCACGTGATGCACAAACATACATGCAGGCAAAATACCCATATACATAAAATAAGTGTAAAAAAATGTTAGAGACAGTGGTATTTTAACAAAGGACATGGAGTCCAGGGCAAGCCTGCCGTCACCTTGGTCTGCGTTTACATGTGCTGAGATTGCAGGCGCGTACTGTGCTGGCCAGCTTCTTATATGGGGACTGGGAATCTGAACCCAAGCTCACGAGGCAAGCACTTTACCAACTGAGCCATCTTCCCGGCCCCAACCTCGTCACATCTATAACACATTATCCACTCTTAGTGTTTCAGAACAGCAGACCAGAGCTTGTCACAGCTTTCAAGTTCATCCACCTAACACTCAAGACCAAGGGCGCAGAGAGCAGACGGCGACTGAGTTCTTGATACCCTCGCCCACAAGCTTTCATTTCTAGTCGTTTACTTATTCATTCCGCAAACCCGTGGAGTGCACATCATGTGACAGGCCTGTCCTAGGCACTGAGGTCCCAGCAGCCACCCGAGGGGAGAGGTCATGCGGCAGGGAACAGAGAGCTGTTTGGTAGAAGGACAGACGGCCACGTGGCCAAACTCTGGCAGAGGAGTAGGAAACACAGACTCCTTGGCAGTGTGCTCAGTGGTCTTCAGGGACTGCAAAAGGCCAGGGTGCTGGGGGTGTGAGATAACGGAGGAGTCTGGAAAAGGGGGTGGAGTCAGAAGGGGTTTCCAGGGTGTTACTAAGGGGCACGCCTTCTCCAGCGTAGCGCCCCCCCCCCAGTACAGCCTGTACCTTGTGACTTTCTTCCATAGGGTCCTATTTGCTCAAATGTTACTGACAGAATAGCTCAAATACCCAGTAATTTATTATTATTAATTTTAAGTATGTATCTGTTGAGGGGGCAGGATGTTTGTGTACCTGAGTCTGCAGGTTCCCATGCAGACCAGAGCATCAGATCCTGTGAAGTTACAGGCAGTTATGAGGTACCGGGTGTGGATTTTGGGAACCAAACCTAGGCCCCCTGCAAGTGCAGCACATGCTCTTGCAGCCAGGCCATCACTCTGGCCGCCCACGGTCCCAGATAGCCTGTTTCTTGTAGCATCATCAAGAGCAGTGAAGTGCAAGGTTGGAGTCCTGCCACGATGTGGACTGGCGATCACACTGTGTAGCCCATCGATCATGCTGTGTAGCCCATCAATCACGCCGTATGGACCTGCGATCACTCTGTGTGGACCAGGGAACCCTTCACTCTTCACCTATACTGCATTGTTTGCAAAGATTCTCCCTTTGATGTTACCGTTGTAGCTAGAAACTGGCTGGGACACAACAAAAAGAGATCTGCTATGTTCCAGGAATGATCCAAGTGATTGGCAAAGTTCCAGGAATGACCCAAGTGATTGGCAAGGTTCCAGGAACGATCCTTTTGCCCTAACTATAGACAGATCCCAATATAACCCTCTGCCCCAAAGTTGTTCTTTCTATCAGTAACTTCCATGAAGGTAAAGAGAAGCCTTAACTCTCAAGGACAGGGCTGACTTTGTGTTGCAACCACATCCTCACTTAAAATGAGTCTACAGTAGTACTTTTATAGCAGAAGTAATCGCAGGAAAGTTCCTGACTTAAAATGAGTCTACAGTGGTACTTTTATAACAAAAATAATTAGCCTCTAACTCAGATGATTTTCAAATTTTAAATTTTATGCGTTTAATCTTCCTAAAGCAAAGATATTCATATATATCTTCCTAAAGCAAAGATATACTGAAGACACCATTTTTTTAAGTAATCAAATAGTAAAATGCCTCTATGTTGACTTATCAGGATATTTGTTAAAAATATATGCAAGCAAGATGTCTCTTGTATGGGGAGTCTGAACTTACCTGTGTGTGCACATGTGTGTGTGCACGTGTGTGTGTGTGTGATACATAAAACATGAAAGCAGAGGGGGATATTTGGAGAAAGGAGGGGAGCCAGTGGAAGGGGAAAGAGAGGATACAAAAGGGTATTTGGAGAGAGTAAGAGTGAAATGCAAGCCACACACAGGAAAATTTCATAACGAACCCCACTATTGTGTAGGCTGCCTTAACCGATTAATGTATGTGCCGTCCAAAAGGCTGTGATATGGGATTGCTTTCAGCATGCTCACCCTGTCTTCCAGAGTGTATACACGCCCCCCCTTCCTCGTCCTGACAGTCATGAATGCCGTGTGTATCCTTCTACAGAAGAAGCCTAACTGGGCAACAGCCAAGCTGCTGCTTTCTGAAACGGGCTTCCTAAAGAAACTGATAAACCTTGACAAGGACAGCATCCCTGATAAGGTACAACAGCGGTAGCTGGTGAGTGCAGTGTAGATAGGTTCCATGTTTACAGTCCGCAGATTCAAGCAGAAGTTAGAATTGGTTCTCAGTTACAGGTGAAGATTAAAAATGGATTTAAGTATGAAATGCACTTAGGTGGGAGACAGCGGTAAGCACTAAAAGAGAAAAGGGAGCCAGCAAGGTGACAAAGGGGTGAAGGGATTCGTCATCAAGCCCGACAGCATGGATGATCCCCAGAGTCCCCATGACAGGAGAGAACGGGCTCAAGCAAGTCATCCACAGACGACTTCACCTGTGTCCTGGTACATGCGTGTGCTCACACATACACATATATACACACATGCGTGCACGCACAAAATCAGTACTAAAAAGAGAACAGGAGAGCGTGGTTTCTTCATGAATGTGTCCTACAATCCTCATATTAAACAGGGACAACATTGAGCAGCCACTCACACTTAAGCAGCAAGTTACAATCGTCTGTTCCACACAAGGAAGATGAAGTTTGGGGCAGAATGTCAGGAGTGATACTCGTCCGTGAATTAATGTAACAACTCATTCGCTAATGAATAATTAGCAAATATGATCCCCTGTGATTTTGTCTAAATACATCTAAAAAGAATCACTTTTATTTAAAAAAAAAAAGTGATCAAAAGCCTAACAGCATTCAAAATGGTCAGAGCGCATTAACAGTGGCAGGTTGGGAGTGAGCCGCCAGCACCTCAATTACTCAGGAAAGTGGTGCTGTTCTGGGCAACAGAGGAGATGCCTAAGGCTCTATATCGTTTACGGCTCATAAAAGCAGATAGGAAATTCTGTGTGCTTGACTATAAATTAGATGGCACCATTAGGCCAATAGGCCCCTTGGGGGCAGGATGACATCCCCTTGAAGGAAAGTGCACCAAAGGACTGAGACCTCCTCTCACATTAAATTTTCCCAAGTTGAAGCTCCTTTTGTTTTGGGGGGTTTTGTTGTTGTTTTGGGGGTTTTTTGTTTTGTTTTGGGTTTTGGGTTTTGGGTTTTTTTGGTTTTTGGCTTTTCGAGACAATGTTTCTCTGTAGCTGTGGAGCCTGTCCTGGAACTCAGTCTGTAGACCAGGCTGCCATCTCTGCCTCCCGAGTGCTTCGAGTAAAGGTGTGTGCCACCACCGCCCAGCTGAAGTTCCTCTTAAATGGTAGCAGACTCACTTCGACAGTGGCAGGTGTCTAGTGGAAAGGTTCCCTCCGTCTAGGGCCACTCTCAACCCGAGACACAGCTGTAGTGTCTTTAATTCAGGGTGGGATAGCAGTCTTAGGAAATCAGTGATTCATTCTACTGTGCAGTGCATGTAACGCATTCTCCCTAGGTGTTCCTGAAGCTCAGGAAGACTTTAAATTTGACTGATTTCAACCCCAACAAGATTGCGCTGGTGTCTGTGGCTTGTTGCTCCATGTGCCAGTGGGTCATAGCTCTGAATAACTACCACGAAGTCCAGAAGGTACTCCTCACCTCCTAAGTCTCTGTCGTAGTCCCCCCAAAGATATTGGCGTTTAGCAGCGCTTGAGTGGACCTCTGTGCAAAGAATGCAGACTGAAATCCAAGTGCTTTCATATGTTATGCTAATTCCATAGTTGTTTCTTTTAAATATTCTACAAAAGCTATGCTAAATTTCAATTCATTTGATTTCATATTTTGTCCATAACAAACTCTCTCTTATGTGCATATACCAAATTCCAGGAGAGTTTGAACTGTAAATGTCTCTCAAGCATAAGCCTTTTTTTTTTTTTGCCTTTTTTAAATTTAAGTTAGAAACAGGCTTGTTTCACATGTCAATCCCAGCTCCCTCTCCCTCCCCTCCTCCCCCACCCGGCCCCCACCCAGACCCCACCCAATCTCCACTCTGATCCCCAGGGAGGCTGAAGTCCTCCATGGTGGATCTCCAGAGTATGTCATTTCATCCAGGGCAGGGCCTAGGCCCTCCCACAAGAGTCCGGGCTGAGAGAGCATCCCTCATTGTGGGATGGGCACCCAAAGTCTATTTGTACACCAGGGACGGATACTGATCTACTACCCAAGGCCCATAGATTGCCTAGGCCTCCCCACTGACACCACCTTCAGGGGATAGGGTCAGTCCCATGCATAAGCCATTTTAAACCATAGCCTAACTGTTTAACCCCTTGGGTTTTTCCCTCCCTTGAAGGTGGTGGGCCCCAAGCAGGCACAAGTGGCTGAGGCTCAGAATGTCCTTCAAATTGCAAAGCAAAGGCTGTGTGAAAAACAAAGAGGCTTGCAACTGGTAAGGTTTGGGGGGGAGGGGTCTAGGTTTTTGTTTTGTTTTTGTTACTTGTTAAATTCTCAGTGCCTTTAAGAACTACATAACATTGCCAAGGAACAAACAGTCAATAAATACCTCTGGGATGAGGGTTTTTCTCAACGACAGAGCACTCACTGCCCAGTAGCATGTGGGCCTATGATTCCATCCCTACCACTGCAAGGCTGGGGTGTGCAGAAGCCATTATCTCAGTAGAGCCTATTTACCAAAAATACTAGTATAGTTAGGAATGTAATTGTGAGGACTAAGTAAATAAAATAAATATGATATGTAACTCTCTCTATCCATACTACATGTAATAATCAACAATATTGTTAATTATAATCACATAATGCTATTTCACCACATTTCTCCAAGAGATCTTTATAACTTCGGTCTATAAAAAGTACCAGCTGGGCATTGGGGTACACGCCTTTAACCCCAGCACTCAGGAGGCAGAGGCAGACAGATCTCTGAGTTTGAGGCCAGCCTAGTCTACAGAGCAGATGCCAGGACAGCCAGGACTGTTACACAGAGAAAGGAAAGAAGAGAAGGGAGAGGAAACGAAAAGGAAGGAAAAAAGAAGGAAGGAAAAAGAAAAGGTTTAACTAGTATCGACCTGGATTCATATAGTCCTCATTTCACCTCTTTACAGTAATTACTCTATTAATTCTTGAAGCCACACTTAGTTCTCTAATGTCTGGAACTGGAGTTAGAATGGCAATCATCGACCTGACATTTGCTACCTTCTGAATAGATGGCATACTATAATTCACCTGGCAGACTATCTTGTTAAATGCTGTGTTGCATTCTGTGCAAGAGAATTGCATTGAGGATATATGTACACTCTCAAAGCTGAAAGGTTTGCACTGTATCATCTTTCAGTCCATCCATTCATTCATGCATGTATATATATATACACACATTTGCATATACACTATGTCCACCCACTCAGCCACCTATCCAGTCAGTGTTGGAGCTTCTCCCTGAAACACTTACAATGCACCGCACCATAGTTCAGTGAACCTGCTCAACGTGTTTCTCAAGTACAATCCTGTGCTGCCACCCGAGCTATAGTTAACGCCAATGACTTTATGCCCTTTATGGCAATGTCCTCCTGGTACATACTTTGTTCCATTCAAATATATATCTTTTGTCCATCTGGGCCTTAATGTAGAAAATACTTCTGAAAATTGTAGAGAACGCTGGGAAAAAGGCCTAGAACTTACTAGTCACCCATGACCTCATCAAAACATGCTTTAGGAAGTACAGTGCTCACCACATGATTGTATGTTTAACTTCATGGGTGTGCCCTGTACTTAAATAACTAGATCATGAGTAGTGAGGGAAGACAGGAGAAATGAAGAAGCAAAAGCAATATCTAAAAGTATTAATGAGAGACTGAAGAGAGGGTTCATCGTTGCTCTTACAACAAACCTGAGTTTTGTTCCCAGCACCCCTGTTACTCAGCTTCAGGGGATCGATGCACTCTTCTGGCCTCCAGGGACACCTGCATGGATATGCATGCATGTGTAGGTGCACACACACACACACACACACACACACACACATAGGCAAAATACATTTTTGTATTTGTAGCTGAGGATGAGCCTGAACTTATAACGCTCTGTCCTCTGGCTCCTAAGTGTAGGCATGTGCGCCAATGCAACTGGTTGCACACAGCACTGAAGATAAATCCTAGATGTTCTCAAAGCACAACAAGCGTGCCACCAGCTGAGCGACATCCCCAGCCCTCAGCCATTTCTTTAGAGAATGAATTTGGATATGGCATAGAGTTATCTTTGTGAACAAGTAAGTTAGAAAATGATGCCTCTTCCAGTGCTTAGGATTGCAAGAAGGGCTTCTGCAGAAAGCAGACAGCATTTCACGGTACCTCAGGGCTGAGAGAACCACTAGCTTCCATGTGTGCATCTCATTGGTAATGTGATCCATGTAGGAAGCCTTCCTAGGACGTGGAAGGGAAGTGGTTACACACTAAGGAAGGAGAGATGACAGACAAACTGTAAACCACGTGGGAGTGAGACATTTTCTCAGTGACGAATGAATTGTCTTTCAGATTGAAGAGCATTTACAGTTTCTACACACCTCCTACAGAGACATCGTTACTGAAAAACATCAACTGGCCAATCGGAAAAAGCTGGCCACCAAGCGTCTGCAGTGCGCGTCCATCCTGCTAACCGTCCTGGAAGACGAGAAGGCACGACTTCCCTTGGCTTTTTAGCTCCTTTGCCAGTTCCCATGGGGTCAGCTTGCTCTTCACTCTGGTTAATCACACACCTCATAGCCTGCCTCGGTGCCCGACCACCAATAAAGATCTGGATAGTCTTACTCCAGCAATGAGCCCTGTCATCTTGGTAGAGGCACATTTCTGTCTGATGGCAGAGGGTGCTTTCAACACCCATGCCATGAGTTTTTCTTCACCAGCCTGGAACAAAGCAGGTTGAGTGCATGGACACCAAAGAGAATAGCTGTCAGTAGAATGGAAAGTGAAAACTTAACTTTGTCCTGTTGGTCTTCTGATCCTTCTGTCTGATTTTAAATACTTGTAATTCACTCCTAATAAGCTGGCTAGAATCTTGGTTTAGTTACACCTCACCTATCCCAAAGGACATTACAAAATCCTCAAGATAACTTTAATTTGTTGTAATTATTCAAATGAATATATCATGGAAGGTTCTTTAAGGACAGTGATATGGTTGTAGTATAAAGTCACACCACCCAGAAGAGACTGCTGTCCTCAAAATGTGGCTGATGTTCCTAAGAGACCAGTGACTGCTGAGTGGGGGAGGGTATGGCACATGATGCTCTCTGCACTCCAACTTCGTCCTCTGAACATGAAGTCGGTGACATTTTTTTAATTTTATTTGTTTGTTTGTTTGTTTGTTTGTTTGTTTTGAGATAGAGCTCACTATGTAGCTCTGGCTGGCCTGGAGCTCACTATGGGAGAAGAGCCTGGCCTTGAACTCAGAGATGCAGCTGCCCCTGTCTCCCTACTGAGACTAAAGATGTGCATCACCATGCCTGGCTCAGTGGCCTTTTTTTTTTTTTTTTTTTTTTTTTTTTTTTACTGATATGATGAAGTGTCAGAAAGAATTTCACAGTAAAGCATCTGTTGAAAGTGACTATCCAGCAGGCAGTGGGGGATGGGGTTGAGCATCAGTAACAATGTGATGGGATTCTGTTTGCTTGTCTAAGAGACCAATTCTCATGATTCAGCCAAAACAGGACTAGTTTCCCTCTCAGAAAACAGTTCTGTGGCAGGAGCAAGGTAAGATTTTTGTAGTCTGTTTACTACTTTCAAAGCCAACAGAGTTCTTTATGCTATCTGAATGAGATTTTCTCCAGATCTCAATAAGAAATAGTATTGACAGGTAATTTTAGGCGGTATGTGATAAAACAAAAAAACTAGTGAAATCCATCTTAGGTCTCTGTCACCCTTGCTGGCCTGGAGTTGATGGCACTGCTCCTGAGTCAGGCTCTTGAGTGCCGACTTTGCAGACATGTGCCCTGACGCCCACTTTTAAATGTGATTCACCTTCTACTCCTTGAGAATAGCATGGTCGTGGTAATAGCAATGATAGATCCAGCATAGAGACCATTTGTTTTTAAAGTGTCTCATGATACCAAGCTAGGGAGGTGACTTGCCTCCAAGTGTGAGGAACTGAGTTTAGGTCTTCAGCACCCACGTAAAAGAACATCTGGCCAGCTGGCACAGCCCCAGTTGGTGAGCTCCAGGTTCAGGGAGAGACCTCTCCAATACATAAATACATAACAGCAGTAGGCTAGGGAGATTGCTTAGTGGGTGAGGACACTGCTGTGCAAGCGCGAGAACCCAAGTTCAGGTCCCCAACAACCACGTAAAAGGGACATGGCTGTCCTGCATGCCTGTAACCCCAGCACTCTGAGGGACAGAGACGGGGATTGCTGAGGGTTTCTGGCTGCCAATCTAGCCAGGTTCAGTGAGAGACCCTGTCTCGAGGGAATATGATAGAGAGTGACAGAGCAGGACACCTGAGGTCCTCCTCTGCCCTCCACTGCAGACCTGTACATGCACACGTGACATATGCTCACTCTTGAGCAAACACACACACCAAAAAAGTCAAATAAGGTGGAGAACACTAGAGAAAGATACCCCAGTATGAACATGTGCATGCATGTATGCCGCACACTTAAATATTGCATAAATAATTATCTACCCAATAAACTGATTTTTGTTTTAATGTTTAGGATCGATGGCAAGAAACGATTGACATAATAGACAACAAGTTGAAAGGCATCTGCGGTGACTTACTGCTTTCATCCGCATGTGTGGCCTACAGCGGAGTCTTAACGCCAGAGTTCCGCCAGCCGGAGATACAGAAGTGGGAGGGCCTCTGCCATCAATACAGAATTCCCTTGTCATCCAAATTTTCCCTGATAGAAGTGATGGCAGAAAAAAATGAGGTAGCAACATAATTCCCCCATGCAATTCAGTGGCTTTAGTTGGTGGTTGGTTTGGGGGGATGTGTTTTAGGCATGGATATTTTCCCTAAGTGATTGTGACATTGAAATTATTGAAGTTTTTCAGCCTTTTCTTTCTTTTTAAACTTGCAGATCTAGTGCCTTCATTTGCTGTATCTATCCTGTTTCTCATTCTCTAATCAAATCACAAAATACTCCTTTTTCCTGTTGTAATCCTACTGCCCTGTCATAATGAATCTAGCCAGTTTCTCTAAGACTCCTTTCAATAATAGAATTAGTGCACTCATTGAACTGTGGGTGCATTCTTAGTCATAGCCAAAAGCACAGGCCTATATTTACCAATAGGCATCTATTGCCCATGCATCTAAGTCCTTTGTGGATGTTTAAAAGATTAAAAAGGAAAAATTCCTACTACTATTTAATCCTCATCATTCTAGATTAGTTTCTTCAGTGATAACTCTACTTCAATGGACCTTACAACCTATAAGGTCTCAGGAGGAAATGCCAGCTTCTCCGTTTCATAATTACTGACCTTCTAAACACATGACTGATTGCATTAGATGCATATGAACTGAATGTCCAGTTAAGAGTCTAAGATGGTAAGCGCACATAATAGTTTACACCAAAGCACAGAACAGAACCCATGTGTTATCTAGAAAAAACACACCTAAAACATTAAGATTGGGGATTTTTTAAAGGGAGAAAATGTACAAAGACTACAAATAAAGATGAACCAGTCTCTGTGGCCCAGAGCATGCCAGTGTTACATATAAAGATGAACCAGTCTCTGTGGCCCAGAGCATGTCAGAGCATGACTTCACACTAAGAATGGGTTTGATTCTCCAGAACTATAGCAACAATTCTAAACTTGCTTATTGATAGGATAACCTCAGATATTAAGCAGACATATTTTAAGTAGGTTTGCATCCCAACATCAGTTTCCCCTCCCTCCTCTCCTCCCATTCCCTTCCCCACAGCCCCTCCCCACCCTTTCCTCTGTTTCTGTTCAGAAAGGGGCAGACCTCCCTTGGGTACCAACAAAGCATGGCACATCAAGCTAAGGACTAAGCTCCTCCCCTTGTGATAAGGCTGAGCAGGGCAACCCAGTATGAAGGATATGTTCCCAAAAGCCAGCCAAAGCGTTTGGGACAGGCCTGCTCCCACTGTTAGGAGACACACAAGTAGACCAAGCTACACAACTGTCACACATATACAGAGGGCCCAGGTCAGTCCCACACAGGATCCCCGGTTGTCACTCCAGTCCCTGTGAGCCCCCATGTGCCAGGTCAGTTTTTGTGGGTTCCCTTGTGATAACCTTGACCCTCATGGCTCCTAGAATCCTTCCTCCTCTCTTCAACAGGATTCCCTGAGCTAAGCCCAGTTAAGCAAACATTTTAAAAATAAAAATAAGCTATAGAGAAAACAGATAAACTAGTGAAGTGCTTGGGATGATCTGACCTCCATAGGCTCATATACTTAAATACTGGGTCCCTGGTGGCACTTTTTGGAGAAGTGTAGGGAGTGCAGCCGTGCTGGAAGTCCATCCCTGGAGGCATGCTTTGAGGGTAAAAGGCTTTGCCTGTGTCCGGTTTGCTCTCTCTGTTTCAGGCTTGTGTTTGAAGAGACCGTTTTCTCCATCTGAGAGATTAGAATATTTGTAGAAATTTAACGAGCCAATGAATACATGTGCTTGATTGGTGGGTGGGAGATAGTCACTGCTGTTAGTTTGCAAACCTCGGCATGATTGTGTGTTTCCTTCATGTCTAGAACCTGAGAGCCCTGTTCCATGGCTTTCTGTTTCCACGGTGTCTTAATCTAAATTCCAACTTGCCTTAACTCATCTGTTCCCTGGGTCCTCCAGAGGACCATTTGTCTAAAAGTGGCTGTTGTTGAGGATCCTTCAGGACCCTTTACAAGAGCTATGGCTATGCAGAAGTTCCTGAACTGGTAAAAGACACTAGCATTTCCATTCCAGATCCGCCGGTGGCATAACCAAGGGCTGCCTCTTGGTCAGCACGCAACAGAAAACGCCATCTTGATGAAAAACACCCAGCAGTGGCCGCTGGTGATCGACCCACACAAGCAAGCACTCCACTGGATCCGTCAGATGGAAGGGCCCCAGCTGCAAGAGATGTCCATGGAGGATAGCAGCTGCCTCCAAACACTTAAAAACGCCATGAGAACAGGAAAGTGTGTCCTCTTGCAGGTATGTGGACAGTGTGGCCGGATTCCTTCTTTCTATCGTATGCCTTGTTATATGCAATGGACATAGTGGGAGAAGCTTTAAGTGTCCAGGATCTTTGTCAAACAAATGTATACCCAATTACATATGCATGCATGTATTACATATGTGTCATATAGGTGCACATATGTACATAGTTTAGTTCTCTTACACCTGTCTTTCGAGAATGATATCAACCATGTGTCTTTTCAGCTGATTGATTTAAGACAATTTTTTCATCTGTGTCTATTGGACATTTTCAGAATGCCCCTGAAGCATTCCCTCCCAGCTTGAAGGCAATTCTAAAAAAGGACATTTTCCAGAAAAGAGGGCAGTATTACATCAGAATTGATGATGCTGAGATTGAATACAATACAAGGTTCAGGTAATGACCCCCATAGTCAAACTCAGTGGCGTGTTCTAGTTGCTAAGATGAGGGACATGGAAGGCCTTGTGCGTCCGTCCTGGCTGTGACCCTGAGGGAAAACAGCAGTTGCGTCACGAACACTCCTCTTGGTTTTGTGGGTTGTGACTGTCACTCATTTTTCGGAGAGTGAGTTTTATCAGTGTTGTCAGGCTGTACCTGACGGGGCTGTGGCCAAAGCTCAGCAGGAAGTCAACAGGCAGGGAGCCTGGCCCACTGAGTCCAGAGGAATTCGATTTGATCCCCTGACCAGCATAGACATGATAAGCTCTGACTACGTTAAAAAACAAAAATCCAGGCCTGAAGCGGTGTCTCAGCCAGTGGAAACATGAACACCCAGGCCCACAACACACATGTGCAAAGGGTAACACACACATGTAGTCTTACTTGGGGAAGGCAGAGTTCAGTGGCCAGTCATCCACACCAACTGAGGGTCCTGTCTCAGAAAGTAAGGAGGAGAGCACTGGAGGGAAACACTTGAAGTCAGTCTTTAGCTTAGACACACACACACACACACACATACACACAGATTCATATTTAATATTCAGAACAAAAAGATTTTTATCCATGGAGGTAGAAGCACTGGGAGGGAAAATGGGAATCCTTAACAACAACAGAGACTTGCTGGCCTCAGATGAGCAATATGGAGGACTGGGCTGCTAGACAGAAACCACCAAAGGCCAGTGGACTCAAGGTCCTTTGTCTCTTGAACTCAAACCCTGCATTCTGTGGGAAACAGCAAGGGTGATTTTTGCAGAGGAATTTATTCTGGGTTCCTGGTGAGACACAAGAGACAGGACTGACAGAAACAGAGTTCCCATACAGCAAGAGCGTGTCACAAAGCTGTGTCATCATCAAGGATCCTTATGTAGGGGCTCATCCATGTTGCCCACTCATCCCATCAGGGGGAGTTTATGTGCCTCAGTAGCTTCGAGAGAGATAGCAAGGACCCAGAACAGTAGCCATTGACCCTAAACACATTTGATGTTTCTCCAGCCAGCATAGAAGTGCCATTAGAACCAAAGCCGATCCTGGCTTCTGGTCAAGGACGAGGATCAGAACTGCTCATCTTGAGGTCCCTGCCCCAAAACTGCCTGGCAGGCTTCTTCTCTTCTGTTCTCCTCTCAGCTGCACAGCATCTGAGAGGAGCTGCCATAGGAGCACCTCCTCCCCCAGGCAGCTTCACAAAGAGCTAGTTTGTGGTAACATTTGATGGCCACAGAAACACAGTTCCCAGGAAAGCTTTTTGGGTCTCTTTGCGGGCAGAGGCTGGGGAGTCATAGTAACTGTAGCCAACTGATTCTCAGAATGGATGTCTTCCAGAGGGTGGGAACAGGGTGTTGCTTTAAAAGACAGGCATGGGGACAGATCTCCACTCTCTCTGGCCATGCCTCAGCCTCATTTTTTAAAAGTGGAGTGGGCTTGTCCCTGCTCTTCTTAGTTGCTATAAACAAAGCAAGCCCCAGACTCTCATTCCTTCTCACTACCTGCTCTAACCCACCACCATTCCTCCTGCCCTCCTGACCCCCTCCCTTTGCCCAGGCTGCCCTTCAGTCAGAAAGTCCAGTAACTTCAAATCCCCTCAGCCACAGAAACCATTCTTTACCATAGTCTAGTGACATCAAAATTCTATGACCATTTGTGCTTACCCTGGCCTTATCCAGTGGGGATATAGTTCATGGCTATTTTTAAAGTATTAAGCACAGACTTGCTCACATAGTATAAACCAAGAACATGCATTGAGCACAACCCTGAGTAACACTAACAATGACTTTCTTCACTTCCAGAAAAGTACACTTTATATTATTTAGACATTTGGTTTCATCTTATTCTTCTGTAAGTTCTTTGAACAATTGGTCTCTTTCTCATTTTTAGGCTGTACTTATCCACAGAACTAGACAACCCCCATTTTCTGCCATCAGTTTATACATTTGTTACTATTATCAACTTCACGGTAACATTCCAAGGCTTGCAAGATCAACTCTTATCTACAGTAGTAAGTCATGAAGTTCCTCATTTAGAAAACCAACACGCCCAGTTACTAGAGAGTATTTCTCTTGATGCTGTAACTCTGGAGGAACTGGAGGACAAAACATTGACCTTACTCCAGAAAACAGAAGGTGAGTAGGGACACTAGGTATGATCATGAGACTTAAGTGGAAGTCAGAAGGAAAAAAATCATGGGTTTATTTCTGAACTGGTACCCAAAATGCCAAGTCTCCATTCCTGCCATATTAGCAGTTGAGATGGGGAGTCCCACCCATTTCTAAGTTTCACATTGTGAATTTTGATGCTCCCTGTCATCCATGTTGCTTAGCTCTTTCTATACACATTTGACCACCAAACACTGCACCTAAAATCTTAAGCAAATCTCAGAGGGGTGGGGCTTATTGACTCCTCCCAGTGATATTCTCCAGGCACCTCCCATCTACTTCATGCAGAACTGGTCACAAACACCAAAAGATTAGGGTCACCAAGTGTTGATCCTAAAGGACCTTTTATAGAGAAATAACCATGTGATTCCATTAAATATCACATTAAAATGTGTTTATTAGCAAAGAAGTCAAAATTGTTCTCCTCTTGCTAGAAGAATATCTAGAGTATTTTTGTAGCAATAAGAAGTTTATATCAACTTCTTCCTGGCTCACACTGATATAACTACACCTAAGTCAACTGGGACAAAGCACAGTTCATCTGCCCCTAAACTGTCTTCACGTTTTTATTTGTGTCTCATTAGGAGACACAATATGCAATCCCCTGGAGCTGAACTGTTAAGGAGATTTGCACCATGCAATGCTGATGCTGGGAGTGGGTGCTGGGAACAGGACTTGGGTACTCCACCAGAGCAATGAGTGCTCTTAACAGATGAGTGGTCTCTCTAGCGCCCATAATCATTCTTTTAAAACGTAACTAGAAAGACCAGGTGTGGTGGCACATGCTTTTCCATCCCAGCATTTGGAAGACAGAGGCATTTGTGTCACTGAATTTGAAACCAGCCTAATCTAATCTACATAGCAAAACTTGCTCTCAAGAAAGGGGGTGGGGAAGAAAGAAAGAAATGAAGGAGGGATGGAGGGAGGGGAGAAAGAAGAAAGGAAAAAAGGAAAGAAGGAAGGGAGGGAGGGAGGGTGGGAGGGTAAGTTGGTTTATAAGGAAGATTTTAGCACCCCCTTAAACTATGTGAAGTGGGAAGAATTTGTGTCTAACACAGTGCTTGCTCAAAGAAGACTTACAGTCTGATAACATTGGAAAATGAACCTCACTGGTCAAAACAAAGCAGCAGAGTATACTGTATGAAATAATAGTATATTTGCTATTGGAGGGTGGGACTAGGGGTCAAACCCAGGGTCTTGTGCATACAGCTAAATACTCCAACCACTGAGCCACATCCTCAGACACTGCGTGTGTCTCTCTATCTGCCTATGTGCGTGTGTCTGTGCCTGTATCTATCTATCTATCTATCTCTCTCTTACTCTCTCTCTCTCTCTCTCTCTCTCTCTCTCTCTCTCTCTGTGTGTGTATGTGTGTGTTCAAATGTATTCTGTATGATCAAATTGTTACTTATGCTCCTGTAATAAAAATGGAATTCACAAACAGAATTAAGAAAAGGGAGTGGGAAGTGGGGCCCTGAATACTGTCTGTCAATCCTACTTCTTAGAAATACGATCAATCATCAGGCAGGCAGCACACACCTTTAAGCCCAGCACACAGGAGGCAGAGGCAGGCAGATCTCTGGGAGTTTGAGGTCAGCCTGGTCTACAAAGAGAGTTCTGGGGCAGTCTCCAAAGCTACAGAGAAACCTTGTCTCAGAAAAAAAAGAAAGGAAATATGATTAATCATTCTAAAACTATCTGAGCAGCCCTCTCCTGAAGCCCATGCCCACACTTGGGTCTCTCTTTTTCTGGCTCCTCTTTATCCTAAACCTTATGTTTTAGTCAAAATTGAAATTCCTTTAACAAAACCTCCAACTCTGCTTTACTGTTAAAAGAAAAAGAAGAACCCATCTGGACATAAAACATAAAAATCCCACAGTGAAAACTCTTACAGTGCCTGCAGCAGGTAACAGCTACTTGCCATTTGGTTTAAACCATTTGCTTTTTTGTTCATTTTTAGGAAGTGTATTAGATGATGAAGAAATTGTAGAAATCCTAAGAAAATCCAAAATGACTTCAAATGAAATTTCCAAACGTATCAAAGAAACAAAAAAAGCAGAACGTGAAATTCAAGCAACTCGCAAGACCTATCTCCCCATAGCCACGCGGGGCGCCCTGCTCTACTTCGTGATGGCCAGTCTCACGCAGGTAGAGTACATGTACCAGTTCTCCCTGGAGTGGTTCCGGCAAGCTTTTGTTTCCTCGACAGTTTCCAAAGCCAAGCCTGATTGGAAAATGGACGAAACGTCCCAGGAAAGAGCTGACGAGACTTCTTCAAGTGTCTCAAATCAACAGAATCCAGAAAGTGGAAGAAATTCCTTAACCACGGATACTAAAAACGCAATAGATGTGTTGACAAGAAACGTGTTTAGGGTAAGCCGTCCTTTTACCATGAGTTTTCCCAGCACTGCCTCGAGGGCTCATGTAACGGTTGTGGTTTCTGTAGGCGGTCTCTTCGGCTCTATTCAATGAGCATAAACTCTGCTTCTCCTTCCGGCTCTGCACCACAATCATGAGAGATAATGCCAGTGACACTCTGGTGGCCGATGATGACATAGGATTCCTTCCAGAGGAAGAATGGAACATCTTTTTATACTCTGGCATTTTGATAAATATTAGAAACATACTATCCAAGCCTAGATTGAATAGTAAGTAAAAATTATGTTTTTTAAAAAGAAAACAAAACAAAACACTGACATATGTTTCCTTGTAAAACACTAAAAGATTTTGAGATTTATTTCTGTGATGTCAAATTCTATGTCAAACTCACAAATGTGTGCACATACAGTCAGCACGTTCTTTGTTTGTTTGGAAAAGCATTTCACTATATAGCCACGCAAGCCTAGAAGTCATGATCCTCCTAAGTCACTTTTGAGTGAGTGAATGAGTAAATAAATCACAACTAGTAAGATCATGGTGGTCCTAATATAAAGCAGATTATATACGATAGTGACTAGGGACACCCACATTGACTACAATGCCCTTCTTACATAACGTTCTTCACTTACTATTGAAAACTTGAGACAAAAGCATGCCTGTCTGTGGTGGTCTGAATGAGGACGGCACCCAAAGGCTCGTATGTCTGAGTGCTCAGTCCTTAGTGGGATTGTTTGGGAAGGATTTGGAGGTGTGGCCTTGTTGGAAGAGCTGTGTCACTCACGGTGGGCTTTGAGGTTTCAAAAGCCCATGCCTAGCCTAGCATTCTCATTCTTTCTCTCTCTGTCTCTGTCTGTCTCTCTGTGTCTCTGTCTCTCTGTGTCTCTCTCTGTGTCTCTCTCTCACTCTCTCTGTCTCTCTCTCTGTCTCTCTCTGTCTCTGTCTGTCTCTCTGTCTCTCTGTCTCTCTCTCTGTCTCTCTCTGTCTCTCTGTCTCTCTCTCTCTCTCTGCCTGCTGATCAGGATATAAAGCTCTTAGCTACTGCTCCAGCTCCATACCTGTCTACTTCCTGCCATGAGGACCATGAACTGACCCTGAAAACTGTGGGCAAGCCCCTAATTAAATGCTTTATTTTATGAGTTAGCTTGGTCACAGTGTCTCTTCACAGCAGCAGAACAATGCGTAAAACACACAGTCACTTAACAACTGAATCTTTTAAGATCTGTGATGTAGCAAAATCAATGCTAAGAAGGAAATAAAACATGTGAAAACAGAAAGCTCTCAGGATTGGAGACATGGCTCAGTAGTTAAGAGCATACACTGCTCTTGGGGGGCTCAAGTTCAGTTCCTAGCACCTACCTCAGGCAGCTCACAACTGCCTATAGCTGCAGCTCCATGAAGATCCAATGCCTGCCTGCCAGCACCTGCACGCACATGCACATATCCTCATACAGGCAGACACGCATGCCAACCATTTAAAAAATAAATGTTTAAAAAAGAAAGATCTCAGGTCACCAAGATAAATTTCTACCTCAAGAGCTACTGTTCAAAAGATCACCAAAGTGGATATCTCATACTTTCTCAGTTCAGAACACGGCATAAAACCTGCATTACTGTTGAATAAGTAGGTTATAGTCGCATAAAAACAGACAAAATGAAGGGCTGGAAAGAGCTCATTGGTTGAGAGCACATTTTGCTCCTGTAGAGGGCCCAAGTTCAGTTCCCAGCATCCACAGTGGGCAGCTCACACCATCTGCAACTCCAGCTCCAGGAGACCTGATGCCCTCTTCTGGCCTCTGTAGACAATTGCACTCACATGCACATTCTCCCTCCCAGATGTTCACATATACACACCATTTTAAAATGAAAATAAATCTTTTTCAAAAAGTCAGTGGCACAGAATAAAGATCCCACAAGCTAACGCACACATTTGTGTTCAAATAATCAACAACCTATGTTAGGAAAACTGGATAAGCACATATAAAAGAATGAAGTTGGACCTTTATTTGTACCAAATACAAATATTAACTCTAAGTGGGTTACATGTAAGCCCTAGAACTATAAAAAGTCCTAGCAGAGGGCCAGGTGGATGATGACTCAGTTGGTAAGGTGCCCTCTGTGCAAACATGAAGGACTAAGTTCAGACCCCCGGCACCCACATTGAAAAGCCAGGCACAGCGATGTGTGCTTGGAGCCACTGGAAGCTCACGGGCACCCAGGGGGCTTCCAGTTCCCTTGAGAGGTGCTGTTTCAAAACCAGAGACAGCAAAATCACCAGCCATGTATACGCACATGCAGGCACATCCTCATGAACACTCACGCGCACACATGCAACCTTTTTATTAAAGTCCTTACAGGTTATACAGAAGAAGTTTATGTCACTAGTACTACAGGAATGCCTAAAGGAAGTGATTTCAGGAAGGGAGGAACTGTTAGGTTCACACTTGCAGGGGATGTTGGTCTAAGGATAAGGGCAGGGGTTTTCAACACAGCTCATTCACACACTGGTGGATCAGGAAGCAGAAAGCCTGGGCTGAAACCAGAAGTGGATGATCACCTTTAAGGCCCACCCACACCAGTAGTCCCTTCCTTCTAGGTTCCAACCCTCCCAGAGCAGAACTACTGGCTAAGGGCCACCCTTTTACACATGTGCCTGTGAGGAACCCTGGGCGTGGCAGGGACGTCTGTAATATTTATGTACTCCTGGTGGAATTGTAAATATGAGAAATAGGATGACATTTCTTCAAAGCATTAAAGATAGAACAGTTAAATGATCCGGCAATCCCACTCCAAGTATACGCCCGAAAGATTGTGGCAAATGTGGAAGACATTTGCCCAGCCATGGTCACAGCTGATAGTTGTATGCAGCCACGTGTCTACCAGTCCATGAGGGGTAAACAAAATTTGCCATAAATGCAATTGGAATGGAATTTAAAATAAAGGAAATCCCATTTCATATTACTGCATGGTCGAGCCTTGAATGACATAAAACAGTCACAAAAAAAACAAACACCAGTCCTATGAGGTATCTGAGGGAGACAGTTCATAGAAACAAAATGGACAGCTGACCGCCAGGAGCTTGGGGGAAGGCAAAGGAAGGGGAGTTGTGTTGGGCTGTAGAACAGCTCTGGAGATCTGCTTTACGCGGCGCAACGCACATAATCCTGAGTTCTGTGCTGAAAATGTTTTAGATAATCAGTTTTGTTATGGAAGAAACAACATATCACAAACTTATCTAGTTAATGTGCCTGCCTATTCATTGTGATGCTGGGAACAGAACTCATGGACTCATGCATGCTAGACAAGCATCCTATAGAGCTGTGTCCCCAACCCCTCTAGTTGATTCTTACATGAAGCGACTCCTTGCTCAACAACAAATACGTGTTAATTATCTACTCTGGAATGGGTCACTGGAAGGTGAAGGGTTTCTCTCTCGTGTGACTGCTTTCCCCTCTCCCGTAGGTATATTTGAGATACGCAGGAAGGAGCATCTTCAGTGGGTTACGGACCTGAGATGGAAGCAATGCCAGTACATCAGCAGCCAGATGGAGCCATTCTCCCTGCTCTGCAAATCGCTCCTGTCCAACAAGTGGCAATGGGACGCCTTTAGGGACACTATGGCTGTCTACTCTCTAATGAGCAGACCCTTCTCCTCAGAAGGGGTGATACCTCGGGAAAGTCCCAGATCACCAGAAGAGGGTAGGGACCTTAGCGCCTAAGCCTAACCTTTGTGTGTGTGTGTGTGTGTGTGTGTGTGTGTGTGTGTGTGTGTGTGTGTGTGTCTGTGTGTATTGTTGGTGTATAAAGGTAGATCATGAGAGGCACGCCTAGCACTTGAAGGCAACGGCAGGCAGATCTCTTGAATTCAAGGCTAGTCTGGTCTATAGGACAGCCAGGGCTACACAGAGAAACCTTGTCTTGAAAGAAAAAAAAAAAAAGAGCTGGGTGGCGGTGGTGCACATGCTTTAATTCCATAATTCCAGCACTTGGGAGACAGAGGCAGGTGGGTCTCAGTGAGTTCAAGACCAGCCTGGCCTACAAAGCAAGCTCTAGGACAGCCAGAACTGTTGCTGTTACACAGAGAAGCCCCATCTCAAGAAACCAAAAAAGAAAAAGAGAGAAAAGAAGGGAAGGTAGATCACAACCGTTGGGAATGCGGAGAGAAGCATCGCTATGTTCTGTTCTGTGTGGCGCGCTTGAGTCAATGCAATCAATCCTCACAATAGGGAAGCGGTTTTTAGGAATTTCATTGTTATAGGTGAGAAACTTGTGTGAGTACTGGACTTTGGAAACATTAAATATGTCAGCCTGTCATTACAGCACACTGGTTCTGAACCTTGCGTCTGAGGGACCCTTCACAGACTCCTCATTTTATGTAGCAGACATGTTCTGAAAGTTACACAGGAGCTGAGTATACAGCCCAGTGGGAGAGCATTTGCCCAGCATGGCAAGGCCCCTGGGTTCAATCCTCGGGACCACAAAAAGAAAGGAAAAGATACCCATGGAAAACATAACAAGCCCAGGGAAGAACTACACAGTAAATGGGTCTGTTTGTTTGTTTCGAGACAGGGTTTCGCTGTATAGTCCTGGCTCCTGAACTCACTCTGTAGATCAGGCTGGCTTTGAACTCAGAGATCTGCCTGCCTCTACCTCCCGAGTGCTGGGATTAAAGATGTGGCCACCACCGCCCAGCACACACAGATCTTTTTAAGGACTGCCATTTTGTCTATTTTCTCCTTTTCTCTTTCTGCTTTGAACCCTGCTCCCTTTTCTTTTTTCCCTGCTCTCTTGACTATGAAACCCCTACTTGGGACACGGCCTAGTTTGTTTCCTGCCACATATTTCTCCATTTTTGGTTGCAGAGTTTTGTTATTATGCACAATAATGTAGTCTGATAACATCAATATTCTCACACATACCTCTTCTCTGCCAGAAAGGGAATTCAGAAGCAGAACTACTGAACAGAGGAAACACTTTTCATGTGAGAAATCCCTGCCAGGTTGATTTCTTAAATAATCTAAATTATGTATTTTCACCAGCAGTGTGCATGCCTAGCCTTTTAAAAATTTTATTATCTTTAAGTATACTGTGTTAAGACATGTGTGTACACGTAACTGAAAGTGCCCATAGAGGCCAGAAGTATCGTATGCCCCTGGAGCTCAAACTAATAGGTGCTTGTGAGTCACCGGGTGTGGGTGCTGGGATTCAAACCTGGGTCCTCTGGAAGAGTAGTGTGTGCTCTTAACCACTGAGCCATCTCTTCAGCCCCACTGCCCATTTTCTAATGGAAGGCTTGATCTCTTTTGAGTTGTACCAAGCTGAAAAGTTCAAAATACTTCCATTTTAATTGCCATATTAGTAAGTATCTTTTAAAGTACTATTGGTGACTCGATTTGCCTATCCATACATATACTTCCTTCATTTTTAAAACTAACTGCTTATCTCCTTTCTGGTTGTTTATAAGAATTGATTGAATATAAGATTGAATATAAGAATTGAGTTAGATAATTCATTTTGTGTGTTTTTCTAAATCTGGCCATTATTTGTGGATAGAAGCTGCACTATACAGGTAGTAGGACGCTAAGCTGCACTGTACAGTTAGTAGGACGCTAAGCTGCACTTACAGTTAGTAGGACGCTAAGCTGCACTATACAGGTAGCAGGACGCTAAGCTGCACTATACAGTTAGTAGGACGCTAAGCTGCACTATACAGGTAGTAGGACGCTAAGCTGCACTATACAGTAGGACGCTAAGCTGCCAGCTGTATCTGTTTTCTCTGCCTGCTTCCTTTTCCGCCTCTAATGAAGAAGCCCCCACCCCCACCCATACACTTTTTGTTTGTGGATCACTGTTACTTTATTTATTTGCACTTATCACTAATCTATCTGTATTTCCCTACTATATTTTAATGTAGGGCAAAAGTCAATAATTTTTATCTAAAGGAACTCTGTTAACCCTTCTTGTAAAGTGAGAATCTTTTTATTTTGCAAATAACTCCAAATTTATCACTTATGATTGAACTTACACATACCGTGGGATTTTTTTCCAATCAAAATATTAGCACATTTTTTAAAAAAAATCTTTATAATCCAAATTGTATGTAAGGTTAGATATTGGGGAATGCCAGGGAAGCAATGAACTTAGGAGCATGGCTGGGAACAAGGCCTGGAGGGCCTTCCACCTGGCGCGAGCAAGCCTCCATCGTCATGGAGAGAGGAGTCAGTGTGGAAAAATAAAGAACCATGTAAGTTCTCAAGACTGTGGTAATCCTAGCTGAGCTTTTGTGAGTTCTCCCCTCCCCGGCTGTCTTAGGTGTTGTGAGTAGAAATCTCTTATCTACACACTGGAGCTCACTTGAGAGAGCGGGTGTGGAGGGCCTGCCTGGTCCCCTGCTTCTCATTCTCCTTCAGCTTCTGTAATTCCATCACTACACCCCAGCCGCATCCTCCATCCCTACTCAAGTCATTTGAGCCTACATCTGCTTCATGATGAAGGGTGTCAATGCCCCAAGTCCTAGGAATAACACTCACTTACTTAGCCAACCATGTCTCTTTTCATAATTTTATAACTGAATTTCATATCGTAACATATTTTAGCAGCACTGCTGTCTGGTTATTAATTGTAGTCTCTTTCTCTTGATGGTATCTATCTAGCTAAACTTCTGAATGAAAACGATGAAATGTTCAACCCTATAAGTTTTCCTTGGGAAAAACTCACTCCATTTCAAAGACTTATCTTGGTAAGATGCACTAAGACAAAAGATTATGATTCTAGGTATTTCAAGTAAGTTTATTAGTAGTTTGAACCCCTCGAGATTGAAATTTTATAAGCAAAATATGCTAACTTCTGCAAGCTATGATTTACTGAACCTTAGTGTAGTGGGAGCCACCAGCACCCCACCCTAATGTTTTGTCACGTGGTAGTCCTGCCCCCCCGTTCATCCTCTATAGACAAGACAAAGTTTGAGGGATGAACTGAGTTGCTCGATGCCACTGTTGTCTCCCTGTTCTTTTGAGGTCTGCCTTGTCTACAAGCTCACTTGTTACCCTTCTATTCCGTGCTAAAATTACAAGATTAGACCCAGTCCCTTTAGAGAGACAGCAATGGCTGCCCAGTCTGGTTATGACAAGTAATAGGTATGATTCCTGGTTCAATGTCCAGAGGCCACATGATTGACTCACGGCTAAGTCACATCCACTCAAGAGGCACTTGCGAAGACAGCATCCCACCTCTCAGTTGCATTAGAATCTGGCTTGGGGTTTGGGAGACTCAGGATGGGATTCGGTGTGTGTTAGTCAGTTTGTTAAAGTAGCAAAATGCTTAAGATAATCAACTTATAAGGCTTATTTGGGCCCAATTTCAGAAGTTTTTCAGTCCATGGTCAGTGGAGAGAAAAGAGGTGTGTATTAGTCAGGGTTCTCTAGAGTAATAGAACTGCCTAATCCATTCTCGGACAGTTTCAGACTTGCCCTCCATGCAGGGATGCTGAACTTTCCCAGAACATGCTTCATGATCATTATGTGAAAATGTATCGTGTAAGTGGTCTGTGTGTAAGGCAGTCTTCACAGGGAAGCTCTGTGCCCATTATCCATGCACTGTATGTGTGCCCAGCACAGTCCACATGCCCACAGCCCTCCCCAGTCCCATATTCTGTCCCACTGAAACTTACAGACTATGTATGGCATTGCTGTTTGTCTTCTGGGTGGAAGGATTAATTGTCTTCGAGTTGGGTTATCTTGCATCTTGCAACCCCGCACTATATGGGTTCTACTTGCTCTAGAGATGACAGCAGAGCAGGAGGAACCCAGAAAAAGGTGTCCTTTTGCAAAGCCAGAGATCACTGTGTACACCTGAGTAGTCAAACCAAGCTCTCTCGTGAAGTATGGAAGAGCTTTGTAGGAACACAAGGCTGCTGGGCAGCGGGGAGCCAACTGCCTTAGTCTGGGTTTCTGTTGCTGTGAAGAAACACCATTTAATTGGGGCTCACTTACAGTTTAGAGTTTCAGCCCATCATTATCATGGTGGGGTATGATGGCCTGCAGACAGACATGGTGCTGGAGCTGAGAGTCCTACACCTTGATTGGCAGGAGGCAACAGGAAGTGTTCTGAGAAAATGGGTGGTATCTTGAGCATAGGAGACTTCAAAGTCCACCCCCACAGTGACACACTTCCTCCAATAAAGCCACACCTACTTCAACAAGGCCACACTTTCTAATAGTGCTATTCCCTTTGGGGACTATTTTCTTTCAAACCACCACACCAACCAAGGGTCAGGAGTGCCCTCCCACCCCCTGTCTCGTTAACTCTCCCCAACATCAGGAAACTCTGGCTACAGCCAGAGCACTTAATTTTGATTTCATTTTTACCACTGGGAATAGTCCTCTGCATAGATTTTAAATTTACCTTGTCTTCATTTTATTTTTCAGATTAAAGTTCTTCGGCCAGAACGTTTAGAGAATTCAGTAAGAAAGTTTATAGCTGAAAAAATGGGAAGTGACTATATCCATGAGACTTCAGTTAATCTGAAAGAATCCTATAAAGAGTCCACAGCTCAGACACCGCTGATCCTCATTCACTCCTATGGTGAGCTACCTGTGACCAACGGCACAACCCCCGCACCCTGAAAACTCTGGGTGGTACCTCACAACTGTAATCCCAGCAATCGTTAAATGGGGACAAGAGGATTGTAAATTCAAGATCATCCTCTGTTTTGAATATTTTTAGGGTAGCCTGTGATACATGACCCAATCTGGAAAAACACCCCCTCTCCTCACCCCATCCTGCCCACCAAAAAAAAGGAAATGTAGAGACATAGATCCTGTATCCAGTTATCCTGCTTAAAGCTTCATACCCTTCTAACATCTTTGAAAAGGGATTTAAACTTTAAGCTATATGTAGGGTGAATCTTTCTAAAAATACAAAAGAATCAAAATGAAAAATGTATTCGAGTTCATTTTCTTGTAAAAAGTATCCTCATGCCCATTAAAAAAGGGACAAGTTAGGGCTCACCCCTTAAATTTACTGACTGTTTCCATTAACAGTGACCTTTAAGAGGTCCTATCCCATTCTGTGGTGGAACATGTTTATTAGGGTCACTTCAATCAGTTCCCTAGTCATGGTCATTCGTATTTGGCTCAGAATAAACTCTTTCTCTGGTTTCTGCTTTTAAAGGCAACTATTGGAAGTGGGCTGTGTCCCTCTGCCCTACACACCCCCACACCTGTCCCCTGTCCCTTGCCTTAGCTCTGTGGGCCCAAAGGATAGCCCCTCCTTCAGTTTTCCTCAAATCCACATTCTCCAAGTCACTGTGTCTTTAGAATTCACCGTTCCCACACACACACTTGAACTCCACAGGCAGAGGCGTTGTCCTGGGCACCCCCTCTCACCAGATCCTCTCACCAGAACCACCAGGTCATGGTGTCCCAGCTATGTGCCTGACATCTGCAAAGATGCCGCCCTCCCCCTGTAGGGCAGCAGGCTGCTGTCCATCCCTCATGCCAACAGCAGTCCTCTCTTCAGGAGATAGCTAAGGTTTGCCCACACACTCTCCTAATACACTTTTGCTGTGGGTACCCATGCACGCAGTCTCCATGCCCATACCTCTTTTCACTGTGTCTTAGCTGGGTTAGTAGCCATCATGGGCGGTAGATTCAGGCATGACAACCGCACAGTCGTGCCCCAGCTCATAAGCAGCTACCATTCCCCAACGTTGGGAAACTTGGATCACTGGCCAGCAAATGGCGGAGACACACTTTGAAACGTAGGCTTTAATTTCAAGCCCTGGGCCACAGTCCTGCAGCTCTCGCCACTCCAGCAGTAAGGGCAGGATTGCTTTTACCGCGGGAACTAAGTGAGCCTACAGTCTGAGGCACCTCTGCATGCTGTCGTACAGGGATTGACCTCAACAATATCCTCCTAAGATTCGCACAAGAGATCAAAGGAATGACACCAAAGGTGACGGTGATTTCCCTAGGCCGAGGCCAGGCGGCTAAAGCAGAAGAGCTCATTTTTAAGGCACTGGACCAGAAGCATCAGTGGATCTTCCTCCAGAACTGCCACCTTGCAGCATCCTTCATGCCGAGACTCTGCGCTATCATAGAGTCGTAAGTTTCCTGTCTGTCTGTCTGGGATCAAACTAATCTGCACCGTGAAGTCACACCGCCAAGAGCCGCGCACACGGTGCACAGAAGGCTGAAGCGATGTGTTGGACCACTAGAAAACACTCAGCCGCCCTGACTGCTGCCCTGATCACTGTCCTGAGAGCACACAGCTTTTCTCTTTTCCTTTTAAGCACCTGTTTAGATTGCATTTTCCATCTTCTTTAGCATTTGCTCATGTATAATCTATGATATGGTTCTTAATATTTTACATGCCTCCAAACAGCAAAACGCAGGACCTCATATGCAGCTCTCAACAGTGTTTTCCTTTATGGCCTGTGTTTACCCGCTGGAATCACTTCAAGGCTGCACTCGCCACCGCACTGACACACTTGATCTCCAGAGGCTCAGCCTTCTTGTTCGCTGCATTTTGACACTCGATTGCTGTAACTCGCTATGAGGGAAGAGTCGGCAATGTGTGAAATTAGAAACATTTGAGCCAATTACTAATTAATCTTTGTCTTCTGATTCTTGGGTGATTTCACAAGTGTGATTTTTCTTTCCCCCAATAGTTTTTAAACTGCTAAAAGAGTAGGAGTCTGAGAATAGCGCCGATTAGGAGGGACTTTAGGAGTCTAAGTTGGGCAGTTACAATCTAACTGAAGCCTCCTCTCAGATGTTCAAGCAGAAGAATGACAAGATGGGGCCATCATGCCCTTGCTCCACATTCCTGGCCATGCAGAATAGGACGATAGTAAACTCTGTGTCGTCCCGTTGTATTCGCTTGATTTAGCCAGGTCCTGCTGTCATTTACTTTGCTGCTCAGTTGTCCCAGATTTGACCTGCCCCCTCCCCACCCTGGCTTTTTGAGATAGCTATGTAGACAAGACTGCTCTTGAACTCATGACCCCTGCTTCCCTCCCAATTGGAGGTATGCACGGCCACACCTGACTTTCACTTAGGTCATGTAATAGAAGTTTTCCCAAGTTTCTACATTTATGATTTTTTAACTTAAGGGAACTAGAAACTGATGGATCTTTGTGCAGTTCTTTGTATACCATCAAAGTCCTTGTGATGAGTGGTGTCTTTGGCATTGAAATGATCTGCAAGGTCACAGAAACATAAATGTTCTATCTTTAAGAAGGTATTGCACAAAATTTTAATATTTACATTTTTATTTTGCAGATTTAGTAATCCAGATATGGTGATAGACCCTGATTTTAGGCTTTGGTTAAGCTCAAAATCATATGGTTCTTTCCCAATTCCTATTCTTCAGAAGGGTGTGAAGGTAAGAGCAAGCTGGCGGGTTTCAGTGTTGACTGGCAGGTCCTGCTCGACTGTAAAGCATCATCACTCATTATTCTCACGCATGGTGCACTCACTGTCGCTTTTGCAGGGTGGGGATGGGGATGCCACCGTAGTGTGTAGACCTTGCATGGTGCAATCACTGATAACTTTTGCAGGGCGGGCAGGGTGCTACCGTAGTGTACAGATCTGCTTGCAGTGACTCCCAGCTCTGACACTCGCTTCTCGAAAAGGATGCTCTTCTTCTAGTTGCTGAAAACCAAGATGCACATGTCTGTATAACTTTTTCCTTTATGCCTTCTACTTTTTTCTCCTCAAGACACCGTCTTGTTATGTTGCCCAGGCTGGCCTTGAACTCCTGAGTCCAAATGATCCCCACTTCAGTTTCTTGAGTATGTGCTAGTACACCCAACTATGTGGTGTTTTCTTATTTCTGTTCCTCTTAACCACTGAATGGTTTGTTAACTCTCTGGAAAGTTCTAACAGAAGGAAAACAAACTATTTGCTAAGCTCACCTTAATTGTGGGTTTTGTCTGAATTCTGAATTCCAACCATGAAGACTTGGTCCATCCTGTTAAAGGTAGACTTCAAACAACAGAGAAACCAGTGACGACACGGGCAGGGCAGACTCAGTCATGCGGATTCCTAAAACTGGAAGCCCCTGCTGCACCACTGCTCCCTAGCACTTCCGTTCTCCAGAGCCACTTCCCAGCAGCCCTGCCCTGAAGCAGACAGAGAAATCCAAGAGACTCTCAACCTCTCAGATGCTGTCCCCTTCCCACGACCAGGCCCCCCGACTATGACCTCAAGTGACCTCTTTCCTTTGGCCGGGAGTAGAAGTTGGGAGGCAGCAGTAATAAAGAGGGGCGTAGAGTTTCAAGGACATTTGTTTTCGATTGGGCCCATTGCTCTAATTCCACTATCAATCAAGCTGGATATGGTGGTACATGCCTTTAATCCCAGCACCAGGGAGACAAGGCAGCAGGTGTATATCTATAAATTTGAGGTCACTTTCATCTGAATCTACATAGGGAGTTTCAGGCCTTTCTCAATGGTTAGAGACCTTCCTCCTTCCCCAAATGCTATACTAACATCTCTAAGGAAAAGTCTCCCTGTTCCTGTAAATCAAGAGGGGCCACCATGCCAGACTTCTGCATATGCTCAAGAGACATCTTGAAGCCCCATCATGCATAGGTGCATATGACTCCCACCGCATCCCCCCTGACATGAGCCACACATAAGTAATAAGTCTGATCTTGAATTGAGAAATCTCGTGTTCATGCACACCCATACACTCACCCATATAATGCATCTGCATAGCCTCACAGTGCTTGTACTGTACATCATAAGAATTACACAAGATACCCTATTTGCCAATATTTAAACCGATTATATTCTTAGCTTGTGTACATACACACACACACACACACACACACACACACACACACACACACACTGTACCCATTAAGACCCTGGTTATCTCAGACTAGCAGCCATACACACATAATAAAACCCTCATAGCTAATCATCTCAGCTACTCCAGTGAAGAAGCTTGGATTCTCAAGGCAATCAGAATTCAATAACACAAACTCACCACTTTCCCTTTTAATGTTTCTGTTGGCTTAGTGTCCTATTTCCTGTGGTCTGGCTCCCTGTGCATGCTACCTGGCTTGGGGTCTAGCAGCTACTTTTCCCTGCCACAGCTTAGCTACCACTGATGTAGCACAGTGACAAACTCTGTCCCTCCGAACCACTATGCTTGTGGTCACAGTAACAGTTATCATCCCAGGGCTGTGGTTTGTCTTTAAAATATGACTTAGACAGACCTCTGGGGGCTCAAGGCCAATCTCAGCCACATAGTAAGATCCGTGCTAGCCACAGCTGCAGAGTGACTCTCAAAACTAAAGTGCGAATTAGAACGTGATACAAAATCGGAATCCTTTTCCAGAGGTGTTCAAGAGGGCAAAGGAATAAATAGCCTAGAGTGGAACTTGACGACGGTTCTGGGGGATAGCTGCCAGCCATGTGCATGATAGTTCTGTGAGAAGGGCCCTCCAGGGCCTGTTCCCATCTGTAGTCACTTGGCGTTTTCACTCCCTTTCCTTTTACAGATCGCTGTGGAACCTCCCCAGGGATTGAAAAGCAATTTACTTCAAATGTTTGGATATGGCGGGAGTGGGGAGGTAACAGAAGAGTTATTTAATAAGAATGATTGTGGACCGTGGTGGAAAAAGATTCTCTTCAGCCTCTGTTTATTCAATGCTGTGATCAATGAGAGGAAAATGTATGAAACCCTGGGCTGGAATATCCCTTACAAATTCAGTTCTTCAGACTTGGAGGTGAGTGTGGGTTCTGCAAGGCAGGCAGTAACTAGTAACAGAGACGCAAGCTGAGCTGAGCTAGCCTGTGTCTCCACGGTGCTAGGTGTTTACCTGGTGGGAAGAAAATGCATTGTGTAACTAGGAAATGGGGACTCTAGAGTCAGCTTTCTACAATGCAGTGTCAGCCGCACCACTTGGGCTATGCACAATTTCCTCTTCTAGACAAGACATAACCCCAGGGACCTAGTTCCTTCTGTGAAATAAAGCGGCGTGGGAGGGAAGCAAGCCTCAGCACATACCCACAGAGTCTTTACAAGAAGCAGCTCAGTGGCCTGGAGAGATGGCGCAGCAGTTGAGAGCACTGGCTGCTGCTCTTCCAGAGGACCCGAGTTCAGTTCCCAGCACCTACGTGTTGACTCACAACCATATGTAACTGAGTTCCAGGGGATAGGATGCCCTCTTCTGGCCTCTGCGGACATCGGGTACACACGTGGTACACAGATAACATAGCCAGGCAAAACACCCATACACATAAAATAAAAATAGAAATCTTTAAAAAAAATGGGGGGAGCCACAACTCAGTGAATATAAGTGAAACATTTTGATCGGTTCCTGTCATGTAAATCACTATAAATACATCTCTCAATATTCATTCAAAGCAAGAAGGATTACCCTAAGTCACTGGGGCCTGGCAACTTAATAGTCTTCTATACATTTTTATCCTTTTTATAGTATCCTCTATTGTACTTTTTGGCAGGATGTTTTCTTTTTTGTTGTTTTGTTTTTTCAGGATAGGGTTTCTCTGTGTAGCCTTGGCTGAACAGAAATTCATTAGGTAAACCAGCTGGCCTCAAGGCATGTACCACCACCACCCAGCAGGGATGTTTTCTTTATTGCTAATAAAAGAAATGAACAATAACGTCTGCTTAAACTTTTTCAAAGTTGTCAGGCAAGCCTTTGATTCCAGTACTCAGGAGGCAAAGGCAAGCAAATCTCTGAGTTTGAGACCAGCCTGGTCTACAGAGTGAGTTCCAGGACAGCCAGGGCTACACAGAGAAACCCTGTCTCAAACAACAACAAGAAATTCCTGAGTTAACTTCTTGAGGCTGTGCTTCTGGTGTAGAACGCTGCACTGTTTGTGGTGTAGAACACTGCGCTGTTTCTGGGTTGCTTTTTGTTTTGTTTTGTTTGGGGGGGGGTTCTAGGAAATTCTTGATTCTACCTCTATTAGTAGGCCTACCCTAGGCAGGAGGTCTTCCATTCTTTTGTGTCCCTTCTGCGTCCATCAAGCATTTCCACCTCACAAGAAGTCACATACATGCAATAAAGATCATTATTTCTGGGATTAGCCAAGAATATAAAATAACACAGCTGCACATTGGAGATCTGCCAAAGAGTCTGAGCACAGGGTGCTCCTGCCCAAGCCTATTCGAAGCCCAGCCGAAAAGCAAACAATTCACCACAGGAAGCGCTTGCACTGGGCATGAGCGAGTTGAGTGGGAAAACAATCACTTGAACAGAGAAATGGATTTAAGGAGATTTAAGCATTCCTTTTTCCTCCCAGTGCTAGCAACCAAACCCAGATTCTCATATATGAGTGCCGTGCTGGAGTACAGAGCTATATCCAGCCCCATATGTCTTCAGCTTAGCAGGGAAGAAAACTGAGAAGAAATAACAACTTGAGAAAACTATCAAAAATAAGAGAAATAATAAATAAATACATAAATAAATAGCATGAAGCAAAAGGAAGGGACTACTATCCCTAGTGGTATTAAACGTAGTATGTACAAGGTCCTGTGTCCCCTCCCTAGCACATCAGTGGATAACACACGTACGCCTTTTTTTTTCTTTTATCTGCATTTATTTTATGCTGAATTTATTCCCATGCCATAGGTTTTTGTTTCTTCAGTTTCTTCTGGGATGTGTTTTTCTTCTGCACACCCTCCTCTTCCGGCTGTGGAACAATCTGTTCCTTTTCAGTGAGGATCATCTCAGTGTGGCAGGGGGAGCTCATGTGTGGGCTAATCCAGCTACCAAACACAAGTTAAAGAGGCTTTACTAGAGGTAGAGAATTGAGGTAGAGGGCTATGGAAAATGCAAATACATAGATTTTTCTCTAGCAATAGACACCCAGAATAGTAGTGGTTAAAAAAAAAAGTAAACTATACTGAACAAAATTAGTAAGAAATTTACAGTCCCTCATAAACAGCACTATAAATTAGGGAGAAAAAGAGCAACATTGTTGATCACTGAAAAGGCTGAAGTCTTGTGACAGTTTTGTACGGTCAGCACCCTAACTGTCGCCAGCTTCCAGATGAGCACTGGGAAGTTTGCCCAGGTTGCACAGTAAGTGGCAGCATTCCCTTCTTCTGTCCTGCTGTCTCTAACCTACCACACACCTGTTCTCTAGAGACTTAAGATATAGCAAACTGTTCATTCCTCCAATATTGTCAAATACAACATGAAGTTACAATTAGAATTTAGAAGATTTAAAATTGAAAAAAAATCACAAAAAGAAGAAATGTTGAATAAACTATGTAACGTTTAGTCTTCCTGCCCACCACCTGGGTCCTGTGGCCGCTTTCAGTCCCCAAATAACACACAAGACACTATATTAATTATGAAGCTGTTGGCCGTTTGCTTGGTTTCTTATCAGCTAGCTCTGACTTGATTGTTAACCCATAATTACTAATACATATTTTATAAGGACTTATCTTTTTGAGGACGCACTCCTGAGTGCCTGTTGCTCCCAGGAGATCACATGGTGACCAGTCTCTTCACTACATTTCCCAGAATCCTCCTTATTTCCCTATTGGCCACCAGTGCTTTACTCAAACCAATCAGCCACTGCTCTCCATCACTGAACTATCTCTTCAGCTCCCCCAGTCCTCTTCTATTGGGTCGGGGTCTTACTAAGTTGACTCCTGAGAAATTAAGACTAGAGAATTGTACCCCTGGCCTTGTTCTGTTTCAGAGAGAAACTGGTCACTTGAGAGTTGCTGGTGGTGTGTGAAATGTCAGTTAAACTAAAAAAACCCATGCAGAAATAACAAGATGCAGTGGGCTTTCCACAGGTTTCCATAAAGGTCCTGGAAAGTGTCCTCCCTGGCCGCTCAGAAGTTCCGTGGAAGGAACTGAACTACCTGATTGCGGAAGTGATCTATGGTGGCCAAGTGACTGATAAATGGGACAAGCGATGCCTGAAGACCCTTTTCAACAGATTCTGCAGTCCTGAAATGCTGGAGGCTAACTTCAGTTTCTCTAGCGATGAGGTAAGAAGCAGGTATATCCTCTTAATTATTTTAACTAGGTTTTGTTGCATCCTCTGTGTCTTTAACCAAAGCTCAGTGGTTACTTGAGTGGCTTCCATTACCTTTCAGAACCAAACTAACTTCCCGTTGTTCCATTTTTTTTTGTTTGCTTCTTTTTGTTTTGTTTTGTTTTTCAAGACAGGGCTTCTCCATATAGCTCTGGTTGCCCTGGACGTTACTCTGTAGACCAGGCTGGCCTGGAACTCAGAGATCCACCTGCCTTGTAGTGCTGGGATTAAAGGCATGTGCCACCACCACTCAACTTGCCATTGTCCTATTAAATGCCAGAATGTAGCAGGCAATGGTAAGGAAATGGTGTGTGCCCTCTGAGGACTCTAGTATTACACACAACAACAAGGGAGCGGGAGTTCATGCTGGTCAACATTCGTGCGTTTCCCGTTAGTTGCCAAAGGTTCCACTGCCCACCTTACAGGCAGGAAGCTGGGGGCCACAGAGTAGAGCGCACACACACACCGCCAGTGACAGGCAGGAACTCTGTCTCTACCACAAGCATCCAAGGTAGAAAACTCCAGATTTCCTCACTGTTCCCTTTCCTCACCCCCTTAGCTTCTGTCCTCCACCTAGGCCTCTACCTTGTGGGCAGAGCTCCAGGCTAGACACCCGCCGTTGTGCTTTGTCGAATGTTTGCTGTGACCTCTGACCCATGGGGGGAGGGGGCGGTGCATGGAGAGATAAGTGGACAAGAGATGGGAAGGATGAGGACCTGGGACCCAAGTCATCTGCCCAGAGTCTTGAGAATACAGAGAGATGAACAAAGTGGCGTTTGAGGGAAACTCCTTTGTAAGTCACCAAACAATGTGTGTGAGCAGCCTGTTGATGTCATTGACCAACAAAAGACAGCAGCATCCACAGACCAGCTGGTGCAGGCCAGCCAGTGCGCAGTTGTTTCTTACTGGGTGCTGAAAGCCTCCATTTGCTTTTAAATACTTGAAGGAATATTTAAATGTAGATTCTTGTGGTCCCCTTAGGCACATAGGGAGCAGCACTATGGGGAGGTGTGGCCTGTTGAAGGAAGTGTGTCACCGTGGGGACAGGCTTTGAGGTCTCCCTTGCTTAAGCTTCCCTCAGTGTCACAGTCCACTTCCTGTTGACCAAGATGTGACCACCACCATGTCTGCCTGCACACGGCTATGCTCCCCGCAATGCTCCCCATATGATAATGGACCGAATTACCCCAATTAAATGTTTTCCTTATAGGAGCTGTCATGGTGTCTATTCACAGCAATAGAAACCATAAGACAATTCTCAAGCCAGTTGCTAAGATAAAATTACCCTTGAAAACCCTTTAAAATTGCTCAGTAAGTATAGTGTGTTTGGCTTCTGTGTGCAGACTATCACACTGAATGTGTATGAGCGAGCAGGAGATAAAGTAACATAATACAATATGGCTTGTTTTTCATTGCAACTTGCCACATTAACAAAAATGTATATTCTGAAATCTTAGATTTCAATTGTTTTAAAACCCTGAAACTTTTATGACCGTTCCGTCGTGCCAGTCCATCCTATGCACTGTAACCCTCTTAGTTTCTTTCCTTGATAATGTGTCTTCAGTGACTTTGTTCTCTAGCGCGTCCTGTGTCCCTCACCAGGTCTTCAGTGAAAGCCACTGCCACCAGCTTCCTGACCATATAAACAACGCGTTTCTCTTTCTGGTCACTGGTCCTTCATTCTTAATATTTGTATGAGACAGATGTCTATAATTTGACAAATGCTTGAGACAAACAGTTTTTAGGAGAAAATGTTTGGCTTTGGCCTGTGTTTCCAGAGACTTCGGTCCATAGTTGGCCATGCTGCTTTTGGCCTGTTTCAGCATGGGGCATGTGGCAGGGGAGGGTGCTCACTGATGGCAGCCAGGAAACAAGATGGGTGGGGTAGGCATCGCCACACGTCCTTCAGTGACACACCACAGTGCTCCCACATTCCCCCTCCTCCTTCATAGTCTCAGCCTCTCTCGGGGGCACGGCTAGTCACCACACTTGTAACACAGGCCTCGGTCTCCTTCCATTACCTATGGGTATGTTTCATCTAGGCCTTTAAATGGCTCCCCTTTTTCCCAGCAAGAAAGTAACATGTGTGTGTGTGTGTGTGTGTGTGTGTGTGTGTGTGTGTGTGTGTGTGTGATACAGTTTGCAATGGAGTGGTCCCAAGTGTTGCTTTTAATAGAGTGTCTGTACCATATAGAAATAAGAGCCTTTTGTGTAAACGGTGGTGAGGAAATGCTACCTCCATGCATTACCTGGAGTAGATGTCTTACTCACACAATGCTGACAAAGCAACTCAACTTTCAGATATACCAGCCAGTGCCCAGCTCTGCAAGCTTACAGGACTGCATACAGATTATCCAGTCATTACCAGATGACGACTCTCCTGAAATCTTAGGGATACACCCCGAGGCCACACACACCTGCAGTGAGACGAAGACACAGAAGTTCATTGAAAATCTCATCACCATGCAACCAAAAGCTATTCAAGTCAACCTCATGATCAAGTAAGAGTATACTGGGAACTAGTATTAGTTGGGGATTACTGGATATAATACTGATAGACAAGTATAATTTGCATGATAGAGAAACTAAATTCTCCATGTTGCAGAGGCAAGTGTGTCATTGCTGGAGCTACATGTCTGGAGCCCTCAATGTTCTGACTGCCAAAGGGTAATCCCACCGTCCATCTTCAGACATCTCCTGGTGCTGTCACCCAGGGAGCTTAGGAACTAGATCACAGCATGCTCACTTTCTCCTCCAACTTCCTCATCAGCCCTGTGTTCAAATCCTAGCTCTACCATGTTACCTTGTGAACATAGGGAAGCCAATCACTACTCTGCCAAGGCCCCTCATCTCTGAGTCAAGACAGTGATGTTGGCAACTTCATGGGGACTACTGGAAAGTCCAGGGATTTCCCTCCACAGCTGAGAGACAGCTGAGACAAAAACCATCTCAACATCAACCTTTCACATCCACATTTGCCTACATGGGAAAGTTGGTCTTCATACACACATGTGTATGCGCACACACACACGTGCACACACACTCACATATGTTGTGAAATAATCTTTTTGTATACTGTGAAGATTTGTCACTCAGATTGGTTTAATAAAAAGCTGAATGGCCAATAGCTACGCAGGATTTTTCTGGGCAGAGAGGATGCTGGGAAGAAGAAGGTGGAGATGTGGAGAGTCACCAGTCAGGCAAGGAAGAAGCGGAAAAGCAGCACGGGGCAGTACAGAGTGAAGGTGGTGAAGCCACGATGCAGACAGTAAATTAATAGAAATGGGTTAATTTAAGTTCTAAGAACTAGCTAGAAACAAGCCTTAGCTATTGGTCAAGCTTTCATAATTAATAAGAAGTCTCCATGTGGTTATTTGGGAGCTGGCAGGCGGGACAGAAAAATCTGCCTAGACACATACATGCACACGCATGCACACACACACACACCATATTCTAGATAATAACATTTCCTTGGCACAAAACTATCTTTCCTATAATTTTCCCTTGCTGGGATTACCTCTTATTGGGAACATGAGTAGGATACTCAGAACTCTGTCAGGATAATTGCTCCACAATTCTATGCAAGGTGGCCACATTTCCCACATTCCTGGATGCCAACTACATATTCTGTAATGCCTATAGACTGAGTTTATATTTCTTTGACTGTTAAAATACATGTATTTTTTCCATGTGCCTCCAAACCAACTGGCATTCTATATTCCATTATAGTCTTCTTATCTCTTTGGATGGTGACTTACTTAGATGACATCAGAATGCTCTCTGGATTTTGCACACAGATTTTGCTATTTGATCCATCATCCAATATTGTTTACTAACACAAAACAGAGTTTCAAGTGCCAAGTCACTAGAAGTGGGTATATACAATCTGCTTCATAGAGAACAGTTGCACATAAGGAGAAAGTCATATACCCAAGAGAAAACATCCAGATGTTCCCAGAGTCCATACTTCTGATGACACCCTTCATACTATTAGCACTCTCCATTACACCAGTAAAAGGTGGCATGATTATAATGGAATTGCATGACTGTTGGCCTCAGATAGGGCACTGACAACACACCATACCACAGAAACAACTCCTCCCATATCTAGCTGAGTGAACCAGCGGGTTCACTGAAGTTATTTTCAGGAGTATGGGTTCCAGGCTCCTTCCAGGGGCACAGAGGAGTCAAAAACATCCATGTCACCAAAAAGTCCTCCCTAGTGTAGGTGGCAACTCCTGCTTGCCTCACCAGTTTCTCCCACCAGCAACTGCTAATTTTGATATACTGTTGCAGGGAGCCTTTTGAATCTTCTAAGTTTCAAGAACTTCCTGAGACTTGTGCCTTACTCTTATTCCCTAAGCCTTCTAAGTTTAGTTCATTTCCTCAGTATGAAGGAATCTTTGTCTAGAAAGGAATGTTCAATTTGAATGAAATAGCTACTCAACGGGAATACTTTTAACAAGAATCTAAAACATGTTTCATAGTGTCTGCTCACTTAGATGAAGAGGCCATAACTCTTCCAGTCATGTTACTCAAACATAGAAAATCATTTGTCTATGAGACGCCACTGGGAGACCTGTCATACTCAATGTAATTGAGACTTTTTGACTTTTGAAATTACCTTGGATAGCTCCTGAAAAATGCATGTCCTCGGTAACTTGTAAAGTGGCCAGAAACAGAGTGCCCCTGAGCTGAAAGGCCACACTGGTGGTGTGGCGGATATCAAAGATGGCTTTCATTTGACTAAATGAAAAGAAAGTCTGGCGTTAGGTGAAAACCTGGCCCACGCTGGCGAGCAAAGGGAGCCTGAGGAGCGTAGCTGTCCCCACCCACTCCCTGCTGTCTGCCCTGCCCTCCTCCTCATTCATTTCTGACCCTGACTTCTCATCTTTGGAAAGGACTTTGAAGCGTCCCTCCAGCCGCGTGGTACCACAGTCTCCGCAGCCATGCACAGGAACTGCTACTCTCACACCCAGAGTTCATGGGCTGCTTGACCATAAGCCCAGAGGAATATGACAAAGTGACCCATTGACAACCCCTGAGCTACTGGGCCAGCCCCTCCTCCTCCTCCCCCTCCTCCCCTCCTCCTCCTCCTCCTCCTCCTCCTCCTCCTCCTTCAGTCTAGGCATATGCCTATCAGCAGATGCAATCTAGTTTAAAAAAAAAGTTGTAGAAACAAACCCACGTTTCCTTATAAATATGTAAGTCAGGGGACAGTTTTCTCCTCTGTAAAGTGGAGTCCAGTGTCTCTGGGGTCTTCCAGGTCACAGCTGTGAGCTTTGTGTCACAGCTCTGGGCTCCGTGAAGCCACTCACCTTCTGTGGGGCAAAGGGTACCCCAGACAATGGGTCTGTCCCTCATTGGTCACCTGCCTCCTTCACAGTCCCCAGCAAAGCAATGACGACCTAGTGATGGAGATCCTATCTGACATAAAGGTCCAGCTGCCCCTGACTGTGGAGAATGAGGAAGTTTCTGGGCCTGAGAGTCAATGCACATTTAAATACATCATGTTAAGTACAATGTGGAAGAAGCTGCAGAAAACCGCTGAAGGTGAGTAGCAGCCCTGGGCTTCTCCCGGAGCTGCAGAAAGATCCTGGCCCTGGAGGAAGGGAGAGGAGCCAAAGCTTGGGAAGGCCAAGTGTCTCCCCAGATGGGAGATAACAGGAGATGACAGCAGAGGGGACAGCGGGGCTGCAGTATGAGAAGAGGGAGCACAAAGGCAGTGGAAAGGGAAGCAGCAGGCATCGTGGCAGACACAGCACGGCTCTGCTGGGGTGGCTGCCCACTGCCACTCTCCCCCGCCCGCTGGCCCCGGGATGGTACTTAGGACTGTGAGACTCAGAAAGGGGGTCTCTTGACTGAGGTGAGGCTAGGTTCAGGTCCAGCTCTGAGGAGGACTTAAATGCCTGGATTGGGGGAATTTTCCAAGTTAAATTTTAACATCCATTTTTTTTTTTTTGTATGTTGGTGGGGTGTGCACTTGAGTATGCATGCCCAAGGAGCTAGAGTTACAGCCAGTTGTCAGTCATGCCGTGGGTACTGGAAATCAAATACAGGTGCTCTGCAAGAGCAAAGAGCATTTAAGTGCTCCTAACCACTGAGTTATCCCTCCAGGCCCATAGTCTAACTCTTTCCAAAATTCTTTTTGGAACCAAATGTTGAGCAAGTTTACCAAATGTTCGGTGAGGGTGCAGTCAGGAGCAGCACACACCCAACAGTGGTCCCATGAGATTATATCATCTAATGACTAATGTCTCAGTTTGAGTAAGTACACTGGCACAATGGGGAAACCTTAGGGCACATCTCTTAGGATGCTAAATCTCGTCTTCAGTTCTGCCTGCAAATTTAAAAATATACATATTAAAAATGAGGTCTCACTAAGGAGCCCTGGCTGGCCTGGAACTCAGAGAGGTGGAACCAAAGGCGTGAACCACCACTTTCCTCTCTGTTTTCATAGAATGCCAGAGGTTTAACATGTCAGAGGCAGAACATATACTCTGTGACACACAAACACTATATGAATTTCAGACTTGAATGGTCATACCTAAAGCTTTATTTTCGTTAATTTGAGACAGGGTCTCACTATGTAGCTCTGGCTGTCCTAGAACCCACTCTGTAGACCGGGCTGGCCTTGAACTCACAGAGATCTGCCTGCCTCTGCACCTGAGTGCTGGGATTAAAGGTGTGTGCCACCATGACTGGCTAAAGCTCTCTTGAGACACAGCTGCTGCTTACTGATTCTCATATTAGGTGAGGTAACATTCTTAGGATGAGTCATATCAGGCAGTAAGGTTAATTTAAAAAATAAAATATTTGCTGACTACACTTCTCTAGAAAACTTTACAACCAAGCTGGAAGACCGTATCCTTCTTCCCCTGTAAACATGACATTTTCCCCTTTTTTGTTGTTTGTTTGTTTTAAATTCAGGTCATGATCCCCTTATTCACTGTGTCTTGTTAACATTTCTGAGCCAAGAAATAAAACGTTTTGATAACTTATTATCCGTCATACATAAATCTTTAAAGGATCTGCAACTCGCTATAAAGGGAGAGAGCATCCTCACGCAGGATCTGGAGGAGACATATGACTCTTTCCTTCGAGCCAGAGTGCCCACGCTGTGGCAGGTAAGCAGCCACGAGCCAGAGTGCCCATGATGTGGCAGGGAAGCAGCCACGAGCCAGAGTGCCACGCTGTGGCAGGGAAGCAGCCATGAGCCAGAGTGCCCATGATGTGGCAGGGAAGCAGCCATGCTCCTTGTTTGTCTCTAACCTGAGGAAGTGTCAGTGCTCCACAACAGCCAAGATAGCTGATCCCCTGAGGAGAAGGTATGGGACCACTGTGCTGATCTACTTTGGGTACAAATGTGAGTGAATACAACCAATTAGAGGGCAGTGTGGCAGTTCTACCAAAATTTATCTTCGAGCTGTCACAATGTAAATCTGAAAACAGCCTGGAGATCCATGAAGGGGAATCTGGTTACATGAACTAAGGCCTGGCCACAAGATGAGGTGTGTGTACACACATCACAACGATCTGGTAAAGTTTTTAAAGCTTCAAAGAATATGGGGCATATGTTTGCGTATAGAAGTGCATGTGTTTTAGTTTCAAGAAACACAGTTGTAGAAAGAAAACTAGATCGTAGTAGTTACCTTAAGTGGTGTCTTAGAGGGCCATGTGTGCAGAGAGGCATGGGTTTTAATCTTGTGTTTTGTAGTATTTTGGTCTGCTATTCTATCTTATTCATATTTTTAGTTAGAATAAAATTTCAAACGTTTACAAAGGCTGTAAGCTCCATATCCTTAGGGAACACGAAAGTATAATAGATGACTGCCATCAGCATAAACAGTGCTGACAAGTGCTTCATGGGTAAACCCTGAAAACCAAGGCTCTTCTACAGTATAAGGAGGGCATGGCAAAGGCCACAGTATGTGACTCATTTAAATGTCCATAACAGACAAACCCATACATAGTAGCTGTCCCCAGCTGAAGGTAACAGAAAACTAAGCAGTGCAAGCAAAAGGACCAGGTATTTGTTTTCTGTGTTTGTTTTTACTTTAGTAATGAAAACATGCTGAAGGTAACTGCAGTATTGGTCGTCCAACTCAGTAAATACATTTGATGACAACTATTTATTGAATGTGTGCTTCAATGAGTAACTGTATAGTTATGTGAATTGCAGGTCATTACTTAAAATAAAACTATGTAGGAAACACAGAAACAGGTTAAAGGCATCAATGACAACTAATTCTTTAAAAACTGAATAGGAACTGGTGAAAAACTGAAATGTAACATCTGTACATCTTACACATGGAGCACGGCCAGACTGCAGAGCTGACAGGCTTTCTGGGATCCTGTGCTCAGTGGCCTTAAAAATAGCGATGGATTGGGAGGGCCGGGGTGCTCATGACAGGCCAAGAGAGCCAGCTAGGGAAAAGGAGGCTGTGACACAGCTGAGGAGGCTGGGTGGCTGCGTGCTGTGTGACAGAACTGAACTCAGCTAACTGGTGATGTCCAGCTAGGGCACGTGGTGAGAGGGACGTGGGGAGTGTGCAGAGCTAGGGGACTGGAGAGTGAGGCTACTGAGAACAGTTAGGTCTGAGAACCCCAGGCAGGACTTAATGGAGTGGGCCCAGGGGTGAGGGCGGAGAGAAGAAGGGCTGGGAGGAGTCAGGCAACAGCTATCACCTCAGAGCTGGGATCTGAAAGGAGGTAGGAAGACTTCAGGAGACAGATGGGGCCCTGGGGTGGGGTGACCACTGATTTCTAAAGAGGACGGAAGAGGGGACAGGAGGCCATGATCCTGACTGCAAACAGAAGACGGGAGCAGCTGAGACACAAGCCCCATTCCCTGCATCCTCGATGTTTGAGGGCTCACTGTGAATGGGACCAGAGAGCGGACAGTGGGGCTGCAAGCAGAAAGAAACCCTGTGGAGGTCAAGAGGCTGGAAGGGAAAGGACTCTCCAGTGAGGTTAGTAACTTGCACCAGGAGGCCTAGGAGTTCAGGTGGCTAAAACCCAGGGTCCCAGGAAGACGATGTCCCCAGAAGGAAGAGTTGAAACCTGAAGAGTAATGGAACCCTGTGTCCAGGACAAGCACTTCCAGTTAAGGTGACATAATTTCCTTGGTACCAATCTTCACACATCACTGTTTTCAGATGGAAAATGGCATCTCCTGCCAAGGCGTTTCTCCCTGGCAGAAATGTGCCTAGCGACCTCTAGACAAGATTTACAGAAATGATGCGCCTCCCTCTCTATCTGCAGAAGAACGCCTACAGTTCCTGCAAGCCCCTGAGCTTCTGGGTGAGCGACCTCATACAGCGGGTGAACTTCTTCAACACCTGGGCCAAAGTGGCCTACACTGCCATACACCATCGGTAAGAGCAGGAGCCAACCCCGCTTGGCAGTTCCCCATTCTCCTCACCATACCAGCTCAGCTCAGGCTCTTGGGGTTTTTCTCTTCACCGTTTCCTTTTGGGATGAGAAAACAGAGACCTCGAAATTGGGGTCTCATATAAGGTCTTCCCACACTAAGAGCTGGAAGTACCCAGCATGTGCTTCTTCCTGAAATCCCACACTATGCCTGGAGAACTGGCATGCGGGATACTGCGTGAAAAACTTAGTTGTGTCTCCCTGACTCGGTTCTCATGGCGGTCCTGTGAGAGGAGATGGGTACTGACCCCGTCATCACGTCCTGTGAGGGGAGGAGGTGGGTTCTGACCTGTCATCACGTCCTGTGAGGGGAGGTGGGTACTGACCCTGTCATCACGTCCTGTGAGGGGAGGTGGGTTCTGACCCGTCATCACGTCCTGTGAGGGGAGGAGGTGGGTTCTGACCTGTCACCATGTCCTGTGAGGGGAGGAGGTGGGTTCTGACGTGTCACCGTGCTGTTTTAGAAAGGAGTACACCACAGCACAGGAGATGACACTTCCCCAAAGTGTCACAATTAGAAAACAGAAGCACTTTGTCTAGCCTGTGCCAGCTGTCTCCTGTGCTTCACCGCACATGAATGTTGACTGTGGGCAAAGTGTGCAGCTCAGAAACAAGTGCTAAGATTCCTCAAGGCCCAGAGAGGCATTTCCAAACCCATGGCTTCCACAGTTCACCCCCCTTTCCCTTCAGAGGCTTCAAACTGCACCCCGTGTCCACCAAAGTATAAGCTGAAGAGGCTGAGGTAGGCTGGGTGGAGTAGTGAGAGCTGCACATGGAGGAGGTTGCCAGGCCACGTGAGGGGGAACAGCTGCTTACTATGCCTTCAGCCGTCCTGCCCTGCCACTGGTTTCTCACCAGGTACATGACATTTGTCACAACCTGGAAGCAGTCTACTGCATCGGTCAATCAGAAATCCAAATATCCCACCGACTCTGAGAGTGAGGTCATCAAAGGCTTTCCTGCGAGATACTGGCTCCCTGCTTTCTTCTCTCCAAAGGGTGAGTGCTAGCACCCAGGACAGACCCACATCTGCAGTTTGCCCTCAGTTGCTCCGCCACCCCTGGCCCTAAAACCAGCACCTGCAGCCCTGTAGGACTTGAGGCTGTCCCGCCCCTATCTCTTCTCCTTACTTCCCACACCCAAGGCCCTACTAGGCCCTCGCAGGTCACTTTCTCATCCTTAAACCACTGGTTCTAAGATATCAAATATGCAGAACTAAGCCAGGCGTTGGTTGCGCACACCTTTAATCCCAGCACTCGGAAGGCAGAGGCAGGCGGATCCCTGTGAGTTCAAGGCCAGCCTGGTCTACAGAGAGAGTCTAGGACAGCCTCCAAAGCAATACAGAGAAACCCTGTCTCAAGGAACAAAAAAAAAGAAAGATGCAGAACTAAGACACCTCCCTAGGGCCTACACAAGAGGAAACATTATACCATGGTCACTCGCTTATTAAAAAGAATTGGTGGTAGCATGTCTCAGCAGGAAATGTAGACACTAATATGTCACAACAGCAGGGAGCCAAGACCCATAGGGGACTGTGAAGAAGCCACAGTGGACTGAGCTACACCAGGGCAGGAACAGGTAGGCTGGTCTGTTGTTGTTTTCTGTTGTATTCCCGGTACCTACTTTGTCCAACACCAACAGAGCTCTCAGCCAATACTTGAAAAGTGAATGAATGACTTTCCAAATGAGTCTGAGTGAATCAACACCTAGTACATAAACTGGGAGAACATAGCTGACGCCAGAGAAGGCCTCTGAGGAAAGGGCTAAGATGAGACTTGAAGCGTGTTACCAACTAAGAATTACCCAGGTGGGACAGGAGAGGGCGAGCAGCATTCACACAGTACTGAAGGCTGCCAGCCCTGTTCTGTTCAGACAGTTCCCTCAGTGGTCTTCCAAGGTTGCTGCTGGAACCATCTGCATGTCCAGCGAGGAAAACCATGGCACAGAGAGGATCTGGAGAGGTGGCTCCCTCTTGTTGCTTCCCAGCACGGATGTAGTGTTTCACGACCATCTCAAACTCCAGCGCCGGGGCCCTCATCTTCTGACCGCACAGGCACCAAGCACACATGTGTACAGACATGTATGAAAGTGAGGCACACATAAAATGGGAAGTCTAATAGGGGAAAAAGATTTGAACAAAAAAGAAAGAAACCTGCCCAAAGTCCTACAACTAACTAGTAACTTGGAGGACTCTGAGGGAACCCAGTCCAAGTGACCACATTTTGAATTTGGCCTGACTTAGAGTCAAATGTTCAGCCAAAAACAGACACAAGGCCCCAAGACAGTAAGTGTTGGTTGAAACTAGAAAGCGCTATAGGGGAGGCAACAGGAAGTTGTTGCCATGGAGACAGAGGAAGGAGGAAGGCAGAGAAGGGTCACAGGTGCCTGCTGTGACAGGAAAGGGGACACTGGTAGGCAGGCCAGAGAGGTTCAGGTGTTGTCTTGGTCATAGGGAAGTCTTTGCTCCTGCCAAAAGCTGGAGTGGCTGTAGGAGGGGTCATGGGACACAAGGAAAGTCAGGAGGCAGAACCAGCGGGCCTCCTGTTTGAGATGGGGGGGGGGGACAGAGGGCAGGCTAGCGCTCAGCAGGAGTCAAGGCCTCACCTGACTGGGAAAGCTGAGGTCACTGAAATGGGAACACAGACCCGATGCAGGATTTATCCTCACATAGGTTTGTCCCTGTACCCTTCCTCTGTGCCACCTGAGACAAAATCATCACAGGCAGGTTAGCAATCACAGAAAAAAAAAGGAATTTCCTCTTTCCCACTTGTCAATATGACATTGCCTAGGGCCACCTCGGGAACCCTGGGTTGCATACTCACTGTCTGTGACCTCTCTGCTACCAAGATTACAGTAAGGTACCATCAATCATCAATCTCAGTAAGATCAGAAAAGGCTCAGGTCCCAGGACTGTACCCTCCCCCTGCACAAAGTGAGCAGGGAGCTGGACCTGCAGACACAACCCAGGTGCACGGCCTGAAAGTGTGGGTGGCTGGCCCCTCCTGCCCTCCAGTCTCACCCCATGGTATGACATCATTCCCGGGAAGTGTCAACAAACCCCCATTCACACTAGATAGGGAACCAACCCAAGTGAGGGTGCCACCAAAGTCCATCTCAGTGAGCCAGTGTGTTAGGGTTATTTCAGAAGCAGAAATGACTCAGACAGCTGCATCACCACAGGCCACCCCAACAGTTGATGAAAGCTAGGACCCTGGAGCTGACTGGACAATCTGGAGGCAGCTGGACGACCTGGAGAGTCTCCCCCAGAAGTCCAGCATGCCTGAGAGTATCTCATAGCAGTCCTTAATGTTTGTTGACACTTGTGGAGGAAGGACCTGGTGAAACTGGTCGTTTCGGGAACTCTGAAGCTTTTGAGTTTTATGGCGCTCCCCTGTGGGATGGAATGTTTCACCCCTTGAGAACTTTCTGCATTCTTCCCAAGCTTCCCCCTAAGATGGAATGTTTCATCTGGGAGTAAACTGATACACAACACCCCATTACCCTTCCTTCCTGGCTCTTGCCCTCATCTCTACTGGGTAGCCATGGTGCCTACCCCCACAGGAAAGCTGAGGCTTACCAGAAACTTTGGCACTGTTTTTCTTCAAAGCCTTTCTTACTGCTGTGCTTCAAGACTATGGAAGAGCCCAAGGAATCTCCATGGATACTCTCACTTTCACTCACAGAGTAATTCACAGCACCAGCAATGAGCAAGAGGATGACTTCTCCATACTTCTCCAGAAGAGGCTCAACATAGTCAGGAGAGCCTTCCAGGTACTGAGTGCTGAGGAGACAGGACAGGGTACAATCTCCATCTTGGGGCTAAATGTATGACTCATGCAGATAAACCCACAGAACTATGGACACATTTTATCACTGTGCTTCATGTCTACATGTGCTTTTGTGCTAATACCATGCTGTCTTTATCGCCACGGCTACATAGTATAGTTTGAGGTAATGTATCTCAAGCTGTGTTTTCTGCTTAGAATTGCTTTAGCTATCTGTGATCTTTTTTGTTTTGTTTTGTTTGTTTGTTTTTGTTTTTCGAGACAGGGTTTCTATGTGTAGCATTAGAGTCTATCCTGGCACTCGCTCTGTAGACCAGGCTGGCCTGGAACTCACAGAGATCCACCTGCCTCTGCCTCCCGGGTGCTGAGATTAAAGGCGTGCTCCACCAACGCACGGTTAAATGTGTAGCCCGGGCTGGCCTCAAAGTCGTGATCCTCCTGCCTCTGCCTCCTTCAGCAAATCCTACAAGCATGCACCACCACAACCGGCTTCTGTGATCTTTAGTATTTTCATTTTTTCTATTTCTGTGAAGATCACTGGAATTTTGGTAGGAATTGTATTGAATCTGTAGATTGCTCTTGTTGATACAGTCATTTTCACAATCTAATTCCATCAATCCAGTAGCATAAAGGATCTTTCCATCATCTGATGTCTTCAATTTCTTTTTCAACATCTTAAAATTTTCCTTATAGAAGTCTTTTTACCTCCATGATTAGGTTTGTTCCCAGATTCTTTTTTGGTTATTGTAAATAGGATATTTTCCCTGATATCTCCATCAGCAAGTTCAGTTGTGATGTATATAAAAGCTACTAATTTGGGGTTTTTTTGGGGGGGTTGTTTGTTTTCAGCAGGGTCTCACTATGTAGTTCTGGCCTGGAACTCAGAGGTCCCCCTACCTCTGCCTCCTGAGCGCTAGCATCAAGGGCGTGCACCAGCACACCCTGCTAAAAACTACTGATTTCTGAATTTTAACTTTGTATCTTGCTACACTACTGAAAGATTTTTAATGGAGTCCATGAGTCTTTTAAGAATAATTTTATTCTTTATTAATGACACTTACTGATTTGCATGTCAAACCAACCTTGCAGCCCCTGGATAGAACCAGCTTGGTTGTGATGTATGATCTTAAAATCAATTTGCAAGTATTTTGTGCTTTTTTTGTTTTTGCTTCTATGTTCATCTATGAAACTAATCTGTAATTTTCTTCTTTTGTCTTTAGAGTTCAGAACCAGTCTTGTGCTGGCTCCACAGAAAGAGCTTGGCAATGCTCTTCCACACTCTATTTCATAGAGTCTGACAAGTATTTTTATCAGGTCTTCTTGAAAGCTGGTAGAGTTGGTAGCATATCATCACTTCTCCAGCCTTGACTGTACTAAGTAAGACTTTTAACTTAGAAACAAGCTTGTTTTACACATCAATCCCAGCTCCCTCTCCTCCTCCCACCCCCTATCCCATCCCCTTTCTGCTCCCCAGGAAGGGTGAGTACTTCCATCAGGAAATCTTCAAAGTTTGTCATATCAATTTGGAGCAGGGCCTAGGCTCTCCCCCGTGTGTCTAGGTTGAGAGTATTCCATTATGTGGAGTGGGCTCCCAAAGTCCATTCTTGTACTGGGAATAAATACTGATCCACTACCAGAGGCCCCATAGACTGCCCAGGTCTCCTGACACCCACGTTCAGGGGATCTGGGTCGGTCCTATGCTGGTTTCCCAGCTATCAGTCCGGGGTCCATGAGCTCCCCCTTGTTCAGGTCAGCTGTTTCTGTAGGTTTCACCAGCCTGATCTTGACCCCTTTGCTCATCACACCTCCTTCTCTGCAACTGGGTTCCAGTTCAGTTCAGTATTAAGCTGTGGGTGTCTGCCTCTGCTTCCATCAGCTACTGGATGAAGGCTCCAGGATGGCATATAGTTATCAATCTCATTATTGGGGAAGGGCATTTAAGGTAGCCTCTTCACTATTGCTCACATTGTTACTTGGAGTCATCCTTGTAGATCTCTGGACCATTTCCCTAGTGCCAGATTTCTCTTTAATCAGTGATTTTTTTATTTCTCCTCCTGGTTCACTATGGATTATGTTTAGAGCGTTATATTCTGGCTTTAGTTTCTGTAGGTCATATCCACTTAGAAACTTACCCATTTTGTCTACATTTTCCAATTTATTGTAGTCTTAAGTTTTCAAAGCATTTCCTAATGATCTGGCTTTCATTAGTCTATTGTAGCAACTCCCTTTCTGTCATTGATTTTACTAATTTGCACCTTCTGTTTCTTTTGGTTAATTTGGCTAGCGTATGGTCAATCTTGCTGAACCGTTAAAAAAAAAAAAGCAGCTGTTTGTCTGCTTAATGTTGTGTGCTGGTCTTTCCATCTCATTGACCGGCTCTGGTTTTTATAAACTATTGCCATCTGTGGACTTGGGTTTGGCTGCTCTGGTTTTTCCAGAGCTTGGGGGTTATTTATTTAAATTCTTTTTTTAACATAAGTACATGGAGCTGCGAACTCTCCTCTCAGGACTACTGCCTTCATTTGTACCCTAAAGGTTCTGGTGGGTTATGCTCTTTCATTTCATCTGAGGGATTTTTAAATTTCTTCCTTGATTTCTTCAATGACCTAGTTTGGTGACTCTCCTTGCTGTATCTTGAGATTCTGCAATTTTCTTATGCATGTTTTGAATTGAATTCCATGTGTTTCTTTAGGGACTCCAGCATTTCCGTGTCTCGGCTGCTTTCCAATATGAGAGGCTGTCTGCTTCTGGGGAGCTAGGATAGTGTCACTCAGTCTGTTTGTGGGGTGCTGGGTGGAGTGTCACTCATACGGTGCTGTTGTACCCATCTGTTGGAGTGCATATGTCCTCTGATTTATAATGCTTCTCTTTTTCTTACACCTATGTGAATCTTCACGATGGGTTGTCTTGAGTTTATGTTCAGGGGGAAAGCCGACCTCATAATCAACTATGACGGTTTGATTCTAGCTAGCTGTAGAAGACAATACTGAGCACTTGACTTGTGTCCCTATCAAGGTTTGAAAACTGGAGTCCTGGCTGGGGAAAATGCGGTATATTTAGTAGTGAAGAGTGAATGAGGCGTAAGAGGTGACAGACTAGGAATGAAAAGGTTAGCCTACAGATTAGAAGACTAAAGAGAAGTAGAGATAATTTGAGGACAGACAGACAGCATATAAGCAGGCCCTCCGTTCTTTCTGCTTTACACCAGGGTAAAGTAAGACAACTTCCATTTTCTTTTAAATAGCTCTCTGTAGAATCACTTACAAACTGTGTTCTTTAAAGCAAAGGTCTACATAGCTCGGCCACATCAGTTGTGGTGGCCCACAACTATGATCCCCAAACTTGGGAAGTGAAGGCAAAAAGATCAGTAGTTCAAGGTTGTCCTCCATTACATAATAAGGTCCAGGCAAGCCTGGGCTATATGAGACTCAAAATACCAAGGCCAAATCACAGAATTGTAAATGGAAATCATATTATCAAATACACAGATTAACTTCTCCCATAATGTATAAGAAAAGACAATTCTAGGACAAATGCACTGAGCCAAACTTGTCGTTTACCTAAATGGTCAGGGGAAAAGGCATTGTATAAAATAACTCCCACGAAAATTTTTATAGAATAAGGAAAAATACAAATTGTTTCTAGGCATTTAGCTTGACCTCCAGACATGGTCCCATTCCAGAATACATACAGCCTAAAAAGTGTCCCTGACCACAATGTGGTCTGTCTACACAGTAATTCCATGTCAACCAGCTGGCCCAGGACAGCAGCGCCCATTTTGCTTCAAGGACTCGCACACTCACCAGAGAAGCAAAGGCCCCTGAGCCGTGGGGGCTCATCTGTCCTACCCCTCGCACCAGCAGCAGAGTGGCACACCTGCTACCCAGGACACACATGAGATTGGAGCTGCTGGCAATTTTCTTCCTAAGAGTTCATGAGAAATCCAAATTCTTATTCCAAGCTAAAGACTCATTTTCCCTGTATCAATGATATACTATAGGATTGTTCCCAGACTCTTCAGTTTCCAAACCCTTACTAAGGGAAAGGCAGGTAGGTTTAAGCACAACTTGCTGACTCGGTTCATAGTTGCTTTTTCCCCCTCAAAGAAACCTTGGAAATTTAGAGTCTGGATGCATCTCAGCATTCAGGGCAACATGAGGCAGGGCTATACCACCCCAGTGGAGGGTGGGGCAGGGCTTAGGCTGAGGCTCGTGGCTTCTGAAAGAAGCATCATGACCCTTCTCTCTCTCACCAGGACCACTCTCCCAACCAGTCTCCCAATGGTGTGACCATTTTTGGTTTATTCATTGAGGGAGCACAGTGGAATCCTGAACAGGAAGTATTGGAAGACTCACTGCTCACTGACTTACGCTGTGAATTTCCTGATATCCACTTTTTGCCAACAAAGGTAACCACCTAACTTGATAAGGAAATCCCAAATTACAACATTTTTTGACCTCATGAGGGAAATGTTCAAAGGGCTGGCTATTGACATGGACCAAGTTCTTGGCACAAAGATTTATTTGCTCCAAAGGGACAGAGGGCAAGAAGTAAGAGACAAAGATAGGAGATAGAGGAGAAAGGAGAGGGAAAGGGGAACAGAGAGGTATTGCCCTGGGGGAACAAAGGATTGCCTCTAGATAGAGACAGAAGTGGCCCACGGAAAATGGCAGTTTACAAAGATACAAGGGGAAATCCTGCGTTAGGGTTGGGCATCTTAATTAGGGTGACCAAAGGGGGCTTTTGATTGCTGGACTTCAATACTTTAAAAGCTGGTCCTTGGTGGTCCATCTCAGAGGGAGGAGGTGCCTAAATAAAGGAATAGACCTTGGTGGCTAGCTCTACAATTGCAATCTAATGGATTTTTAGCAAGGGGAAGGGAACAGGGGAATGCTTACGTCATGCTCAGGCCTATTAGAGTCCGTCCCTTCAAATGTAATAATGAACTTTAGACAAAATAGTACAATACTGCTAAAACTGATGTCCAGCATTACCTCTCAGGAATATTATACAGAAAGCTATCAAGTTATCTCTATTTTAACTTCTCTAGATACAAAAAAATGTATTTAATTCATAGCGGATACCTCAAATCTACTCACGGGAAGTGTGACCTATTGGTTTGTTAGCTCTGATTTAATTAGGAATCTTTATTTTTAGATTGAAACACTTCATGCTTCTGACCAAACAAACTCAGAACTCCAGACTTTTAAATGTCCAGTTTATCAAACACCTGAGAGGTCAAGACATACTATTGGTTTACCAACGAATTCCTTAACATCTGTGCATTTACCAACGAAGAAACCTCCTAGTCACTGGATCACCATGCAGGTTGCACTGCTGTGTGAGAAGATTGAATGAAATAAAATATCCATACCAAAACAGTGTAAGTTTGAGCTCTACCCAAATTTACATGCATCAAGACATCCACTTGTAAGGTCATGTCGTCTGGCCAGCCTCAGCAGATAAAAGGGAGATTTCACTAGGTAAGCAGTGTCTGTGCTGGCTTTCAAATGAACCAATATACTTCTGCTATTAATATATATTTGCTTCGAAGTGTTAAGACACTACAACAGTTTTTAGACACTCAGTGTTCTTAAACAGCAAAAACCAAACATGACCAGTTTCTAAGAATTGGGACTTAAACTCTTGGTGATCCTATCTCTACCTCCTGGACAGCTGCGGTTACAGGAATGAGTCACCATTGGCTCAGGCTCCAGCAATCTGAAAGCTTGAAACCTGGTCAGGAGTCCCTGGGTTCCTAAAGCTCAGCAAGATCCAAACAAATAAGCCTAGAAAACAAAACAATGGGTTAAGGCTGCAAAGCATGGGCTGTTATGTAACACTAGATCTGAAGGCAAAAAAGAGGAGGCTTTAAAGTGATCAAAGCAACTCTTTATTTTCAACTAAAATTTTATTACAAAGCTTGCCAAACATCAAGTTAAAAACAACTTGCACCTGATACACTGGCACATTATCCTATCTCAGACTCTTCTCACTACCAGGCAAAGAGCCCAATGTCTTTCTTTTTACCCAAAATTCCCTTTAACGTTAAATTCAGCACATACGTGCCAATACCACTTTCTGATACCAGGAGAAAAGCAAAATAGAAAAACACCTACTTGAAGACCTTAGTACTGTAAAACAATAACAATTTCATAAAAACAGAGTCTAAAATTATAGAATGGAGAGTGTCAACTTCATAATCACATTAATATAAGCCACTTTAACATACACTCTAAACTGCAGAGCAGAATGAACACTTTGCATCTGGCTCATATATGATATGTGTAACCAAAACCCAAATGTACACACTATATAATTATATCCTTGTGTTTAAGAATCTGAGGACCATGTAGCTTTGAATATAAAAGTCTAGGGAATTTGCCACATGCCCTGATCCAGGACAGTTACTATGAAACTAATCAACTTCACTAGAATGCAATGGCTACAACCAGCTTATTATATCTATTAAACTGAGACAGAAAACAAAAGTTTAAACTAGCTCCTTAAAGTTGTTACAGGTAGAACTTCTTTCTAGAGAGTTCTGAAGATATAAATGATACAAAATAGTCTATGAGCTTAACAGTAGCAAAAACACTGTTGTTGAATTTTAAGTCAAAAATATATAAAAATAGTAGCCTGAAATGGCAATTTTTCTAACACCAATGTGTGTAAAAATGTTTAAATAGTGCTGTTATTCCAAAAATATACTTTTTTTTCTATTTGCGACAGTTTATAAAGGCAAACACACCTGCAAACTGAGGTAGCAAAGCCAAATTCACAAACTTTGGATAAAGAAAAATAACTTTCCTATGTTTTAATTTTAAATGAATTCTAATTGCTTTACACTTTTAAATTCACATTACTTTACAAAAACTTAATTTAAAATACTGAAAATGCTTTTGTTAAAAAAAACTACTTAGTTCCTGACGATTATCTCACATTCAAAAACTGTACAGAAAAATCACAAGTCACTATATATTACATAAAAGTAAGCTATGTATTTACATTTCCAAATGCACTTACTTTTAAAGGCTAAGGTCAAGCCACTGCTATAAATGGTCACCCTTAAACAGGGCCTGTAAGATATCTGCTTACTCTTCACATATACCACCAATACTGGGCTGGGGTTTGGTGGACATATATTTAGAGACAGAGTTTTCATTATGTCTCTTTAAGTACAGTGAAATATAGATGTGCTTTAAGGGTTTTCACTTAAGAAAAACCAAAAGGAAAAAAAATTGAAAATAAGACTTCAGATTTTTAGGGATTAAAACTTTCCTATTAGCAAGCAAATTCTACCACCTTGGTGTTTTCCCTCACATTAACTGCTATCCAACTACATTAACAGGTATACTATTTGGCTCTATGGTCCTGACTCAAAGAACAAACTTAAGAGCATGTTGTCAGTGCATCAACAGTTAGTCTGTCTGAACTTCTTCCTTGGCTTTGAGAGACACCTGACCTGCGGGTGGCACTGAGCTCAGGTCAGTAAACGTAGGGGAGTATGCGGTAGGGCACGCGTTGGCAGTACTTCTCCCAGGCCAGGCCATATTTCCTCTTACACTGGTGCTCATCACGGGCTTCTCGGTGGACAAGCAGCGCGGTGAAGTAGATGACATAGAAGTAAGGCAGGAGGTGGTTAAAGCCTGGAGGCGACAACAGCAGCCACTGAATGTTTTTATCTCCATTGCACAGCTCTTCCTCGTTTCCTCAAATGCCCAAAGAACTACTTTTCTGATTAAGGTATGCCTTAATCACAAACTAAATATTCCATACAGCCTTCTTATTCCTAATCCCCTCAGAAGCTAGACGGTAACTGGAGTCCGTATCAGGCAGGTGCCCTCACCCCACTACAGCAGCTAGACCTGCTCCAACCAATGACATAGAGAGATCAAATTAGCACTGAGATGCTTACCACATGGGAGGGACCATGCCAGCGCCATGATGAGGTCACCCAAGTAATTGGGATGTCGAACAAAGCCCCACCATCCAGAGACAAGCAGACTCTTACCCGTGGACGTATGAATGGTCTTTAAATCTACATCAAAACAAAAACCTCTCAATGAACTCTCAAAAATGGGCCATAGAAACCGACACGTATAAATAACAAATCAACAAATTTAAAGAAACCCTTACGTGCAAGCTTCGGATCAGTGGGATTCTTCCGGAATGCATTTTTCTGGGAGTTTGCACAACGGAAGATTACATAGCCACAAACTGGAATTTTAAAATATTTCCTGTTAGTAATTTATATGTAAATTGCTAACATCTAAAATCATCTGGAACTTGTTTCTGAACTCTAGACAATCTGATTTCTTGTAAACAATAAACATCCAAGCCCTGAATGCCAGTGAACTCTTCTGAAATCTCACTCATCATCCATCTTGAAAAACACAGCCAGCCAGCCATGCCCACAGAGACCAGGGTCTGACACAGCAACTGGAGCCATTGACTACAGGCTACTCTAGACACTTCCTCTTGGTAAAATACCAGCTGATCAGAAACCAGCGTCTGCCCTTCAGTGTGAACCCTCAGCCTGGTTAGGGTTATTCACATTTCCACAGGCCCTGATGCTGGCACTACTATACAATCTGAGTAACAAATCCCAATCTCCACTTGAGCTGCTCTGTGTCATACAGACTTCTGCTTAACTCACAGGTGACAGGCATAAGCAAACCAATGGAGAAACTACATCTTCACTTTAACCAGGTGCTTGGATTTCCTCTTCCATCAGACACTCGGTGTCCTAAAACTAGCTCTGTCTGAAGTTCAGTGCTGGTTTTCCATCTACCTCTAGTGTGAATGATCACCAAGGACTAAAGAAAAACCACCTGAGCTGAAACACAGTTGGGCCAGGTAGAACTTACAGCAGCCAACCTGGAGAACCTCTCTCTGTCCCGCCCACCCCTTAACTGTGCTGACTTGACTTCCTGCCTGTCTCCCATCCTGTACTAACCCACTGAGCCTCAGATGAAAGCCCACACCCTCCAGTAAGTACAAGATGACATTCCCCAGAGACTTGACTCCCTTTCCACTTCTTGTTCCTGCCACGTGTGGTCCTCAGTAGAATGCGTGAGCACCTCAGGCCACTTTAGCTGGTATTGTTTCTACAGTGGGACCCAAAGTTGTAAGACAAATTTCATTTTACAGATCTCTAGAAAATCTAGGCATGTGAAAGAGAATAGAAATTATTCTTAATGCAATTCAATTTATTTAGATTCGATTGCTTAAACTTAAAAGTAAAATGTTCTATTAAGAGTAGTACTAGTGGAGCCAGCAAGTCTTCCATTCTCTTTGAAAACTTCAGAATTTTCTCAGTACTTATCCATCATAAGTTATTTCAAACCTGTGATCAGACAACAACCGGAAAACAGTGGGCACAGTGCCTCGAACTGAACAGAGGCTAGCACTCACGTTTGAGAGCAATGATGACAGAAGCCAAGGGCCAGGACAAGTCATGGGGATGGCTGACCAGGTAAAAGGCCTGAAGGCTATAGGTGAATGGGACCCACACTAAGTCCCCAAAGGCCAGCATGAAGCCAAAACCATCGTGGATGATGTCCATGGTGGTCAGCAGCGCTTCCTAAAATGGGAAGAAATAAGAATCACCTGATGTTTACAGGATTTATGCAAAGTGCCGATTTGTAACCAAGTATGCTAGTGAAGGCAGGAGTTCAGTTGCTCTGGCTTAAGTCACCATGTCCCATCTCCCCGGCTTCTTCTCCTCAGTAACAGACCTCTAAGCCCCAAGCAGGCGCTTGCTCTTGCCCAGGGCCTCCCTGACCTCACCCTCCTGCAGCCTTAGGCCCTTCCCTGGACAGCCTTCCTGACCCTGCACCTGGCCAGTCCTGCTCAGATGCCAGCATTCGGCATTCCAGAAAGCTGTTGGTCACTCTACTTGCCTACATATGCTCTCCACTGCATTGTGAGCAAAGTGTGTTTGTAGAAAAACAGTACAACTACCAACCAAATCTGGATCATCTGAACTCTCCGATGTATGGTCCACAGAAGCAGCAAGCTGGCTGGCAACATGGTAAACCAATGGTGTCACGCTCATGCACACTCAAGAGTTTGTCAACAAGAGCACATGGTTGACCAGGTATCGCTAGACCAAGATGCCTGAAGGTCAGACTCATGAGCACATCTCTGAGTGCCTGAAACTCTGGTACCTGTCTTGGAGTAGGACAACTAACTATCGGAGTGCTATCGAGAAACTAGTTCTAGGTTAAAGAAAGAAGTAGTACTCCAGGGGCATCCAATCCAGATCATCATGGAATAAAGTCAGAGGTCACAAATCTAGGCCCTAAGGCTCATATCCTGGATGTCAGAAGGATGCTTCCATATAGCATCTCTAGGGGCATAGCCTCTGATATGAGGATCCAAGACAAGATAAAGGTGACTGGGGAGCACAAGGAACAGGACAAATAACTACTGTGACCAAAGTCAGAATGAAGGGGAGTTGTCAGTGAGAGGAGCAAGTGTCATGAAGCCTGGGACAAGACC